ACTTCATCCAGATTTGTATATGAATGAATCCAGTGTATTTTTACCCTGAATGAAGTGTCTGCCTGTTCTTAGCCAGGCTTCATAGCAGAATGAATAAATACCTCAGCTGACCATACCTAATTTTACACATCTTGTTGAATGTATTGAGGTATTTCCATCAGAAACAATGCTCGGTCTGCACCCTAGTTGAAAATAGTTGTCGGGAACACAGTGACATTTAGTAAACATAATACCATAAAAGGAAAAATATTCTCAATTGAATCCTTCAGTTTTACTGCCTGAGCCTAATTCACTGGTACAGTACACGGAGTTACAAATCCTGTGATGACTGAATTGGTATTGCTCAGTGTGCATCTGAGCCAAACAGATCAGAAAGGTCCCAGGTTTGCCTTGTTCTGTATTGTTAGCTGCTATTAGCTGAAGCAGGGTAAGGTCACAACAGTTGACAAGAACCCTTGAGTCAATAGTAGGAAGGATAATTGCCATGATTCCCACTCCTGCAATTGTACACCTGTAGATATTCGGTAAAACAGGATTTGACACTACAACAGAACTGGGCAAAGTGTTCTATAGTCAAACAGCCTTGGGTCACTTACTATACAGGCTCTGGCATAAGAGCTAGCCATTTGGCTGAAGGACCAGAGATCACCAGGTGACTCTGGAATATAATGTAGCTTGAGTCAGCAGAGGACCGAGCAGCCTCCAGTATAATCCCAATAAAAACATGCTTCATTATAACGTGCGTATGCTCATAGCACATTTAGGCAAGAACCTCAACATTCACTTAACAAAAAATCTAAAATATGGGCATATTTGCTTTAAAACGTCAGCTGTGCTCCACGGGCTTAGAAAAAAGCTACTTCCAGGTCATCGGGTCACTATCATTGCCATTTCTGGCCATTTTGTCTCCCTGCATAACATCTGGTGCTCCACATGCTAAATAATGACAAACTTTCAGGTTATCAGATTACTGCTGACATCACATCATAAGTGACGTCACCAATGGTGTGATGACCCAGATGTCAGACATGCTTTAGTGCAGGGAGCAGAGCATGCAACCAGGCTGCTCACTTCCAGAACGTTGGCCAGCCAGTCCTAGCTCTAAAATGGTCAACTTTAGGTCACCACCAACATCACTTCCTATGTACTGGGCACATGCAGTTCTTAGCCAGGCTTCATAGCAGAATGAATAAATACCTCAGCTGACCATACCTAATTTTACACATCTTGTTGAATGTATTGAGGTATTTCCATCAGAAACAATGCTCGGTCTGCACCCTAGTTGAAAATAGTTGTCGGGAACACAGTGACATTTAGTAAACATAATACCATCAAAGGAAAAATATTTTTCCTTTGTGACACCAGTGTAGTTCTGATGTACCAGAAGTCAGCCATTTTAGTTTACAGAGCTAAGCTAATGGTTATCCTCTGGGTTATCAATTGCTGTCGATGCAGCTTCCTGCCTTGTGCATGCTCAACACAGAGGAAGTGAAAACTTTGGGAATCAGCCATTTTTTAAATTATAGAAACTGGCTGGCACACAGGGAGCAAGCAAGTCGACTATTGCACCTCTTTATAGTGCAGGTGGGTTTTTATGGCTCCCAAACATCGCATTGTAATGAGGTTGCACTGTAACTGTACAGTGCAACTGTAACCTTAGAGGAGCATTGTGTGAGGTTGAACTAAAACAAGATGGCCTATTAGAGTTTTCATGATCATGCAAGCATGTTCATCCAGTGAGATTGAGTATCGAAGACAGCAACCAGGGAACATTCAAACAGTGCAAGTAGTGTTACAGATAATAATTTAAACATAGTTTTTGCACATTGGGCTGTGTGAGAGCTATAAGCACTACCATTTAAAGTGTTTAAAGATAAGCTGTAAAGTACTTAAATGTCAAGTTAGAGTGATAAGGGAACCAGCATATTAAGTATGCATAACATTGAGGTAATTTGGTCTCTGTTTTCCCAGCCACACAACCAGTGGGTAACAATGAATCTTCTAGTTGTCTAGACATCAATAAATTTTTAATTATTACCATGCACAGTTCAGTCCTCAGGATCTACATTGAGATGAGAACTGCAGCTAATGTAGCAGTAACAGGATAGGTGGGAGGATGAAGGCTATTGACTGTAGGGTATGCAGTATATTAGATCTAGTGAAGTGACAGCTTCAGGAGTACTTTGGAATACTTTACTAGATGTATACAGGAAGAATTACTGAGCCATTAAATGAGAATGAGACAGTCTGTGAAAAACAATGTCAAAATAATGGCTAACTTGCCAAAACGTAAATAAAACTGCAGCACAGTAAATGTAATTGCTGTTAAGAGTAACTGAGGGCTTGTATCATTAAAAATATATATTTCTACTTTACAACAATGGCGTATATGTACCATTCAGCAGGAAGCACTACACAGCTCCATAATTATTGATATAATTAATAATAATAATCAATTATTTTGATTTGATATAGGAGTGCTGTAGCTCAGTGGTTAGAGCACTCGCCTTGCAAGCGAGAGACCTGGGTTCGATTCCCGGCAGGGCGAAAGCTTGGGCAAGTTTCCTTACTCCGCATGCCTGATAATAATCCCTCAAGAAAAGAAAGCAATCAAATTGGTCACTTCAATACATGACTGTTTGTGGGACTCTGCTGTGGGCAACTGGCTGCCATGTTTCACCCACAAATATACAATCAACTCACTTTACAGACTTCCAAGAGCAGTTTAGTTGAAGAAGGACCTTCAGCCCATTTGATCTTATCCTTCCAAATATAGTCCTTCCAAGTATAATCTAAGCATAGTCTCATTCTATAGTCCTTTTATTATAGCATCAAGTGTTTTTTTTAAAATGAGTCCAGTGTTCTTTCCTGATAACTTATACCAGTTTTTATTTATTCTCAGGATAAAGAAATATTTCCTGGTGTCTGTTCAAAAATTGACCTTTGCAACTCTTAACCTGTGTTGTGCTATCTTGATGTTTCTGAAATGACTGTTCTGAGTTTCAATCCCATTTAAAATGTTACATACCTCTTTGAGGCCCTTCTGAGTGTTGTCTTTTCAGGACTGAAGAGCCCTAGCTTATCTAATTGTCGCTCACAGCCCAATCCCCGAATACTAGGGATTATTTTCATTGCTCTTCTCTATTCTACCCCTCAGGCATGGGAGGTACTTTTAAATTGTGTTGACCAGAACTGTACACAGTACTCTAGGTGCAATCTGACCAGAACACTGTACTGCTAGGGACCTGAACTCAATTGATTTGGCAATATAACCCAGCATTCTGTCTGTTTTGTTTACTGTTGCTTCACAATGTTTTGACGTGGCAAGCATTGAGTCAAATAAGACCCCTAGATCTCTTTCAGTTTTCTCCTTGGCAAGTGCTGTCCCATCCATGGAGTACACCTGCTGTATTGAACTAAATTCTCCCAATCCAAATGGAGCCCCACTTTGAAGAATTGCAAATGTCCCATTCACACAGTGAAACAAGCTGTTCCTACAGTATATGCTAATGGATTTCATGCCAAGATGTGTTCACTTATTGCAAGAATTTTTCATTAGGTTTAAATACAAATAGTCTGTACATAATGTATTTGTGACTTTCTGACTGTCTAAAATTACTTTGACCGAACTTTTGGACATCTTTCTCCTTCCCACTCTCCTTGTTCCCACCTCCAGCTCAGTTCCCAGCCAGTCAGTGGAGTCAAACACTCTGAGACATCCTCCCGAAGCTATATATGAAAGGCGCTATATAAATGTAAACTATAATTGTATGATTATACATTCCTTTGTTTGTGTGCAAGATAAATATTTAAATAATGGTTTTAAAAAGCTTAGATGGATGTTAATGTTCTTCATAGAGAAAATACCTTATGGTAGTAAATCTATTTCTATTTTGGGTTAGTTACCATAACAACAGATTAGGAAGATTGGTATTTGACCTGGTCTGACCTCGAAGCGATGATGGTTTTTGCAGCTGAGTACCAGTTGGTCCACAGAATTTTTGAAAACGCTGAACCCTTAAAATAAAGATCTTGACAGAACAGGACAGGTGTGATAGAGACTGTGTCTGTATGTTTAGATTTTTTTTTGCTGCTGACCTAGCTTTTAATTCGGCAGACATTTCATTTTGATGATTCGTACTGTTTTCAGTGTCTAAATCCAAATAAATATGTTAGATCCTAGTGTTTACATAAAAAGAACACCCAAGCTGAGTATAAGAGGACCTTGTGTTTCAGCCCACTCGCTCCCCCCACCCTGCACAAATTTTAAATTTTAAAAAGTGTCTATTGACAGAGCAGAGGTATGGTATGATAATTGTCTTAAAGCTGAAGATTTCATTCATCGTACTGGAGCTCAAAGTCATAAATTTGATAGTGCAATCCCCTCGTGGTCCTCTTTTATTTCCAACAATGGTGTGGCAACACACCGCTTGCTCAGTCCTTGATCTTGTGCCTGTCACATCTAATTTAGCCCTGGCCTCACTTCCCACAACCACAATCGATACTTGTTCTGCTGAACGTGATCTTTTCTTACAGCCAGGGTCGAGGAGAGTGAACAGAAGGTTTGGAAATCTAAAACGGGGGAAGAAAATAACCTAAAAATGATGAGTACAAATGTTTGGTTTGCAAGAATTTATAGCCTGTTTTGGAAGGAAATGAATATTGAAACTCTTTAACAAGAGACAAGTCTATTCCTTTCCCTCTTTCTTCTTCCACAGTACATCAACACCTGCAGAAAAATATCTGTGGGATTTATCATTATTCTAGTGGGTGTTTTTTTTCCATGTTTCTTTAACACTTTATTTTACCTTTTCAGGAGGTAAACAGTTTTAGAGGAGAAAAATAACAGTAAGTAGATTGTAAAAGTGTTACACCCAGGTTATTGCCACGCTATATAAGTGAGGTACCGAGAAGCATCACTTTTATAGGCACTGGGTAAAGAGTGACACTGAAGTACACAAAGCAGGTCAGCGTTGTTAATGATGATGTTTATGTTTCAGGATCCACCGATGGCTGTGACGCTTGGACTTCGGATGGAAGAAATGATTTTTAATCTGGCTGACACCCATTTATTTTTCAATGATCTAGAGGTAAGAACATCTTGCATCTCTGTAAAACAAGTGCTTTCGGCTTAGAGTACAGAAGTTTTCAAAAAATGTTTTTTTCTGGGAACTCTAGTCTTCAGTCAAACTTTATGTTTCAGGATGTTTTCGCTGGGATTGGTAAACATGATTCCCTCATGTGTTTTCCGTTCATTACTTCAAACTCCATCATACTGAGATGACAGAAAGATTATTGATATAAATGTTGTTTTTCATTACTTTCGAAGAGATTGACTCCTTTCTATCTGACCACCTTGACTATTTACGATTTACATTAGCTCATCGATACATTTGTGAATCTGGTTGAAAGAAAACTACATTAAAACGGTTGCAGAACATCTGTCTGATCACTCTGAGCCCTTGACTCCAGCCATGAGTTCAAGTTCCTACCTTGCCTGATGCTCAGGCTCATCTGACTTAGTTGGATGTGTTTTGCCTGTTCTAATCAGAACTTGAGCACTTCATGAAAGAAGGACATTCCTCCTCAGTGCAAGAGTAAAAACAAATTGTCCATTGCACTCTTGTCTTGTCCCTCTCTGAGGTTTATTTGAATATCAATCACAGCAACAGTCAGAGGGAACAGTGCCTCAAAAGGAAACTAAGCAGGAAATATGCAGGTTTTTTTAACTGTTACATAATGGCAGTTACCACGAGGCCCTTCAAAAGGGGGCTGCCCAGCCCTGGAGGCAGTGCAGAGTAGAGGAACAAGGATGATCCCCAATGTTAGAGGAATGAGACATGAAGAACAATTAGACAAGCTAGGGCTCTTCAGTGTTGAGTGAAGATGACTCAGAGAGGACGTCAACAACAACTTGCATTTATATTATGCCCTTCATGTGGGGTAGCATCTCAGAGTGCTTACTTCATAGAGGTGTATAGAATCTTAAATGGGATTGAAATAGTAAACCCAGAACAATATTTTACAATGCACCAAGACAGTAGAACAAGAGGAAATAGGCTTAAGAGTTCTAAAGGGCAATTTCAGGACAGACACCAGGAAGATTTTCTTTCCTTAGAAAGTAATTAATGATTGGAGCAGATGATCAGGAAGGGTGCCAGTGACCAGTAGACTTATTTAAAAAAACAACTTGATGCAATGATGGGAAGGACAGTAGTGTGACAGACGATGCTAATGTGGTTGTAGCTGGTTAAAAATGCATACGGGCACATGTGAAAAAAACTTTTAACGTTCAGTTTCCTGATCACTGCTAATGAAATATCACCTGTGGAGCAGGGGTAGGGGGAGTAGGGGAGAAGCCAGGTGTAAAGCTGACTGATATTCAGGGTGCATCTCCCTGTCGTTATTTCAATGAGAGTCGTCCCAAACAACATTTTTACACAAGTGCCACAGGCCAGACATCATCGCCCCACTCACTCAGTGACATTATAATCGCATACCCTGAACAATACAATACAAATTTACATTTTAATACATTTCACATCGGAGGTGGAAACTGACAAAAGGGTTAGATTATAAGAGTAGGGAAGTCTTGCTGCAACTGTATAGGGCCCTGGTGAGACCGCACCTAGAGTATTGCGTGCAGTTTTGGTCTACTTATTTAAGAAAGGATGTACTCGCCTTGAAGGGGGTACAACGTAGATTCACTAGGTTGGTACCAGGAATGAGAGGGATGAGTTATGAGGATAGGTTGAGCAATTTAGGCCTATATTCTCTAGAATATAGAAGAATGAGAGGTGATCTTATAGAAACCTATAAGATTATTAAGGGGCACGACAGAATAGATAGTGGGAGACTTTTTCCTCTGTTTGGAGAAACTATAACCAGGGGCACAGTCTTAAAATTCGGGGTAAGCCCTTTCGCACTGAGTTGAGGAAAAACTTCTTCACTCAGAGGGTAGTGAGTTTATGGAATTCTGTACCCCAAAGGGCTGTAAATGCCCAGTCCTTGAACATATTCAAGACTGAGATTGATAGATTTCTTGTGGATAAAGGGATTAAGGGATATGGGGATAAGGCGAGTAGGTGGAGTTGGAATAGATCAGCCATGATCTTATTGAATGGTGGGGCAGGCTCGAGGGGCCGAATGGCCTACTCCTGCTCCTAATTCTTATGTTCTAAGCTGTGCAGTGTTCAGTAGGTTCACTTCAGTCTAACACTTAACCCTCTATAGCATCCCCTGTACATGAGTGAATAATGCATTCCACATATATTATGTAACAATGGAAATGTGTGACCGCTAATGAAATGGTGCTGGTAATGAAATGAAAAGAACCAAAGTCAGATAAATCGCCTGCATTAGTCATCAGTACAACAAAGGGGAAGCAATTGAGGGCTTTAACTGAGTTTTTTTAGGAATTAGCCAGTGTTATTGTTACACGTCCAGGCTGGTGGTGATGGGAAGAATTGGGCCAATTGTGAGCAATGGTTTTGGAATCAGTCTTTCATCAAATTAAAGGTAATCCTACCAGAAGGATGCTAATTAAATTAAGTGATACTGCAGGAAATGTAGGTTTCAGCTGCACAGGGCTAAATGAAGAGGTAATACAGGGGAGATGACTGTGAAGGTTTGATTAGTAAGAAATGAGTTTAGTTTACAGGACTGCCTGTCTGGATCGTCCCTGGAGATCTAAACAGTTGAATCTGCTCGGCCCACATTGGATGTGCTAACAATGGGTCCATTGCTCCTCCTACAATTGGAAGTTTTTCCCTGTTCAGATCCCGGTCTCTAACTGACTTCATTTCTACATGTGTGCACACTGATTGATGGCCACGTGAACATTGCTTGATGAGATCAGTCATCTTTCACATTCCCTTCTGCAGCCCTCATGAAATGGAGCTGAAGAGAAATTAATCCTACATTATCCTATGAGAAGGGTGCTATATTAATGCAAGTTGTTGTTTCACCCAAAGGTTTAAATAGCAGTGTTTGGCTGGATGTAAAATACTTTCAAGTCTCCAGTGCTCAGTGGAATATTTGGGTTGGTTATGCTGTGCTGCAGAAACAATTATCATTGCAGCTTGTGCAGTTTGCACAGTTTGCATTGAATTGTCATTGGAGATATCTGAAGCTAATATGATTTTACATGGAAAGTATCCTATTGTGTGGAATAATACTGAAACTACTGACCTACCTACAGCTGCCAATAAGACCCAAAGCCATTAAGCAGGAATTATACTGTAATTCTGGAGGGATTCACAAGCAAGCTCCCCCTGAAATAGTTTTGCTTTTTTAAGCAGCTAGAATTGCATGTTCAGGCAAATTTACAAATATTGGGACGGGGCAAATTCCATAGAAAGCAGCACTTTTAATATCAGTAGAATTTAGCTTGCAGTCCCAGAAGAACCTCAGTCTTACTCAGCAACAGTTGTCTGCTGAGAGATTTATGTCGACCCATATTTTAGTTTAGAAGTAGCAAAGCTCCAGTTGTTAATCTAAGCAAATGATGGCATCCACATACAGTATCATACCAGCAACTTGCATTATATAGCACCCCTCACTCAGCGTAGCATTTGACTGTGGGGGAGCATGCTCCACCAGAGTCAAAACCTACGTTGAGTGAGGGGAGGTGACAGTAAGTATGGTAGAAGAGTAAGGTCTTCAGGTGCGACCAGAACAACAACAAGATTACATTTGTATAGCACCTTTCACGTAGGGAGGACATCCCAAGGCGCTGGACAGTGTACAGCATTTCAGACCCGAGCTGGGGTCAGGAGAAGGGAGAGGAAGGGGGGTAACCGATGGCATGGTCGAAGAGGAGGGTTTTGAGGCAGAACTTGAACAACAACAACAAGATTCCATTTATTGAGCGCCTTTCATGTCGGGAGGACGTCCCAAGGCGCTGTACAGTTGAAGGAGGCTAAGGAGGGGGTGAGGCGGAGTGATTGGGGAATGGAGTTCCAGAGGTTGGGGGCAGAGTGGCTGAAGGCTCTCCCGCCAATGAGGATGGGGAAGGAGGGAGCAAGGTGGAGGTATTGAGAGAGAGTGTTCCAGAGTTCCCCAATGAAGATCAGACCTGTTCTCAACATATCACCTCATATTGAAACATAGCTACAATTGTGAGAAAATGTGGAAAGTATGTAGTTTTCTAGTCCCTTCTCTTACGTTTATGTACTTTGATCCTCATAATGCTGGACAGAATAAAGTTCCACAACAAAGCTCAAACTTAAATTGAGGCCAGGTCACAATATCTGTCCCGGCAGCAATAGTCTAAGGTTGCATTAGTCTTAATGGCTGAGAAAGCTCAAGAGCCTTTTTGGGGGGAGTCTGACGCATGCGGAAACCGATCACCGTGCTTAAGAATATCCAAACTAAACAGAGAATTCCATTCATCCCACCTAGACATGGAAATTCCAGAGATATTTGTTGGAATGGAATGTGCTCTCTCCCTGAAGGGACACATCCTGCTTGCCTAATTCCAGAAAGTATTAGGTGCAGTTTGGCAAGAGCCAAGGCTTGGGGACCCCAGAGTCTGTGTTGGGGTACTGCTGGAGTGTAACCAACTAAAACCGCATAGCTTGCCATTGATATCACTGCCTGTCAAGCTTTCCCACTGCTTGTCCATCTAGGATCACATTCTGCTAGAGCTTTGGCTTGCAGGGTTAACAGGAGCTGAGTGGGATGAATCCCTGCCCCCAGGAACTGGTCTGCCCTTCCATGTCCTGCTGATGAGCCAGGCTGGTTGTGTTATCATCAGCAATGCCCTGGAATACTGCGGACCCACCTGGCTCAGGAGCCGGACTACGGTGACCACCACAGAGGGCTGACTTGATTCCAACATTCCATCGCCAAATATGTCACCTTGGAGCCAGTTCAGCTCCAAGTAGACCCCGGTTACCTCCTCACAGGGAGGATAGCTGAATGCCCTCTTTCTATTTATGATGGATTCGAGAGACAAATTCTGCCTGGATCTAGATTTATTCTACTTGAGTTCAGTGTCAGCCTAGCTCAATTGGTAGCACTCTCGCCTTTGAGTGTGAAGGTTGTGGGTTCAAGCATCGAGAATTTAAACTCGTATAGTCTAGGCTGACATTCCATGTTGTAAATATGTGTGTACAATGTGTCTCATAAAAATAGATTTGTAATAATAATAATCCTTACATTTGATATAGTGCTTTTCACCTCTTCTAGACGTCTCAAAGCGCTTCACAGAATATGCTGTAAAGTGAATTGACTGTATATTTGGGGGTAGGGATTCATCCCACTCAGGTCCTGTTAACCCTGCAAGCCAAAGTTCTAACAGAGGGTGATCCTGGCTGGACAAGCAGCGGGAAAGCTTGCCAGGCAGCGATATCAATGGCAAGCTACGCGGTTTTAGTTGGTTGTGACTGTAGATTTCTAGCTTGTGAAGTGCTTTGAGACATTTCAACATAAGATGCCATAAAAATGCAAGTTCTTTAGCATTTGGTTACCGTTTTCATAAATGGTTAGACTCCCCAGCTCTTCCCTACACAAGCTGCAGACAATACAGAACTCTGCAGTCCACACCAAGCTCAGCGAGCCTATCACCCCCATCCTCAATCGGGCCATTGGCTCCCCATCCCCCAGCCAATCGAGTTCACAATTGTCCTTCTTACCTTCAAATCACTCCACCCTACCGCTGCAACCTCCTCAAATCTTTCATTCAGTAGACTTGCTGTCATGTCTGCCCTATCGTTAGTCGGGCTTTCAACCTTATTGCTTCCACTGTGCGGGACTCCATCCTCGAGTGTCTCCGATTTGCTTCAATTGCTTCACCCTGTTTAAGGTCCGTCTCAAGACCTGCCTCTTTGACCTTTCTCTTTTCAAACAGTGTATGAGATCTTTAACATGCCCCCGGACAGGCAGGCGGGTCCTAAGTTTAATGTCTTATCGATAGGGCGGCACCTCGGACAATGAAGCTCACCCCCCAGCACTACGCTGGAGTGTCAGCTTGGATTCTGTGAGTTCCAAATCCCAACACGGGGCTTAAACCCACAACCTGCCTTTCTGTCTGTGACTCAGCCAACAATGCTCCAGATTAATTGGATTGTTCTGTGTGTGAAACCTTGCTGTCCCAAATGGTTGCCTACAGAAACAGTCAGCACACTTGACAGTAATTACCTGTGAAGCACTTTGAGACATTTCAACATTGATAATGTGTTATAAAAATGCAAGTCCTTTCTTGCTTTGTAAGGTTTCTTGGAATCTGGCATTTTAAAATGTTATGGCTGTCTGAATCCATAGCAGTGCTTTGAATTATTGCTTTAGTTGGGTTTACTTTTTCATGCTAGATTCACGCAGCCATCTGTCATTTAATGTTCTGGGACATTGGCTTCCATAACCTTTGGTCATTTTAGTTCCTGTACACCCTCACCTTGACCTGCTTTGTTGGTTCTAAGTGGTTGCTGGTAGAGCGGGGGAGTTCTGTCTCGCTTGCTTCAGGCACAGACTCTGGCCTCTTCGTCGTGCTCTGCTGGGTTAAAGAAGCCTCCTGTGTTGCAGTCGTGCTTGTTCCCCATAACCCAGACAGTGAGGCGGATTATGACGTTGCCAAAGCTGTCACAATTATTCTAAGCTGCTATAAGGTACGCTTTAGTGTAGCAAACAGTGTACTTTTATTAAAATAGCCACAAGTGGCATGTCTTATATATTACTGGGGAACCACTGGAGTGCAGTTATGCTAATAGCTTGCCCGTGTTCAGGATTCTCAGTCTCCATGCATGAAACCTAATTCCCTCAATCTACCTCTTGCTCCCTCTTCGGCTGATTCTTATGCCTAACGTATGGTGCTTCCTCTCAATACAGTAGATTCTCCCTATAGAAGGCTGACAATGAAGCCATATGAAAAGCATATGATATTAAAGTATTCTTGCCAGGAACGTATATGGTTGTGTATGGTTTGTCTATATTTAAGATCCCGAGAAACCATGCATTTTATATGTGTGAGGATCCTATTGTGTGTTACCCAAGAATGACATCTGGTTAATGAGCACATTGTTCATTGGACATCGAAGCTAGCCTACCTTTTTACAGTTGTATATCCTATCACTGAGGACTATATTTGCTTAACCTTGTCATATTTGGCTATTAGGTACAGGAATTCTACTTTAATCTCTATTCGGGTATATGTGCAGAACATTCATTGATTCAGCTGTGCTGAGGTCAGTTTCATATGCCGTAAATTATTGGGTCCATATGAAAGATATATAGCTCTTAAGGCTTGAGGTCAGGCAGCAGCAGCCATCAGTTCGATTGTGAAATTAAAATGATTTGTTGATAGTCTTTTTTGGAGAACAGTGGTACAGTGTTCCATACTCCTGATACTTTATTAGTCGTGGTAGTGAATGCAAGTCTCTAAGCGCCCTACATTTTCAAGTGGTTTTTTTTGAACCATCGTTAAAATTAAGCTTTGAACTTTAGTTTTTATGTTTAGTTTCTCACACCAGTGTCCCGTTAACAAACAATTAGAGAGTATCAGGGCAACTATGTTCGTCCTTGCTGATTATCCCCCATGTCTACATTGTCCCTTTTTCAGGGAAGATGAAAAGGCCCAAATGAATTTTCTCTTAATGCATTTCTTTCTATTCTAACTACTTACCTCCTCCTCCCCCAAAAAGGAGTCTATTTAGTTGTTCTGCTGCTGCTGGATATAGCTTTCTGGGCATCAGTAATTTTTGGATACCTCACTCAATTGACTATTATACTTTTGTGAGCCTTGCGAGCATGTTATCTGTGTATGTGGGGCATTGCAGAGATTGAAACTGTCCTCACTCTATATCTTTGTCTAATTTTCCCTTCCCACTGAAATGTTAGACCAATTGAAGCACCCTAATCCCATCCAGAATTAGATGTGCAAACTCAGCACACACTGGGAATCAAACATGGACTTTCACAATTGGTAGTGCTCATAAACTCACTGGATGAACCCACCTGCCATCGGAGGAGCTCAAACAGGGTATTATGTAAAACATTACTTCATTGCCCAGTGTTTTGGGAATCAAGCTGATCTTGAGAAGACCTTGCTCCACTCGTTTAAACTCACAATCCATCCTCAAAAGATTGTGCTGTGGAATTGTTCTCAATGAATAATCAGAGAAGGTAGAACCTTTTCTGTTGCTTTTACAGAAGCACAGTGAACTCTATTATAAACTATTTACTTCTTAATAAAGACCACATGACCAATACAATATGATGCTCAGTGAACATATTGAAAAGTAATCTGTCAGCCACTGGTATTGTTGTCCACATGCCGATCAGAGCACCGCAAGAGCCAGTGTGAGTATTGATATGAGTGTATCGATGCTGCCACCTACTGGTTGAATAGTATTTTGCAAGCCATTACCTAAAGATGTTAAATGAATTGATTACTTTAGCACAGTAATTAATTTCTTAGCCCCATCTTTTATGAAACTTGATTTGCATTAGCTTTAGTTCCACTAATTCTACTAAAACTTACTAAAACTTATTACTAAAACTTTCTATGCAGATATTTGTATATACAACAAACAACAAAATTATATTTATATAGCATCTTTCACGTCTGGAGGACTTCGCAAGGCGCTGGACAGTCCGGGGTCAGGACCCGAGCATGGGGGAGGGGTGGGGTAGGGTTGAGGGAAGGCAGAGAGGTGGGAGGGCGACCAAAAACATGATCGAAGAGGAAGATCTTGAGACCAGCCTTGAAGGAGGCAAGGGAGGAAACAAGGAGAAGGGACAGTGGGATGGAGTTCCAGAGTGTGGGGGCAGAGAATATAAAAGCCCGGCCACCGATGGTCGGGCGGGAGACGTGGAGCAGGCCGGAACCCGCTGAACGGAGGGAGCGGGCAGGTTGGTAGGGATTCAGCAGGTCAGAGAGGTAGGAGGGGGTAAGGCCATGGATGGCCTTGAAAGTGAGGACGAGGATCTTGAACTCGATCCTCTGGGGGATGGGAGCCAGTGGAGTCGGGCAAGTGTGGGAGTGATGGGGTCACAGAGCCTGGTGTGCGAGAGTACACGAGCTGCAGAGTTTTGGATGATCTGCAGCTTATGAAGGGAAGAGTTGGGAAGGCCGATGAGGAAGAAGTTTCCATAATCGAGCCTTGATGTGACGAATGCGTGGGTGAGGGAAAGAGATGGGTTTTCTTCGAATCTGAAAAAGATTGTATTCATTTCAACTGACTTAAACCAATCTTATCACAAAGCTTCATTGCACAGTACTCAGGTTAACAGCACAACCCTTGACAGTGTTACAGTTTGAGGCAAACTTTAATGACTGCTTCATAATGCAGCACAAAATATAAGTTGGAAATGTCAGCCATGGGGTTGGCATCCAGTTAACTTAAAACAGTAACTACACTTGAAACAGCAGCAGTGCTCTAACCAAGAATGGTGAGCAGGAGATACTTGTATATTTAGAACTCTCTTCTGAAATCCTCCCACCCGGCTCACTCCCTCTCCACATTCAAAACCTGTCTGAAACCTATCTCTTTGACTGCTAATAGTCTGTTAAGGTGCAGTCACAATAGTCTAAATCAAAGGGATGTCTTACCTCCTTCACCCTCCCACTCTACCTAGACTCCCACTCCATCTCTGTAAAGTGCTTGGAGATGTTCTCCTACATTCAAAGTCATATACAAGTTCAAATTGTTTTTAATTCAATGATCTTTCAACAGGAGTGTGATCAGGTTCATATAGATGATGTCTCCTCTGATGATAATGGACAAGACTTAAGGTAATCTTTTCACCTGGTTTGGAAAAATGAATGTTACATTGAAGACCAATTTCAAAATGGTAAACACCTGTTTCATGTTATAATGCATCTCAACGGTTGCTCATTTTTGTTATGTTTGCAGTACCTATAGCTTTGCAACTGACGGCTTTCATGCAGCTGCCACCAGTGCAAACCTTTGCTTAGCCACTGGTGTACGGGGTGGAGTTGACTGGATGAGAAAATTAGCCTTCCGCTACAGACGTGTAAAAGAATTGTACAACACTTACAAAAACAATGTAGGAGGTGAGTTGGGTTGTTTTAGTTTTGTTCCAATGGAGGGGAGCTCTGTTAAGGGCTACTTCTCCTAACCATGAACATTTCAAATTGCTACTTTTCTGAGAAATGCAATTCATTGGCATCCAGTTAAGGACTGGCAAGAAGAGCTTACAGTGATCGTTAGAGTCCAATATTTTTCACTAACTCCATACTATTAGCAATACATTGATTGAGAGCCATCGTCAAAGAAATGATAATGATAATAATTATTGCATTTGATAATGTAATGTCAAAACATCTCAAAGGTAAGTGTTGTTAAGAGTAGTGACTGTGTATTTGTGGGCATTTGTGGTGGCCATTTTGCACATAGTAATGTCCCACAAACAGCTATGAAGTGACTGATCAATTTATCTGGAGGACTGTTGGCCAGGACACTTGGAGAACCCACTTCTGTTTTTGAGTAGTCGTCATAGGATCCTTTAAGTCTACCTGAATAGGCAAATAGGACCTCAGTTCTCACCTGAAGGACGGCATCTTTGAAAATTCTGCACTTCCCCCACTATTGCACTCCCTATGACTTGGAGAGTCATTGTAGAATGTGAGCTTAAGTCCCTACATAGGGCTTGAACCCACAACTTTCTCTGCCCCAGAGACAAGAGTGCTACCAGCTGAGACAAGTTAACAACTGATAATTGCATTTAATCAGATACTGAAATACGTATCTAATATGGAGAATAATTTACAATACTTCTTAACAGGATTCCCTATTGGGGAATCCAAGAAGCACAAATGTGGACTCCATCCTTTAACCAGAAGTACATTGCATCAATCTACAGGAACTCTCCCCAATGCAAAGTAGTTCTTTTAACTTTTTATAACGTTTAACAGGATTCCTTATTTATGGAATTCTGTTAAGAAACAACACAATTTAGACTCCTGTGTGTATGCAAGCATCGGGGCACAAATTAATTTGAGATGTGTATTGTATTCAGAGAATTTTTTGTCTTAACATTCAATATGGAAGGTTCTTGTATATGACATTTGCAATTAAGTACCATAGAAAGGGGATCTTGTTGATCACCATGTATATATATGTGCCTGTGATATGTGTGAATCTATGTGAGTGACTGTGATTCCTCTTTCACCTGTTCCTCTGCATTAAACATTAATGTCCAGTGCACGGATAAAAATCCCCTTCTTTTCCCCCCATGTAAGGGGAAGTAGGGAGGTCAGGAGCCTTTGCCTGTGTGGTGTAATAGTCAGATTTCTTACTAGTAGAGTAACCAGCTGTTGGGGTGATCCAGTCAATGATATATCTTGTTTATCCTGTTTTCTAATACTCACTGATCAGTTCCAGGACCATTTCCCAACATGTTTTTAGTATTTGTTTTGCATTCCCTGATATAATTTGGCAGCTGTGATTCTGAATCAGTATTTTATGAATCAAGTTAGTTTTTTAAAAAAACTGATTTTGACAAAATGGTCTTTAGGAAAAAGGCGAGGGAAGCTCAATAAAACAAGGGAAGTGGAACTTCTTTCACTAAGATATAAAGAAACCTAAAACAGTTTGTGTGTGTGTGTATGAGAGCTTATAATATTTGGCAATCCATTCGTTTTCATCAAAAAGTCCCCTTAAACAGCCCCAATAGTATAAAACTAAACTGAGCCAATCTCCTCCAGACACTGGAATCCTGTATCTCCGCAAAACTAAAAGTAACCAAAAAAAAATTTCATGTCCAAGTCTGGCGACAGAGCAGGGGGAAACCTCCCGCAGCATGATCTGCTTCTCAAAAAGGCCCTGTCCACGGGCCAGTGGCTCATGTACACTAGCAATTGTGGAAGATCTCGGTTCACAAGTACCTATTAGTGAGCTCTGTATTGGCCAGTGACCTGGAGTCGCCATCAGTTTCTGTGCTGTCCCAAGACTATTGCAGGATAAGTCACGATAATAACTTAATCCACTTAACATTTTGTCAGAAAAATGTGTAAATGTAACTGCACAATATGGTATATCTCCTACTAGAACCATTAGAGCTTTGGCTCACAGAGTTAAATTGTAATTGTTCGCTCACAAAATACACAATAAATCCACTTTACAGTATATCCTGTGAAGCGCTTTGAGACATCTCAACGACGTGATAAGTCGCTATATCAAATGCAAAGATTATTATTATTAAGGACATTTCAATGATGATAACTGTAGGACATTTCTAGATCACCAAGTTTTATTAGTGAGTCAGACATGCCTGGACTGCTGCATGCTGATCTGACTAAGAATGTTGTTGGGAGAGTATTTTGGGTGCTAGATAAAACTGTTTTCCCTTCCTCTTTTCCTCCCCACAATCATATGCCATCAGCCTCATCCCTGCACACTGTTGGGAGGATGGGCAACAAAATAGATTTTTTTTTACGTGTTGCACAACTAATTAATTTTACTGGCATTTCATGGCAAGTAAACATTTGATGCCCATAATTATTTTACGCAAACAAATTCCTGTATGATTTTGATGTATGAAAATGAAAGTTGGAGTGTTCCTTTTGATACAGTGATTTAATGCTGAATTGACTTCTATATCTGAAATTATTAATAGTTTGAATAAAATACAGCAGATCAACTTCTAAACAGTATTTGTTTTCAATTAAGAGTAAATTGGTAAGTGGAGAACTACGACACGTGTCCGAGACCATAGTCTACCATTAGGGAGGTTTGTTGTTGTAACAAATAGAATAATAGCTGGAGTTGGTCAAGAGACTGTTGAGTTTGTTTATCTTTAAATAAACACAAGAACATATCAATGGAATGACAACCAACTGGAAGTCTAATCTGAACGAAAAATATGTTAATTCAATTTGGGAGAAAAACAGCATCCTGAAAATGGATTTATAGTTCCATTACGTTAGATGTTTTTTGGTCAGCCGGGAGTTTGCAGACACACGAGTCTCCAGTTCCAGCTACTGAGAAACGTACAGAAGTCGAGAGCAAGTAATCTCTCCCTGCCTGTCCAGACTTGCCTAAACTACAGCTGTATATTGGCAGAAGCCAAGAAATCAGAACCCACAGCACACTTGGGGCTACTGCTTGAACTGAACCGACTAACTGATATCAGTATAAGGTACCTGGTAAGTAAGATTCTCATTGCTTGTCCAAAGAGGTTATGAAGAGACAAGTGGAAATAATCTAATCCTCCAGAAATTGCCTACCCCTCATTGCTGATGATGTCATTTTGGCTCAGTTAGTTGCACTCTCATTTCTGGTTTAGAAGATTGTGGGTAATTATGTGTGTAAATAGTCTAGATTGATATGCCAGTTTGGTACTGTACTGGAGCAGCATTGTATCATCAGAGATGCCATGCCGCCCTTCAAATGAGTCTTTGAAACCAAGATCCCAAATTCTATTTTCAGATGAATCTTAAAGATCCCATGATATGATGGAAAAGAGGAGAATTTGTTTTCTTTCCTGTTGTCCTGGCCAACAATCCTCCAGATATATTGATCATTCACCTCATGACTGTTTGTGGAACCTTGACAAGTGCATATGTTTGCCATCAGAAAGAGTCACATATGACAGTAATTACTTGTGAGGTGAATTCTGGTGTAAGAAGGTACTTGAAAATGCAAGTCTCTCCTTCTTCATGCACCACTTATGAGCCAGGAAAGCTGGTCCGTCGTGCCAGACTCAGATATTGAATTGTGAGTCCCCGAGAGTGAGTGGACAGATCTGCTCTCCCTTAGCCAAGAATGATCCCATGTCACCAGGGTGAGCAATTTTGCCTTTTTTCCCCTCTCCCATCCTCTTCAGACCACAGACAGGACTTTGTAACTGAAGTGTCACACACACTGTAACCAAAGCCTTTTGGTGGTGTGCTGAGATTGGCAGAGCGCTGCATGTGTGCTTAGTCCAGATTTAGTCCAGATGAGAGCGATAGAGCAGGAGCAGAAAATATAAATCCTGCTCCCTTTACTTCTCACTCCACTGCTGGAAGTGAGGTCATGTCCATTATAAACAGGGCATTAAACAGATCGAGAAATAGTTTATCCAATCTAAATAACCAATGATTACTTTTGTGAAGATGGAAATCTTTTTTCAAGCAGGACATCCAAAATGTTGATAGTACATATTCTACGTTTGTCTCTCTTGTTGTTTTAGGACTACTTGGTCCAGCAAAACGAGATGCCTGGCTTCAGTTAAGGGCTGAGATCGAAGCCTTGACAGACTCCTGGCTGTCAAATGCACTTAAATCACTGTCAATCATCAGCTCAAGGTACAAAATATACAGAATATATAGCTCACGGTACAATGTATTATGCTGTCCATGCAGACAGGTACACATTGGAAATGTCAAACTGTTCACCTTGATGCAAGTGAAGTTTATTGAAGTTTCTGTAATGTCATTCATCCAGAACCAAATGCTGCCATTAGAAGACATTATCAAGAGGCAAATGGGAAGAATTCCTGCTCCCAGTGTCTGAGCCAGGCTGGTGGGTGTGTTGTCAGCAGTGCCCTGGAGTACTGCATAGCCGCCTGGCTCAGGAACTGGACTACCAAGACTGTCACAGAGGTCTAGCTCGATTCTGACGTTCTGTCCTGATCAGATTCATCCTGCACCACCACCCCATGCAGAGGTTGGCCGTTCTGTGCCAATTTGCCTCTGGAGAGTATGGTTAAATTACAAACATGCAAAGAATTCTTAAATTCCTACTAGTTTTGTTTTGGACAAATGTCATCCCTTCAGGTGCTTATATTTGTGAGAGTCTTGATGTGCAAGAAAATAGAACCTATTTGTTCCAGTGTTTTGGTGCCCACTATAAACATGGAACTCACCAATCGGCACAGATTACATTAAATAACAACTTGCATTTATATAGCGCCCTTCACTTGGGGTAGCAGAGCAACTCGAGCGCTTAACTGTGGTGGATCCTGAAGCCGAGCTGGGGAGAGGGGGAAGATGTCTGAAGCGTGGTCAAAGAGGAAGGTCTTCAAGCATGATCTGAACCAAAATCTGAACCACAACTGCCCAAACTCACTGCACTTAACAACCCTACAATAGTCAGTAGAACAAGAACTTTGGACTCATTTAAAAACAGCTAGATCCTGTGATGGGAGGATGGGAGGGTGGGGAATGAGATCAAATGGGCTGAAAGATATGCTTCATCTGACTAATCTTGTGATCTTATGAAGATGTTATTTAAGCGTTCCGGGATGCTACCCCACATGTAAGGCACTATATCAATATAAGTTGTTGTTGTTGAAGTCTTTAACATTAAATATTGGCAAGGTGACTTGGGAAAATGAATCGCTAAGATGATTGGAAGTGAATTTAGAAAAATATTTCAAAACTGATATGCTTAAATGCCTTCCATTCTTTATTTATGAAATAATGGTCAAATTTTGAAATGTTCCCCTCCCACTACTCATTATTGGATAGTGCCCAAACCTGGCTGAAAGCCCTGGGTGCCACCATCCTGGATTCATGCGTAATGGGATCATTTTTGAGCATTAACACAATTATTCCAAGTTTATTCAAAGGATAAGTAACTAACTTGAGCAGAGTTAGGGCAGTATCCACTGAATAAACCCTGGGTGGTTGTCTTGGTAGTCCGGTTCCTGAGCCAAGTGGGTCCGCAGTATTCAAGGTCACTGCTGATGGCAGCACAGCCAACCTGGCTCATCGGCAGGACCTGGAAGGGCAGACCAGTCACTGGGGGTAGGGAGAGTGCGTGCAGTCCAATCTATCTCTGTGTAGGTGGGATGCATGGAATTCTCAGCTTGGTTTGGATACTCTTAAGCACGGTGATGGGTTTTTCCATGTGTCAAGACACCCGGCTGACCAAAAGAAAGGGGCACACTTCCTGTGCTCGCAGACTTCAGAGGAGTCCTGTTGAAATGTTTGGACGTTGAGTTAATTGATGCAGCATTAACTATGTGACGCGTCTGTTTATTCCTTTTATCTAATCCTTTGTGGGGGAAAATTCTCTGTTGTCTGACTTGTGAGTTATCAATCGTGTAGTCAGTGCTTTATGGTACAATGGAATTTAAAGACTAATCCAAGAATTAAAACGATCTTCCTCATGCTCCACTGAAATAGATATGACAAAATGGTGCAAGTTATTTTAGCAGAGTTATTCTTAATCTTCCATTCCATATTGCTTGGTTTTGATTCTCTGTTCGAGTTTCTTGGTTGTTTGGAAGAATTTAAAGATAAATTGGCTAAATAACTTGGTGTTACTTTAGGAAATATCCCAAACTTTATTTTGGATTCATGTAAAAATATATATATTCAATTAAGCCAAAAAAAATCAATAGTTTTCAGCATGTTGGTGACAATTTCCACCAGGTTTAGATTTACTCTATTTATGTAGCATTTCAGAGTGTCCAGCATCTGGCAAGTTATTGAATTCAGTCTTAACTTTGAAGACAGTTTTCTATTGCTCTTAAAATAACATAAACTTGTATTTAAGAATCTGTTGAAAATTTGCCAAATTTTGGACACCAAGACATTTCAAAAGCGGAGTAAATCTAAATTCGGGTGGAATTTCTACCTTGTGTTACATGGAAATGGACTAATCTTTTTTTTGTTTCCTCCTAGAAGTAACTGTGTTAATGTCTTGGTAACTACAACACAACTTGTACCAGCACTTGCCAAAGTCCTGCTGTATAGCTTAGGTGGCGCTTTCCCTATTGAAAATATTTACAGTGCAACCAAAATAGGTAAGGATCCAGCACCACATCATAGCCATTATCATAATGTTGAAATAATATTATTTGCAATTTAGGAAGTCAAACAAGATTGTTTTAGTGACTTATACGGAAATGTCTCAAAATGCTTTGTAAATAATTCCTGTCGAGGGTTGTGACTGTAGATAAATGAGACTACAACTTGTACCAGCTATTCGCCCACAAATAGTCTTGAAGTGAATGACCAATTAATTTGTTTCACCAGGACACTGGGAGAAACGCATGTCTATTTGAACAGTGTTATGGGATTTTTAACGTCCTTAACAGGCAGAGAAGCCATGTTTGAGATCTCATTTGAAAAAGGCACCTCTGACTAAACAGGATTACCCCAACACTGTACTGAAGTGTCAGCCTCCATGGTGAGCTCAAACTCCATGGGGTTTGAACACACAACCCAGAGGCGAGAGTGCTACAAACTGAAAGATTAGTTGAGCTGATTTCTCCAAGACTGATTTTGTGGAGTCCTGTAGCTCAGTGGTTAGAGCACTCGCTTTGCAAGTGAGAGACCTGAGTTCAATTCCAGGCAGGGCGAAACCTTGGGCAAGTTTCCTTACTCCACACGTCTAATAATAATCCCTCCAAAACCAAAAACAATAATAAATTGGTCATTTTCAATCTACGACCTTTTGTGGGACACTGCTGTGCGCAATTGGCTGCCATGTTCACCCACAAATATACAGTCAATACACTTTACAGTGTGTTCTGTGAAGCGCTTTGGGACGTCCTCCCGACGTGAAAAGCGCTATATCAAATGCAAGGATTATTATTATTATTATTTTAAGGGAAGAATCTAGTAAAATATTTCAATTATTATTGGAAGGCTGAGCCATGCATTGTTTTTCAGGCAAAGAAAGCTGTTTTCAGCGTATAATGTCCAAATTTGGCACTAAAGTTACTTATGTTGGCATTGGAGATGCCCGAGATGAAGAGTGTGCTGCTAATCAGGTAAATTCATCCTGAACTCTTCCTCATTTATCTTCCAGGCAAAGAAAGTTGCTTTGAACGAATTATGCAAAGGTTTGGCAGAAAAGTAGTGTATGTTGTTATTGGGGATGGTGTAGAAGAAGAACAGGCAGCAAAAAAGGTAACCAGTCTGCTAAATATCGTTGGTGTGACATTTAGATATATTACCGTGGGCTTTGCTTTCTTTGAATTCATTCAATCTTTAAAAAGTTTTATTTGTTTTAAAATAAACTTTTTTCTGCAGTTCTGCATTAGTATGTAGAGCATGATGAGATAGTATTCTGGACATGCTGCTTTGTACATTGGAATTAATAGCATTAACCCGATTAGATACTTGTTTTTGTCTTCATTATAAGGTGGTGGGTAATTTGTGTTTGCTTGCTTGATATTTCACAAAATGGTGTGTGTAGTGTAATAGTACAGATTGAGTGGACCAAAGCAACAATGTGCATGTTTTATTGCGATCAATATACATTTCCTCAACATCGCCTTGTTAGAAAACATATTATAAGCACTGACGTGAACCATCTATAATTCATCTTTTATATTTTAATGTTTATGTAAATAAAGTCACTGAAATGACTTGCATATGGTAAAGTGGAACATTAATCAATGCTTACATTTAACATTAGGTTTTGTCATCTGATAGAAGAGATATTAAGATATGAGAATAGTTTAGGATATTAGAATAAAAGTTCTGCTCTACAAGTAGATTAAAGTGATTGGTAATTTCAAGATTAATTGGTGGGAAACGTGCAGAAGCCAGGAATCAGTGATAATAATTATCACATCAGGCAAAGAATGGAGCCAGTTTAGATTTCTATCTCAACATGAAAATACAATAGAATCTAGAGATTACAAAGTGATAGTCCTCTTCCCTTCATTGTAGCGACACTGACAAAGAAGATCACATTTATAACCACAAAAGTCACTACACTTTGCGATAAACTGCTTTGGATACAATTTACCCCCATAGTTTAATTATAACTATCACTGACTCATGTAATATGATATGTATGTGCATGGCAGTGGTGAGATTGCAGGAAATGGGGAGAAAAGTAAAATCTTTCATTCTTAAAATATTCAGAAAGAAGTCATGGAATTGGGACATATAAACTGAGCAATTCTACATCTGAAAGGGTATCAGCAATTTAAACTTATATAACATTGTAAGACAAATCCTTGCATTTGATATAGCGCCTTTCACATTGGGAAGATGTCTCAAAAGTGCTTTGCAGGATATACTTTTAAGTGTATTTTGGTGAGTGAACTTGGCAGCCAATTTGCACACAGAAATGAAATGAGTGACCAGTTTTATTTGGGGGATTGTTTGCCCGGATATAGAGAGAAATTCCCTTCTCTTTTCAAATAATGCCAAGGGATCTTTAACATTCACTTGAACAGGCAAACGGGACCTCTGTTTAATGTGTCATCTGAAGATCAGCACCCCTACAATCCAGTGCTTCCCCCAGGACTATACTGAAGTGTCAGCCTAGATTGTGAATTCGAGGGCCGATATTCTGCCCCAGGAACGAAAGTACTACCGACTGAGCCAGGCTAATACCTAGGAATTGTGGAATGAATGTCTCAAAGTGTTTAACATTTGCACGATAGGGAGAAGGGAGCATTTGGGATGTTGACCTAAAAGCATGGTCGAAGAGATTAAGCATTGCTAGAACCAATGTGTGACTGAATGTTAAAATCCAACCTTATCGGGTTAGGGGAGGTAGCGCTTACTTTCTGAGACTAGTTTATATAGAACAGACCACTCTTGGCACCTGCCAGTTGATGATGTCCCCTCCGTGAAATATGGAAAATACTGTGCCAAGTTATTTCCTGCACCTATGGTATGAATTGCATTGCAAGTTTAAAAATAGGATGGAACGTTTATTAAAAGTACGGCACTCCTGCTGTCAAAACCATTCAAACAGTGATAGGTCAGTTGTAATGCACCGTGAGCGGAGAAAGAGAACTGTGGTGTAATCGCTTTATATATCTCTTAAAGTTAAACTGCAGCTCTCGCTGCCTATTGCCTCCACTGAAGAGCTTGTCTTTAAAAGGGCAGATTGGTTGATGATGTTGGTAGTATACCAATAATAATAATCCTTGCATTTGATATAACGCTTTTCACATCTTCAAGATGTCTCAAAGCGCTTCCCATAATAGACTGTAAAGTGAATTGACCTTATATTGTTTGGCCAAAACGCAGCAGCAAATTGCGCACAGCAGTGTCCCACAAACAGTCGCTGATTGAGTGCCCGAATTTTTTTTTTTTCTTGAGGAATTATTATCAGGCCTGTAGAGTAATGAAACTTGCCCAAGGTTTCGCCCTGCCGGGAATCAAACCCAGGTTTCTCGCTTGCGAGGCGAGTGCTCTAACCACTGAGCTACAGGACTCCACAGTTGGGGTAGTTTAACCAACCAACTGGGGCTATTGCCCCATCAATCTGAAGAGTTGAGAAAGGCACATTAATCTCGTTCCCCTGGTACCCAGTAGCAGCCACTGAGTTTAGTTTCTTAGCATAGCATGCAATGGAAAAACAGGACTAGCCCAAATTTTGCACATAACAGAGAATTTCAGGCGAGTAGAAATATTCCAGTATTCAATCACTTTGGCTATTTAGCAGCATATGTGGCACCAGCACAGTTGCATAATTGTACCTTTTGCAGGCAAGGTTGAGGTCTCCTCCTCACAAGTGAATATAGTGCAAGCAGCTGTGTGTTGCTCAGGTACAGTATTATGTATGCTAATGTTTCAATGTACACAAACCGAGATTTTTGACCACTGGCTGAGAATTTAGTTCTCATGTAACATTGGGCTGCTGTTCACACTGCAGCACAGTCTTGTTTTAGTCAATGCAGTCTTGTTTTGTGAATGAAATTGTACTCGTCTTCAGATTAAACTACAAAATAGGGGCAGATTACCAGGCAAACAGATGGAATTGAAGGTCAGTCTGTGCATCAATATTTTGTCCATCCGCCCTCCCCCACCTCCACCCATAGCGTCACTGCGCAGAATTGAGACCTCGGTTCCTATAGGTGGGACAGTTTCTGAGCAGGGGAGATCTGTAAAGCACAAGCCACAGGGAGGATTGATGGCCTGTCTGTTGCCATCATCAATTATTGTACAAATATGCTACTGAAATTTTCATTTTCCCCCTTCCCCTTCTTATTGTATACTACATAACGGGTCATTTATAGATCAAAACAAAACTGTTCCATTTTCCCCTGGATAGGGTGAGTACCCCGGCTTGGTTCCCCTATTTCTCTGACTTTAGGAGGTGGCTTGAGTCCTGAGTTAACATACAGTCTCCCTCCCGAACCAGAAAATCTCCATGTCTCAGCTCTGCACTCCTCAGATCCTTTCCTAAATTTGATGGTAAAGTCCCACCTTCCCAACGTGTGCTGTGAAGCCTCTGTGGTCAGGACTGAAAATAACATTAATATACTTTGGAATGTTCAATCGGCAGACCGAAAACATGAGTTGAATATTAATTTTCCACTTACCGGACTCTCTAGTCAATACCATGACTCCTCTGGGAGTCCTGTTTGCAGACGCTTCTGAGATCCACGTCGTACGCAGCTCAGGTCTGCTTTCTGACAGCAGCAAACCATTCTCATAACTTTTTTTAAAAATATGTTTTTTTAAAACGCTTTCCTCCCCCACCAAGTAGGTTCCACATAAAAGTAAATCCATTCTTTATCCGAAACTCCTCCCCTGAGATCAAATCAGATGCAGTTTTGCTTTGTGGTTACAGGCGTAAGATGAAATAAAATTAATGATCCATAGGAGACTAAATAATGCATTCTTTCCTGCATTAAAGACGTGTTATTAATAGCCCAGGGTTTTCATTTCATTGAGCTGTCTCAGCTCTGACAGATACAGGACTGCAGTAAGTAAACTGGGAATATAAATCTGAAGGAGTTGAGGCACTTCCGAAAGATTAGGGTTAAAACATGTCGACTTTTATTTGCTGATTTGCTATTTTTGTTCTTTGCACAAGTGGTTATTTGTTACTGGTGAGGAACAAAAATACCAGCTAGATTCAGAACATTTTATAGGGTAGAATAAAGACATTTCATCCATTGTGTCTATGCCGGCTCCTGGTAAAGAACTATTTAGGTATTCCTCTCCAATTTCCTCCAAATCTCTTTAGATTTTTTCTCTTTCAAACATTCTTAAATGCTATTTAAGCACATTTTTTTGTAAGACAATCCTATATCCCAATAACCATGTGTGAAAATATTTCTGGTTATCTCACTCTTCATTTTTGCTTGTAATGACTATAGTTTAACATGCTCCTGAGTTCATCTGTTTCTACACATTCCTCACCTGTGATAAAGCAGTTTTCTAAATTTAGGTACTTTGGTTATGTGGCTGTGCAGCACTTAATGTTGAAAATAAATGTAAAAGGAGTGGAATTTTAAAAAATCCTTACATTTGATCTGTCGCCTTTCACATCAGGAGGAAGTATCAGAGTACTGCACAAAATTTTACTCTAAAGGGTGGTGATGTTTTATGTGCAGGCAAATGCAGCAGCCAATTTGTGCAAAGTAATGTCCACCAAACAGCCTTTAATAAAATGCAACAGAAAATACTGCAGATGCTGGACATCTGAAACAAAAACAGAAGTCGCTGGGAACACTCAGCAGGTCAGGCAGCATTTATGGAGTAAGGAAAGTGAGTCAATGTTTCAGGTCCACAGCCCTTCATCAGAAATGACTGAGCCTGGCTGGAGTATCACTGTACAGGGAATTGCACTGTACAGAATCTAGAAACCTCCTCACAGACAGGGAAGAGACTCTGACCCTGAGCTACTTTCTCACAGTACAGTTTCTGGTTTTAGCACTAAGATCCTTGAGACTAGGTCAAACTTTCTTAAGTTGGAAATGAGACATGGAACTGGAGATCTTTTAGATTGATCAGGTCTAAAAAGAGGGGAAGTATTTTGCTAAATTGAGAACAAATCAAACTTTTTTTAAGATTGCATGTTGAGATCTGAGATGAAGAGTGTATGTCTTTGGGAGGAACGTCAGATTATCCCAGTCTGATTTTATGACTAGTTGCCATAAATCTACATCTTAAAAATAAATATCATTGTTCTACCTTTTAAAAATAAATAAATCATGAAAGTTTCAATTCTCATACTGCCTGGCATGACCTAAAGGTTAGCATTTGTAGCTATAAAAGCCATGAACAAAAAACTACTACATAGTGGTATAGAGGATCTGGGAACCTGTACAAATTAATGGCCAAGAGTGTTGTATTTATTTTTGGGCATCTCACTTTTGGGAGGATGTGATGGCCAATGAGAGGGCCAAAGGCCACTGATACCAGGGCTTAAAGGGTTAAATTATGAGGACAGGTTGCATAAATTTTGTCTGTATTCCTTTGAGTTTAGAAGGTTGAGGGGTGATATAATTGAGGTTTTTAAAATAATAAAGGTATTTGAAAGGGTAAATAGAGAGAAACTATTTCCTCGGGTGGGGAATCCAGAACAAGGGGGCATGATCTTAAAATTAGAGCTAGGCTATTCAGGAATGAAATCAGGAGGCAATTTTTCACACAAAGGGTAGTGGAAATCTGGAACGATCTCCCCCAAAAGGCTGTGGATGGTGGATCCATTCATACTTTCAAGACAGAGGTGGATAGATATTTGTTAGGTCATCAAGGGTATCAAGGGATATGGGGCAAGAGTGCATAATTGAAGTTGAGATATGTGATCTTATTGAATGGGCACAGAAGAGATTCACTAGGGTGACACCTGGGATGATGGGCTTTATTTATGAGAAAAGACAATCAAAACTGGGCTTGTTTGGTTTGAAGAAAGAAGGTTGAGAGAAGACCTGATAAAGTTCAAAATCATTGAGAGAGGGGGTTAAGATACATAGGAAGAAACTATTTTTATTGGTTGGCAAGTCAGTAACCAGAGGCATATTTTTTTAAAAAAATAGAGTTCAATTTTCTCCTCATTGGCACATGGCGCTGCCCCGGTCTGGCCTCCTCTTGCACGTCCACTTGTTCTCCATTACTCTGTCCGAGTGGCAATTCACGTGTGAGCCTTAGCAATGAATTTCACTCGACAGTAGAGGGCATCACATCTCAGCCTGATTCAGGAGCTGCACATGTATTACCAGTAGAGGGCGCAAAGAGGAACCCTGGTTGGTTTACCTTTGCTAACCCTGAGGGGCGAGGGTCAATTTAGCACCAATGTAGCATCCCAGACCAGCAAACTCAGCAAGGATTAGGATTTGAACCAGGAACCTCCTGTTGTATAGGCTGCAGCTCCATCCACTACACTATTGGGGCTGTCTTTCAAGGCCAGATTTTAAAGATCATAGTAAAAAGGACAGGTGTAGAGAATTTTCTTTTACAAAGAATTTGGTAAAATTCATTCTTTTACAAACACGCCTGTTTACCTAGCAGTAAGCAGGCTGTTAGTCAATTGACGGATCGCTTTTCCGGGGTAATAATTCCTTCAAAAATAATAATAATAAATTGGTCACTTCAATCCATGACTGTTTGTGGGATACTGCTGTGTGCAATCGGCTGCTGCGCTTCGCCCCAAAAATATATAGTCAATTCACTTTACAGTGTTTTCTGGGAAGCACTTTGAGACGTATCAAAGACTTGATAAGGTGCTATATCAAATGCAAGGATTATTATTATTAACCGACACCTGACTTTCAGCGCTTTGGGATGTCCTCCCAACGTGAAAGGCACTCTATAAATGTAATTTTGTTATTCTTGTTGTTGTATTAGTTCATGGACAGAAAGAGTGGTGGAAGCAGAATATATCATTAGTTTTTTTTAAAGAAAAGCAAATTCGAAAAATATTTGGAAAGGAAAAATATAATAAGTATGGGTCAAGAGTAGGGGAGTGGAACTTAAACACACTATTCTAAATAAACTAAACCTCTGCCTTTATTTTGGTGGTTATTGTAAATCTGTGCTTTCTCACTCACTCACCAGTGTAATAGTTTCTTTGCACTTATTTTGCCAAAACCTTCTTAATTTTAATCACCACTATCAGGTCTCTCGCAACCATCCCTGTTAAAACAATAACTGTCTGTTCCAGTGAAAAGAATCCCATTTTTTTCTCGTCCTCCCTGGTGTCATCAAAATTAATTTCTTCTGTACCTTCTCCATTGCCGTGACATTCTGCCTAAAGTGGGTCAGTGTTCATAGTAATAATCATAATCCTTACATCTGAAGCAACTCCTTTCATGTTAGGGGAACGTCTGAAAGTGCTTTACAGGGTTTACTGCAATCACTGTTTACTCTTCCTATTTTCAGGTCTCGGAGACCTTTCTTTTCGACCGTGCCTTTGGTCACCTTCCTTCCTCCCCCTCCTCTGGCTCGGTCCCGGGATCTGTTACTGTGAAGCGCTCTGAGACGCCGTCCGGCGTGGAGGGCACTATATAAATCCAAGTTGTTGTTGTTGTTGCAATATGCAGTGACTAGGTGAATGCATCAGTGATTTGGACAGAGCAGTGGTCTACAAATAGCCATGAAGTGAATGACAATTGTAACTGGGGGATTGTTGGCTAGGATACCGAGAGAAACACCATTCACTTTTTGAATAGTAAAATGGGATATTTAATGTCCATCCGAACAGCCAGATAATAATAATAATAATAATCCTTGCATTTGATATAGCGCTTTTCACGTCGGGAGGACGTCCCAAAGCGCTTCACAGAACACACTGTAAAGTGAATTGACTGTATATTTGTGGGCGAACGCGGCAGCCAATTGTGCACAGCAATGTCCCACAAACAGTCGTAGATTGAAAATGACCAATTTATTATTGTTTTGTTTTTTGGAGGGATTATTATTAGGCGTGTGGAGTAAGGAAACTTGCCCAAGGTTTCGCCCTGCCTGGAATTGAACTCAGGTCTCTCACTTGCAAAGCGAGTGCTGTAACCACTGAGCTACAGGACTCCATGAAACCTCAGTTTAACATCTCATCTGAAGGAATAGCATCTCCAGCAATGTAGTGCTGCCCCCATCACTGTACTGGAGTGTCAGCCTGAATGATGTGAGTTCAAAGCCCTGCTTGAACCCACCACCTTCTGACTAAGAGCTGAGAGTGTTGCCACTAAGGCCAAGGTAGTGGGAGTAAATGTGGAGAGCCAGCATGGACATGGTGGACAAGTGCCCTCCTGTGCTGTAGAATTCTATGATTTTTTATGCAGTAAGGAGTTGCACCACATATACCCTGAGGGAGGAGCTTGCTTGCTTGCATTCCACACTGCTAAACACATCCCCATTTGGTTTTCATTACCGCCCGTCGGTCCACATCTCCCTCAAGTGCGACTGACAAAATAAGCCACCACAGCTGGGACGCTGGCAATTCTATCCCGTTTGTAAACTTTCTTCTTTCCTTCCCATTAAGTCAGGAGGGAATTTATAAACGTTTGGTTCTTTTCCTCCCATAAAGTCAGTCGGGAGTCAGGAACATATGCTGTGTATTTAAGTGAAGTATCTGAGTTTTTATAATTATGTGTGGGAAATACTTCAGCATCATTTATGACTTTTCTAAAAAATTTTTTAGAATGTCAGTCTAACTGGCTAGAACCAAGTTGTGGAGCGATGTAGTTGTGTCTGAAAGTCTGGAGCACACAATGGAAGTGAAGGGAGTGATGAAAGAACATCTGCAGTAGTTGCTGTTCATAGTATTGTGCGTGCACACTGCTGATTCTGGTAGCCCGCGATGTTTAATGACACATCTACACTCAGCACCAAAACAGTAACTGTTGCAGCTGGAATACAGTTCCATGCTCTCTCCAGTAACTTTCCCAAGTGTCCATTGTTCACATGTCAACCCAGACAGTTAGTACCAGTGTCACTTTGGAGGTGGGGGGGAGAAGAGACATTACACTCAGCCACACCCAGTAAGGGACAGGGGTCACTGAATGCAGATCAGGAGTCACTTCTTGCTCGTCGGTTGTCTCTAACTCTTTAAAGTAAAAGACCGCCTTCTGGGTCAACAGGTTGCTGCTGACGTTGTATCCTGTGTGGCGTACATGCACAATGCAGGAAATTACCTCAATAATGACCCAGATGTTGTCCATCTTTAGTGTACTGGAAGCCAAAATGCCTGACTTTTGGGCCATCAGTTAGCTACTGATCTCACTTCCTGTGTGCCACACATGCACATCACACAGAGAGTGGCGGCAGTAACCTGGTCATTTTTAGTGCAGGAGCTAGCCAGCACCAGGCATGTGTATTGAATGGGGGCCAAACACCATTCGCATATAAATGGGTCACGGCTCTAGCAAAGCGCATTATATTAAGGTTCCGTGGTGTTTGTATCCCTTCCACTAAACCTTCTTAGATCGGGGATCAAACCTGAGATGTTGACCATCTGTATGTTTCAGGTTACAACTCGGTCATTGTGGGTAAAATTCTTCTATTTTTATATCAGACGTTCCAAAGAACTATGGTCAGTCGTGTAAAAACCAAAAAAGCACAATATCAGCCATTTCTATAGCAGGGATTTACTATGCTGCACCATTCACAGCTTAAAGTTCTGCGAACGCTCATCTAAAATGGCCACAAGTAGTCAATGCTCCAATTAATCCTCAGCAAATGATTCTTCTGTTGTGCTTTAATGTAATAAATACATTGTGCTGATCTCAGACACTGAGGATAGATATTCCTGAATATTCCTGATTACTGAGCCACACAAAAAATCTTGATAGATTTTCGATATAATCTAAACCTAATCATTTTACTATAGTCAGTTGTTCTGATGATATAATTTGACACATTTCATCCATACAGGTGAGATATTACTCAAATATATTGACAGACATGCAATGAATGAATGGCAAAAAGCCCTTGCTGTCTGCACACACCCATCACAAGAATGACATGATCCTGAGATTTGACATAAAGTGATTTAGCTGAAATGCAGAACTCTCAAAGTTTAATAGCTATAGTAACTGATATGCAGTGTAGACAACTCTCAAAGTAGTTTTCATTGTATAAAATGTGCTTGAAAAGTTAGGAATTTAAAATCCTACTTGCATTTGTCGCATGGGTAATTCAGTAATTGATGTTATTTTATGTTTTATTGTTCCAGCACAATATGCCTTTCTGGAGGATATCAAGCCACTCGGACCTGTTGGCTTTGAATCAAGCACTGGAACTGGAGTACTTGTAGCTGCGTTGAAAAGCACAGCCAGAGATCCAAAACCAACATCTGGATAGCAACGTTTAGGAATACATGAGTTTTTCTTCTGCATTCTTGCAACAGCTCTGGCTTCCACATTTGTCTTAAGAAGAAATGAAGAGAATTGATTTGTCATGTGAGGCTATTGTGAAATCAAACTGCTGAACAGTGACTGGTACATTAAACCTCTGCATAAGGAACTCTGTTGGTCTTAGGAAAATATTGTTCATTATAGATAAAGTGCAAGTTGTGTGTATTTTACAACTCTTCAAGTGATAATACAATGCCCAGGATGCTTGAACAGCTTTTACAATGAACTAGTTCTTTTATAAAATATGAAGCTGCTTCTCCGTATCCAACATGAAGTTGTTCAATGGCACTCCTTGCCTTTGGATGTTCTCGGTAATGCAGTGTTTTAGCAAACTTTAGTCTGCTTATCGAAGCTGAACCTGCATTAGAAGTGCACTGGGCTATATTGACAATCACGTCTAGACCTGCAGTTTGTGTAACTTAGTTACTGTGAGAGCTTACACTAAGTTAGCAGCTGTATTTGAAAACTTAATGCTTTTATGGGAGATAGTCACTTTTTTGTAAAGCTTGACAAGGAGAATATACATAAACGATGTGTTGTGCCTTAAAAGAAAAGACAGTGTTGGTGTGTTACAATGTAACTTTTGTTCCACAAATGTGTAGATAAATTCTTTTGTGATAATTAATTTTTGAAATGACCAAATTTGAAAGAATCAGAAGTAAAAGAACTCTGTGTTCCGCAAGCAAAGAAATGTTCCAGACTATTGGTCTAAAGAGGAAATTAAAATTGGAGAGTTTGTGTTTTTACTTGGAATTTAGTGTTTAATTGTAAATTGCAATCCTTAATGATGTTCAGGAGATTCATTTTAATTTAAACTGTGAGGTAATCTACTCTAGTCATTAAGAAACAGCTTGCCACTTTTTGATATATGCTAGTCTTTACCATTTCTGGAAAGTTTCTAAAATAATTATTGGTTTGGGCACTTATTTGATTTCATGCTAGTGTTTATTTTTGTTTCTAATCTCAAAACTACAATGTCCCAGCCTCACTGACATCAACATACTGTATAACTTTCGTTTCACCTCTTCCCCAATGTATAAAGGGATAGCAGGTACAAGGCTGAAAATAGGTTTAAGGGCTTACTTCATCTCAAGACTCCCAGTCTTCATTGGCAGCCTCACACAGCAATAACTTGACCCAAAGTGAAAAGGTAAATTCTCAGATAATCTAAATATTCTCTCCTACTCAATCAATATTGGCTGTTACAAGTGTACGACAATGCCTCCAAATTCATCCTAGTCATTTGTTCAAAGGACAGAGACCCTAAAGTAACACTGATGTTAAAGGCCTTTAAACTAAGTTCCTCACATAGCATAAATATGATTATGTATTACACAGCTTTATAGCATAATGGCAGAAGTTAAATTAAATTAAAGATTAATTTAAAATATGATGGCTTTTAATGCAAGGCTCAAATGCTTGTTGAGAAGCACATATTTGTTTTTTATATCGTAACACTGCAGTTCAACTTCAACTGCTTTGTTACTCTAAAATACTATTTACCAATTTATACAATCTGCCGTGTACCACTGAAATTATCCTATGATAGTCAGATCTTCTAAACCAGACACATAGGTTTATATGATGGTTCTCTTCTATACAATATAAAGCTTTTGAGAAGCAACAATATCTTGCTTTTTACACAGCAACCTTCCCCTCCCGCTCCAAAGAAAACATAAAAAGCAAAGGAAATTCTGCAGAAGTACAGACTTTTCTGCCAATATGCTGTAAGTAAAGGTTCTCCGCTTTAAGTGTGATTTAGTACAAGGGATGCTCAGAGGATGCACATAACATTGATACACCACTCAGATTTGTTTAACTTGGTTCCTCCAGATTCTAGCTGAGGGGCTATAGAATAATAAGTATTAGCCACACAGCAACATTTAAGTGGTAACAGTATACTGTTTATGTTTTTTTTATTTATTTTGATTGTGCTTTTTGAACATTAAAATCAACTCTTATGGAAATTTTAAACAGTCCTTGGTTTCTTTGTAATATATTTAGTGTGATTTATCTTGAATATACATGTATAGAAACGGTCTTGATACCTCTGTGTTTCAAATGAATAAAACAAACTTATTTCATTGATTAAGACAGTTTCCGTTTTTGGGATACACAACAACCTGTTTCAGGCAAGGTGTTTACTATAATTGTATTAAATTCAGTATTGTAGCCCAGTAAAGCCAATTGTTTTGCTAAACTCTTTTACTGACGACCAAGATCAAGGAGTGTAAACAACAACAACAAAGTGCATTTCTATAGCATCTTTCACATAGGGAGGACGTCCCAAGACGCTGGATAGGAAAGGGTTTGCTCCCAAGCTGGAGGTTGAATTTGTGAGGGGTGGGAGCCAAGGGGGATGGAGGTAGGAGAGATGACCCAAGGTGTACTCAAAGAGGAAGGTGTTTGGCCAGACCTTGTAGAAGATGATATGAGGGGCAAGGCCAAGGGACTTCCGGGATGAAGTTCCCGAGTGGGGGCAGATAGGCTGAAAGCCAGACCACAGCTTTCACAGTGAGTTGGGCTGGGCAAGATGTGCTAATTATCAAAACTCTTTATGAAACTGCATTTTGCACATCTTAAGTACAGATGGCTGCTAACAGAATTCATACTGTACCCAGTATAATCTACCCAGTGTGTTTACGCAGTGTGGAAAGGCTCCCTTAAGATGTCGATCAGTCCTTTTCTCATGGGGAAAATAGTCTGCTCACGATAGATATCAGCTGATGATCTTACGGTTAAGTTTCTGTGCAGGGGGAAGGGGCATAGGGAACTTAATTTTAAAAATGTTGGTAGCTTACCAGAGCATGATTTTACCAGAATTGATTGTAAGGAAGCTCAGCCTCAGTAAGGTGAACACAATTCATATCAGTTAGAGAATTCACATCATATAAAGATGTGATGTACCCACGAGGAAGAGAATAAGAGTATGGGAGGGAATAGAGAGAAGACTCGTGTGGAGTATAAACACCGGCAGGAATTTGTTCCCATGCTGTACCTTCTCTGTAAATCTATGTAAAGAATTTAAAAAAAACGTAATATAAACATTTTGTCGTAGTCAAATTTGTTGATTTTACAATGGGCTGTGTACTTACCATTAAAGTCAACTTCAGAACACTGGCTAGGATAGTGTGAGGCCCTACATTCTGCAGCCACTGTCATATTTTATCGTTTTTTTAAAGAAAAGCTCATACCCATTGCATGTTTTAATTTTATATTTATGGAAATTGGGAAAAGCTGTAGTAAAAGGCTCCAGATGGTGGCAGTGTTAGACCATTATTATGTCACTTCTCAACAGAGCCACCAACAGTTAAATCAATGTTACTGCATACTTATTTTTTAATTCTATTAATGCAGCAATGTAACAAAAGTATTCCATTTGATGATACAGCCTTTTGTGTCAGGCGGATATTTCAAAGCATTTCACAGGATATTCTATAAAGTGTAGTAATTATGTGAATGAATGCAACAACAACTTGCACTTGCGTCTCAGACACTTAAAAATGCAGCAGCCAATTTGCACGCAGTAATGTCCCAAAGGTGGCCATAAAGTAAATCAGAGTGGTCCAACTGGCGGCAGGAGCCGGCGGTTGGGAGAACGCAGCATGGAGAGTGGAAATAATAACAGCCATTACTGTAGTCTGTCAGGAAGGCAAGCGCGTCGCTTACCAACCGTGTCCTTGGCAAGCACCGGCTCCTGCCGCAGCCCATAGTGATTGCTGCACGGCTGTCTGGGGGAGAGAGGGATTGGGGTAGGTGGGGGGTGGGGAGAAGGAAGAGAGAGAGAGGAAGGAGAGTGGGGGAGAGAGGGATGGGGGGGAGCAGACGTTGGAATGTTGGAAATGGCCTTGGGCAAGATAAAATGACCGGCCGGGCAGCCAGCTGGCCTGCTCTGATGCAGCCCACGTACATTTTTCAAATACAAAATCCAGCCCACGGCAGCCAAAAATCTGGACCGACCTGAAATAAATGATTATTATTATTATTATTATAAATAACCAATTTTTGGGGGGGATTGTTAGCCAGGACATCAGTAGAAATTCCTTTCTCATTTCGAATAGTGCAAGGGATCTTTAACGTCCATCTAAAGAGGTAGATGGGACCTTGGTTTAACATCTCATCCAAAGGATGGCACATCAAACAATGCCGCAACGTCAGGCATTGACTTTGACTTTCTTGACCTCAATAGGTGCTGAATCCATCTTATTGATCCACGGTGGAACCTCGGTATCTTGTTCAAACTTCCCAACTATCTTTCAAACCGTCAAACCTTATACCCGTACAATCACCTACTGAGCTTTTATTCACTTCTGCTTCATTACCCATCTCTGCCATTCTCTTCTCCCATACTACTCCGATTCCCATCCACAACTTCATTACCACCAGGTACGATTATTCCAGCTTCTTGCTCAACCACATTCCGCAGGTCCTCCCTTCACAGGCTGCAGCTCAAGTCGTTTCCCACACCGAGCTCTGCGAGCCACCACCCCCATCCTTGCTCACTTCCGTTTCTCCTGGTTGTCAGCCTCCCCAACTCCTCCCTCAATAGGCTGCATATCACCCAGAATTCTCCAGCCCGTGTCCTCTCCAACACCAAGTTCCGCCACCTATCACCTCCATCCTTGCCCAGCTCCACTGGCTCCCCATCACTGAGACGATACAGTTCAAGATCCTGTCCTCACCTTCAAAGCCCTTCATAGCCTTGCTCCTCCCTATCGCTGTGGCCTCCTAACCCCCTATCAAACTGTCTGCTCCCTCCGCTCAGCAGGCTCCAGCCTGCTTCATGTCCACCACCTTGTCCGCCCCACCATCGTCAGGCATGTCTTCAGTCTCTCTGCCCCCACTCTCTGGAACTCCATCCCCCAGTCCCTCTGCTTTGCCCCTTCCCTTGCCTCTTTCAAGACCTATCTCAAGGCCCTCCTCTTCGACCATGTCTCCCTCCTACCCTCCCCACTATCCACCCGTGTTGATCCCTGTCTTTCCAGCTCCTTGGGGCGTCCTCCAGATGTGAAAGGCGCTATATAAATGTTCCCCCCACCCGCCCGATCAAATTCAAGAGTCTCATCCTCTTTCAAATGCCTCCACTACTTACCCCACTGTATCTCTGCAACCTCCGCTGATCCTACTACCCAGATTCCCCCTCCGCTAACTAAACACAAGCCTACTTAACATTCCTTCCCTGCTGCAGGCATATTTAGTGGGTTAGCTTTCAGCCATACTGCTTTGCTCTGTGGAACTCCCTCCCATATTTCCTTTGCAGTGAATACTTAAAATATTTTGATTTAACCACTTCATCTTCATTGCCATGTCTGTGCTAGAATTCTAAGTTCCTTTCTGAATTCTTGTTTACCATTATACACAAAGAACATTTTAGGATTATACTTACACACCCTTTAATAATAATAATTCTTGCATTTGATATAGCGCTTTCCTCGTCTTCTAGACATCTCAAAGTGCTTCACAGAATATGTTGTAAAGTGAATTGACTGTATATTTGTACTGCTCAGCTGTGCCTCATTCAATTGACTTAGGATTTAAAAAATGCTCCTGATCCAAACTGTGTGCAATTACAGGAATCCAGCCTTGAAGCTCTTGCAGTTAAAATTGTATGCTGATTCATCACTCAGTTCAATTAAGACAGGTGCTATGTTTTTTTCCACAGGAATATTCCCATTAAGGATGTAATGGCCGTATAATGTGTAAGTTTGAGACAGCATTCTAGATAAAACTTGCAATACAAAGTTCCCTGCTAAGATACTTTTGCCTTTGTCACCTCTTTTCTGGACTATTCTCTCCTCGCCAGTCTCCCATCCATAAAATCCAAATCATTCGAAACTCTGCCGCCTGCATTCTCACCCGCACGAACCTCCGCTCCCCGATCATCCCAGTCCTTGCCAGACTGCACTGGCTGCCGGTCCCAGAGAGGATCGATTTCAAGATCCTCACTCTTGTATTTAAGTCCCGCTCCTCTGCACCCTCCCACCCCACCTCTCTGACCTCTCTCCTCAAAACAGTACCCATTGCCTTTGTTCCTCCAGGTCTGGTCTCCTCCTTGTCCCCTGAGTCCTCCGCTCAACCCTCGGCGGTCGTGCCTTCGGCCTCTATGCCCCGAGGCTCTGGAGCAGCCTTCCTCATTCACCTCGCTCCCTCCCATCCTATTTTCAGGTCTCTGCTGAAGACCTTTCTTTTCGACCATGCCTTTGGTCACCTTCCTCCCCCTCCCACTGGCTCGGCCCCGGGATCCGTTACTGTGAAGCGCTCTGAGACGCCGTCCGGCATGAAGGGCGCTATATAAATCCAACTTGTTGTTATCGCGGGGCTGAAGCATTTTACCTTTGGTATAGAACTTGCCACTTTCATTATAAGGATTAGTAAAATGTTACTGGCAAGGTACTTTTATCATTTTATTTTACTTTTGATCATGCTTATCTCGCTGCTTCCCCCCCTGCCCTCCACCTTCCCCCACCCCGACCCTCAGCTCGGCTCTGTAACTCTGTCTGTCCAGCGCCTTGGGACGTCCTCCCGCCGTGAAAAGCGCTGTACAAATGTAATTTTGTTGTTGTTTTAACAGCACTTTATAAAAATTGGAATGCCCAAGTGGAAAGTGAAAAACTTGTCAATCTACTGCATGACTTTTTTTGCAATAGGAAGACTCCCTGTCCCCAGTGACTAGTCTGCCCTTCCCAATCCTGCTGGGTAGTTTGGGCTGTCATTAACGGTGTCCTGGACTAATGCAGACTCACGAACCAGACTCCCGAGACCAGCCTCCTGAGGCCTCAATTAGGGGCTGGCCTCAAGATTGCCTGGATACTGTCCTGAAGGACCGTACTGAGAGCTTAGCAAAGGAACAGTTCAAGATATGCTAAAAGGTGTCCTAACCAAATCTCCTAAATGAAATATACCCTAAGTTAGACATGGAGTTCTGCTGTGCACTCAAGGTCATTTTGGAGTGAATGAACACTAATTTCTAAATGGAATGGAAACTTGTCAATGTAGTCACCCATATAAGTGTCTAAGGAGCACTGTCTGACAACAGGAACCATTACCTTGATTGCAACAAGGAGAATGAATAATCAGAAGCCTATCTGAAAATAACCTTATCACATCAGCAATCAACTAGACTGCAGAGGGAGTAGATTTCTGAAAAAAAGTCAGCAGCTATACAGCATCAAGTATTCACTTCCAAAGGGACTTAGAAAAGAGTGTTAATGGTAAGATGTGGCCATAAGCAGTCAAAGAAGAAAGTTTTCAGGCGGGACTTCAAAAAGGGGAGGGCTCAAGCTAGAGGGATTGAGGGAGTGTCCTAGAGTTTCGGGACATAGTGGCTGAAATCACGACCTCTGATGGTGCAGCAACAACAGTGTCTTTCGCACCTGATTTTCGATTTCAGAAATTTTGGATAACGATATTGGCAGTATCCTCACTGTTTTATGTTCAGTAGAGGGAGCCAAGCAATCAGCAGTTACAGCAAATCATTACTCTTACTAATCAAAGAAGATGGCTTAAAATATAATTCATAGGTCATATATGTCAACCTCAATTTGACATGATTATTGTAGATTTGAAAGTTAGGCAACTTATCCCTACTTAATGTACAATACCTTTGGACCTATTGTCACCAGTTTGTTTTGGCAGGATATGGAATAATGAATCTGTTTCAATAAATCAGTTTAATTCATAGAATGCCTCATCAAAAACAGAAAGCAGTCAACACTGAAAAAAAAACAAGTCAGTAAATGTGTCTGGTCGTTTATTTCTGCATAGTTTGCTTCTTTGAGTTGAAATAGTTTTCAATGACATCCTTAGCTTCTGATTCTTTGCCATAATCCTATAAATAGGGGAGAAATGGATTTTAAGAACATACATCACAATCTTATCACAATTTAATCTCCAACTAACCTATTGATGATCAGATTCACTATAAGAGAACAACCTACAAAGTCATTTACTATAAGAGAACAAACCATATGATGGAGATGGGCTTTTCTCCAATGTAGTCATTTTAGGGACCTTAAGGACTATATGAAGAGTCCCAAAGGCTCGTATATCTGACTTTTATTTCTGCCAGTTTTATTCGTTCCTGCTGCAGAACACTGTCAGATCAGCAGCTGTAAGACACCGGCAAACTACAGCAGATTTGAAGTTTAGGTTGCAATGCATTGAAAAATAATTCCATTTAATACAACTCAAATAATGGCCAGAATGAAAAGTGAGTCTTGTTGCCTATTTATTTGGCAAGTTGCTTTTCAGTAAGTTTCTTCCCACCACCAAACCATTGCGGATATAAATCTATGAGACTTGCAGCTCTTCAATACCTCACCAAAGTGACCATTTTACATACAAGAGACTTGAATCAGGAGGATATTTGTCTGTGGGCCACAACAAAGCTGAGCCCATTGCAATGCTCATCCAACGTACACACTTCCTAACAGTGTCAGTGCAAAGTATCTTGCATAGTGAATATTTTCCAAATCCAGCCCTGGAACAATGAGTCCCAACCACCACCCCAGAAAGATCAGCAAACTGACCATAGATCAACAATCAAACCTTGTGCAATACATGTACCCATTAAACAGTCAAATAACTTTTTTTTAAAAATGTATATTTCTTGATAGTGGATTACTTTTCTTTAAAGTAGATAATCAACTCACCTTTACCACAGTACAACTGCAGCCTACAACCTTGCGAGGTTTTCCTTCTTTGTCTATTTTGCAGAGGCCTACCCACTCGCCAAGTTTCTTGCTGTCATCAACCTTTGTGTAGAAGGCAGTAATTAGTTTTGATTAATATGAAGTTAAGCAGTTTAGTACATTGGAAAATAATTCTACTCTGGCATCAAAAATAAGGCACAATTTCTTGATTGATATAATATTTTCTCAATGGCGCCCAAGTTTCAGGAAACTATTCTGTCACTTGGAAGAATCCACGTGGTAGATATCAGCACCATTTCTTCCTTATACAAGAAATTGTGAAGGTTCCTTATAAGATGAACTCCCTAACAGACTAAACACATATATACTGAGAAAATACCAACCCTGGAATGCCAGTCCTATCTGGTATTTGAGGAGCTACAGCACCCTACCAATCGGGCAGAAACCAACACACAATGCAGTAAAATTAAGATATAAATCAACGTTATCAGCCAAGTAACAGCCTTCTTTAAAGCATGTGATATATTTAACCAGGTGGAAACAAAGAATTTGGCAATGAATAGGAATATTTTTAAAGCCAGTCATTATTCACTATAAATTTATTACAGATTTACTATAAGAAAACTACCTATGATGGAGATGGACTTTTCTCCAATGTAGTCATTTTAGGGACCTTAAGGACTATATGTTGAGTCCAGAAGGCTCGTATATCTGACTTTGATTTCTGCCAGTTTTATTCATTCCTGCTGCTGAACATTGTCAGATCAGCAGCTGTAAGACACCGGCAAATTAGAGATGTGAAGTTTAGGGTGCAATGCCTTACACATGACATACACACCTTAATCAGGTTGATCTGATGTTCAGCACATAGAGCCTCCACCAGCTTAACATATGCTGGTTCGTCACAACTGGTTGCAAGGACACACAGATGAGCTTGACGCCTGGAAACACACATGATATTAGAAACATTTTCTGTAGCCTCAGGCTGTAACATTTGCTCAGACACATTCCCAATTAAACTCTAATAACATTGACTTAAAAGTGAATAAAATAAATCTTAAACTAGCTTTCACATTTTAGTAACAATGGCCAGCAATGATGTATGACAAACAGCCTTCATCACGTGCTTAATATTTACAAATATAGAACAGTCATGGACAAGTTACTTCAGGGCCAATAGAAAACCAGAACAGAAGGAAAAGGAATTAAATATCTTCAAGACTTATGGCGCAAATTGAGGAAAAGGTAGAACTTCACTCATTTCATCCTTATGGGTTTGGTCTTAATAGATCAAAAGCACAAGTATAAACAAGTTGCCCAATAAAACAGTAGCAGATTTCCCGAAGCACTTTAACGTTTAAAATTTCAATTATAAGTGTTGTAATCTGTACCTAAAATCTTAGCATTAGGGACAGTAATTTGGTGTAATAAAATTTTAGTAATTTATATGAATTCTCCTAAAAACTATTTAGAAATTAGAAACATTAAACCACAATTTTAATTCAAATAATACAAGGAAATCTACAATCACTGGTTGTAACTGAAACATTACTTGGGTTATTTGTTTGAACAAAATCCATTTCCTTTAAACTACTGATTTAAGAATGTAATATTTTTGCAAGTAACATTGTATTTAAACCATTCATTAGGAGAGAATATGCTTGTTTTGAACTACTGATGTATTAACTTAAAGATTCCACTCAGTACCCTGTTCTAATTATTTTATCAATGAGGTATGATTTTGCATGTGATTTCAGGAATTTAATACGTACATCTTTTAGACAAAATGGTGAGATCAAGCAATAAACTAGTCAGAATACTACTTGGCTCATTTCAAAATTACACCTGCTCTTAATAAACCTCAGCAAGTTTTTACTAATTCTGTGGGATCCTGTAGATCTCCTTCTTTTATTGGAAAAACGATGATTCCAGTTAATGGCCCATTACCAGGTAGCAACCAAAATTGAAATAATTAAAATAACATAACCAGGGAACCTATTAGGAGAATTCAATCAATCTATTATACCAAGATATGTGTAAACTTACTTTACGGTACACAATGCTTTTTTAAAAAAAATTTGCTACAACATTTCTACCTCTAAAGTTTCACCCATCTTAGATTCTCACTGTATACCTTCATTGAACCAGAACGCACATTCAAGCCATGTTGTGATTTAATTGAAGTACTCACTTGTCCAAGGCCTTGATAGCCTCACGGATGCCACGAGCTAAGCCAGCATGGATGCATGCTGTTTTCAGCACTTCCTGAAGTGCAGTGTTAACATCCATTCCACCTCCAGCAATAATGCTGCAAACAAAACACAACTATTATCAAGAGAATGGTATAACTTCCTCTATTAGCATAATTTACAATTATTTAATTTCTTATCAACCCGGAGTCTTCATCACACTTTTCATGAGAATGTTGAGGATTCAAGCTACAAGGTTGTCAGAACAAAATGACTCACTCATCAGGAGAGTGAAGGGGTATCCGACAAATTAATTCATCATTTCAACAATGTAGCTTATTTTCATGAATAATCCTAACTGTGTGATGAAACACTTAGATGTAAAAAGTAGTTAATACTTTGAACAAACTTAAATAGCTATTGACTTTGCAACTATTACATTTGTGTCTTTCATAATCATTAACAGCGCAATTGGTCACATTGTAGAGGGGATTATGGTATCAACACACAATCTGGAGAATCACGGTATCCTAGAAAACATCAGAAATTAGGAAAAGGAGGCCATTCAGCCCATCAAGCCTGTTCCACCAGTTCATCAGATCTCTGTAGATCTTTTAATCCAATTACTGCATCATTCTCCATACCGTTTAATTCTTTACGACCCAAGTACCTGTCCTCTCCTTTTCAAACAATGCTATTGATGCCAGAATTCTAAGGCATAGAATTCAACGAGTTTCAGGCGTAATGGCTGAAAGCACGGCCGCCGCCGATGGAGAAGAGGGGACAAGGGACGAGCAGGAGGCCAGAGCCAGCCAAGCAGAGGTGGCGGGTGGCAGTGTGGGGAATGCAGGTCGGACAGGTAGGGAGGTTCCAAGGTTTGAACAAATTTTTAGCGAATGTGAGGATCTTGAAATCGACCCATTCTGTGATCACTATTATTTTGCTTACATATGATAGTACGCCTTATCGCGTCATTGAGGCACCTTAAAGCACTTCACAGAATACACTGTGAATTTTTTGTGGGTGAAACATGGCAGCAAGTGTCCCGCAAACAGTTGCGGATTGAAGTGACCAATTTTTTTTAGGGAAGGGAGTATTACCCCGGCAAAAGCGATCCGCCAATCGATTAAGAACCGGGTTCCTGCTTACTGCTAGAAAACCAAGAGGCCTGTGGAGTAAGGAAACTTGCCCAACTGTTCATCCCGCCCAGGGGTGGGGGGGGGGGAGCCGGGGGGGGGGGGAGACTGGGGGGAGCCGGGGGGTGGGAGAGAGCCCGGGGGGGGGGGAGCCGGGGGGGGGGGGGGGGGGGGGAGCCGGGGGGTGGGGAGCCGGGGGGTGGGGGAGCCGGGGTTGGGGGGGGTGGCAGTGGAGCTCAACCCAAAACCGAGTTCAGGAATCAGGCGGATTGTGCACTGTGTGAAACCCTGAGAGCACAGAGCAACTAAAGCCCGAGCCCGTGTGTGTGTGTGTGTGTGTGCGCGCGGTACCCGCCCTCCCTCTCTCTGCACAGCCTCAGCGGCTGGAGACGGAGAGGCCGCGGCTCCGGTGCGCACACGTTTTGAAGAGCCTCCGCAGCTCAGCCTTCAGCGGGGAGAGGCGGCGGCCTGTGCTCCCCGCCCTACACTCAGCCCGGGTGAGCCCTCTCCCCCCCCCAGGCTGGCGGCGCGGTGCGGCGCGGCCACTCACCCTTCCTCGGCCATCTTGGCTTCTTGTTGTCAAATCACGCGGCCTCGACGCTGCAATATAAAAGGGGAAAGGCGGCATTAGCGGTGCGGGTGTCGGGCGCGGGGTTCCCGCCGCCGGGCAGTGCGGGATGGCTGCGATAGCGCCCGGATTCCCCGCCGCCTCCATGTTACCCACCCGAACATGAACCGCCAGCGCCGGAAGAGACCGAGCGCCGTGACGTCGGCCGCTTCCGGCCCCGCGCTCGGCGTCACGTGCTTCAACCCAGACCGCCCCCCCCTCTCCCCCGGGCGGTGTTGGGCGGGTTGGGGCGGCTTCACGCCCAATTGGGCGGGATTTTGTTGCATTGCTCTGCAGGGGCTCATTTTTTTTTAACCACAAAAAAAAACATTGATTTGAACCTGCAGAAGGTTTTGCACAGTTTCGAAAGCACCACTCTGCTACCCATAGGAGGCAACACATAATTTGGGGCTAATGTTTGGTTGACTTTAGGCTGCAAACATAATACAATATCTGGCAACTTTGACCCCCACTCTGCACCAACACCAGCTCAACCCAAGTCGACTGTATATTTTCTGGGTGAAACGCAGCAGCCAATTGCACACAGCAGTGTCCCACAAACAGTCATGGATTAATTTTTTCAAGGAATTATTACCCCCAGACTAGTCGGTCATTTGACATCTGAGAAACATGGATTTGTGCCCTCTCTGTGGATGGCAGATACTAGGAACTTCCTGCAATCAATGCTTAGAATGAAATGGGTGAAAGCATTACCACCCTCACTCTACACCACAGCTGTCATCGTCATCAGCCATTCAACAAGCATCTGTCATCAATATGGTGGCAGGACGTTTACAGGACAGCTTGACACGCCAGCTGCATACATTTGCCAAAGGTCCAATCCAATGATGCATTACTCAGGTTTACTCAGCACCAATTGCTTAATCCATGTCCTTGTGTAAGGAGCTTTGGCAAATAAATGTGCTCACCCTGAAGCTAAAACCACCAATATGATTCACTAGAAACTCAGACATTACTGAGGAATTCTGCTGGTAAGCAACAGAATGTCATAGCAGACTCGCAGCTGAAATCACTGCTCTGAAGCAACAGAAGAACATTGGAAGGTCCCCACAGTTTGGTCATGACATTTCGTGCCGACTTGGTAATTACATTGCAGCCTAGATTTGATATTGTAAATACAGATTACGTTAACTTCATCAATTTCTTTCTAATCAAAAAAGGGGAGGGGACATGGATGAAACAGGATCTCCCTTCTTCTTGTGACTGGTTTCAGCAACAATATTGCAGTGAGTAAATAAGGGTTGAATACCAGCAGATGAAGCCAACAGGCAGTCATCTGCCCATGTTTAGCATTGCTAGCCAACCATTACTGAGGCTTACTCAGCACCAACTTCTTAATCCATGTCCTTGTGTAAGGGGCTTTGACAAATAAATGTGCTTGCCCTGACGCTGAAACCACCATGTGATTCACTAAAAACTCAGGGACTATTGAGGAATTCTGCTGGTAAGCAACCGTATATCATGGCAGACTCACAGCTGAAATCACTGCTGTGAAGCAACAGAAAAACCCTGCAGTTTGGTCATGACATTTGGTCATGGGGGTGGGGGATGATAAGTTATGTATGATATTCAGTTCATTTTATACATTATTTTGTTCGTTCAAGGAGCCACCCATTCAAATACCTGCTCAATGGGTAAAGAGGTGTAAGTACAAGCTGTGGATAGAAGGATGCTGAGGAAGTAAGATGCATCCTTTTAAAGCAGGTGTTTTCAAACTGGATGGGGGAGGGTGTTATTGGGTGCAATTTGTTTTCTTGTCTTCCCAGCAATTTGCCCAAGTGGGGGTGGGAGGGAATGAGAAGTTGAGTGTAAAGAGGCCAGTCCTGAGAGAGAGGTACAAGATACCAATACATCATGTTCCCTCTGATTGAAATATCAGTCACTAACCAACAGCACCAACAAATTACATTTGTATAGTGCTTTTCAGCAGGACAGCCAGGGAACAAAAACAAGATGCCAAGGGGTAAGATGAGCCTGTAGCTCCTGAGAAGTGCATGAGCATGGCATGTTCTATAAAGACAGTGGTGCGCACAGAACAAATGGGGAGACACCACACAAAAGTTTGAAAAACGCTGCTCTAGGAAAAGTAGGTACTATTCTAGACAGGAAAGTTTCCATGTGTAAGTGGTGTACATATGGAACTGGTAATTTGGATACTTGAGCATGGTGTTGGATTTCCAACATTTGACTGAACGAAAAAATCCTAATCCAATTCTCTGATGTATTCCTCACATGAATAGATTTTTGCTTGTTTATGCTAATGCAATCAAGTGGGGCATTTTTTTTAAAAAATGGACTAAGAGGCCTCTGCCAAATTATTCCATATGTTGCCAACCCACTGGGAGAAGTTCTTCCAAAACTTCACTTTTACTCACATAGTCAATCACATCCTTTCGTCCTCAAATTCTCTATCAACAAAATAGTTTCTGATTAATTCTCTCATACCCTATTGACGTAAACACCACCACTCCTGCAACTAACAACAATCCTTACTAATAATTGGGAAAACAGGCCAATTTGATTGTTTTAGGACTTGTTAAATGCCTATTAAAGATGAATTTATACAGCATTTGAAAACGCCTGTGACAAAGCATATATTGATGTCAGATAAGACACAGAAGTAGTCATTGGGAAATATAATTGAATAAAAGAAGTGCATTGCTGGACATTAAGATCAGAAATTCCTGTCAGAGCTTGGTTTTAGTGGTATTGGTGGCTTCACATCTCTGGAAAAATGTTCAAGGTTATTTTTAGCTTCACTAAATAAATGAGTAAAATGCAATCCCTTCTCTATATACAAAAGGCCATTTCTACAATAAATCTTGTGAAGCACTGAGATGTCCTCCAGACACAACAGGCACGATATCAAAAGACAGGATTAAAATGGATCCTCAATTCAATTAAACTACATAAATTACTAGCAACTTCAGTGCATCACAAAATGCTATTTGCATTAACATCTGATTTTTCAGGGACAAATGAAACAGAAAACCAAGAACTTATAAACTAACTTTAGGTTAATTTCATCCAGTTACCAATTATTAAAATTGTCCTTACTCTATACTGTTAGTAATTAATTTATTTCAAACTCCAAAAAGCAAGAAAATGAGAATACAGTAATTCATTATATACTTGTACCTTTAATGTATTCTGTGTACAGTAGGAGGATATTGTGGCACAAAACAGTTTAATGCAAAACCTATTTGCCATATTACATTTGGTGAGCAACTAAATTGTACATCTTTTATATACATCAAGTGAATTAAATTAATACCACTTCTGAATATAAAGCACTTTAACATTAAGTAAATCATTTCCAAGTACATAATATGTGGTTCATCTGAAAAGTCTGTTAAAAATTTTTTTCCCCCTTTGTAGGTTTCCAAAGACTGGTTACAAAACAACTGTAGTTTCTTAAAACGACTTATTTCAGTAGTTGTTTGCTTTCTTCGGCTGTGCAATTCTCAATTCGGGAACAAGACCTTTTAAAAAGGTAGACAACAAAAATGACAAACATCACAACCAAGAATTTAAATAATGTCTAATTTCACAATTACATTTTGAGTCTATATGATTTTAAACTAACACCACTAATATGCAGAAAATTAGTTATGGTATCTTATTATAGTTAGTAATTATACCCTTTAAATCTTTTCCCCCAAACCTTGGGGAAATGCTAGCAAGACACCAATCAATTCTGTGAAGCACTTTGAGACAAAATATCAAATGCAAGGATTATTATTATTAATCAGCATTCCAGGATGGATCATACCCAATGAATCAGAACCAATGTGATTAGTGTAATGCCCAGTTTTCAAAATTCAATTTGAGATGTTAATCTTACATGAAAGGCATTATATACCTTGAAATGCATAGGATCACTGAATGTAGCTCAGCAAGTTAGTCAACAAATTTATGAACTTTATATTAAATGGCCCTAAAACCAGGCAAAAGGTTTAGCAGAATTGTACACACCTCCTCCTTCTCTGTAACATTTCCACTATGAAGTACAAACCCATCAACATACCCTAAAGATAAAGAAATTAGTCTGATGGTGATACCGTAATGTAAAAATGTTTCTAGGTACTTTACCTAGGTTAGATGGCCAATACTTACAGAAACAAATGGTAAACTTCCTTGTATAGCTGCAGCCCATTCAAAATCAAACTTTTCATATAGGAATCCACCCAGGGTCGGACCAATAAATGTTCTGTGTGGTTTTGAAAAGGATTAGTTACCAGCTAAACATAATAGTTTATGCCATTGCAAAATTTACAACGTGATGTTCATACCATCCCAAATTTGATCAAAACATTTATTGCCACTTTGGTGCTCAAATTCCTCACTGCGGTACACTAGCCAGACCTGCAATAAAAAGCTGCCTGGGGTCTTATGCAATGCAGAGTCATGACATACACATTTGCTTATTTTTGTCTGACTGCTTTATAAAGTACATGTAGGTAGGTTTACAGCTTATGTAGGGCACCCACTTCCTCCAGGTTCAATGTAGAATTGACTTAATTGTGAACAACAACAACAAGAAGATTTAATTTATAGAGTGCCTTTCATGTCGGGAGGACGTCCCAAGGCACTGGACAGTTGGGTCGGGAACTGAGCAGGGGGGAAATGGTCAGGGTGAGGGGAGGGAAGGGAGGGAGTGAGCAGGGGGTAGAGAGTCGAGAGGGGAGCTGAAGGCACGGTCGAAGAGAAAGGTCTTGAGACCGGCCTTGAAGGAGGAAAGGGAGGAAGCAAGGCGAAGGCACTGGGGGATGAACATCATACTGTGGGGGAGAAATGCCACCTGGTTTAGATTCACTCTCTTGTTAACATTTCAGATTATGCAGAATTTGGCAAATTGTTGAATTTTCATAACCATAATTTTGTATTTAGGAATATAATAATCCTTGCATTGATATACCGCTTTTCACATCTTCTAGACGTCTCAAAACACTTCACAGAATATACTGTAAAGTGAATTGACTGTATTTGTGGCAAAACGCAGCAGCCAATTTTGCACAGCAGTTTCCCCACAAACAGTTGTGGATGAAGTGACCAATTCTGTTATTTTTTTTCTTGAGGGTTTATTATCAGGCATGTGGAAACTTGCCTAAGGTTTGCTCTGCTGGGAATCGAACCCACGTCCCTTCCTTGCGAGGCGAAAACTCTAACCACTGAGCTACAGGACTTCACATACAGATTATGCCAAATTCCTGATGCTTTTTAAAAAAAAGGTTAATCTAGATCCATGTGGAATTTCCAACTCTTAAAACCTTTGCATAAAGTTTTACATACAATTCACTAAAACCTCCATAATGCACAGCATTTTGTAAACTAGATCTATAGTGGTAATTTTAACAATTTAAAGGCATAATTCTACCGTGGAGTCCTGTAGCTCAGTGGTTAGAGCACTCGCTTTGCAAGCGAGAGACCTGAGTTCAATTCCAGGCAGGGCGAAACCTTGGGCAAGTTTTCTTACTCCACACGCCTAATAATAATCCCTCCAAAACAATAATAAATTGGTCATTTTCAATCCACGACTGTTTGTGGGACACTGCTGTGCGCAATTGGCTGCCGCGTTCGCCCACAAATATACAGTCAATTCACTTTACAGTCTATTCTGTGAAGCGCTTTGGGACGTCCTCCCGACGTGAAAAGCGCTATATCAAATGCAAGGATTATTATTATCATTACCAAACATATTGTAAGACAATTAGACATTGAAATAATTGGCAAATTAAAACTCAGAAGCACAATGCAATCTAGTGTCTGTTGCCATTCAGCTCAGGTTACAATACAAAATTACATTTGGGAGGACATCCCAAGGCATTGAACAGTCAGGGATTAGGACCTGAGGGGGCAGGGGGGAAGGTTAATAGAAGTGCAGAAAAAATTGCACAAGCTGAAGTCCAAACCAGAGTAATAAGCCTCAAAGAAAAAGGCAGTTCCGTTTAAGCCTTAAGGCCTAAAGAGGAACCCAATACAGCAGGCGCTTTCAGAATTGTTTCTCCTCTTCTCTAGGAATTTTTTGAAAATAAAATAGCAGATGTTGGTCTCAGACCAACTGACCAAACACATTAAGCTCATTCATATCAAGAGTCGTTGTGGAATCAATTTAGCAAAATATGAATCTGTATCATAAGCAAAATAAAGGGCATATGCTGGAAAATCAGAGCAGATATTCTACCAAGATGCTATCCGAAGTGAATGGCGTTATATAAAAGCAAGTTGTTGTTGTAGATATTAGCAACTGAAAGAAAAGGTGATTCTGATAAAGGTCAATGCCTGGAACAGGTGCCCAATTAAAAAAAAACTTTCTGATGCAATTTGATAATATAATTTATATTTCTCCTCTCTCCTCTTTGTTCTTATAGGAATGTTTTTTTTAAAAAAAAGTTGGTCAAGACATCCAACAAAAATATTGCAGCATGCACACAGTCACCAGTTAAGATCATATACAAGCAGCATTGCCAGAGACTCCATTTTGTAAGAATCACTGCATGCATTCACAAAGTAGCCTTTCACTTTTGACAAATTAATGGTCCACACTCATTTGACAAATAATGGTCAACACCCTAAAAAGATTTAAAAATGTTAACCAAAGGCATGGTTGGAGACACATTTAAAATTTTCAAAGACAGGAGAGAATAGCAATCTGGTGCTTTTGAAAAAACAGCCATTGTACAAGTTACTTATTCCTCAAGTTTTGTTTAAAAATCCAATATGTTAAAACAGAACATGACAGATGAGGTACAGCAGAGCTTGCACAAAAAACCCTCAAGTTAATTAACGGTATACATACCCCAGAGACCAAAATGCTCCAAAGATTCCAGACACCAAACCTAAAGTACCCAGTCCTTCTTCAAAGCCATTCTCACTGAAAGAGAAAAATTGCCAATATTTTTATTTAAAGTATCTTGTTCTAGTAACTAATAGTTTGAGCATCAACAGTGGCTCAACTTGAACAGCAAAAGCAAGCCAGAAATATACCAAGATGCACTGATCCGTCCAATAGTCTGCACATCCAATTTCCCTAAAGATCCATCTCATCTCTCAATAAGCCCCAGTACAATTTAAAGAATTTGGGTAGTTTCTCTTCTCTCCCCTCCACCCCACATCTTTTTGCTTGAGACAGTCCAATAAAGGACAATATCTCCTTGTACTGTAGCTTTGCTATAAAATCTGCAATTAATCTGGTTGTCCTCTGCTGCACTCAATCTGAAATATTTTGAATTAGTGAAACCAAGACTGCATGCAGCTCTCCAAATGTGGTCTCACCAAAGTCAGATACTTTAAAAAAAACCTCCTTTGACTGAATACAAAACTCTTTGCCACACATCATTGTTTGCTTTCATTTGCCTACAAATACAGTCACCCCATTTCAAAGTAAATTCTTTGAGACCTCCTTATACAATGTGATAACATGCAGTATCAAATGTAAGGATTATTATGCTAAAATTGAAGGCTTCACTTTAAGATTAGCTGGGGAAAGATAATCAAGGGGATCCAGATAAAGTACTGTCCTGTGATGAGGCCAGTTATATTTCATTCATTAAGTCCAATTTGTTTAAAAGGGCTGAAAGATCAAGAGTGTTCAGCTGTCAATAACAGCCTCGTGCCCCCAGTTATTTATTGGTCAGGAATGTGGAATTCTCCTCCACATGCAGATTACACAGTTGAAAGTCTATAGATTTAAAAGGACATGTCTGACAAACAACCTTGAAGTGATCAATTTTATTTGGGAGATTGTTGTCCAGGAAATTGGGAGAAACTCTTTTGTCAAATAGTGCTCTGGTGATTTATGGAGCCAACAGTGGAGGCAAAAGTGCTATGAGGAGACACCAGCACTAATTTGATCTCAATGGTCAGTTTCTGTAATATCCCAGGAATCTGGCTTCATTCTGGATAATTGCAAATTCTCACCAGGTCTTCAAATTTGAGCACAAAATAGTAACTACAAAAGGGTTCAATGATATTAAAGTAGTATCAGGTTTTGATTACACCATTTCCACAACATTTATCTCTACCTTACAAATATTCTGTCACTCCCACAAAATACATCTAACAAATGTAAAGTGCATTCAGCCAACAGCACACACAAGGACAAACTTGTTATGGCCATTTGGTGAACTAACTACAAGCTAAACAATTAATTTCATATTAAAAAAATGATCTTGTAGTTAGAGGGATTGAATAAACAAACTGATTAAAGGCACCACTGCACAACAAAGCCATACAAACCAGAAGGTCACAGGTTCAGAGCCTTGTTGAGCAAAGTTGACCGATTTCAGCCAGGGCATTAAAATTGGCTTCAGTGGTTTGGGGGACAGAGTTGGGACGAGGGAGGGCAGAGAGGGTAGGAGGGCAACCGAAGGCACTTGAGTCATGCCTTGAAGGAGGCAAGAGAAGGAGAAAGGTGAAGGGATTGTGGGATGGAATTCCAATGAGTGGGGGCAGAGAGGCTGAAAGCCTGGAGATCACTCATCACATCTCCCAGGAATTGTTAAAATATTAATTCTGATTTCAATTATGGTCATCGCTCAAATTAGATTTGGACCAGTATGCAAATTCTGATTTAATACAACTCGATGCTGAGAGAGAATGAAGTTGCTTTATTCAGTGCAGTTTTTTTTAAAAACAATAAAAAAATTATCGCATTACAATATGCAAGAAAGGCATCAGAATATTCTTACTAGGCACAGTTGATGATTTCTGGAAACGTTGGAATACCGCACATGCCAAGTGAAAACCCAGTGAGGATTAGCATGGAAATAAACATCCAGATCTCACTGAAAAGAAAGAATCATCTTAAATCATCTTAACTAGTTGTGCCACACACACACACACACACACGCACGTGTGCGCATTCTCCGAATGACCAAGGCAAACACAATCTAACTTCACATGTAAATATCTATTAGAACTTGCACGGTATTTTTCGCGTGGCCTGGAGGATTAAACTTTCTAAATGGGAATCATAAGATCTATTGAAATGATAAAATTACTACGACAGATGCCAGGATTGACCATAAATTCCCACTGAAATTTCTGATGGAAAAAAATGAGCTAGATGTCAGACCATAGCAGTTTAATTAGAGATAAGAAAGGATTTGGAGCAATATTGATCATTTACGAAAATCTTTGCTAGATATTCCGACGTTTGGATTGTAAACTGTGTGGGAGCACAAAAATCAGAATTCCTTGCGCTGATCACTAGAGGTTTTTGTAATTCAGTCACTCTGTCAATGCCCATTTCTCATTATGAGACTTTTGAAAATTGCTGAGCTTTTTAAAAGCATAAAGGAGCATTAAGCATTTGGAGCCCTGTAGCTCAGTGGTTAGAGCACTCGCCTGAAGTGAGAGACCTGGGTTCGATTCCCAGCAGGTGAAACTTTGGGCAAGTTTCCTTACCCCACATGCCTGATAATAATCAAGAAAAAAAAAATCAATTGATCACTTCAATCCACGACTGTTTGTGGGACACTGATGTGCGCAATTGGCTGCCGTGTTTCGCCCACAAATATACAGTCAATTCACTTTACAGTATATTCTTTGAAGCGCTTTGAGACGTCTAGAAGACATGAAAAGTGCTATATCAAATGCAAGGATTATTATTATAAGGCAGCTGACCCAATGTCGCCATGGCACTCTCAAATGTTTTGCTGATTAATCCAGGCTGAGGGATCTGATGCTTCACAGCTCCTCTTCATGCTTCAAGAGTGCCTACCTCTCCCCCATCCTTACTAGTACATATTGTTACTCATTACATTTTTATATAATATGCATTAGAAATCCTTGCATTTGATATAACACCTTACGACAGACATGTCTAAAGGTTTTTCACAAGATACTGTAAAGTGGAGTGGCTCTATTTTGTGGGCGAAACCCAGCATCCAACTGTGTACAGCAATGACCTACAAACAGCCATGGAGTGAGTGACCAATTTGTGGGATTGTTGACAAGGGTATAGTAGAAACTCCCTTCCTTTTTGAATATTGCCATTGAATCCTTAACAGGCAGATGGGACCTCAGTTTAATGTCTCATCTGAAGGACCACACCTCTGACAATGCAACACATCCCCAGCACTGCATTGGAGTGTCAGCTTGGCCATTGCTCAGACGCGTGCTTTTTGGGGCCATTAGAAACCTCTTCTCTACTTTACAGAGTGAATATGCAGAATAGATGACCAGGGAGATTCTATAAACAAAATCCATGAGTAAATTATAGTTACCTGGTAAATACAATTCGAGAGAGTGTACAAGAACTTAAGCTTTTCTAAAAAAAACTGTTGGGTAAGATATTTTCACCACAAGAACCAAAGAGTTTTGCCGACAATTTTACACCAGGTCAGACAGTCACACACAGAGCTCAAAGGCATCTGAAATGGGAAATAAAATCATTCTCCTGCATCCGGTACATTTTGCCAGGGTCATAGTCCAGATTGTCATGACTCAATTATTTACCATATCACATAGTAAAATATTTTAATAAGTCACAAAATAAAGTAGATGAGAAACAGGACCTACCTCTTGATATGAAAAATAGGTATTGGTCCCAAAAATAGAAAACTGATAGATGTTAACCAACTTCCTATTACTATTAGCCACTTCCTGGCTCTCTAGGAGAAAAAAATACAAGTGAATACAATCCAGTTCACATTTATATACCGCTTTTCACCTCAGGAAGTCTAAAAGTACTTCACAGTACTGAATGGGCACCCAAGCTGGGGATTTGAGGGTGTGAGGGGAAAGATGATCAGTATGTGGGTAGAGGTATTGTAACATGCCTTGAATGAGGGAGGGAAGGAGTCAGAGAGACTCAGATGGAATTCTAGAGATCAGGGACAGAATAAGGACATTGGGAATATTATTCCCTTGTACAAGTGCACTAATAATGTGCATTACTATGGTAGAATTACATATCAGATCCTTCAGTTACAAAGGCATTTTAATTTGAATTCCAAAGATAGATCGGATTACGGGATTTAAATATCCTACTACAGACTGATAGGATGCAAGCTCTCTATTTCTTGATCCTAAATTCTTGTTGGATGGGGACAGACACTGCACAGGGTGACTCACAGCTTTGGGAGAGAAGAAAATAGAAAGGTAGAAACTATACAGTACCACAAAAGTGTGGTGTTTATTAAGAAATTCAAAAGCCTGGTTGCATAGTTACAAATAAACCAAATCAACTCAGTTAAGTGTTACTCAGGAACACAACAATGAAAGTGATAAAAGTGAAATGGAAAAAAAAGTTTCAAACTATACACACCAGATTTAACAGCCAAAGAATATCAAACAAAAGTGAACTATGTCAACTTACTGGTATTCGGTCACTGACAAATCCAAGTAAAGGAGAAGAGAGCGCATACGACAAAGCAAAGCCCACATATACCAATCCCACACGACCAACTGGAAAGTTGAACTGTAAAAGATTTAACATTCATTAAGCTTTGACCATCAAGATTCTGAATGCAAAGGAAACATTTAGAACATATTACACCTCCTATAAACTAAATACAGATAGGGTTGCAGAAGTGACACCGTGCTTGTATGAAAAATGTCTAGCATTAATGCAACAAAAGTTCTCCTGAGAGTGCGAGTTATGCTAGGACACCTAGAGGATCTGGAGAAGGAGGAAAAGTAGAAAAACAGGCATAACTAGACACACACTGCATTGGAGTTCAAAGACAGACAAGACTCGTTCAGAATTTGCCCCTTGTCATTGTGTTCAATCTTCAGCAAGGTGGTTACATTTTTACCAGCTTAGGAAAACAAATTCTTACCTTTGCAATAACAAACAGGGACATGGTGGGATCCAGAAACCCAATGCATGAACTTATAGAAAATATAATCAGTACTACAAAAAACACTTTGGGAAGTGCAAGTAGTGTCCAAAAGGCCTTGGTGCTACGAATTCCATCTGAAAATATGAAATCATTGATAAAATACAGATAGTTTGAAATATAGCTTATCAAACAGAATGCACCTCCTGCTTTCCCGTTGGTTAATTTAATACTCAAGAGTCCTGTTAATCAGTGCGAGGAGGGCAGCTCCAACGATCCAATGTAGGTCAAGTTGGTAGCCTGCAAGATGGTGGCAATGCTCTCAAATATTTCATTCTGACCAGTATTGCCCACCAGAAAGCTCGCAGGGATTTCCTGGTACCTACCATCCATCTAGAGAGGGCTCAAACCTGCACCTGTCCAACTAGAAACTAAGCCCTATGCAGGGAAGGTGGGGGGGGGGGCAGGGAAGAAAGGAGGTAAACGGGGTCTCCTTGGAGCTGAACTGGCTGCAAGGCGACATGTTTGGCAATGGAATGTCAGAAACAAGCCAGTACTCTGTGGTGGTCTCAGCAGTCCAGTTCCTAAGCCAGATGGGTCTGCAATACTGCAAGGGCACTGCTGCTGACAGTACAGCCAGCCAGGCTCATTGGACCTGAAAGGGCAGACCAGTCACTGGGGGCAGGGAGTCATCCCACTCTGCTCCTGTTAATTCTGCCAAAAATCAAAGTCTGATGGATAGGTTGGTCCTAGCTGGACAAGCAGCAGGAAAGCTTGCTCAGCAGTGATAGCAATGACAAGCTATGCGATTTTAAACTCTGGTTAGACTCCAGCAGTACAAACACTCCGGGGTCACAAAGGCTCAGGTCTCGCGCCTAATACTTTCTGGGATCAGGTAAGCAGGATACGTCCCTCCAGGGAGAGAGTGTGCATTCCATTCCAAAAATGATGTGCAATTTCCATGTATAATTCACAAATTGTTCCAAATCTGACTAGACTTTTTATGCTCATTTCAACGTCTACCTATTTCCAAACAAAATGTTAAACTAATGATTATACGTGCCCCAGGATGATGCTGATTTTTTTTAAAAAAGACACACGATTTGCAATCTGCATTTTTGTTTTAAAAAATGACCCCCAAACAACTCAATATAAACAGCGATAAAATATAATAATAAAGTCTTACCATAGCTTGGTAAAATCCATATGTTTAAAGGCACCATTAAAAGAACAAGACATCCAAGTACGATGAAAGGAACTTCATATCCAAACGACTGGTACAAAAAACCTCCAAATGGTGGTCCCAGCACTAGACCAAGTCCACTGAATATTTCCATGCATCCCTTTTATATAAAAAAAATCAGCATTGATATCACCTTATCATGTTGAACATCTCAAAGTGGTGGATTTGAGATTTACTGTAGGGTATAGAGACTGCATTTGTAGGTGAACATGGCAGATAGTTTGCACGCAGCCATATGCTCATCTGAACATAATGTTACAGCAGACGTCATTTGACCATTGTATCCATGCTGGCTCTCTGAAAGAGCTAACCATTTAGTCCCAGTCAATGCCCTTCATCCTTTTTCTAATTCAGTTTCAAAACCCATTATGGATTCTATGTTACTGTTTTTGGTAGGAGCGTGCCATGTCTTAATGTGTAAAAAAAAATTACTTATTTTTGTAAGAATTATTTTCAGGTGTTCTGACTCATGATCATCTGTGTTAAACTCTAACCTTTATGGTCAGCCAACAAAATAAATTCTTGATTGAAGATTTCTTGATTTGACAAAAATTTTCAATCAAGAAAAAAAAACTGAAGTCACTCTACCAATTGACCACGGATTCACCGAGATTCATTTGAATGTTCAGGGGCTGCTTCTTGATAGCCCTCCAGCCATTTCCTGCCAGTGGGCCACAAGTTGGCCATCGCCGCTTTAACATGAATGTTCTTTAAAACAAACTCATTGTAGGAGTTTGGTAATTTCCACAAAAAGATGATCAAGACACGATTTGAAATGAATCGCAAGACAAGTTGAAGTCACAGGAGATTTTTTAAAAAAACAGTTAATTATCAACTAATGTTGCTAAGAAAATTTGAAACTCAAATAATGGGTTGTTGAGGTGTCATTTTTTTCCCTTTATTTAGGCATTAGGATATTTATTTATAGTACTTCTATTCATATAACACATTTGATGACTAATCCTCCCACAAGTAGATTTTTCAGCATGTGTAGACATACTTTAGAATCAAAAGTTTAAGACTGACAGAAATTGGTAGATATTTATCCAGCTACTTTTTAATATTAAGCATCTTCCACATCATGACATTTCAAAGTGCTTCACAGCATATCCTGTAAAACGTAGTGACTTTTGCAACTGATTACAGTATGAGCATAAAACATCTGCTTATCCTATTTGAGCAATTTATTAAGGTTGCATTGATTCTCTGCGTGGTTAGCAAAAAAGACACTTACCAAATCTGTTAATACAAAACACAGGTTACACCAAATTAATTCTGCAACCAAGTCCCCATCATGCCTCTTTCAATCGATTAATCTTATTTTATTAAGCCATTTAGAGCAATTTCCCAATGTCTTGAATTGTGCATTACATGTTCTTTAGCACAAGGGAAAAGGTTATACAGAACAACTATTTATTTTACTGGTAAGAGGATAATGAACTATTACTGGCACTCACACTTGTGGAAAACAAGAGGATTGGGCAGCCTAATCACAAGGTGACTTGAACTCAGCGTACGCAAACACTCCCAGAGCAGTGCTCACGGACTGCTAAATTATCAGAGGTGGCATCCTCTGTCATTTTGGCTTAGTGGTAGCCAAAGTGGTACCCAGAAATTTGTGGGTTCAAATCCCATATAACCTTGAATTTAAGTAGTCAAAGATGACACTGTGGGAGAGGGGTTTTGTTGTCAGAGATGGTGTCCTTCGGATGATATGTTAAACTGAGGTCCTGTCTGCCTGTTCAGGTGGTCATTAAAGATTCCATGGCACTAATCGAAAACAGAAGGGAGTTCCTGCCCAACAAATCCCTCAAATAAAATTGGTCATTCACTCCATGGCTGTTTCTGGGATACTGCTGTGCACAACTGAGCTGCCATGTTTGCCTAAAAATAGACAATCACTCCATTTAACAGTGATTCCTGTTAAGTGCTCGGAGACATCCTTCTAATATAAGGTGCTATACCCAATGAAAGCATCATTATATCCTTACAAGATGTTTAACCTAGGTCCTGTTCTAAAATCCCATGGCACTAATCAAAATAGGGAGCATCACCCGGTATCCTGGCCAACAAACCCCCAGATTAAAAAATTGGGTCTCACTTCATAGCTGTTTTGGGGGTCAGTACATTTTATTGAAATTGATGAAGCACTTTTAGATGTCATGGCTTGATAATAATAATAATAGATAAGATGCTATATCTGATGCAAGGACCATCAAATGATGAAAGAGAAGATCTAATCAAGCATGTTGTAGGATATTTCATCTTGGTTGCTAAACTAAATGTTTATAGAATGCATTTATTCACTGGAGAAGTCATGCATGTATAGCTTCCTAAAGATATAAACTAGCCATATCAATGGAGCAAGTCTATTTCACAACTATATTAGATAATCTGGTCACATTTACTTACCATAACTGTGGCAACATTTTCTGGGAAAGCCCTCGCAAGAATTGAAAACGAAGCAGTCATGGACCCAGCAAATCCAATAGCATCAACTGATCTTATTATGAAACACAGTGCAATAAAGATACCTCCATCAGGAGCTCGATTCAATAAACTGGGGAGAAGGGAAAAGACAAAAAGGATGCATTCTCTTTTATAATTTAACAAATGCTGCATGTTTCAATTAAATACTTTAACTTTTTTTAAAAAAAGCAATAGCGAGATTCATTTAATCGAATGGCAAATATTGCTGCAGAAAAGTACATTAAAATTTTCCCTGAAAATGGCACTTAGTTATAATAATAATTTTATGATATAGCAACTTATGAGTCTTTGAGGCATCTCAAAGTGCTTCACAGAATACACCGTAAAATGAATTGACTATTTTGTGGGTCGTCCCTTGAGATTGTTAATCTGTAACCTCTTTGAGTAAAAAGTCGCATGGACATTGGATAAAGGCAACATCAATGCTCCAGTCAGATAACCAAATGAGTCTTGATGTCTGGCATACAAACTCGAGAAAGTAGAGGGCAACCGGATGTAGCAACAGTTTACTTTCAGGAATGGAGAGGAAAATAATTGCACTTTTTATCTCCAACACACCCATGTAGACAAAGATGAAGTTTAACTAAACCTGGTGTGTATAGTGTACTGTGCAACAATATAGGAAAAGCTTCTACCACAATCAATACAGATGCAAGTCAAAGTGTGTAGAGTGAACAATACAATTAATGTCAGATCTGAGGTTATCCTGATGGAATTTTTAAAATTAAATTTGGACAGAAATTTCAGACGTTAGATTATTGCTGTGAATCCCAGGGATGCACCCAATGGTTCAATCTCAAATAACAGAAAAACCTAAGAATGGTTTGGTCAGTTTTCAAACATTCAAGAAAAACAATGCTCTGAAAGCTAACATTGTTATTATTGTTCAAGTGGAGTACTACTAAAATGGTCATTTTATATCCCAGGGCTGTAGAAAATGAGCATTATGGACGGATGTGATCAAATTGGCCAAGAGACTTCATCCAAACCAACATGCCCATAAATCCATTTACAATTAATAAAGTGGTTGTTTAAAGAGAAAGTAGTTATGCTGAGAGATTCCACGATGCAGGCATCCAGTAACACAGGGCGAAATGGAATAACTCACCCAAAAAGAATGGTGCAGCAGCCAGACACAAGCATACCAACCACAAAGAGGAATTTTGCTCCAATTTGCACAATCTAAAAAAACAATTTGAAGAAGGTTTTACCACAACACAGTCATGGTTTAGAAGAGTTGTGTTCATTTTCTCAGGTGTGTGATCACACAAGACAGTTTTAGCAAACTTTTCTAGTCTCTTTTTAATCAGCACTAATTTATTTAGCATTATTCATGATAGCTAACTAGATATGATGAACCTTTATAAAACACTTGTTAGCCATCAGCCAGTAGTCCTGGAGTTCAGGATGGAGGTAGAGAGGTAGAGTTCCACATACATGTGGAAATTTACCCCATATCTGCAGATGACGTGACCAAGGGGGAGCATGTAGAGGGTGAAGAGGAGGGGACCGAGGACAAAGCCCTGAGGAACACCGCACAAGATAGTGCGGGGACTGCAGGAGAAGCCGTTTGCTGTGATGAAGTGGAGGCGGTGTGAAAGGTAGGACCTGAACCAGTCAAGGATAGAGCCTTGAAAGTTGAGGTGGGAGGAGAGGCGGTGGAAGAGTGGTCCACTGTATCAAAGGCGGCGGAGAGGTCGAGGAGGACGAGGAGGCAGAGGGAGCCCTGGTCACACATGGTCAGGATGATATTAAGGTTTACAACAGAGCAGATGGTCTGGATACAAAGTTAGCTGAACTCAGGAGAGAAAAGTGCACATATGAACTGCTGCTGGCTCAAATATGTACAAGAATTCTGTGCATCATACAGAAGCTAGTTTGTGGAACTACTTCATTGGGCCATATACTTTAGTTTGGCCAACTAATCTCTGATCTCCTTCTCCTCTGTCACCACCTCCACTCAGCTAACTCAAGCCTGCTATACATCCCCCACCCTCTCTGCAAGATCATTGGTGCCGGGGCCTTTAGTTCCTAATCCCCTAACCTATGGAACTCCCTCCACCACTCTCACCCCCTCTCGGTCTTTAAGTAAAATCATAAACCCTACCTCTTCACCTCCCTCAGTATTCAATTGTGCACACACAGGTGTGTAGGTGTGTATCCTTACACTACAGAAGTAGTTAATTACCTTCATTATAAAGTGCTTTGAAACATCCTCTTCACATGAAAGGCACTGTATACGTTCTATTCTAGCTTTCAACATCCAACATTAACTAACCAATTCAATAATAATGCTTGCATTTGATATGGAACCTTATCACATCATCAAGATGTCTCAAAGTACTTCATGGGATATACTATAAAGTGGTTTTGTCTGTATATGAAACATGTACAGGCAAAACCCACAATCTCCCCTAAAGTATTCACTAAATTAAACTGATTGGAATTCTTAGAAAAACATCTCTGTGCATTAATGCAAAGGAGAAAATATAAATGGGCAGCAGCTTATACTGTTACAAAAAAAGTTTCCAAAAATGCAGCTTTTTGCTCCAAAAATGTATACAAGTTCTATCATCATTTTGGCTGACAAAATGTACACTTAATTTACCCATTCCTTGGGCTGAATTATTAAAAGTAAAGTTGAAGTGTTTGGTGGTCTTCACCATAGCATAGTATGTAGCTTCTTTACCAGTGGATCAATCTGCGGCCACAAATCTGGCCAAGCACAGTAAGCCTTATACAAAAGGGTACAGTTAAAATATTACATATTTATTCCTAGTACTATTTTCTTTTTAACTTTGAAAGTTGTACCCTGTCAACACACCAGCAACAATGTATATTACACTTTTTCAGAATGCACACCAAGTATTAACACAATTGGATTCAACTTTTTCCTCTTACACTCCTCTGCCTTTCCAGCTTTTTGCCAACATAACCTTCTCATGCCTTTATTTTCTCCCTGGAAATACATTATAGGGCAACCCAATTATAACATGCTGTTTTGCGATTCATAAAATTAGACATTCTACACATCAACTGCCTACAACAAAAATGTACACCAGTTCACGTCTGGTTTGAGAGGTTACTGCTGAAGTAAATTATGGCACAGACTTGCCACTTATTGTGTGTAACATAAATATTTTCATATGACTTGGTGCCCTGCATGTTGGGGTGGGTGGGGGGTAAACATCACTAAGTGCTTCCCAGGATTTTCAAAATCTGACGATTTTGTAAGCAAACATTTGGAGGAATCCAACCAGTGAATTATAACTATTCGAGCATCAATACTAGAAACACTTGCAGGAGTAGTTGAGACCAACCAGTCTGCTTCCTACGTGCAGAAAGTGAGCCAATCCTCACCAGAAGCAAACCACACTTGCAGTAACTGCAGGTCCATAGTGTTATGAAGGAACTTGGCGAGACACCAAGCAGTGTAGTTGTCCTGGATATAGTTATTTCCAGAAGATCATCCATTCTTTGGTCGCCTCATTAACTTTAAGTTCTGTCTACATTGTGATTCAGGTGGGCGCAAGAGAGGCCCTGCTAAAGACACATGGAATAGTTCTAGTTAATCCTGCTCGATCATCCTTTCCTAATCCAAATTTACCCCCAAAATGCAACTTAAATGACTGCTCCTTATGGATTAAGGAATATTGCTGGCAGATTAGCTGCTGCATTTTCTGGTCTATTATAATTTTGTAAAGGTACTTTGAGACTTTGGCAATTATACAAATGCGAATTATTAAGTTATCATTTAGCACAAAATAGTTAATGGGTTCAATTATTCATTGCATTAGTCGACCAGTATGAAGTTTGGTCAGATTCAAATACATTTTGTTTAACAGTCAACTTTATAATCCTTGCATTTGTTTCTTGGACAATTACAACAGAAATTTATATAGTATCCTTCAACAACTTCCATTTACAGTATATAGCACCCTACACGCAGGTTAGTGTCTCAAAGCGCTTAACTTTCGTGGAGCTTGAAACCAAATGGGGAGAGATGGAAGATGACCTTAGACACGGTAGAAGAGATCTGAAGATGAGCAGGTGGAGGGATTGAGGGGGAGAGTTTGAGTCTCAGAGTGTGGTGGCGGAAAGTACAGCCAATGATGGTGGAGCAGAGGGGATGGGGGACGTGCAGGAGGTGGGATCCAGCTGAGCAGGCGAGGGAGTTAAATAATCAGGGGTGGGCAAGAAACTATCGATTGGAAAACTAAGCTACATCCTTACGTTTCACTACTTTGACAAAAATGATAGTCATTATATTCGCAATGGTAGATCTTTGCTTTTTTGTAGACATAACTGGAAGAGAGAATTAGAGTAAATAAGTCCTATTAACAGTAACTTCAAAATGTTCAACTTTCAAACACCCAACAATGCCAAAGCTGATGTCAACAAAAATCCTCCCCAAATTATATTGTACTTACATATTTTCCTAATATCAGTGAAGATACAAGGTTAAAGAATGCAAAACATCCAAAAATCATTCCAACAATGGTGTCACTGACGCCTTTATTTTCTGCCTGGAAATACAAATATAGCATTGCCAATGAGCTGCTCAAAACAATTCATACAAATTAACGAAATGCATTTATATCCTATAAATGTGGGGAATTATAGTAACACATGGCTTCACCTCTCCACAAGAAAGAAAAATAACTACATACAAGCCTTTGTAAACAAGTTACCAACTACAAAAACTCAATATGTTAAAAGTATTTTACACTAATACAGTGGTTGCAGAGAAGAAATGGAACAAGTGTAGGGGGCATCAATTCTCCATGGTAAAGTTAGATGATCCCGGCATCTCCTTTAAATTATGTACTACAAGATATTTAGGTTCATTCAGAAATTATGGGAAAAAATTCCCAAAGCAAATGTTAGGATCTACAAAATAGACATGGTAATTATTAGGGTTCACGGGTAGAATTGTATACATTACCTCCTTCGGAAAGAAAGGTCCCAAAATAGAATAGCAAATCATAGAACTAAAGTTCACTGATGCAGATGATACTAATGTGAATATTTGATATCTCGTCATCTTTGTTGACTCTCTTGGGTTTTCATGCTGCAAATCACTTGAACCTGTTACAGAATAACAAGAATAAAGACCTCCCACAAGCAAGTCACATTACACACTTTCACATGGGGTAGAGATCAGGAAACCCAAATTTTGTCCTCTCAAGCCAAGGATGTTGAGACCAATTTTCTAACACACACATGTTCAGCATCAAACCATAGCAACTCTTATGAACTATTCAATTTGGCTGCACAATTTTAAACATGAAAACATCACACTGGTTATAAAGCTAGAATACTATAAAGTTTGTAGAATGCAATGTTTGTTGCACAAGTAGAAGGTTGCAGAACTTTTTCAACAATGTGCATGTCTGACCTCTCGGCAATATCCTGTGTATTTTGATTTGAAAAAGTATTGATAACTGCAAAGTACACTATTTCTATATTTCCCAGGTTAATTATATGCAACAACAACAACTTGCATTTATAAAGCACCCTTCATGCGGGGTAGCACTTGGCAATGAGCCAGGGAGAGAGGGAGGGAAAGGTGGCCATAAGCACAATGAAAAAGGAAGGTCTTTGGATGGGATTTGAAGGTGGGAGGGTGGGGGCAAGGCGGAGGGATTGAGGGAGAAAATTCCAGAGTTTTCGGGGCATAGTGGCCGAAGGCACGACCACCGATGGTGGAAAGGAATGGAAAAGGGACAAAAGGAGGCTGAGACGGCCAAGCGGAGGCAGTGGGTGGGGGAGTGGGGATTAAGCAGGTTGTATAGGTAGGGAGGTGCGAGGGCACAAAGTGATTTGAAAACAAGTGAGAGGATCTTGAAATCGATCCGGTCAGTAATTGGGAGCCAGTGGAGCCTGGTAAGGACTGGTGTGATGGCGGTGAGTATGCACTGAATCGGCACTTCCAATAAAGACACAAAACATAAGACAATGCTATAGAAATTGGTAATGCATTGAATTTACAATTTTTTTAAAAATCGCAATTTTTTCCTTTTAAAGAAACAAGAGGTTGAAGCGCTCAATAAAGATTGAGCACAACTAATGTGCAATGATGGTGCAAGTTAGTAACCTGGAGGACAACTTTGACTATACTGTTCAAGTGCTTACTCAAGTAAAATGTGTTACAAGTGGTCAAGAATACCATAAATAAATAATAATCCTTGCATTTGATATAGCACTTTTCAAGTCTTCTAGATGCCTCAAAGCGCTTCACAGAATATGCTGTAAAGTGAATTGACTGTATATTTGTGGGCGAAAAGCAGCAGCCAATTGTGCACAGCAGTGTCCCACAAACAGTTGTGGATTGAAAATGACCAATTTATTATTGTTTAGGAGGGATTATTATTAGGCGTGTGGAGTAAGGAAACTTGCCCAAGGTTTCGACCTGCCGGGAATTGAACCCAGGTATCTTGCTTGGAATACAAGTGCTCTAACCACTGAGCTACAGGACTATTTCAATTGCTCTTCAAGTCTTGTTCTATTGGTTTGATATTTGGAAATTTCCAAGTTTTTCATCTTTTATTTTGCTTTTGTGATTTTTTATCTGTTTTTGAAGCCCTGAATGATTTTCTTTGTCCTGTACTGAAGCTTGCAATGCAGTATTCAGTTTACATTCAGAAAATTTACCAGAATTTACCATGATTCAGTCTACCATAGAGGAAAGGAACACCAGCACAAAGTCAGCAGCTTGGCAACAAGCTTTCATCCATCACATACAGTTATGCAACTTTGTTATGGATGCAGGGTAGAACTAAAGAGTCATTAATAACAATTCAGAGCCTTTAAACTAGGATGCTAAATAGGATAGAGAAAGCAAACCAAGAATAATATTTTAATACACCAAGATATCAGGATAAGCCGGTCCAGGATTGTGAAGAGCTTTTTTTCAGGACAAATTTACACTGAAGGCAAGTCGTGGACTGGGATTACCATTGAATGAATACTTAAAAGCTTCAAGAACATGAAGCATATAAATTCTTTCATCCAAGCAATTCTCTCTTGATAATGAACATTCTGCTGTCAAACTCTTCACCAACCTATTCAGGGAAGGCAACACCAAGGAACTATGGAAATTCTCTTCACTCTTAAAAGTAATTTAATAGTGCTTTTCAAGTCAGGAGGATGCCTCAAAGAATTTACTACAGAGTGTAGAGACTTTTTGGGGGTTATCGCAGCAGTCAATTTTACACATAGCAATGTCCCATAGGTACAATAAACCACTAACCAGATTGGACAGTAGAAAATGAGAACACATTACAAATCTCTTCCTGAAGATCAATTTCTCAGGTTTTAAACAAATTAGCTCATTCACATCCAGCTGTAAATGAAAGAGGATCTAGACAACAATGAGTAATAAAAGGGTCTGCGGTTTCACCTTTTAGCTAAAAATTGACCCATGAAAAGTTTTAAATAGACATGAATTCTAATTCCTGGGAAAATGCTGGAACACCTATCAGCCTCTGTGCTGGCATGTAAAGTTTAGTGTCCCAATAAAACAAGCACTTCTGGAAAATACATTTGGGTTTAGTTAGGCAGAAAAATTAAATTTGGAAAGAGTCTTTTGAAAATAATTGTTTTCCAACTTCACAATGGTTTAATGGGCAAATTCGCTGCAGCATTAGGCCATATAAATGAGCTGTTTCAGGCTCAGATTACCATCCGGGCTGTTAACTGATCTCCAACCAAAATAGTGTCCCATCACCCTTGAATTGGGGAGGACAAGACAGAATGGCTGCTCCCAATTAATATCCAGTGACCCATGCAATTATGTGAACATAGAAGTGGACTCAGCTGTGATAAGTAGACACCAGTTAACTAGCTTCCAAACACAAACTTCACATACTTGGGCAAGGTAATGTAAGAATATATTTGTGATCTTTCATGTTTTTTAAGGCTTTTAATGAACCTTTATATACATTTAGAATGTAACCTACCCATAATCCTTTAATAAGGTTTGTTTGATTTAATAAGGTTTGTTTGATTTAATAACTAACTTAGCAGAGGTTAAAAGCAGCTTTGCTGGTGGACCGGTTGAAGTCAGCTTCTCATTACATTTCATGTTTTCCTGGGAAGATGTACACTCCTCTGAGATAATGAGCAATCAGGTCCTTAAGCAGAGATGTAAGAACAATGGACCACAGAAAGAAAAGGCGGTAGCCTCAGACATAAAAAATAGCAGCAAGAGTAGGCCATTCGGCCCCTCAAGCCTGCCCCGCCACTTTAATAAGATCATGGCTGATCTTCTAACCCAATTCCATTTACCCACCCTATCCCCACATCCCTTTAGTTTTTAAAAATCTATCGATCTCAGTCTTGAATATGTTCAATGACTGATCATCCACAGCCTTCTGGGGTAGAGAATTCCATAAATTCACTACCCTCTGAGTGAAGACGTGAAAGGCGCTCTATAAATGTAATTTTGTTGTTGAAGAAATGTTTTCTCAACTCAGTTCTAAAAGACACCTTGCTCTCTCAAGATTAAGAAACAAGCAGGCTGTGGAAGGCTTTCTAGAAATTGTCCATATCTCCCTCTCTGCAAAGCAGCTTGTGATCAGTGGGGGTATCTCTGTGACCAGGGGAGATGGAGTTAGAAACAGATTAAAGAAAGATGTAGCTTTGAAATTGTTGAAATCGTCGTAGAGGGTCAGTGCACTTCCCAGTGGAATTAATATTGATTCTATTATACCTATGGTCTCCGTTTTAAGAATAAGTTAGGCTGTTTTTACTCCACTGTATTGGTTGTCTACATCCAAATCTCTTACAGTACCATATGGCAACTAGTACACATTGGAAAAAGTAAACCCCTTTGAGGAGAATTTCATATAATATACATAAACTATAAAAGGTAAAGTAAAAGATTGTTAAAGAATAAATGTTAGGCAATAGCCAGACTCAGTAGGGACCAATTTTCCATGGGTGATTTCAAGCTTCCTATTGGTACTTTGCACTTAATCCAGACTTACGTTACAATGCAATCCTGGGATGTTGCTGCAATGTCAGAGGTGCTATGCTTCAAATGAAACATTAAACCTGTTCAAGTGGACATCAAAAGATCTTGTGGCACAACTGTACTGTATGCAAAAAGTTTCTCCCAATGTGCTGGCCAACAGTTCCTCAGAAAACAATGGTCATTCACTCATAGCTGAGTGTGGGCGTTGCTGTGCACAAATGGTGCATTGTATAAAACAGTGAATACATAGTAATCCAGAGAAGCACTTTGAGCACTATGTCAAATGCAAGATTATAAACAGCAAAAAAAACTTGATAAAATGCACAGAGGCTCATCTCAGAAAAACTTGATGTCTGAAGGGAATTATCAGTGAAATTAAAAATTTTACATGCAAATGCTCATCTCAAAGTGATGTTTCAAAGTTATATTCATATCACATCTTTCATGTCAGGATGACATTTTTCTTCAAAGGAAAACTGCCATACATAATGTACTCTTTTGTCTCTGGAACTCCATCCCCCAGTGCCTCCGCCTTGCTTCCCCCTTTCCTCCTGCAAGGCCGGTCTCAAGACCTTTCTCTTCAACTGTGCCTTCAGCTCCCCTCTCGACTCTCTACCCCCTCCTCGCTCCCTCCCTTCCCTCCCCTCACCCTGACCATTTCCCCCCTGCTCGGGTCCCGACCCAACCGTCCAGCGCCTCGGGACGTCCTCCCGACGTGAAAGGCGCTCTATGAACGCAATCTTGTTTTTTTTAAAAAAAAGTGATTTTAAACAATCTAAATAAAGATAATTCCAAGATTAAACCTGGAATTCAATAAAGGCTCGCCAACAAATAGTTATAACACAACGGGGCTTTGTTTTAACAATCCAGAGCATTGGGATTTCTAAGCCACTGTTCCTGCTTTCAGTAAATAAAATTTCAAGGTTATCAACAACGTTTAAGTACCTAAACCTCTCAACGCTGTTCACCTGGAGTTCAGTAACACAACAACTCTGTAACACACTGCCCCCACCATCAGGCATTGGCACAGCAGAGACTGTGAGCTTTCCAGATTGAACACACACACACATATAATATATATAAACACATACATAGTAAATACACATATATATAACACATACATATAATAAATACATATATATATATAATAAACACATACATATAATAAATATATATATAAACACATAAACCCACACCTGTATAAAAGACACATATTTATAATAAACACACACACAGTCTCCAGAGGTACAGCCCCACAGGGCCTCTCGCTGTGGAACATATAAAAAGGAAATGAAATGTCCGTCACCTTGGATTGTGCTGTAATCTGCAGAGACGAGCAGTGCCCGGGTCTCCTCTGCCGCCGCCGCGCTCATCCCGCCCTGCCCTGCCCTGCCCTCCCTCCCGCCCTGCCTGTCCTGCCCTGCCTCCCGCCCTGCCTGTCCTGCCCTGCCCTGCCTCCCGCCCTGCCTGCCCTGCCCTGCCTCCCCTGTCCTGTCCTGCCCTCCCTGCCTGCCCGCCTGTCCTGCCTGCCCTGCCCTCCCTGCCTGTCCTCCCGCCCTGCCTGTCCTGCCCTGCCCTGCCCTCCCTGCCTGCCCGCCTGTCCTGCCTGTCCTGCCCTCCCTGCCTGCCCGCCTGCCCTGCCCAGCCAGCCTCGCACCCACAGCCCGCGGTCGGCACCACAGGCACAGCGAGAGGCTGGAGCTTCAGTCAGACACCCTCGGGGGGGGGGAGGGCTGTGGCTCAGACCCTCGGGGGGGGGGGGGAGGGCTGTGGCTCAGACCCTGGGGGGGGGGGAGGGCTGTGGCTCAGACACTCGGGGGGGAGGGCTGTGGCTCAGACACTCGGGGGAGGGGGGGGGGAGGGCTGTGGCTCAGACACTCGGGGGGGGGGGGGGGGGGGGGGAGGGCTGTGGCTCAATCCCTCGGGGGGAGGGGGGGAGGGCTGTGGCTCAGACACTCGGGGGGGAGGGCTGTGGCTCAGACACTCGGGGGAGGGGGGGGGAGGGCTGTGGCTCAGACACTCGGGGGGAGGGCTGTGGCTCAGACACTCGGGGGGGAGGGCTGTGGCGCAGACCCTCGGGGAGGGGGGGAGGGCTGTGGCTCAGACCCTCGGGGGGGAGGGGGGGTGGAGGGCTGTGGCTCAGACCCTCGGGGGGGGGGGGGAGGGCTGTGGCTCAGACCCTGGGGGAGGGCTGTGGCTCAGACCCTCGGGGGAGGGGGAGAGGGAGGGCTGTGGCTCAGACCCTCGGGGAGGGAGGGCTGTGGCTCAGACCCTCGGGGGGGGGGGGGGGAGGGCTGTGGCTCAGACCTCGGGGGGGGGGGGGGGCTGTGGCTCAGACCCTGGGGGAGGGGGGAGGGCTGTGGCTCAGACCCTGGGGGAGGGGGGGGGAGGGCTGTGGCTCAGACCCTCGGGGGGAGGGGGGGGGGAGGGCTGTGGCTCAGACCCTCGGGGGGGGGGGGGAGGGCTGTGGCTCAGACCCTGGGGGGGGGGAGGGCTGTGGCTCAGACCCTGGGGGGGGGAGGGCTGTGGCTCAGACCCTCGGGGGGGGGGGAGGGGAGGGCTGTGGCTCAGACCCTGGGGGAGGGCTGTGGCTCAGACCCTGGGGGAGGGGGGAGGGCTGTGGCGCAGACCCTCGGGTGGGAGGGAGGGCTGTGGCTCAGACCCTCGGGGGAGGGGGGAGGGCTGTGGCTCAGACCCTGGGGGGGGGGGAGGGCTGTGGCTCAGACCCTGGGGGAGGGCTGTGGCGCAGACCCTCGGGTGGGAGGGAGGGCTGTGGCTCAGACCCTCGGGGGGAGGGGGGAGGGCTGTGGCTCAGACCCTGGGGGGGGGGGGGGGGCTGTGGCTCAGACCCTGGGGGGGGGAGGGCTGTGGCTCAGACCCTGGGGGGGGGGGGGGGGCTGTGGCTCAGACCCTGGGGGGGAGGGCTGTGGCTCAGACCCTCAGGGGAGGGGGGAGGGCTGTGGCTCAGACCCTCGGGGGGGGGGGGGAGGGCTGTGGCTCAGACCCTCAGGGGAGGGGGGGAGGGCTGTGGCTCAGACCCTGGGAGGGGGGAGGGCTGTGGCGCAGACCCTCGGGTGGGAGGGAGGGCTGTGGCTCAGACCCTCGGGGGGAGGGGGGAGGGCTGTGGCTCAGACCCTGGGGAGGGGGGAGGGCTGTGGCTCAGACCCTCGGGGGGGGGGGGGGCTCAGACCCTCAGGCCGGAGCCGTGCCCTGACAGGTTGCTGGTGTTTGATCGTGGGGTTGGTTTGTGACCAGGACGGCAGCTGTGGGGATATTAACTGCTCCGCGGGTTTGCAGCCGCTTCTGCTCTGGTTTATCATCTCCACGTGATTCACAGGAGGGGACGTTTTCTTGCAAGTCGCCATCTGCAGTTTCGTTCTCTCACAACTTAAAGGAGAAGAACAGACCTGGAGGCCTTTCCATTGTTAAATGACATGTTTTGTTTATTCGTTTCAATTCCGTATTTCAAAGGTCATCGCGTTGAAAGGTGACAGTGTTGAAGAATGAAATATCTTTTCATTTGGTATCTGTCGCATATCAAGCATTTTCCGCTGCTCAACTGCAGCACATTTGAGCTCACTTTCTCCCTCTATACCTGAAACCCAGCATCTGAATTGTACCCAACTCTCCCCGATGGCTCAACATAAACTCATGCGCCATGCAATTGTAATTAATAACTAATAACTAATTAATTAATAATACTTTCATACCATTACTGTAAATATAACTTGACAATACCTCTTTAGGATTCAGATTCATAGTGACAACAATAATAATCCTTGCATTTGCTATAGCGCCTTATCACGTCTTCAAGATGTATGAAAGCCAATCACAAAACATACTCTAAAATGAATTGACTGTATTTTTTTTTGGGGGGGTGGTGGTGGAATTGTATTATAGTATTAATATCATTATGAAATAGTATTGTTCTTCTATCATTTGAATCCCTATTCCGGATTCTAAGTAACATACTCTAAAATGAATTGACTGTATATTTTTTTTTGGGGGGTGGGGGGTGGTGGTGGAATTGTATTATAGTATTACTATCATTATGAAATAGTATTGTTCTTCTATCATTTGAATCCCTATTCCGGATTCTAAGTAGCAAAAATAATAATCCTTGGATTTGATATTGTGCCTTCGAAGTTATAATGTTGCAAAGTGATGGGTTTCCAGATGTGCCGGACCAGCTGGCTGACCAAATAAAATCACATGAAAAACAATGCCTTACAGTAACAACAGTAGCACAAATTGCAATTATATGGTGCCTTTCACAACGGGAGGATGTCCCAAGGAGCAGGACAGAAGAGGGTTTGCCCCCAAGATGGATTTGGATTTCCCAACATTCTTCGCCAGTAATTGCCAGCATCAGGAATTATGGTGAGTTCGTTTTTTATATATACATTATTTCATCCACAAAATACACAATCAATCCAACTTTACAGTATATCTTTAGAAGCGCTTTGAGACGTCCCAACCACATGATAAGGTTTTATATCAAATGCAAGTATTATTGTTGTATATGATCCCTGCTTCCTGACTGTCCAGCGCCTCGGGACGTCCTCCCAATGTGAAAGCGTTAAACAAATGTCATTTTGTATAGTATTATAACTTAATAATATATAATAATAATAGTATTGTATTATATTATATACACGTGCCCCCGGATTTGTATAATGTATAATGGCGTGTGATCGGGCATTCTGATGTGAGGAGGGGTGGGGGATGAAGGGGTCCTGCCGCCGGGCCCGGCCATTGAAGAGGTGACATCAGCGGCGGGTCAGTGAGTCAGTGACAGGGAGAGGAGTTCCCCCCCTCCCCCTCTCCCAGCACTCACCAGCCCCGGGCTCCCCGCTCCCTGAGGGCGTCCACCACAGGAGCGAGTGAAAGCTCACCCTGTGCCCGGGCCCACACTCCCCCCCCCCCCCCCGACACACAGTGTCTGTAATGCAGGCAGGAAGACTCCTCGGGGTGTCTCCCCCCCACTGCCGGCCTGCACACACCAGACCCTGCAAAACATGCCATTTGTGACTGCACACAAAGTACCCCCACACTTATGTAGCTTATATAAATAAGCTACGTTGTTGAAATGATGAATTAATTTGTCAGATACCCCTTCAATCTTCTGATGAGTGAATCATTTTATTCTGACAACCTTGTGACTTGAACCCTCAACATTCTCATCAAAGTGTGGTGAAGACTGCAGGTTAATGAGAAGTAAAATAATTGTAGAATATATAATTACGAGAGGAAGCTGTCTACTCTTTTTTATATAATGGCATGTCGTCCTTTTTGTAGCATAATTGCTGGAGGTGCAATGGATGTTAATACCGCACTTCAAGAAGTGCTGAAAACGTCATGCATCCACATTGGCTAAGCTCGGGGCATCCGTGAAGCCGCCATGGCATTGGACAAGTGAGTACCTCAAGCAAGTCCTGCCGTTGAGCCAGGGTGGCTGTGCTGTCATCAGCAGCAGCGCTGGTGTACTGCGGACCCACCTGGTTCACGAACTAGACTCCTGGGACTGATAAAAATGTTGCCTTTGATTTAATAAATCTGCTGAAATATTTTAATGGCATGATTTGATGTTGAGATTTGTTTGAGAATTAGTAATTAACTGGTGTCAACTGAATTTAAATATGGGAGTACAGTTTGATCAGTGAAACAGCTTCTTAAACTTTGTAGTCAGAAAAATATCCTGAAATTACATTGATTTCATTGAAGGTATGTTTATGTAAGTAACAAATCAACCTGAAACCTGCTGATCCGCTAACTCAAAGATGTGCTTTTTCAAACAGAATGCCCACCTGCGTGTCATGTCAAAGAAGAAAAACCTCACAAAGTTGTCGACTGCAGTTGTAAAGGTGTGTTAGAGAATCATAGAATATTGCAGCACAGAAGGAGGCCGTTCGGCCCTACGTGTCTGTAGCGGCTCTTTGGAAGAGCTACCCAATCAGTCCCACTCTCCCGCTCTTTCCCTGTATCCTTGCAAATGTTTTCTCTTCAAATACCTATCCAATTCCCTTTTGAAAGTTGTTATTGAATTTGTTTCCACCACCCTTTCTTGCAGTGCATTTCAGAGCATAACAACTCACTGTGTAACAATAACAAAATTACATCTGTATAGCACCTTTCACATCGGGAAATAGGCGCTGGACAGACAGAGTTACGGACCCAAGCTGGGGGTCGGGGAGTGTGGAGGGCAAGGGGGGAAGCAGAGAGATCAAAAGCACGGTCGAAGAGGAGGGTCTTAAAATGGGTCTTGAAGGAAGCAAGGGAGGGGATGAGGCGGAGGGACTGCGGGATGGAGTTTCAGAGGGTGGGGTCAAAGTGGCAGGAGGCCTGTCTGCCAATAGTGAAGCAGTCTGGAGCCCGCTGAGCGAAGGGAGTGAGCAGAATGTCGAGGTAAAAGAATTTCTCCTCATCTCTCCTCTGGTTCGATTGCTAATTATCTTGAATCCATGTCTGGTTACTGACCCACAGTTTCTCCCTATCTACTGTTATCAAAACCCCTGATAATTTTGAACACCTCTATTAAATCTTCCCTTAACCTGCTCTGCTCTAAGGAGAACAATCCCAACTTCTCTAGCCTCGCCGCATAACTAAAGTCCCTCATCCCTGGTACCATTCAGGTAAATCTTATCTGCACCCTCTTTAAGGCCTAAACCTCCTATAGAGTTGATTGTATTGTTTATGATTAAGAAGTATACAGAATTTTTATAAACAAACCAATGGCTTAATGAGTAAATATACTCCAAGACATAATTGGCATACAGACTGGTTGGGTTTGATCTTGTCCTGTATTCAATTTGTTACTCTCGACCAGAGTGGTATTTAACAAATCTCTATATTTGTTGGGGGGGAGGGGGAGATATAGACCCATGACAATTCAACGACATGGGGTGCAGGTGGCAATGAGCTTCATCTGTGATTCTGTCAACAGTCAAATAGCCTGCAAAGCCTCATTGTCCAGGCTCATATTTAAAGAACTGTTACTTGGAGAGGTACTGGGCGGCTGCAAATGTACTCTGGCACTCATTCCAGGGGATCATCATTGATATGTTGAATTAGATAGCGTTACTTTAATGATATTCTGAACCAAATTTGAAATCTTGTGTCATTTGTCTGTGTCTTATAGCTGCTGATCTGACAGTGTTCTGTATCAGTATTGAATAAAATTGGCAGAAAAGAAAGTCAGATGTGCGAGCCTTAGGGATTCTTCGTATAGTCCATAAGGTCCTTTAAAATGACTCCATTAGAAAAAAAACTAAGGAAATTCTGACATGTTCAAAACTGGTATAACTACCATAGCCTGGGTTTCAATAGGAGAAATTGTCTAGTTTTAAAATGTTGTGATGTACAATTCTCAAAAATATTTTTTCTCTTTTCTAGGAATATGGCAACGAAATTCCCGCCAAAGATGTAATTGAAGAATACTTCAACTCAAAGAAACAGACGATGCAGAAATAAAGAACAAGCTTCATTTACTGACTTTTTATTTTGATGCTGGCCTATTTTCTGTTTGTCACGAGGCAAAGTGCATTAAACGTATCTCCTAATCCCTGATAAGAAACGGATTGCAAAAATATGTCTAGGACTATTACTAACCCAAGCAACCACACATACAAATGAAAATCTAAGTACATTTTACAGAAATTTATTTATTTGGGATCTTACCAGTTTATCCTTATATATTCTTTATTCTTGCAAATTGATTTAATTTCCAAAATATTACTAGCTGATGGTAGATACCAACCTTTGATCGCTTGGCTCCATCTACTGAATGTAAATGGTGAGGAAATGCCAAAGTGATTGAGATGCAGTATGTGGTGATATGTCATTGATCTTGTATTGCTGAAGGCTATACATATTTGAGGGTAATACTCAGTTTTTAACTTTCACAAATACTGGAAATGAAATTTTAAAATTCCGACCAGAGTGGTGATTGAAAAGATAGTTGGATCCCGTTTAAACAAGTCTATGTAATGCTGGCTTCTTGTGCATAATAATAATAATAAGCCTTGCATTTGATACAGCATTTTTCACGTCTTTGAGACATCTCAAATCGCATCACAGAATATACTGAATATACAACAACAAAATTACATTTGTATAGCGCCTTTCATGTCGGGAGGATGTCCCAAGGCGCTGGACAGACAAAGTTTCGGACCCGAGCTGGGGATTGGGGAGGGTGGAGGGCAGGGGGTGAAGCAGGGTGATCGAAAGTAGGGTCAAAGAGGAGGGTCTTGAGATGGGTCTTGAAGGAGGCAAGGGAGGGGGCAATGTGGAGGGACTGCAGGATGGAGTTCCAGAGGGTGGTGGTAGAGTGGCAGAAGGCCCGCCTGCCAATAGTGGGGCGAGCAAGGCGGGGGACATGAAGCAGGTGAGCGGAGGGAGTGAGTAGGATGGTAAGGGGTTAGGAGGTCGCAGAGGTAAAGGAAGCAAGACCATGAAGGGCTTTTAAGGTGAGGACCAGGATCTTGAACTGTATCCTCTGTGTGATGGGAAGCCAGTAGAGTCGGGTGAGGATAAGGGTGATAGGATCACGGAGCCTGGTGCGGGAGAGGATGTGGGCTGCAGAGTTCTGGATGATCAGCAGCCCATGGAGGGAGGAGTGGAGAGGTCAATAAGCAATGAATTTGCGTAGTCAAGCCTCAATGTAATGAAGGTGTATGAGGGTTTTGGCAGCCTGCGGTGTAAGACAGTGGCGGAGCCGGGCGACATTGCAGAGGTGGGGGAAGGCAGAGCAGGTCATGGCACAGATGTGGGTTAGAAAGGATAGTTGAGGATCAAACAAGACCCCAAGGTTCTGGACTGGCTTAGCAAGGTGGAGTGTGCAACCACGGGTGGTGATGCTGTCAGCGCCTGAGGTGTGGAGGCGTTGACGGGACCAATTAGGAAAGCCTCGGTCTTGTTGACATTCAATTGAAGAAAATTAGCTCTCATCCAGGACTTGATGTCTGACAGACATTCTGTCAGGACAGCAGTGGCCCTGGAGTCAAGGGTGAGGCAGAGAGGTAGAGTTGGGTGTCATCCGCATACATGCGGAAGTTGACCCCATGTCTGCGGATGATGTCACCAAGAGGGAGCATATAAATATTGAAGAGGAGGGGACCAAGGATGGAGCCCTGAGGAATGCCACACACGACACTGCGGGGGCTAGAGCAGAAACCATTTGTGGAGATGAAGTGGAAGCGATATGAGGTACAATCTGAACCATTCAAGGACAGAGCCATGAAGTTTGAGGTGAGGGGAGAGGTGGATGATGGTAGAGTGGTCAACAACAACAACAAGATTTCATTTATAGAGCGCCTTTCACGTTGGGAGGACGTCCCAAGGCGCTGGACAGTTGGGTCGGGACCCGAGCAGGGGGGAAATGGTCAGGGTGAGGAGAGGGAAGGGAGAGAGCGAGGAGGGGGTAGAGAGTCGAGAGGGAAGCTGAAGGCACAGTCAAAGAGAAAGGTCTTGAGACCGGCCTTGAAGGAGGAAAGGGAGGAAACGGCGAAGGCACTGGGGGATGGAGTGCCAGAGCCTAAAAGCTGAGAGGCTGAAGGCCCGGCCACCGATGGTAGGGCGGTCAGGGCGGGGGTTGTGGAGACCGGAGCCAGAGGATCGGAGGGTACGGGCAGGTAAGTGGGGGATAGTAGGTCGGAGAGGTAGGAGGGAGCAAGACCATGAATGGCCTTGTAGGTGAGATGTCAGAGGCAGCAGAGAGGATGAGGAGGCAGATGGACATAATGTCATTTGTCACCTTGACCAGGGCTGTTTTTGTGCTTTGGGCGACACGGAAAACCGGAGGGGTTCGTGAATGGAGTGACGGGAGAGGAAGAAGCGAGCTGGGAAGCAACAACTCATTCCAGGACCTTGGAGAGGAAGGGGAGGTTGGAGATGGGGCGGTAGTTTGGGAGTAGAGATGGGTCCAGGGTAAAGTGAATTGACTACATTTGTGCATACAGCAATTGGCAATTGGCGAAAAGCGGCAGCCAGTTGCGCACAGCACTGTCCCACAAACAGTCATGGATTGAGTGACCAAATTATTATTGTTTTTTTTTCTTGAGGGATTATTATCAGGCATGTGGAGTAAGGAAACTTGGCCAAGATTTCGCCCTGCGGGAATCAAACCCAGGTCTTTTGCTTGCGAGGTGAGTGCCCTAACCACTGAACTATAGGAATCCACTTTTCATCCTTGCAGAAGGCATTGTGTCAGTAGTGTCCCAGTGCTGCTTCAGTGGGCATGAGGGAAGGGCATATTGCTCAAGGTGGAAGAAAGCTAGTTTGATGATAAGAGTTGATGTGGGATTTGAAATTCAGCTCTGGAACACTCAGGTTCAGCCTGAATGAGCAGCCAAGGAATGGAAGTATAGGTGCTGGTGAGAGGTAAACAAGGTAGCTCCAATTTTGATGTGAAGTTGTAGAAACGTTTGTTGATTTGATGACAGAGAAGCAGCTTATACTTAGGTTTGGGTGACGGAGTGGGGGTGGTAAGCAGATTCAACTTGGAGCTGAACTAGGTCCAAGGTGGCATATTTGGCATTGGAATGTCAGAATTGAGGCAATCTTCTTGTGGTCCTGGTAGTCTGGTTCCTGAGCCTGATGACAGCACAGCCAGCCTTGCTCATTGTGGGGGGGGGGGGGGGGGGGGGGGGCAGACGGAAGGCAAACCAATCCTTAGGGGTTGGGATTCATCCCATTCAGTTCTTGTTAACCAAAGCATTAATAGGTAGGGTGGTCTGAGCTGGATAAATGGTAGGAACCATTTTCAATGGCAAGCTATGGAGTTTTAGCTGTGTCTAACTTGTATTCTGGTCGCCAAGCCTTGGCCAACCTGCACCTAATACTTTTGGAATTAGGTAATATGTGTGTTCCATTGCGGGTGTAAATTTTCATGTGCAAGTAGAATGCTGTCTGGTTTGGATACTCAAAAAGCGTTGATGGGTTTCTGTGCATGTCAGTTACACGGCTGACAAAAAAAAAAGCCACTCCCCTGGAATCGACAGAAGTGACTGAAAGGTGAAGTTGGTTATTGTCATAACATATTTACAAAGTAATGTGCAATCACCCACTCCAATAAAAAATTTCAGATTTTTTGAATTGTACATAAGCTTTGAATAATATGTGTGGGGATGCATGTACAATAGAAAGCTGATAAAGTACACTCATGTGGACAGGCACTATTGTAAATGAGCAAAACAATGTGAATAGACATCATGCAAATTGAAGACGGAAGCAAACAAACACTACATTAGAAGATGAACTATCATTATTGTACCACACCACCATGTTCTTTCTCTCTTTTCCCTCCCCCCGGTCACGGTGAAGGTACCGAAAGAAAATATTTGTCATGTTTTATTTAAAAAAATAAATTACAACAGTGAATGAAGATCATAAGTGTAACAGTAAAATGTAACAGAACTATGCAATGCAGGCTTCTCAGTAGTTTTATATCAAACTGATGCTAATAAGGGCAAAATAGGCCAACCTTACCAGATTTTCATGCATCAGTGGCATTGATTTGTTTAACTCTGTGGTTTAGATACTCACACTTGATTGCTTTCTGCAGATGTCAGACACCTAACTGGCCAAAATGAAATTTATTGAACACCCTTAATAATGTGTTTCCACCGTATAATGAATGTTTATACGATCCACGCAACATGAAAGGTCTGCAGTGTTTCAAACAGAATCAACACTGTTCAAATACCAAACCAGGGAAGAACACAAAATAATCAGCACAACCATGGATAAACATGAAAAGTGATTATTTCAGAACACGCATAAGTGAGCATCACCAGATTCAAAGAACTTTTCATTGTATGTTTATAAAATGGAAATGACAATTCTTCCTCCCATACGTGACCTGATCAAGAATGGGTGGCTAGAACTGGCTCCATCACATGATGGAGCCAGTTCTAGCCACCCAGTCTTGATCAAGATGATAAAGTAATTAACACCCACAACACTTTTAGTTCTTTTCCTCTCATCTCCAGTCAACCATAGCTGAGCCTCACAAAATTTGGCTCATACTGGTCTGCATCAAGTTTCTCAACCACAGAATAGGTTGGAAACAAAGTTGTTGAATATATAATTTAATTTCTTCCAAGAATTTATTCCTCATTGTTAGCAGTTCCTGAAATGATGCATATTGCAGTTATTAGAAAATGAGCACAGGTTATTCTTCTTTAGTAGCCATGGTGAACAGAAAAAAAACATGAACCACATGAAGATTTTCCGATTTCAATTCTCTCACTTTTCTAAAGGCACTTGTTGAGACGCTGTTCCACTGACATAGAAATGGTCATAATGTTGAAATTGGACAGTGAGAGAAATCGCTTCCATTCTACCAAGTCCAGGAGTACTGCAGCCAATCAAATAATAGCACTGCTTGACACTGAAGATCAAACTGGCCCCACAAAATACATAGTTAATCCACTTTACAGAATTTCCTGTGAAGCGCTTTGAGACTTCGTCAAAGATGTGATAAGGCGCTATATCAAATGCAAGGATTATGACAACTCCATACCATATCAGGCATTTACCAATTGAGCAAATATCTACATTGAGCCTTTTAAGACAATGTTCTTTTAAAAAGTTGATCCAATATTCATGCAAATGAAATTTCTACATTTGCAGTTCAGTAATTTAACACTATCATTCATTTTATGATGTACCATCAGGCCTTAATAGGCAATAGGTTATCAGCTGCATCATATATGCTCATTCTACACTTAAATAATACTGTGCCAAAAGTCCATCTATTTATTTCTCTAACATTCAGACAACTTTAAAACCCTATATTTTTTATATTTGGAGGTTTTTGGACTGAAATACAAGATTGTTCCTCTCAGCAAAATTGGCTCCCCTCAAATTGCTTTCAGGGAGAGGAACATTGGGAATATTAGAATGTAGCCTCAGGTATAGAGACTTCTGTCAAAATGTCAGCAACATTTTAAAGGTTTAAAAACGTAAACAAAATAAATTTGGTTGAGATGAGTCACAGCACTAATGGCAGAAAATGTTCAGAAAAATAGGCATTGATTGGCAAAAACTAGATCATTGACTACTCCAGCAGAACATTGTAGAGGAAGGTATCCTTCATAGCAGTGAGCATTTCTAAAATTAATATTTCTAGATATGTATGAGAATAAGAACACTTCAGCATCTTGTCCTGGAATGTTACTACAAGAGTCAAGATTTTAGAAGTTTTTTTTAAACCATTAAATGGTGCTCCCTGTCCCTTCACTGAAAAGTTCAACATCCAATTCCAATCTATTGCTACCAGATCAGGGACCTAAGGTCACTTGATGGAGAAATACAAATGAGTGACTTGCAGTTTACCTCTACATCACCATTCAAAGTCAGGTTAAAAAACAAAATTTGGCAAGTTCATTTCCCAATGAGCAGTCAGGAACGCATGATAAACACCTCACATTTAGCCTTCGTTAAATTGCTATCCTTTCTAAAAATGCCAGCAAGTAGAGAAAATACATCTTCCAGCGCCAGCCAAAACAAATTATAATTTACATATTTCAATTAAATGATTATAAATTTTCTTTAAGTATATGAAACCAAATTAACCAATCTAACTGCAATATGTTTCAAATTCGATTATCAGTAACCATTACAAGAAAACTGAAATGAGCAGAGTATCCTACATGTCTTTCCTAGACATGATACAAAAATACAGAATACAGAAATTAAAAATGTCTTTTTACTTCTCACATTGAAACCCAGCAAAAATAAATTACACTTAATGTTCAACTTTTGAAACATACATTAACACTGTTGCAACTTCAAAAACTTGTTTTTATAATATAGACAAATTTACAACATTCTATTGAGCAACACTGTAAAAACGGGTCAGAATGGTGTACAAGTTCAAAAACAAGGTCTGAACCAATCTTCAAATATACACATAAAAAATATAAACCGTCTGAACAATAACTCTATGTACAAATTACATATACTCGATCGTTAATGAACAACATAGCTCAGTGGACATACTGTAAATTCCTGGTGGATGCCTGTAAATGCAGATGCTTTTGTGGGGATAAAACTGCAAAAAATGATAACAAATATATGCATTTAAAAAGAACTATTGAATTTATATTCACCATTGTTTTCTTAAACTGATGAGCGCAGGAGTAAACCAAGTCCTATTGTTTAAAACATGAAAGAGTTTGTCGTGTTTCATTTATTCTGGTGCAAAGTTATCAATGGTCACATTCCATTGACTTCCCTTTGTACAAGTGAGCCATTTCAAATATTTTCTCTACATCTTGGTAGGAGATTGAATCAATTAAACTATTGATTTAAAGCTTTTGGGTTGTAATTTGTGTTGAAACTTTAATGCTCTCTTTTCCAGAACTATTTGAGTGTCTTCAGCAAACAACGCACATACAATCCATAAGACGCACGTTTTCAGCTGTTCATGCTTTCTGATTTTTTGAATAATTTCATTAAACGGTAGAATCTTTCGGAGACCTGAAAAAGAAAAATCCATGCATTACAGCTTGCTTTTTTTAAGTAACAACAGTGTAAAATAAAATCAGGATTAACAGTCATTAACAGATTACACAATATGTTAAATTTCTTAACTTCCTGAAGGCAGAATGAACTTGAACTTTTGTATTGCCTTATTGTGTTAACATCTAAAGACACTTCACAAGTATAACTGTCCGGAGTAGTTATTGTTTTTGTAGATAAACAAAACATAGGAATGAAATAATAAATAATAATTCTTACATTTGATGTAGTGCCTTACTACAACAAAAAATTACATTTGTATAGCACCTTTCACATCAGGAGGAAGTCCCGAGGTGCTGGAGACATTGTTCAGATGTCTCAAAGGGCTACACGGGATATACTTTTAAAGTTATTTGACTATTTTATGGCAAATTGTGCACAATAACGTCCCACAAACAACAATGAAGTGATCAATTTTATTTGGGGAACTGTTGGCCAGGACACCAGGAGAAGCATGGGGCTTGAACCCACAACCTTATGACTCAGAGAAAAGAGTGCTGCCATTGCACCAGGCTGACACACTATCGTGTGCAGTTCCGATTAAAAGATAAAATTATTGCTAGGCACGAGCGCGTGCGTGCGTGCGTGTGTGAGAGAGAGAGGGGCGTGCTGTGAAACCACCCTTTCATTTCCTTCAATTAACTTCTTTGCTTAATCGCTACCAATTCTCTCTCATGTTGTTCGGATCTGGAATGCATTGCCTGAAAGGGTGGTTGAAGCCAATTCGACAACAAATTTCAAGAGAGAAGTAGATAGATACTTATGGAGGACAAATTTGCAGGGCTATGGGGAGTGGGATTAATTTGGACAGCTCTTTCAACTGAATGGCCTCCTTCTGTGCTTTATAATTCTCTGTGCTTCAATTAATTTATTTGCTTCATGGCTACCAATTCCCTCTAGTTTGTTGACACAATCTGCCTGTTACCTCCCTGTATGAATCATTCTGCCTGATCATATCTGAATTGTATCTTCAATATCTTTCCGTTGACCACCCACACAATCCCTAGCTCTATGTTATACATGAAACAAACAACATTGTAGTGACCTTACAATTTCAAACTCGGCCATTTTTGTAGTCGCAAAGGTAACTAAAATCAAAATGATCCGGAAAATATTAGAAAAGAATAAAAATTTATATTATGTCGAAAATATATTAAAAAACCTTATTCAGAACTTAAAACCATCATCACAATTTCTAGTTCACCTTATTTACCTGACGTGGGGACCTATTCAATGAGGTAGCTAGGTAACTGAATGTTGTTTCATTTGCCCCCTTTTGTTGACAATCCAATAGTATGGCTCGATCATTCTCCCTGAAAAGAAAAGGTAGTGGGATTCATGTCTTTATTTGATTACAATCTGTATCACTCCAGTATTAAATCACCCGAATGCAACAACTTATCTCAGTATCTCAGTTCCGTATCCACCAATTAGAGAATAAAGTCATTCGATGGAAGCAATTTTATTCAAGGAAAAAAGGATTATATTCATCAATCCTCCAGCCCAAGTGATTCTGGATGAACATTCAGATTAAGGTGCAAAGACCACACTTAGCTTGAACGGCATGTCTCAGTGTTGGAGCCCAGTCCAGGATGACCAAAAAGTCATGATACCATTACAATGTCTAATAAGTCTTAAAGAAATGATTTTTGTTTAGATAATAGGGTAGTGCTCATGACTTTTTGATCACCCTGTAGTTGTGTTCAGCATCAGATGATGCAATAAAAGTGATGTGTGCAGCAAAGGTCAATCAACCGTCCCCCATTCCTGGCTCAACAGAAGCCCCAGCAAACAGTGCAAATATTGAGACATTCATTACCCTGACCCACCCTCACCGGAAAATATGCTATGTGAAATCAATACTAAGCTTCTCTATCACCCTCCGCACTCCATTGCTCTAAGGCAGCTGAAAAATCACTAAACTCCATTAACCAGACCTCAACTGGAAAGAGAAACTAAATTATCACTGGAATGGATAAAGGACTGTTTTTAAAATTGTCATCACTTTTGAGTGCAAGACTGTTCAGTCTTAAGGTTAAATATCTGGTGACTCGCAAGAACCAACGTGAAAATATTTCAATTGTCACATTTCCAGACATATTGAAGCCTGCAAAAAACAAATACCACTGCTGCACTCTTACCTGGTCCACATTACCACAACTGCACCATTCTTCTTAATAACGTTCTTAGCAGGGAGGCTTGTTGGAGATGAGACAGATGACTGACTAGATCCATTCACATTTTTTTCTGGAGTAACAGCAGCTTTGCATGGAGTTCTCTTTCCTGAATTTCTTTTGCTGCTGATTTCTTTAGCTTTCCTTGTTTTCTTATTGCTTTTTATAAGCTTGTCTTGCTCCCGTGACTTTTTTGCAAAGGGATCTACCTTCTCACTGTTTTTCCTTTTCCTGTTGCTTGAACCAAGGTCATCATGTCGTTCCACCACAGTCACGTCACCAGGAGATGCAGTGACAGCTTCGTCAGCTTCTTTCAATTTATCACAGGCCTTGCCTGGCACCTCAGGACGCTTGTGATCTTCTGTTTCTGACACGCGCCGTTCGTGTGAACCAGGTGTCTTTGCGCCTGCATCTGAATCCGACTCTGGCTCGCACATGCCATCAGTCAAGGAACTAGGCAACTCTTGTGGTTGTTCAAGCGGGCACTGCCAATCACTATGCACCACTTCCACATCTCTGCAGGGCACTGCCACCTCCTCACCAACTGTCTCTGAGCCACACACAGCGCTCAGCTCCAGTTGAGCTCCTTGACCCTCTTTCACCAGCGCTGAGACAGGAGAACCCTGCTGAACATCGTTAGAGCTGGGCGGCCGACACCTTATTTTGACAATAAAATGATCGTTCGATTTCTCCATTACCACCGCCTGCATTGGGGAGTGGAGCAAGTGCTGCAAAGTGGAGGACGGGAGCGGGATGTTCCACATTGAGGAGCTGCTCGATCCGCTGCTGGAATTATCCGAATCCAGAGTCAGGTGTATGTCCTGCTCTGAAGCATCCTCTTCTTCAAGGAGTGCATTTTCACAGTAGTTCGCTGACAGTATAGCATCAGTCCTCATGTCGCACAAAGTCTCTGCATCCTGAGAGGTTAGAAAGCTAATCTGTCCGTCTGACTTCAGGGGTGAAGGGACTGTGAGAGAAACAGCCAGATCCTCCATCAGAATGGAGGAAAGAGAGGATCGCATCTGTCTGATGCAACTGTTTTCAGGAATCTTTTGGCCATTGCAGTCTTCCTGCAAGTTGACCACAATATCATCTTTGGCTTGCTCAACAGTATCAGGAATTTCCATCATGCAGCTTTCATCCAAAATATCTGGATCCAGAGGTGGTGGTATGGCAACTTCATGTTTATTTGGTGTAACAGGAGCCCAGGATAGACTATCCCCCTGAGGCATCAATGGAGTTTTATCTGGAGTAGAATCAATGCCAGCCAAGTCTTGCATAGCATTGGCAGATGTGATCTTTTCCGGAGTCGACCAGGAATTACACTCCAATGTCGAAATGCCTTGGTCCAAAAAATCTGCGCCTTGTAACAAACACTTAAATATTTCACCCATCTGAGCATCGCTCACCAGGTTAAATGTGAGCGTGGAGGTCTGCTGTTCAGTCAAGATTCCCAGTTCAGCTTTATCATGGGAATCCTTTGTGGAACTCAAAATTATCTGTGCATCGCTGGGAGGGTTTGCATCGCTGGGAGGGTTTGCATTGATGATTGACAGACCATTTGGTTCTTTTGGAGAGCATACTTTGGATTCTCCTCCATTTGTGGTACCATCACCTGAAATATCCACAATTTTTTTAGAATGCTTCTTCACGACTTCGCTTCCTTTCCCTTTCCCTTTAGTATGCTCATTAACTGGTTTGGTTTTCCCAGAGCTCTTTTTATTGGGTATGTTATGCTTAACAAATGACTTTGAAGATGAGGAGGACACTTGCGGGTTTGGCAATTTACGGTCTACTTTTTTGTTCAAGTGTTCGAGAATTGTGTCTCTCTTCCGCTTTCTGCCTATTCTCTCACTCTTCTTTTTCTCCTCCAGAGCCAGTTCTACATTTATACTGTCACACGAGATGAAAGTTTCACGCACCTTGTCAAACATGAAATCCAACTGCTTTTCTACAAATATCCACAACTTCTCCTTCATGTTTGGGGCCTGCTGTGAGAAAATACTGCTAACTATTCCATTGCATTTTACCTGGGACAGCATAGTCTTAATTGCTACACAGATGCAGGACTTCAGATGCTGGCGAGACTGTGGAAAATCTGTCTGTTTCACAATGGATGTGAACTCTGCAAAGGCAATTTCAATAATCCTTTGAAAACTGCGGATTTCAAACTGCTTATGTAGCTTCATGTACCTCGTCCGGATATTCTTCCGAGTGACCGTTAATGATTCCATTAAGACGGACACTGCAGATTTAACCTGATTTCTCTCCACAGAACTCCTCGGGGAGGCCAAACGCTTTGGCCGTTCGCTCTTTTGATCCGATAACCTGGAGTTCATCTTATTCGATTCATCTCCTCTATTTGCCTCCTTAGTTTTGGTCGAGTGCTCAGTGGGAGAGCACTTAACAATCGACTTTGTAGTTGGCTTGTCATGATTCATAGATCTCTTCTTATGTGGGTTGTTGCTTGGCTTACTCTTCTCTTGGCTATCACTCCCTTTTGGGGCCTGAATGTTACACCCAGATTTTTGTGTGGCAGGTGTACACTCCTCTTCGTCACTTACAATTTCTCCTTCCTCCAGTTCTTCGGGCAAAGATTCTTCGGAAGAATTCCCCAAAGCCTTCCCTCCCGGGTTACACACTGGCTGACAATTTTCTTTGTTTAACTCCAAAGCGCAGCTCCTTGAGCCATTACCCTCTTGCACTTCAGGTACAGAATCTTCACAAAGGATAAAGCAAAAAAAATTAAGACTTCTGAACAATTGATGAATTTTATGCACAATATATTTATGTGCTTTACTACTATCCCTGCTCATATAGTTGAGGGATGGTAATGGAACAGTTATTTGCACCTCAGACCAGTATCTCCAGTGAGATGCAAAGCTCCATCTAACTTGCCAGTAGTCATCCCACCCAGGCATCCGAATAGCCTGAGTGACACTGCTAATAATGGCTTTTTGCCTTTATAAGAATTCTCAAACATCATGAAAATCATAGTAAAAACCTTACTCATTCACAGAAGTGTTTGTGGTAATCAAACTCACTTTATTTTGCAAAAGTAAAGTTTGTTTGATGGTCACATACTTCTTTGTAAAAGATTGTGAATCCTACTTGAAAACCATGCGATATGAAAATCATTGTTGGTTTATTGTACCACTAGGTTTCCTCACAAAGGCCTAAGGAAGGTTATACATCTGTAATGGCACACAATGTAAGAAAAGCAACAAGGTTCACCACAATTTTGGGGGATGAATAATGACAAACAGTTGAGAAGCGAGGACTCTTGAGCCTTGAAGGAGACATCTCATAAAGGATTTATAGAGGTATACAAGATGTTAATTGGGAAGTAAACCCAGAGCAACACTTTCAGATACACCAAGACAAAAGGATGAAAGCACAGATTTAGAGTTGTGAAGAGCGATATTAGGATAGTCACCAGGGAGTATTTCTTTACTCAGAGGGTAATTAAGCACAAGAATAGGTCTATGGAAGGTGTGTATTCTGGAACGAGATGAAAGGAGTTGAATCTGTACCTGCCCATCTTGTGACAAGGTAGAGGACTCAAACCTATGCTTGGCAGATTTCTAATGGCCAACTATTCAGTATTCCAGATTATGGTGCAGGCTCCCTGTCATCTGATTAGACAGTCTGATGTGCTAGATGCATTCATATACATCTTATGGCAATGCAAAATGCCAGTGTGATCACAATTCAATTTTTAGATAACCCTCACACAGCAAACAGAAGGAACATCTTTTTATGTTAGATGTACAAAATGCATTACCTTTGTGCTCAAAGTTGATAGCAGGCGGTGCACACAAGCTCTCCAGTGCTAAAGGTTTTACAGGACGCAGGGGACTGGTTAGTGGACTGATGGGGTCAGGGATGTGCCCAATGTAATTGAAGTCAATGCTCTGAATGGAATTTTCTTCCTGTTCGTAGGGCACGTAATCGCTATTAACCGGAGTTTTAGTCACAGTTTTTGAAGCCACTTCTACATAGATATTCATCTGCTGCAGTTCACAGCTGGTAGAATCTGGTTCTATATTTGGGGCCCATTTTTCATCAGCGGGCCCACGTACATCTAAAGATATATCTGAAGCTTCAAGCTTTCCATCAGCAACGTTGGTGTTGATTTCTGCTGGTTGCTCCGAGCTCTCTCCGAGCTCTCTCTCAATGCCGGGAACCAGGTCCACTTCCATAAAGAGTTCCGATTTTTCAGCAACTTCACCGCCATTGTCACAATTGACCAATTCATGTTCTTTTATGGGTTGTGCCTGGTCTCCAGTGACAGCACTGCCAATTTCTATCACCTCTGAATTTCCATTAACTGGAGAAAGCTCTTCGCTGATAACTTCCACAGTTCCAATGGTCTCTACGACAACTTCAGGTAACATTTCGGGGTCATCTGCAGTGCATTCGGAGAGTACAGTCCAAAGTGGCGCGCTCTCCTCCAAACCAACTTTCAGGTTATTCTCTTCTTCTTCATCCCATTGAGGTTGTGAGCAAGAAGGAATTACTGATTTGTCCCCTATCAAATCCGTTTGAGAAGCTTGAATCTCAGAAGTCTCCACTGGTGACCTAACAGCTTGGCAAATTGTCTCCTCTGCTTCAGTTTCTTCAACTGTCTCAAAAAGCTGCTTGGAATTGAAGTTGGGCTCAGCAGACAAGCAAGAATTCATTTCTGCAGCCTCCTCGCCCCCAGCTTCATGGCTGCACTGCTTTTCAAGATTCACTTCACAAGCCACAGATGATGGCTGCTTTACAGGAGAAACTGTTAGTTGCAAAGTTTCCATGAACTGCAATTTAGGATCTGTAGATTTTGATAGACTATATGTAATTGCTGGAGTTTGCAAGTTATCTGTGCCATTTACATGTGACCTTTCTTTCTTTGAGTCAACTGCTTGAGATTCTTCCGACATCTCCTCACTGCTGTCAGCCAACCTTGTTCTGTCTTTCCCTCCTCTCTCCTCTGTCTCTCTTCTTGTAACATCTTTTCCATCTCTTGTACAATGCCCGCCATGGCTGTGGTCTCTTCGATCATCTTTACGCTCGCATTTATCTTTTTCCTGCGGTTTACTTTCTTCCCTTTTTAGATTTCGGTCATTTCCAACACTTCTTTTACCATTCTCATTGGTGCTCTCAGCGCCTCGTTCATTCCGATTTGAACACTTACTCTTTTGGTCTCTGTCCCCTTTGGGGTTCCGAATCTCCTTTCTTGAGTTCTCGCTCGCAACCTTTCGCTCTCGCCTCTCTCTGGAAGTGTGCTCCCTTTCTGTGCTCACGACTCCTCTACTGCTTTTCCGAGGGCTCAGAGGAGACACCCGTTTAAGCGATTCTCTCATTTTTTCAGATTTTCGTCTTTCTGGTTCCCTGTCCTTTTCATGCAGCCGACTTCTCGCACGGTGGTCCCTTGGCTTATTTTTACTGTCTTCCTGATCACTTTGCCGATCTTTTTTCCTGTCTGTTTTCAGCTCTTTTGGTCTGGCATCACTTCTCTTTGCCTCTTTGTCTTTATGCTTTTCTTCTTTGTCTTTATGCTTTTCTTCCTTCTCTGCAGATGTTCTCTTGTCTCTCATCTCTGGACTGCCTTTGGAAGTGTCCTGACTAAAGTGATTCCCAATCTGGTCTCTTTTCTCCGGGTTGTGTCTTACCAGGCTTCTCATTTCAGAACGCAGTTTTGTTCTCTGGCAAAGTTGTTCAACTTTATCAATCTCTGCCAGAATATCAACTTCTTTATTCTTATTTCCAATGCTTGGCAGATCAATGATGCAGCCATTTGCCTTTCCAACATTTGTACATCTACCAGAGTTTTGGATGTTTATTTTCTCCACCACTACTCTCGCCTCAAAAGGAAAAGGTCCCATTGCATCCACACCTGGGATTTTTAGCTGAGGTGGAACATTGTCTTGATGTGCCGGAGACCTAAGTGGAAGGTCACTGCATAGAGGCAGCAGAGGGTTGGAAAGAGATGATGTGCTTTTTCGTAAACACCATTTTCTTTTGGATTCTGAAACATTAGTCTCTGCTTTATGCGGCTCAGTTGGCAAACATTTACCCACTTTGTTCAAACAAGCAGTTGCCGGGCTCGGTTCAACATTTCCAGGTCTGGAGGGACAAGGACGAAGTTTACCAGGATGCAGGCCTTTTGCAGTCTGTGGTGAAGCTGGAACATTGAACGATCCAGGAGGAAGATTGGAATGACCGCGTTGACCAATCCAATTCATGGACTCTCTGGTTGAATAAAACACAAGTTTACAGACTATTCTGCATCATTGATACAGCATACTTTTATAATGCAGTATGGGGGGAGGGGAGGGTGGTTGAAGTGTCCAAAAATACCCGATCCACATTATAATGGGGTCACAACAGTTGGTGTTGCTGCATGAAAATCTGCCATCTTTAGCATGAGAGCTTTCCACATGCCTCGTGAATGTGGTATATTCACTATCCCCTATTTGTGCTGTATGCAACCCTGCATTATAACAAATCGCATTACAACAGAGGTTCTCCTGGAGAAAGTCCACATACCTAAAAGCAATTCAGTGTACAAAAAGACACACAACTTGCACTTACAAAGCACCTTTTGTGCAGAATGGACACTTAAAGTGTTTAACAAATACGACTAGGAGCACTGAGAAACTAATCGGCATTCAAAAATGTTGACTAAAAGTTGAAAATGATGTGTTTGTAAGAGGATTTTGGATTCAAGGAATATTTTGTAAGAGATTTGATAACCAATAGTGCAATGGAGAGTGATGAACGAGTAATAGAATAGACCATGAGGGGATTTGAAGTTAAGGATAATTATCCTATGTTGATTGTTTGGAGCCAGTGGAGCATGGAATGGATTGGAGCAATGTGCTGCACAATCTATAGTGGAAGAGAGTACAGGCTGCAGAATTAATAATACTAATAATAATCCTTGCATTTGACGTAGCGCCTTTTCACATCTTCGAGACGTCTCAAAGCGCTTCACAGAATATACTGTAAAATGAATTGAATATTTTGTGGGCAAAACATTTTTCATGAGCTGAAGCTTATAGAGGATAGAGATAGGGAGGCCAAAAAGGATAGGCCTAGAGAAGTCCATCCTTGAAAATGATAAAAGCATGAATGAAGATTTCAGCAGAGTGAGAGAGACAAGGACAGAGAGGTAAAGGATTAAGCAGGTAAAATTCTTGAGTTGCAAAGAAGAGGTCTTAGCAATGAACTGACTGTTCACTTTGAAAGACAGCTGGGGAGGTGGGGGAGGGGGCTAAGGACGAGAACCAAGCAGTACATAAAGAATGAATGATTAGTGTCGAAGTTGGAGCCAGAGTTAAAAATACATTGTACTTTATGTATACAATACTGTACTTTATGAATCATTAAAGTTGGTCCAGATGTACATCACCAATGGAATCTGGTACTTTGGAGAATAAATTCAACCCAAGTATCCAAGATAAAAAGTGCTTGAGAACATTGTTGCTCTGAGTAAGTTTAAATGTGTTTTGCACATGACTCCATCAACTTGCTGCCATTTGGGATCTACATGCTGCCATTTGGGATCTAATCCCTCCAAAACCAAAAGCAATAATAAATTGGTCATTTTCAATCTACGACTGTTTGTGGGACATTGCTGTGCGCAATTGGCTGCCGCGTTCGCCCACAAATATACAGTCAATTCACTTTACAGTGTGTTCTGTGAAGCGCTTTGGGACGTCTTCCCGACGTGAAAAGTGCTATATCAAATGCAAGGATTATTATTATTATTATTACAGTACATTTCATGCTCAGTGTCAACTCTTTGCTCAGGGACTATTTTACCTCCGGTTCAGCCGATTGATTTCTTCATCCTTGCGGACAACTTCCAGACGAGCAGTTTTGATAAGTGCTGACATGTTTTTCTTCAGCTGGATGTTTTCATTCGCCAAGGTGGAGTTCTGGGAAGAAGCAGAATGGAAACAGACCATTCGATAACTCAATTTTCTGATTCAATTAGTCATAAGTACTTATAGTACTTTATTAAGTTTGCAGGGTTATAGGGAGAGCAGTGAGGTGTTAGATTGATTTTGGATAGCTCATTTAAAATAACCAGCACAGACACGATGGGCAGAATGGCCTCCTTCTGTGCTGTAAAATTCTAAGATCAATATTCCACTCGTACCTCTTACACATACAATCAGTATATAGCTTTTCAGGATACAATTTAAAGGCTGAGCCACAGCCCACAAAGTCACCAAATAAGTTAAAATGTCTTGGTGGTTATAGCAAAATTCTACATGTGCAGAAGCGAAGCTACCTTGAGTAGCTGAGTTATATGAATCAAGTAGCAATAAGGTTCCAGATTTGATTCAGAGCTTTTACTGAGTTAGCTAATCTCACTCAGGTTGGCTATAAAATTGCTTAGTGGCTTGGGCTTAGATCTTTGGGACGTCCTCCCGACGTGAAAGGCACTATATAAATGTAAATCTGTACTGTAAATGGAAAAATGAAAGTCACTCTTGCATCACGGGGAAGTAGGCACGTTTAAGTAGCTCCGAGCAATTGATTTCAGCAGCACATTAGTGGAGATCTGCGAATTGGACATTAATTATGGAGGGGCCAGAACAATGAAAGTGAAACAATACATTTTTTTTTAAAAAAGCCCCATCCCAAAATAGAATTACTGTTGGAAACTACAGCAAACATCTTATAACTCAACCTTGTCTTAACTTGTCATGACCACTTAAGACGCCATATTGTCAATATCCCGGCTGCTTCCCATGCAAAATGTTAATAAGGGTCTCAACTTTACTGGTCACTCTGCTTAACACGTAACTAGTTGCATTCTAGAAATTCTTATAATGCTTACTTCAGATACTTTGTCCGATAAGGTAGGGTCTTGCATCGCAGAGGCTTCCCACCCTATCCTGTGACTGGTGTGAGCTCAGAGCGGACGTTAAGCATGGCTGCTCAAATATAATCGCAGAGACCTCTCATCTATTGGAGATCACGCTGTGGTTTCCCACCCTATCCTTTCAGAGGCCTCTGTGATGCATCTGAGCATGCATGCCTAACCCCCGCTAAGTGCCCGAGAAAACCCTGGCCTCACCAGCCACTCCGGATAACCAGTCACTGAGTTCCTTCCCCTTGGAACATCGAGTTATCAAGAGTTTGCTGAATTACACAGAAATGCAAAAACTTAAGAGAATGCTGGTGTATCTTTGATGTTTGTCCTTGTGTCTACAAAAGGGCAACAGCTCTTGATGGTGTAAACAGGTCAGTTACAATTTGCACGAAAGTCAAGTCTGCAGAGTAATGTGCAGTGTTTGTTTACCTGAGTTTGTAATTCTTGCATTTTTTTCATCAGCTCTCCGACTTGTTTCTCTCGTTCCTTGAACTTTTCCTGAAACTGGCAAAAAAAAAATCCATGAGGATCATATTTTAAGGCTAACCAATAATTTGTCAGTCAGAAAGGTCTTGCAAGCAACTCCCCTACAATCAAGGTTACCTCTTTGAAGGAGGTTTCCTTTGCTGTCCTCTCTTCAGTGAGAATCTCCTCATACAGATCGAAACAGTTCCTAGCTGGTCTATTCTCTCCTGTAGCTTCATCTGTAGGAATAATACATGTCTATTAGGAGGATTCATTAAGTTATCTTTTATTAAGGAATAAAATAAACGGGCAACATTACAAAGTGCAAATATTGCAGAGCACAAATTGCCAAAGCATCAAGGTCACCTGTTTACAGCTCAATACCAATATATGCTGCACTGAAACCAACCAAGGAGGAATTAGATGAGGACATCCAAGGCCAAGTCTCTCTGCAACTTCCCTCCCCTCCTCCGTAGCCTGCTCTCCCCAAATCCAAATCATGCCAGTTGAGGACAGATGGTCAGAATGTGGGATGTACTGTACACGATCCAGTGCCCCATCAGCCTCCAAACACAGAATGCTTAACACTCCACATTTTGTTCTCAGGTGAATGTTGAAGATCCAGTGACACTATTGGAAAAGAGAAGGGAGTTTCTCCTGAGTTCCTCGTCAATAATCCTCCAAATGAATTGGTTACTCACCTCACAGTTGTTTTGGGATCTTGCTTGCACAAATGGCTGCTATGTTTGCTTACAAAAACAGTCACCATATTTGACAGTAATCGCCTGTGAATCACTTTGAGATGTTGTGACGTGATAAGGAACTGTGTAACTATGGCATTTGAGCATTTTTATCAGACAATTGGACATACCGTGGTGATCTACGCACCACCATACATACTACAGATCAATCTAATCTTCCACCCCACCCTCAAAAAATGCAGGGTGGGGAAGGGATGACTTATTAAGCCCCCTTAGTAACCCTTTTAAACTTTTCTTATTTCCAATCCAATTATGCTTGCAGTCTTGTACTGACATCTTTATCACTATGAATTCTGCCACCTTCGTTTCTTGCGAGTTTTTCCCTTGTGCCTCATTATTTGACTATTATATTTTGTATTCTCTGGATTTTGATGACGTGTGAAGAAATTGTCCCAACTTAAAAACATTTGGCTTCCTCGTGTTTATATGTAGGGTATCGAATGGATCTCCCACTCTCCATCCAAACTCCTGGCAACAATTGTTTTCTGCTGGTAAAGTATATTTTTCTTTCCTTTCCCCTCACCCTCACAGAATTTCATGCAACTTAGGAATTTGAAACAGATTTCTTTATCTCTTTATTGTTCTGCCAGTACTTCCGTGACATTGTACTCCTGCTTTCTGTTGGCACACAGTTCTCCTTCTTTCTCTTTTTTCTTTCTTCTTAGGATGCCATTTATTTTTGAGGTTTATGAGCTCTTTTATGATGATTTATTTAAAACAAAATTGCTTCTTATTCAGAATGCAAAGTCAGTTAAAAAAAAGACACAAGTATGCCTCCATATACCCAGTGTGTAGGTGAGCAAAACATACCAATTCCTATTTTGTGCTGAATCAGTTATCTCAATTACCCTCAGTGCCTCTGGGCTGGAGAAAGAAAAGAAATCAGCTGGTGCTCCCAATCCCAAATACTACAGAGTAACCCAAGCTCTAAAGAGAACACATGTGGAGATTGATTGTTGCTTCCATTGACTCTGAAATACGCATCCTTGCCTCACCCTTTAATAGTCACTCAATGGCTGATGCCTGTGGATTTGATACTCAGCAGTTAGGAGTGAGTGGAGGAGAAAGAAAGCTCTGTGATATTGGCAAACCCCAAATTCTTCAGGGCCTAGGTTTAGGCTACAGATCAATACTTTCTCCTAATAACACAATTAAGAGATTCTAACACATTTGGAGGATTTTTCTTCTTTAAATGTCATTGCCTTGGCATCATTGACATTGTGTCATCTTTGGCCCTGATAACTTATCACCCCACATTATCCATGAACAACCCAATTCTTTCCTTACCCTTGAAGAAACTTATTAAAATAATTCACCACATACTAGTTCTCTCCCAACAGACCCACATTTTCCTCCACCACTTCTTTTGGATCTGTTCTCTGGAACTGTAAAGGCTGTCTATCCTGCGTTGCCTTTCCGAATGCTATACAACCCATTTCCTGCCATTGGAAGGTTCCTCCCCAACTTACAAAGCCCAGTTATGCAGCATTTCAAGCACAGGCAAAAAAAACTCTGTATGAAATGCCTTGTCCTGAGTATCTTCCCCTCCTTTCAATCTTAAAACACATTATTTGTAGATTCAATTATTAATTTGTTCATATACTGGCATTGTACATACATAAGCAGGAATTCAATCCTCTTTATATTCATGCTTACTGTCACACGACTCCCACCCAAAGTCTTGACTAGCATTAATACAAGTTATTTTCAAACATACGTGAAGTAGACTGCCCTCCTCCATTATGGCTAACGTCCAGACCATCGTAGATATCCACAGATGTTTCACTTTCAGACCTCGCTGGAGAAACTGCAAATTTCAGAAAAAAGGGCAACAATAAATACTGTGAATGCACTGTAAAAATTGCAACAAAATTGAAAAATAATTGAAAGCATTGATATAAAATTCATGAACAATAAATTCTATTTTCTGGGGAAGCACAACAGAGAAACTCTTTCTACAAGGTGTGAGGTATAATGTGGTATAATACTCCTCATTATTCCCTCCTCTTTTGAAGTTGCTGAATTGGCGTGGTCTTGAATTCCACCTGATAGCCATTGAGTTTACATACAATCTTAAAACAAGTGTCAGTGGCCAATTGCAGCAGTGCTGATGTTTTTAACTGAATTTCTAAACATGCACTTTCCAGTAAATGATACTGGATAGTGGTCAGAAGGAGAAACTGTGACTGATTTCCTCCCTCACCTTGCAGGTGCGATGCCCTGCTATTATGGCCTGACTGGACAGCACAAACAGCGATGGAACCCAAAATCTGGATTTGTATGGCTTACTTTTATATTAGTTATTTATTTTATCACCAGAGAAGGTCTCTGGCCACTACTGAGCTTCTGAAAACACAGGACAATGCTGTGAAACCCTGGGAGACCCAGAAATATAAGTCCACTTACGTCACAATTTCCAAAGCTAGCCCACCGTGCAGCAGTCATACAGAATTGTTTAAAAACAAAATAACACAATCAAACATTATAACTCCTTACCAAAACTGTCCTGTTCCAAAAGTTCACAGTAAAGATAATCTAGATTTCTCTTATCGCCACTGTCCATGGCAACCTCTTCATAAATTCGCCATCTGAGTAAAGAAGAAAACGTCAAGTCTTGCAAACAACACGGGTTAACTTCCTGCATAATAATACAACTTTCACTGAATTTCACAATCTGCATTTGTTACAAACCTCTATGAATCTAAGACTGCAAAGCCCAAAGAATAAAAGAAAAGCAAACTAATTAGCTCCAGCTCCTGTGTCAAGTAGAGAATCTGACTGAGATCCTAAGCCTTTATGAGTTTTACAATCAGTACGTTTTCTCAGGGAATCTGCTAAACAACACTCTGATCCTCAAATATAATTTCCCCTTTAGAACCTACAACTTAAAATTCAAGCAGGCTTCTTACAGTACTTCCTTATACTTTCACTTTCTGTGTCCTGTGCTATTGGGCTTTGGTCCTTTGGAGAGCAGTCTCAATCTAAAAACATTCCCCAAATGAAACACCATTCTGAAATAAATTACATAAGTAATAGTTAAAAGTCACAAAAGAGAACACTGTTTCTGCTTCATGCTAAATCCATCACTGATTGCACTGGGATCAGTAGAGAGCATTAAAAGGCACATTCGCTCTCTCCTAAAAAAAAGCCCGTCATAATAATGAAGAGTTAAGGACATTAGATCCAGGCAGGGCGAAACCTTGGGCAAGTTTCCTTACTCCACACAGAGCCTAATAATAATCCCTCCAAAACAAAAAACAATAATAAATTGGTCATTTTCAATCTACGACTGTTTGTGGGACATTGCTGTGCGCAATTGGCTGCCGCGTTCGCCCACAAATATACAGTCAATTCACTTTACAGTGTGTTCTGTGAAGCACTTTGGGACTTCTTCCTGATGTGAAAAGCGCTTTATTAAATGCAAGGATTATTATTATTATTATTATTTAACACATTGAATGCAGCAGTGAAATACATTGTCCTCCATTGTGCCACTGGACAGTGTGCTGCATGGGGTCACCAGGGAATCTCCCACAGAGAGTTGCCAATACTCCATTTTTAGAAAGATTTTGAATGAGTCCTGAATATAAAAAGTTATAAGCATTGAGCTTAAAGGCTCCAGTCACCTCAGGTATCCTTTTTAAAAAAAAGTTATTATTGTACTTGTACTATTGTACTTGAAACCCTCATACATCGAGGCTGGACTATGCAAACTCAATGCTTGTCGGCCTCCCCAACTCCTCCCTCCACAGGCTGCAGATCATCCAGAACTCTGCAGCCCGTGTCCTCTCCCGCACCAGGATCCACAACCCTATCAACCCCCATCCTCGCCCAACTCCACTGGCTTCCCATCACACAGAGAATACAGTTCAAGATCCTGGTCCTCACCTTCAAAGCCCTCCATGGTCTTGCTCCCCCCAACTCTCCGACCTCCTAACACCTTACCACCCTGTTTGCTCCGGCCTACTTCACGTCCCCCACCTTGCTCGCCCCATTATTGGCGGGCAGACCTTCCGCCACTCTGCCCCACCCTCTGGAACTCCACCCCGCAGTACCCCCGTCTCGCCCCCTCCCTCGCCACCTTCAAGACCCACCTCAATACCCTCCTCTTCAACCGTGCTTTTGATCTCCCTGCTTCCCGCCCTCCCCCCTCCCCCACCCCGACCCTCAGCTCGGGTCCGTAACTCTATCTGTCCAGCACCTTGGGACGTCCTCCCGACTTGAAAGGTGCTATACAAATGTAATTTTGTTATTGTTGTTGTTATTTCTACCATCAATGGAACTTTTTTTAAAATCATCTATTATAACAAGCTATTATACCTAATAGCAAACCTGATCTCACAATTTTCTAGATTAGAAACCAATGCTTAGAATCACCCAACCTTTGAAGGGACGAGTAAGGGGCATAAATACATAACACAAGGAAGCTACAGATTAGTATCAGACAATTACTTCTGTGGAAAAATTAACACAAGGCTATATCAACAGTATCACCAAACGCATGGCTGAATGTATAGAATAAACATCATGTCAAATCACAAAATAGTACATATGAGCTACATATTACATACTACATATTAGGTTCACGTTTGCCTTTTGGCTAAGTGGGTTGTATGGTAGTGATGATGTCCAATACATGAGAGGGTAAGGTAGGAGCGCTTAGAAAGTAGGTGTCCCAAGGGTCGGTGAAAGAGGTAGGTTTTTGAAAGTGGGGGAGGGAGGGGATGTGCGATGGAGCAATTTAGGGGAAGAAAGTGAGCTGGAGTGAGCAGCTGGGAGGTTGATACTGTTAGAGCCGGATACTGCTGGGTGGAGCCAAGCAGGACAGCTTCACATTTGGCAAGATTTAGTTGAAGGAAATTGATATTATCTGCATTTTGTCAAGCTATTTTGGACAAATATGGGGTTGAGGTAGAATTGGGCCTCATCCTGTAGATGGTCAGAAGGATGTCTCAAAGCACTTTAAAGGATATATAATAAAGTGAAGCAACTGTGTATTTGTGGGAGAAGGAGATGTCATTAAATGTTAGAGCAGGTAATAACGGAATCAGGAAAGTGCAGAGCTACAAAGGTGGAACAGGGAAGAAAGACAGAGAAGGATGGGATGGTTGATAGAATATTGAGGTAACAGGGAGGACAAGGGGGCGCAGCAAAGCTGTGCTCACACTCCGAGAGGACGTCATTGGGACTCTTTACCCAGGGTAGTCTGCCTCTGTAGATATTCCACCTGTAGATGCTGACCGAAGCCATCAATGGACTTGGGTATGTCAAATTACTTTACTTAATAAACAGACACATATATGGAGAATAGCCTCTTATTCACAGTGGAATCAGTGAGTAACAAGTCGGGGGGGGGGGGGGGGGGTGCAGGAGGATCTGGGTACTAAAGAGGTCATATAAGACCATAAGATGTAGGAGCAGGAGTAGGCCATTCAACCCCTCGAGCCTGCCCCGCCATTTAAGATCATGGCTGATCTTCTAACCTAATTCCATTTACCCGCCCTATCCCCATATCCTTTAATCCCTCTATCCTTTAGAAATCTATCAGCCCCAGTCTTGGATATGTTCAAGGACTGAGCATCTACAGCCTTCGGGGGTTGAGAATTCTACCACTTCACTACCCTCTGAGTGAATAAATGTTTCCTCAACTCAGTTCGGAAAAGCTTGCCCTTAATCTTGAGACCATGACCCGTAGTTTTAGATTCTCCAACCAGAGGAAACAGTCTCACAGCATCCACCCTGTCAAGACCCTTAAGAATCTTATAGGTTTCTATACAGATCACCTCTAATTCTTCTGTATTCTAGAGAATATAGGCCTAGTTTACTCAACCTCTCCTCATAGGTCAACACCCTCATACCAGGAACCAACCCAGTGAATCTACCCTGCACCCCCTCTAAGGCGAGTATGTCCTTTCTTAAATAAGGAGACCAAAACTGCACACAATATTCCAGGTGCAGTCTCACCAAGGCCTTATACAACTGCAGCAAGACTTCCCTACTCTTGTACTCTTAATCTTTTGCAACGAACGCCAACACGACATTAGCCTTCCTGGATGCTTGCTGTACCTGCATACTAACTTTTTGTGACTGGTGTACAAGGACACCCAAATCCCTCTGAACACTAACACTACCTAGTCTCTCCCCCTCTAGAAAATAATCCGCTTTTCTATCTTACTACTTAGGTGAATAACTTCACACTTCCCCACATTATACTCCATCTGCCACCTTCTTGCCCACTCACCTCGCCTGTCTATTTCCCTTTTGCATTCTTTGTGTGTCATCCTCACAGCTTACTCTCCCACCTATCTTCATATTGTGCTGGATACCGCCGATGAACTTGGGCAGGCGGCTAAAGTGGCAACTACCACTTTTAAAGAAAAACCTGAATAACTTAATTGAGCGGAATGGGGGGGCGGTGGGGGAACCATATTTAATAATAAGCCTTAGGTTTCATAATGCGCTTGATCACGTTGTTGAGACGTCTCAAAGCCCTTTCACAGGCTACATTGTAAAGTGGAGTGACTGTGGGTTTGTTGGGCACAGTGACAACAACTTGCATTCATGTAGCACCCAATAAAGAACTAAATAAAGATACAAATTTACATTCTAATCCAAAAGGCAAGTTTGATCAGGAACCCAATGGGGGAGGGGGAGCACAGTCCCAACAACAGGAAACAAAATGCAAACACCAATTTATGAATAGCAATGACAAAAACCCGGCAACAAAAAAAAGACACACACGATCACTCCTTCCCTGAGTGGCTCTTCTTATAGCTATAACCGACTAGGCCAAATGCAAACAAAAAGCCCTCACATTTCTCGCACAACTTTTAATCTAAAAAAAAAAAATTTTTTTTTTTTTTTTTAAAAACGAATAAAAAGATGAGGTGTATTTTTTTTTACCACAAAGCTGCGTGAGAAGTCGAAGGGTAGGGGTGGGTGGGGGGGGACGTTGGTTTGCACGCTGGGTGGGTTTCTTGTGTTGCCGCTTGGCTGCAGTCTGGGTGCCCTGTGAGTGTGTGTGTGAGTGAGTGGGTGTGAGAGGGAATCAGGCGCCAATGCCTGAGCCAGTCAGTGCGGGGCTGTGTGTGTGTGTGTGTGTGTGAGAGTGTCTGTCACTCAGCCTCGCGCTCTCCCTGTCCCGGGAGCTCACAGCGAGGCTCCCATTGTCTCCGGTCCCCCCGCTCTCCGCGCGCTGCCCCCCCCCACCCCCCGCGACACACAGGCTCGGACTGCAGCTCACCCCCCGGCAGCACAGCTCAGCACCAGCTCCAGCACCCGCTCCCCTCTCGCTCTCTCTCGCGCTCGCTCTCTGCCAGTCGCCCTCCCGCTGCAACGCCCTCTGCAGGCAGCAGAATCCGGCTCCCAGCCAGGGTTTGTCCTCCATAACCGCTTCTCTCCTCAGGGGGGAGGGGGTTCCTCAGGGCTCTGTCCTGGGTCCCCTCCTCTTCTACCTCTATGTGCTCCCCCTTTGGGGACATCATCCGCAGACATGGGGTCAACTTCCACATGAATGTGGATGACACCCAACTCTATCTCTCTGCCTCCGCCCTTGACTCCAGGACCACTGCGGTCCTGATAAAATGTCTGTCAGACATCAAGTCCTGGATGAGAGCTAAATTTCTTCAATTGAATGTCAACAAGACTGAGGCTCTCTTGATTGGCTCCCGTCAGCGCCTCCACACCTCAGGCACTGACAGCATCACCATCCACGGTTACACGCTCCACCTCACTGAGCCAAAATGGAACCGCAACGTCCTATTTGTCCCTCAACTGCCTTTCATCTCTCACCTCCATGGCATGACCCGCTCTGCCTTCCCCCCACCTCCATAACATGACCCAGCTCTGCTACTGTCTCACCCCAGGCCTCCGAGACCCTCAACCATGCATTCATCACATCAAGACTCGACTACTCAAACTCCCTGCTGTCGGCCTCCCCAACTTCTCCCTCCATAGGCTGCTGGTCGTCCAGAACTCAGTAGCTCGTTTCTCTCCTGCACCAGGCTCCACAACCCTATCACCCTCTTCCTTGCCCAACTCCACTGGCTTCCCATCACACAGAGGATACAGTTTCAAGATCCTGGTTCTCACCCTCCCTTCCCCCTCCTGACCCCAACCACCACTTGGGTGTGGATCCCTGACTGTCCAGCTCCTTGGGTCATCCTGACATGAGAGGCGCTATACAAATGTAATTTGTTGTTGTTGAGATTACAAGCCGTTTGTAGCCCAAAGTCCACCAAAAGTAGCCCAATTATGCGTTGAATGGCCTGATTTAGGGTCTGGGTAAAGTTCGACAAAGGGGAAATAAAATAAGTTTGCAGTTTTTTAAAAAAAATTGTGCATGTTTTTTCACATAGAGGAACAAACACACAACCAACTTGGCCACATGGGCTACAGAATCCTACTCTGAGAACTCTCTCTCTCTCTGTCCAAATGTTGGGGGGGCGACGCCGCACAGGTCGAGAAAGCGCCCCGGGAACGCTTAAACGGTAGCAGAGCCTGAAACCGAGCTGGAATGCAAAAGCAATCCGCCCCCAAAACACACGGCCAACTCACACTTCGCGATAGTATTCCGCGAAGCTGTTTGAGATGCCTCAACAATTGGTAAAAGGCTCTGTATCAAATGCAAAAGGATTATTATTATTAACGTCTTGTTGGTCGGTTGGTTGGTTGGTGGTGGGAGCAGTGGAGGGGGGGGGGGGGGGCAGTGGAAGGGGTGAGTGACAGGTTGCAGGAGATGGTGTAGCTTTACTGGGGGGGGGTGTTGGGGGTGGGGGGGAGTTTGCCCCGGAAGAGCTCTGCACTGTCTCCCACGTGTGGAGGCGCCGCAGCTCAAACTGTGACATGCTGCTGCTGCTGCTCTTGGCTCCTCCATAACTTCCCTGTCCTGACTGCCTCCGGCGGGGCCCTGCGCCCTCCTCCTCCTCCTCTTGTTGTTGTTGTTGTTTGTGGTGGTGTTTTTATATATATATATCTCTCTCTCTATCTCTCGCGGCCGCGGCCCGGAGGCAGCGCCATGGACCGCCCGGGCTTCAACCTGTCGTCTCTGCCTCTCATCGCCAAACTGAACGAGAAAAGCCGCAGCGACTTAAACAAGTACTTGGCCAAACAGGTGAGTGAGTGAGTGCCGCAGAGCAGAGCCCCCGCACCCGCACCGCACCCGCACCGCCCCCGCACCGCACCCGCACCGCCCCGCCCCCGCACCGCACCCGCACCGCACCCGCACCCGCACCGCACCCGCACCGCCCCCGCACCGCACCCGCACCGAGAGTCACTCGCTCTCACACTCACACAGAGAGGCTTCACCCGCATTCACTTTCTGACAACTTCTTTCTCGCTGTTTGTTGTGACACGAAACAGCAAAGCGCACGTTATTCACAGACAGAGACAGAGAGAGAGAGAGAGAAAGAGGTATAACTTTTTTTTTGTCCTGAATATATATACACATAAATAAAAATATTCGGAAATTTCTGTCTCGAACCGCCGATGTGGAAGGGAAGGAGCAGTGTGTGCGACTCTCGCCGTGTGCACTGTAACCCCCCCCTCCCCCCACCATTGCTCCCGACCGGGTGTGGATCAAGTGCTACATTGAAAGAGTTGGGCTTTCTGCTTCTTCATTGATTATTCACGGTCTTTGGGGGGGACTTTGCGGTGTTTAAATCGCCTGCCACGTTCGCTTACAAAATCTGCATGTATTACACTTTGGAATATATCCTGCGGAGTATTTTGCGCAAGGTGCCACATCAGATGCAAGGGTTATTATTATCATAATATGGTTTAAACCGGACGTCTGTGCCAATGGGCACTTCCCCAGCTCAGCATCAAGCTCCGCACTGTTTACCGCACCGAGACACCACCCTTCGTGAATGGCGCTCTATGAATGCAAGTTGCTGTTGAGATCAGAATGGATTGTCTGAATACTGACATTTCGTTACTAAACACGTCACCCTGTAGCCAGGTCAAAAGTCCAAGAAGCCCCTGCTTAACCCCCCACCCGATAGAAATGTTTAATCCAACTTTCTTTTGATACTTCCAGTGCCGATACAAGTCTGTGTTCCCTTTGTTATCAATTCACCAAGCAGCAGGAATAACATTTCACTTTTTATCCTCTCAAGAAATGAACTATGAGGAATGAATAGATAAGGCAGGTCAGGGCGAAACCTTGGGCAAGTTTCCTTACTCCACACAGAGCCTAATAATAATCCCTCCAAAACCCCCAAAAATAATAAATTGGTCATTTTCAATCTACGACTGTTTGTGGGACATTGCTATGTGCAATTGGCTGCCGCGTTCGCCCACAAATATACAGTCAATTCACTTTACAGTGTGTTCTGTGAAGCGCTTTGGGACGTCCTCCTGATGTGAAAAGCGCTATCTCAAATGCAAGGAATATTATTATTATAAGCTAAAGGTCCCTTTGGCTTGAAAAACATATCTGCACGTACCTTCTAGAGGTTTATTAACAACAACAACAACAAGATTCCATTTATAAAGCGCCTTTCACGTCTGGAGGACGTCCCAAGGCGCTGGACAGTTGGGTCGGGACCCGAGCAGGGGGGAAATGGTCAGGGTGAGGGGAGGGAGCGAGGAGGAGGTAGAGAGTCGAGGGGGGAGCTGAAGGCACGGTCAAAGCGAAAGGTCTTGAGACCGGCCTTGAAGGAGGAAAGGGAGGAGGCGGCGGAGGCACTGGGGGATAGAGTTCCAGAGCTTAGGGGCTGAGAGGCTGAAGGCCCGACCACCGATGGTAGGGCGGTTGGGGTGGGGGATGTGGAGCAGACCGGAGCCGGAGGAACGGAGGGTACAGGCAGGTAGGTAGGGGGATAGTAGGTTGGAGAGGTAGGAGGGAGCAAGGCCGTGAATGGCCTTGTAGGTGAGGATGAGGATCTTGAATTTGATCCTCTGGGGGATGGGAAGCCAGTGGAGGCGAGCGAGGGTGGGAGTGATGTGGTCGCGATTTAAATTAAATTTAAATGCTAAATGGGAAAGAAAAAGTAAACTTGAACTTTACACCCAGGCACCAGGACAAGAGGGTGGAGGTGTGGATTGCTTCAGGGAAAGTTTAGAATATTAGGCATATTAAAAAGTATGGTATTCCTTTGCATAGTTTGGTGAATAGCTGGAATGATTTACTAGGAAGGATAGTTGAGTCTAAGACATTGGAAGTTTTCTAAGCATTGCTTGATACTGTAATGGTAAAATGATAGGGTGGATATTCTGGAAAGCTAGGGTCTAATTGGCCTAACGGCCTTCTTCATCCAAACCTCCTAAATTTTCTTTGAACTCATTTCAACTCCAATGGGCCCAGATCTTGAAATCCAAGGCTGTAGATTTTGTGAAGATGTAACTGAAACCCTCTGATCTGATGTTGAAAATAATGGGTTAATTGGGGATGATGAATTACAGAGAAACATTTATAATAGAGTTTATTCCACAAGGGACTGAATAATAATAATGAAGTACTTTTTAAGCTGTGGAGATGTTGGTACAAAATCATATAACTTGAAGTTCAGTATGTTGGAGTTTGTAATAGGAAGAGATTGTAGGTTTGTTTATGTTTATTTCCTCAAACCAACAAGTCCCTGATATCAGCTGTTGTTAGCGGGGAGTGAGAAAAGCAAATGCTTCCCCACCAGAGAAGGGAACATTTCAAGTTGAATTATCCAAGTTTTAAAAAGCAAGAGAATGTTGTAAGGACCAAATTGGATTGTTATGGAGTAAAAGCTATCATCAGATTTCTGCAATAATTTCGTCCAGAGATGTGGCTACATAACTGAAGTACAAAATGGTGAAATCTTAACCCTTTAAGAGAATGTTTTTTACTGTATGAGACGTTCCTTAAACAACAACAACAAATTACATTTGTATCGCACCTTTCAGTACGGATGATATCCAAGGCGCTGGACATTTAGGGATTTGGATCTGAGCAGGGGGTTGGGTTCAGGGGGTTGGAGGCCATGGAGGGTAGGGATAAGAGGGTAGCCAAAGGCGCGGTCGAAGAGGAGGGTCTCTCGCCTGGTGCGGGAGAGGACACAAGCTGCAGAGTTCTGGATGATCTGCAGCGTTTGGTGGGAAGAGTTGGGAAAGCTGACAAGCAGGGAGTTGGCGTAGTCGAGCCTAGATGTGATGAATGCATGGATGAGGCTTTCGGCAGCTTGATGGGAGGCAGTGAGTGTCGGAGTCGGGCGATGTTGCAGGGGGGAAGGCAGAGCAGGTCGTGGCATGGATGTGAGGTACAAAGGATAGTTGAGGGTCAAACAAGACACCTAGGTTCCTGGCTCAGTGAGGTGGAGTGGTGATGCTGCCAGTGGGTGAGGTGTGGAGGTGCTGACGGGAACCAATAAAGTGAGCCTCGGTCTTGTTGATGTTCAACTGTAGAAAGTTAGACTTGATGTTTGACAGACATTCTGCAGTCGAGGCTGGAGGCAGAGATATAGAGTTAGATGTCATCCACATACATGTTGAAGTTAACGCCATATCTGCGGATGATGTTACCAAGAGGGAGCATGTATGTACATGTTGGAAGAGGAGGAGATCAAGGACAGAGCCATGAGGAACACAAACCATGGGGTGTTGGGTTTATTTGAGGGCCAGACAATTACTAATCCCATTGAGTCGATTCGCTTAATTGTTATTCTTGTAAAGTATTACTATGGATATCCTCCATCCATTGGAAAATATAAAAATGGCTTTGGTATTACTATTTTAAAATCTGTTCATAGTACTGTCTTTAATTTCCCTCTTTCTCTCTGCAATGTCTGTCTAGATCTGGACCCGGCAGGATCGCCAGTGCATCCTTAATGTTTTAGCTCAGTTGCTGTTGGATAAAGAGTGCACACTGCTGATTGGGCGCCACCTGCGTCCTATACTGTTGGATCTGCTTGAACGCAATGCTCAGGCAGCTAAAGGCGATGGACAGTTCAACCACGATGCACACGAGAGGCTCTGCGTGGCAATGAGCAGGCTTGTTGATATCAGTCCTGATGTCATTCCGTAAGTCCTGTATTTACATGAAATTCTATTAGTTCCACTCAATTTGACAGCGAAAAGTATTCAATAAACCAAACTGTTCACATAACTGGACTAAACAAAAGAGGAGAATCATCTCCCGGAGCTTGAGCCATGTGACCATTCAGAACGTACTCACTCACACATGGCCAACCAACCGATCGCCAGCAATCTCTCTGGGGCGGGAGGCGGGAAGGAGGAGAGGATGCCAGCAACATTCGCGCTGTGCTGTAGAAGGAAGTGATTTGGGACTATGCATTTATCCAGACTCAGATTAGTTTTTTATATGAATGATCACAGGGAAAATTATTCAATAAACCAAATTATTTGTATATCTAGGATTCAATTAACTGATCTATATTCTTAGATTAGGTGTGCAAACGGTTTGGGATTTCTAAATGTTATACAATAAATAAAACGATTCAATTATCTGATATTCAATTCTCCGAGACTTCACTGTACAATGCAAATTTACATTTATATAGTGTCTTAAATAAATCGGGAGGACGGCCCATGACTCTTGGAGTCCTGGCTTGTATTTCTGGAGCCGTGAGCCGATACAAGACTAGAAGTTTGTGGCTTCTTGCGCTGACTGGCCGGCTTCATGCACAAGAAATGTCATTGATGTCACTTTATAAAGGAAGCAACCTGGAAGCACTGGCTGAAGGTCATTTTTTTTTTAGCGTGCTCATTGTAACATGGGGCTTAAGTTTATGGCAAGCTAATGAGCATGCTAAAAAAATAAATCGCAATATAATGGCATTGCCCTGTATTGTGCTCTCAGGTTTGTATTTCTTCGGTTTTAGGTGTTGGGCAAGAAATAATAGAGGCCAAATATACACGTGGGAAGTTGTGGAGTTAAAATAGCAAAATAGCCTCTACTTAATTAAGTTTTGGTTGATCAGTAAACATCTAATTTTCTCTTTTATCTTCCCCTCCCCCAAAAAATCTATTTTTCCATTTGTAACTGTTATGATCTTCGGCTTTCAAAGGTTTGCTCTGAGGTACTTTAAAGATTCCCCACCAGTGTTTCAGAGGCTGTTTTTGGAGAGCTCGGATTCCAATGTGGTCCGATATGGTCGGAGACGTATGAAGCTCCGAGATCTCATGGGGGCAGCATGTCGACTACTGAAAGAAAACAGGACGACATTCAGTGAGCTGTGGGACTGGAGTGCCTGCATTCCCTTGTTGAGGAGTCATGACACGATGGTTCGATGGTAAGTGGAAACTCCCATACTTCAACCTGCTGTAGTTTGGATTCTAGTAAAGGTTCTCCCAAAGGTTTACAATAACAATGCTAATCCTTACACTTGATATTGTGCCTTTCACGTTGGGAGGATGTCTCAAAGCGTTTTACGGTACATTCAGTGAAGTACTTTGGGACATTTTCCTGATGTGAAAGGCGTTATACCAAATGTATGGCTTATTATGAATGGTAGCGACTGTATCTTGTAGGTGAACAATGAAGTTGATCTGCAAGTTTGTTTATGCAAAAGTAAGATTGCTATGACCAGAGGCTCCCAGAGGCTATTGAGTAACTCTGCCCTGATCTATTTATTCATAGAAACACAGAAAATACAGCACAGGAGGGCGTCATGTCTGCATTGACTCTTTTGAAGAACTATCAGTCCCATTTACCTGCCTTTTCCCCATATCACTGTAGTTCACTCCATTTCTAGATATGTCTTACTCCTCCCCTAATATAGTGGTTTATTGTTTTTAAAAAAGAAAATCAATGTACCCTTTTGTGTTTTTCTTTTTAAACCTATTTGAGCAGAAAAAAACCTTCCATTTTTCTTTATTAATAGTAGTTTTTTGTGGTTAATATTTTCTCCTCCTCCCAGTCCTCTCTGTACTTTACCCCAAACACACCACATGTTGTACTAATGCCAATCTACAACAGATTCTTGAGAGGAGCTCAGAATAAAACTAGTTTGTTGATATTTGCCTCTTGCAAGTGGGAATCTTTTAGATTCCACTCAGCCCCGCTTGTATTGAGATTGTGCACTCACTGAGCAAAGAACTAGAATCAACAACTTGAGTCTATCTGATGCATTGTAACATCAGAGTGTGGATTGGAAGGTGGGGGGTGGGGGACCAAAGCATGGTTTCCATTTCCGATCGCTCACCAGTGGAGGTACAAGCTGTTGGTAATATAGGGGCAGGATGTAACTGCCTGCCTCTTGCAGTGCACCTGCCCACAAACAGCCCACAAACCACACAGCCAAACCTACAGTATATGCTATGAAGCGCTTTGAGACATCTTGACAATGGGATAAGGCTCTATCAAATGCAAGGATTATTATAATTGGAATCAATGCTCATACATCAATAATGAATAGCCTCTTGGGTTAGATAATCAGAATCGTACAGCACAAAAAGAGGCCATTCGGCCCATCGAGTTTGTGCCGGCTCTTTGATTAGAGCAATTATGTCAATCCCACTCCCCAGCCTTTTCCCCATAACCCTGCAAACCCGTCCCCTCAAATACCCGTCCACTGCGTTTTTAAAAGTTATTATCAAATAGGCCTCGACCACCTTTTCAGGCAATGCGTTCCAGATTCGAACAACTCGCTGTGTGAAAAAATTTCTTCTCACCTCCCCTCTGGAGACTATTTTGAATCTGTGACCTCGAGTCACCGACACACCCACCAGTGGAAACAGTTTTTCCTTTTCTAACCTATCAAATCCCCTCATGATTTTGAAGACCTCTATTAGGTCTTCTCGTAACCTTCTCTGCTCCAATGAGAATAATCCCAGCCTCTCCAGCCTTTCCTCATAATCAAGGTCCCTCATTCCTGGTACCATCCTCGTAAATCTCCTCTGCACCCTTTCCAATGCCTTAACATCCTTCCTATAATGGAGACAACCACTTTGGGTGGTATAGTAGCGTGAAGGAGACTGAAGAAACTTCATAAGAAAAAGACATGAGGCGCACAAAGATTGATGTTTTTTTTAAAAAAAACTTCTGTATTAGGGGAGAAAGTAAGAAGTATAAGCATACCTGGTTGTTATTCGATTGGTGGATCGCTTTTCTGGGGTAATAATCCCTTCAAAAATAAAATAATCATAATAATTTAGACAATTAATCCATAACTGTTTGTATGACAGTGCTGTGGTAATTGGCTGCCGTGTTTCACTGACAAAATACACAGTTGATCCACTTTACAGTATATTCTGTGAAGCACTTTGAGACGTCTCAAAGATGTGATAAGGCGCTATGTCAAATACAAAGATTATTATTATTATAGGCAGTGTTACTCAATGGCCATCAGTCACAAACACTCAATTTTTCACAAGGAAGCTAGCAGATCTTCTGTATCATTCATAGAATTGACTGTGCTTGTGCAACATAAACTTAGTTTTGAAATGCAACTTGCAAAGTATTCAGGTTGTTACAATAGATGTCAAAATATATTGTAGGAATTATGGGGCTGACCTTAAGCTTTCAAAAGAAAACAAGATAAACACCTAAAAATGAGTAAACTACAGGGGGAAGGAGAAAAGGTAGGTAACTGGGCCTGAAACAATTGCTTTTTAAAGAGCCAGTGCAGACATGATGCACCAATGGCCTTCTGTGCTGTAGGATCCTATGGTCAGTCATTTGACCTTGTGTGTTGATTACTGATGCCTTGGGGTCAACCCCATACATCTTGCAATATATTTGTTGGAACAAATTGGGTGAATGTGCTTTCTATCAATGGCCAAAACTCAATACGAAACCTTCATTGTAGCAGGTATGGATATTACAGTAATTGCTGTGTGTTTGGGCATGTTTAGGTACACTGCTAATTGTCTTGCAATAGTAACGATTATGAGTGATGAGCAGAAGAACCATTTTTACAAGAAGATTCTTACCACGGAAGAATTGATCAATTTCAGACTCAAGTAAGTTTGCGCAATTTAAACAATTTGTTCTCTACTATTGTAAAATGACCATGTTGTGAGCTGTTTGTGTTTTGAAATGTGCAAATATTCTATGATTAAACACGTAATTGACAAAAAACTTTCTCTCAATGTGACGTGGAGCTCTTGGAGGATCAGCAGTCACTTTTGATTGCAATGCAGAAGCCCTACCAGCAAGTTGGAAACAATTAAACACTTATACAATTTACATTGATTTAATGCCTTTCACATCAGGAGGGCGATGCCCTTGACACTTCAGGATAGGCACACAAGCTGGAGGTAGGAGCTGAGGTGGGTGGGGAGGAGAAAGGCAGCCAGAAGTGCGGTCAAAGAAGTACCTGTTGAGACGTAACTTGAAAGAGGGGAAGTTACCATGGCTGGTCTTCTGTAAATATGGCCTTGTCATCTCAACAAGTGAAAGTTTTTAACCTTTCCATGTCTTGGTGTCTGGTTATAAACAAAGTGCAAAAAAATGACCAATTTCCAGGTTGTCACTGACATACCTTGTTGTGCAGGAACTACCAGTAATGTCACTCACTTTTTGAATGAAGTAAGGTTATTTGCTGACTTAACAACTCAGAAATTGGTAATTTATTAGTGTGTGGATAACTTGGGAAGCCACTGGTGTACTGCGCTGTAAGTGAACCTGGGATGAAGGAGTGGAGGGGCATTCTAACAGCTGCTCTGCTTACATTGGTATTTGTGAAAGTTTAAATTTTACAGTACTTGTCTAACTCAGTCTTTGCTCACAATTTGATGTCATATTGATAGCTCCACGTCTCCATGATAAGTCATCTTGGAACATTGTGCATCTCCCTAGCTTCATCAGGCATGTATTCTTTATGATCTTTGCACTTATGGAGGAGTGAAAAGAAGCATTGTTCACATGTCTGCTTTTCGCTTTTGTACGTATATGTAGGTGCAAAATTGTTGCGTTGCCATGTTCCCCCGTTTGGAAAATGTCTAATATTCCTGCCTCTCAGGTTGTTGGAAGAGGATCTGCTGCAGAATGTGGAGAGGGCTCTGATGCTGGCAAACCCCGAGACAGCTTTCTGGCAGGAAGAGAAACGGTTACAGTACACACAAGGGCAAATAGTATCTGATGATCTGTCTGAGAGTGTCATCGCTGTATGTGGAGTTGTGTTACCAAAGAAACAACATGTCCCGCAAGACCAGGTTAGATATTTTCTGCCATGGCCCCGCAATTGACTTCATCACCCCTGGGCTAAGGAGAGCAAACTGCAATTAGGATTCCTTCTGATTGCTGTTAGTGACTTCTGCTTTTGGCTGAGTGAGGGGACGGGGACAGTTAATTTGTTCAGCAGTAACTCGAACTACATCTAGTAATTACCACAATAGTCGAATAGCTGTTTTGACACGAGTGTGAAAATAGCCACTTGGGTAAGGTCCTGTGGAACGATGTGCTAACCCAGCAGGGCAGGGAGAAAATCGGGCAAAAATTGAAAATTTACACTTCAAATAATTATCTTTTTTGGATGTGTTTTGTGAAGCTGAGCCTTCAGTTCTTGAGTTGGTTTTCATAAAAACAATTGCATTTGAATGGTATTGATGAACTTCAGCTGTTTCTTTTTAAGGACATAGTGTGGTTAGCTGTTCAGCATTAAAAATCAAATGCAATAGAAATTAAGATAACCAAAATAGGGGTGTAATTTGGGCAATGCTTGAGAACAACCTTTTCTTCAGATGTTATACTTATTGCTGCTGTTAAATTAAACTTTACTGGCTGATTTTGGAGAGGGATTAAGGTGATACCGTTAAATTCCTCTATTAGTGTTGACAACTGAGGAATTACTTACAAAACCACTTTGCCTCTATGACAGTTGAAAGAATGCAGTTACTGTTTAACCTCTCTGGGCTTGGGCTTTTGACTTGAATTGTACAATTATTCAACCCAGTGGAGTAGATTATCCCTGGGTATCTTTTTATAACCTTCTGTGGACCCATCACTTCCAAGTACAGTGTATCTGGAAACTGCACTGAACTACAGCAAACAAATTACACAGATTGGTACAGTAAATAAATAGGCCACGTTATGCATCTAGTCCTTGCTGGTGTTTATACACCATGCAATCTTCCACTCCTATTCCACTTACCTATACCCACCCAGTTGCTTCTACGTCCTTTATGCATTTAAATTGATTTATGTATTTTAATATTTTGAAATGTTGTTTTAATGGTACAACATGTTTCTCTCCCTCAGAGTAACATTAACTCTCCTGTGTTAGTGGCTTCAACCTGCAACTATCTGCGGAGCCTGGCGATGGCAGTGGCTTCTCAGAATGCTGTGCTATTGGAGGGACCAATTGGCTGCGGTAAAACTGCCCTCATAGGTTATTTAGCAGGTTTGACAGGACGACAGAAACCACCTCACTTTCTCAAAGTGCAACTTGGAGACCAGACCGACAGCAAGGTACAGGAGAAAAGTTATTTTTAAATAGATTTACATGGATGATTGGAAAATAACTTGACAGAGATGATGTGTTCCCTAACTTTAATGCTTCGGCCTTTTTGCTTCTTTGTGACAGGAATATTTACAAGAAGGATTTATTTCTGGTTAAATCTGAGTCTGTCACTGACTAGATGATTTAGATATTTGGCTGGAAGATTTCTTATGTTTTCCCTGTTCCTTTCTAATTGTTACGCACTGTCTTGCCTGAAACTAGCACAGCATGACTGCAACTCTGCATGCTTCCTACATTGTGTGTCAGCTTGCCCTCAATATGTGAGTGACAAACTGGCTCTGTTGGTAGCACTTTGCCTCTGAATCAAAAGGTTGCAGGTACAAGCCCGAAACAGGAACTTGAATTCCCATGATCTGGTTGTCACTCCAGTGCAAGGATATGTTGCATTGTCAAAAGCGCCATCTTTCAGATGATTTGTCAAACCGAGCTGCTGTCTGCCTATTCAGATGGATGTTAAAGATCCCACGGCACTATTCAAAAAGAGAAAGGAGTTTCTCACAGTGTCCTAGCCAAGAATCCCCCAAGTAAAATTAGTCATTTGTTTCATGGCAGATTGTAGGACATTGCTGCCATGTTCGTCGACAAACTGACATTCACTCCACTTCACAGTACATCCTGCGAAGAGCTTTGGGACGTCCTCCCGATATGAAAGGCGCTATATCAAATTCAAGCGTTATTTATTAAGGGAGTTTCACCCTGTGTTCTGGCCAAAAATCCCCCATACAAAATTGGTCATTCATTTCATGGCTGTTTGTGGAACTTTGCTGTGTAGAAATGGGATGCCGTGATAACCTGCAGTCGCTATACTTTGCAGTAATGTGCGGTGAAGCATTGAGAGACGTCCTCTCGACATCAGTGGTGCTATATCAAAAGCAAGGATTATTATTAATTTATAGAATCAAGCAACGTGTCTCTGTTTTGCTCTAGATCTGCTTCAGAGTAGTTCTGATTTTCTTAATGGGGAGAGATGGGGGATTTGTTTTTAAGATTTAGTGAACAGTAAATTTGGGGAGAGGGAGAATTGTGTGTTGTAACAATTTTTTTTATAATCTTAACTATATGTGTTCTGAAACTTGATTTGTATTAGATGTTGCTGGGAATGTATCGCTGTGCAGATGTTCCAGGAGAGTTTGTGTGGCAGCCTGGATCATTGACTCAAGCAGTGACCAATGGACACTGGATCCTCCTGGAGGACATTGACTACGCACCCTTAGATGTAGTATGTATCTCCTCTTCAAACATTCTGCAAACAAAAATGACTTTTAATTCACATGGTCTAAGCTGACACTTCATTGCAGTGCTGGGGATGTATTGCATTGTTGGAGGTGTTGTCCTTCGGATGAGACATTAAACCGATGACCCATCTCCCTGTTTACGTCACTACACAGTCACTTCACTTCATAATAAGTACTGTGAAGCGCTTTGAAACATCCTTCTGACATGATAAGGCGCTATATCTGATGCAAAAATTATTATAATTTATATAGTGTCTTTCACATCAGGAGGATGTCTCAAAGTGGTTGATGAAAGAGATTGTTTGATGCATGATGATGTGATATTAGTCTTCTGTGCCCTGCCCTAGGAAGCTGTGGAAAGGAGAGAGCTACTATGTCTGAAAATATCAAATGCAAGGATTATTATTATTATTATCTCCACAGCTCCCTAACAAAGTTTAAATTCAAGATTTCCATGGCAGCAGCATTGATTGATCTGTAGGACAAGCAGGGCACAGAAGACTAATATCTCTGACTAAGACGTGATGTGAAAGACACTATATAAATTATAATAATAAATTAAAAAGGTGCAGTGTTTGGTTATATGTTTATTCTTCATCCTTTGCACCTGTATCTTGACCTACAATGCCAATTCTTTTGCAGCTATTTTTGTGACTGCTCAATTATTCTGCAAAATGTTTTTATAGATATCGGTGCTGATACCTCTCTTGGAGAGCAGAGAACTCCTGATTCCTGGCCGAGGCGATTGCGTAAAGGCAGCACCCGGCTTCCAGTTTTTTGCAACTCGAAGGTCAGTGACCGTAAGCAAATGTTGAGACTTAAATTTCATGGGGATATTAACCTGCCAACACTTTCCAATTTCCCCATTTATCCACCTTATATAAAAAAAACATACACATGAAGATGTTGAGGGAGATATTTTCCATTTGGCCATTTTCTCCTTTTATTTTAAAGTGGGAGCTACTTCACTGTAACCATAATCACAACAAAGAAGGAAAGACTATGTATAAAGTACAGGTTGTAATTTCTGTGTCACAACTGTGACTCCTAGAAACCAGTTTAATTAATTATTTCTCTCTTAGTAGAAATAATGCTGTCAGATCCTCTTCTGATACCTTGTATCAGCAATGGCCTGCGTGACTATAATACGGCCCTGCCTTACATAATGGGTTCAGCCCAGTATCCACTAAGCACTGCAAGACTCTACCCTATGTGAAGGGTGCTATATAAATACAAGTTCTTGTTAAGCAATCCGCTTTCCCATCCCCCAGAGGATAGAGTTCAAAATCCCCATCCTCGCCTTCAAAGCTCTCCACGGCCTTGTTCCTTCCTATCTCTGTGACCTGCTGACCCCATATCAACCTGTCCACTCTCTCCGCTCAGCAGGCTCCGAGCCTGCTCCACATCCCATGCTCAGCCCGCCTCACCATTGGTAATCGGGCCTTCAGCCTCTCTGTCCCAACTTTTGGAACTCCATCCTAAAGTCCCTTTGCTTTGATCTCTCTTGCCTCCTTCAAGATCCGTCTCGAGGTTCCTCTTCAACCGCATCTTCGGCCACCCTCCTACCTCCACCCTCCCTGGCCTCCACCCCTACTAATCCCCTGCTCGGGTCCAAATCCCTGACTATGCAGCACCTTGGGATGTCCTCCCAACGTTAAAGCCGCTATACAAATGTAATTTGTTATTGTTATTGCAATCTTATCCTCTTTCAACATTTCTGTCTGTATCCTTCATACATTAAATTACTTGTTGTGTTCGCCATCAAAATGCATAGTTATTACATTGCAGTAAATCCTGTGAAGTGTTTTGAGATGTGAAAGACTCTAAATCAAAGGCAAAGATGATATATGCCTAAAGATTAGTGTTTTCTCTTCCCTACTGCCAAATTAGTTTGCTTCAGACTAATTTCTGATTAATCTGTATCAGATGCCTAAACCAATAGTTTTCTCTTCCCCTACCTACAAGTCTCTGGGTTGTTTCTCTCTTTAAGATTGTTTAGCAGCAGCGCTGGTTGGTACAGACAGCAAAACACTCACGCTACTCTGCTGGACAAGCTCTGGACCAAAATACAATTGGACAACATGAACAGGACAGAATTAAAAGAAGTGAGTTTGAATTCTATTTATGATAGCTAGTTTAGGCATGATGGGTTGAATGTCTGCTTGCTATACTGTAAGATTCTCTGATCATCTGAATATTTGGGTGAAGACTTTTTTCATTAGCTAGTGAACTGTAACACTTCCACTGAGATCTAAATTTCTTGCAAATCGTAATTAATTCCGCCATCTCTACGGCTGCCCCTACTTTTAAGAACGTTGTGTAATGATCAGGAGCTCTGTGTGTTTCTTTCTCTCTCTAGCTCAGAGATGCTGAGGTTAACTTGCATCCCAATTACTGCCTGGCTGAGACAGGGAGTCCTGTAGCTCAGGGGGTAGAGCACTCGCCTCGCAAGTGGGAGACCTGAGTTTGATTCTCAGTAGGGTGAAACCGTGGAATTTTCTTTACTCCATACGTCTGATAATAATCTCTCAAGAAAAAAAAAACGAATAATTTGATCACTCAATCCACGACTGTTTATGGGACACTGCTGCGTGCAATTGGCTGCTGAGTTTTGCCCACAAAATATATAGTCAATTCACTTTACAGTATATTCTATGAAGCGCTTTGAGACATCTAGAAGACGTGAAAAGCGCTATATCAAATGCAAGGATTTTTTTTTATTTATTCACTCATCTCTCACCACTAATAGTGGTTAATCCCTGACTGTCCAGCGCCTTGAGATGTTTTCCAACGTGAAAGGCGGTATACAAATGTAATTTTGTATTGTATTAATAGTTTTGTCCTAAATCTCCTGTTACAGGTGTTGGTACACAGATATCCAAGTCTAGCCGTTGTAATAGACCTTCTTTTGGACATTTATTGCCAACTTACTGGCAATAAACATCAAGAGCCAGACAACAGAATTTCTGAGAACAAAAGCACATTTAATGAATGTGCATCAACAACAGAAGCAACAGCCATATCGCTTGAGGGAAGAGGATTATCTTTAAGGTTTGCAATATTTGTTCCATATGGGTCTTAAATTTGGCTTCATGTTTGCATTGATAATAGCTGTTCAATATAAAGCATGACCATTTACTACCTTCAGATTTTCTGTTGTTGGTTGATTGTGATCCTGACTATATAGATATGATGTGAAATCTGGGACGTGACCAAGTGGCTGCACTCCTGCTGAATTGTGATCTTTTTATCTAGGGATTTATTAAAATGGTGTGAGCGGATAGCTTGCAATTTTGACAGCACATCCACCTCTACAGCACTCAGTGTCTTCCAAGAGGTAAGAAGTATTTAATGTGCTCAATTTTTTAAAGTACAGAGACTGAATGAGCCTTTGCAACTTTAAACATATAATAAAGGGATAAATAACATGATGTTGCTAAATGTTTACCTCACAAAGGATTGCAGTAGATATTTTTGTGCATCTTGAATGTGTACACTATTGATATTTCTAATTTGTAATAATACAGGATTTATTTTGGAAAATTGTAATCTTAAATTAATAAGAGAATTGGGGCTGCTTGGCAATGATTTTACTGTCTGATATCAATGCAAATCAAGCGATTTGCAGGGATCTATTGTGCATCAGTTTCAAGCAGAAGTCATTATGTGCCTATGGTGAAGAATCCCATTCTAAGTGTTTAATGACAAGATTACCAGCATTAGAGCTAGTGAGCAATACACCCTTGATGTCTGCTGGTCTCCTCAAAATCCAGAATAATGCTCATGTTTGCATTCAACTTGATCAGGATGAATGCAATTTCTTGTGACTGTTTAATAAGCACCAGCTGATCACAATGTGTTGTTGAAGGTAACGCCTGATGTGAACTTACCACTTAATGTGTTCCTCTAACCAGTCAAAGAACCTTCAGGAAGGTCACAAGCCACACGTAACGCCCAATGAAAAGCAGAGCTATCTGCTAGAAACCTGGTTGTGAAGCCATTTCTATATACCTTTTTACTTTACAGGCACTTGATTGTTTCACGGCCATGATGTCTAAACTGGGAAGCAGGCAGACAATGGCTGAGATCATTGGGAGCAAACTGAACATCTCCAAAGAAAAGGTACCTGCCTGCTTTCTTCAATCTGGTGCATCCTGTTTGATATGTGCTGTCGACCAACTGCATTTGATGTCAGTTTCTCCCCTCACTGTATCCCCCCGTTCCATCTGCAGGTGATTTGTACTGGCTACAATTTCACAGCAAACCCACCTTACTTCACCCATTTGGCTATTTCCCAAGATTGGATGGGCAATGTTAATGGGTTGTTCAGCCTTCAGAGTTGGAACACAGCTGAGCTTGATCTCTGCTCGCCCAACAAGCACACGTGTGCATTTCAGTCATAGTCAGAAGTGAACATTTCGGCTGATAATGTTTTCTGCTCCTGTGTAACTCGGGGATGCTGAGGCTGCAGTGATCTGCTGAGGTTGGCGTTAGCTCATAGAGATGGGTAAGCTGCAGATTTGAATGTGCTAAGTTAGCCGATCTCAGCAATGGCAGCAGTTGAGGAACTACAACTTGGCTTCAGTGCATCTGAGTTCAGAAGAGAAATTAGCCAAGGCTCTTCTTCACGATCACTTTCAGAGACAATACATGCGCACATTGGGTGAGGATGAGATTTGTCTCATTTGCAAATACCCCCCCACCCTCCTGATTGAATATTCTGACCGCACTTGCTGTTAAGGCTACACACGGCTGATGGTCATTAGGGAGAGGTTCTGGAGAGCGATTTGTGTAAAAGTTCTGAGGTTGGGAATGCAATAGATTGAGCAGCACAGAGGGAATTTACTCTTGTCTTGATCTGGATGAACTTTGTTCTGTCAGCACATGGAGCTGAAGTGTTGAATGGTGGGAAGTGACAATTTTCCGCGTTGGTTTCATTTGTAGGCGGAGTTCTTCTGTCAGCTGTACAAACCAGGAATTCTCTTCAGTGAGATGGAAGTGACCGTTGGACGAACGGTTGTGCCACGGAGAAGTAGAGACGTGATCCTGTTACAGGGGTAGGTGGGGTTCTGAAGCCACGTGTCTGCGGGTTGTCTTGGGGCTTGTTTATTGTAAAGCTAGCTCGTTTGAATGAAGGTTTGATTTTGTGTTTCTACTTTAATTTAAAAAACAATAAATCTCTCGCTCTCAGCCCACGCTGACATCCCACTTAAACAGTAGGCTGTCAGAAGTGGCGTCTTTTTTATTACATAGCCGTTAAAACTCGTTTGTTTATGCAGCTTGGCCCTCAGATAAAGGAAACGCGGCTTATACATTCACTAGATGTTCTGCGCTCACTTAATCACAGTGAAAGAAAGGCCTTTTTTTTTGAAGGAATAATGAACTGTGCTGTCAGCCCACACTGTTTTGTTAGCTTGCTTAAGAGGTTACCTGTCGGAAGAACTTTGTGCTGCTTCATTGTATTAATTGTCTTTGAAACATGTATTTATTGAGAGGTAATTGTTACATGAGCCAGTCATTGGGTTGTTATTAACCTGCCTGACATTTACTGGTAAATAGGTGTCAGGCTGGTTCAGTTATTAACACTCTCGTTTCTGAGTCAGAAGACTGTAGCTTCAGGCACCACGTGGGGACTTTGAACTCAGTCTACAAGAACTTACATTTATATAGCGCCCTTCACGTGAGGTAGGGTCTCGGAGTGCTGATACTCCTAATTTGTAATCGGTTTGATTTTTCTTGATAGTACATTTTAAAACTTGATGCATGTATGAGGGAGAAAGGAAATAGAGGGGATTACTGTAGGAGGGATGGGGCTTGTGTGGAGCATATACACGGGCACAGACTGGTTGGGCCAAATGGTCTGTTTCTGTACCAAATCACCTTATGTAAGTGTGATTCTCCTGATGTGAAAGGTGCTATACAAATGTAATTTGTTGTGGTCTTGGCTTTTTTATGACTGGATTTTCTATCAAATTTTAAGAGAAACCCAGACGTTTGCAGCCACACGACCTTCATCTGTGCTACTGGAGCAACTCTCTGTCTGTGTTAATAAAGAGGAGCCTGTCTTATTGGTTGGCGAGACAGGCACAGGAAAAACATCTACTGTGCAATACCTGGCCAGAATTACAGGTTGGTGAAGCAGCTGGAGTTGACTTGACTTGGTAATGGAAATTTAATTATTTGCAGACCTTTACAGATTGGTTCATATCTGTTCTTTAACTGTTTTTGAAGGACATCCAAGAAGATGCCACAGTGTTAGTCACTTTAAGGTCGACTTGACTGTTTAGGCACACTGTATGGTGCTGAAACATCATTTTATATGCCATATGTACTCAAGTGGTGGGAAATATTAATAGTTGCTGTGAATATTAAGTTCTGATTGCTGAGATTTCTGTGGTGAATCAATATCTTGTAATTTAGTCCTCGTTAAATTATTGTTCCACAGGACACAAATTGAGGGTTGTAAACATGAATCAGCAGAGTGACACAGCAGATCTACTTGGCGGGTAAGAGTTGCACTCTTTTCCGGATCGTTCAGATGGCATAAAGCTGGTAACTGGAGATTTGCTTGAATCTTTGTGTGTTTGGAGAATCATTTTAAAATAACCTTCTTTGTAACTTATTAACTGGAGATGGTTTGCGTTCTGATAGATCATTGACTGTCTATCTGTAGAATTTAAAATATCAGTTTTATTAATTTCAATTTATTATTTCTGTCCCTGAGGGGCCACCTTATTTCCAGCTTTATTTTGTTTATTTCTAACTTTTCTAACCACTCAGCTATCTTTTCCACCTATTTATAACTAACTAAAATTGGTCTGTACGTTTTCTTCTTCTAACTCTCACTATCCATTCTTGAAGTTGAGAGCAGCTTTCATTAAAAGTAATGTTTTATTTGCTTAAAACATTGGTTTGCTGCTCCTAAAAAGATAACAGAGGGATAGTGTTATATCACAAGTAGGACCCTGTAAATATCTAATGCAAATTTTAATCAAAGTAATGGATATGAGAGCTGGAGACGTGTAAACATACCCACAGTACACTAAAGACAGGTCTCACCACCACAGGTTCAAATGTGTCACAGGGCTAAGAGCTCATTTTAGTTTTTACTACTTTATTGTAGGTTTCCCAAAATTATTTCTTGCAATTCCATTCTAAACGTATTTACTTATTTCAAATTCCCATTGTGCACTTTGGATGTAGGGCATTATTTCTAAAAGAAAAGGCTTTTTTGATGGATTGAAAACTTGCTTTAAAAATCAAACATCCAAATCTTGGATTTGATAGTTTCTGATTGTGTTAAGCAAATGGGTGATGATTCGCTGTTCTGTGAACTGAACTACTGGAACTTCTCTCACTGTATCTAAAGCTCTGGTTGTTTGACAATCAGAGACTTAAGACCCTACTGAAAGATTTCACAATACTTCAACAAGTGTGAGAATACATATATAATAATCTTTGCTTTTAATATAGCGCCTTATCGTGTCAAGACGTCTCAAAGTGCAGTCATCAATTTTTTTTCTCAGCAATAACCCACAGAGCAGTGAAGTTGAATGACCAATTTTATCTGGAAGATTGTTGGCTACCATACATAACTATAAAGGTTTCCAATCTTTAGGATATTATTTTCTAATTCTGATTATCTTGAATTGTAGTTATTTGTTGATGTAAATCCCATGCAGATTAGGCTAACCAAAGTGAGGAGCTGTGAATTATGTTAATGAGGTGACTGTGTGAAACAATGCCTAATTTGGGGATTTTGGTTTGTTTCTATTCAGATACAAGCCTGTAGATCACAGACTACTTATGCTACCTCTACGAGAAGCTTTTGAGGAGCTTTTCATTCAGACCTTCTCCAGGAAGCAGAATGTGACCTTCCTGGGCCACATTCAGGTGTGCAGTAAGCAGAAGCGTTGGCATGATCTACTCAAGCTGATGCAACACGTGTACAAAACAGCTGTAGATAAGGAACTGAAATCCAAAGAAAATGGTGAGAATATATTTTTTGCTGGAGATATTATGAGCTTTTGTTGCGTTTGTGTATTGGATTCCTTTACTGATGGTTTGAATGTAGAGAACTGATTTGGAATAGTGCAGTTGTCCAATGCCTTCTTACTGGTGAATAAATATCTCAACACCTTTCTACCTTTGCTGAATAGATAGCTGAAAGATAATGTCAGAGGTACAAATGTTTATTTTTTTAACTCAAATATTCCATTGCTTTCTTATGATTAATTTTTATATTATCCACCTACATAATTCTGATACTTTAATGCTGCAGTCCTGTAACATGACCATGCCTGTACCAGCATTATTAATATTGATTTGTGACCATGTAAAAACATAAAGTAGGCACATGATGAGGACACTTATTTTCCAGAACACTTATTCAGAGCACTTTAATAAGTTCTACAACAAATGGAGCATTTGAATATCTTTCCCAAACTAAACAATTTGAGGATAGAACTATAGAAGGATAAGTATTGTATCTAAATAATTCATTTTGCAAGTTTTGTTTGTAAAAACGAAGTGGATTCGAAGCCACCTGTGAGGCTTGGGTTGGAATCCATCCCAGTTCATTTGTTGAGATGAGTTGCGTCTGTTGACTGCATGTACAATGGGCAGGTGACCTCAGTTCTTAGTAAGTGAGGGCTAAAACCATGAAAGCTATCACATTTTAGACTAAATAACAGGATGGCTGGTGAGAGAAAATGTTACACGAGTGCAATGCGATGGGGAGAGGTTTACTGAGGATACGATTGAGCAGAGTAATTGCTGTGGCTAACCTGGTGGGTACTTGAAGCAGGTTTTGATTGCCCAAAATGGGAATGCTTCCATTTCTCGCATTAACATTTCAGCGCTTCAGGACGTCCTCCCGACGTGAAAGGTGCCCTATAAATGTAATTTTGTTGTTGTTGTAACATCTCAGTGTATTGAGGGAAAAAGAGTTGATCTTGTGGGTAAAAAGGTAGAGTTTTTGAGTTCAATCTGCTTTATACCTAAAACAAACGCATTTATTTTAAAACATCCATGTTTCTTCCATTTTTATTTTCCATTGTTACTTCTTTTTAAATTTAGGATCTTGGCTGAGGGAGAAATGGGAATTACTTGGCCTACGTCTTTCTCAGGCTCAGCAACAGATGAAATTGACTGAATCGACACTGATATTTGCCTTTGTGGAGGTAACATACAAATGGGATTGACATCTCGTTTGACACCCAGCATATCAACTGCTTTCTTCAAAAGGGTTATCAGTCTTACTGACATACTGCAAAAAAATCTTTTGCCTGTAGGTTTCACTTGTGCTCATGGACTGACACATTAGACATCCTTTCACTTGTTCAGGGAGGTTGGCAGAATCCAAAGCATTAGGGACCCCAACGAGAGCATGCGATTACTGCTGGAACGGAATCAATTAAAAACATGCAGATTACCACGACTAATAAGCATCTTACTATTTTTCCAGAAACTGAGTGAAGCAAAATCCTTCTTCCCTTTCTCTTTTCCTCCAGGGGAAAAAAGGGAATCCCTTCCAAGTCCTATTGTTGGTCATGTCTGGCTCAGTTATTGTATCCTTGAGTCCCCAAGAGAGTTGACTCTGCTCCACGCTCCCTATTCTCAGATCAACAGCAAAGCAACTGTCTTTTTTCGCCCCAACCCAGCCACCAACTCCAAGGACAATAAATTAATTAAGCGTGGATGGACTTTATTTCACAATAACTAATAATGCAGTGGATGAATATGATCCTATTCTGTAAATGAAGATAAACCTTCATTTAGATAATAACATTTGGAGCCAATAAATTCCACAGAAACCTAGAAATTTACAGCACAGAAGAAGGTCCATGTGAAAAAGTTCTCCTAATCTTCCAATTTGGTTATTTACTAACTCTCTTAATTTGTGCTGGCGAGTCACTGACTCATCAACTAGTGGAAATAATTTTTCTATTGACCATCACAACCCTCCCTTAGAATTTTAAAGTCCAATTTCTTACGTCAGTTATAATTGATCCAAAATACTACTGGAAAAGGATATTTCTTGTTTGTAACATCCAGCCTTGACTATGCAAACTCCCTGCTTGTTGGGCTCCCCAACTCCTCCCTTCATAGGTTGCAGATCATCCAGAACTCTGCAGCCCGTGTCCCCTCCTGCACCAGGCTCCGTGACCCTATCACCCCCATCCTCACCCGACTCCACTGGCTGGCTTCCCATCACAACAACAACAACTTGCATTATATAGTGCCCTCCACGCAGGGTAGAGTCTCAGAGCCCTATCACACAGGGGATACAATTCAAGATTCTGGTCCTCAGCTGCAAAGCCCTCCATGGCCTTTCAGCCCCGTACACCTGCGACCTCCTGCCCCCTACCAACCTCTTTGCTCAGTGGGGTCCGGCCTGCTTCATGTCCCTCACCTCGCCCTCCCTACCATTGGCTACTCTGCCCTCACCATCTGGAATTCTATCCCACAATCCCTGATCTTATTTCAACTTTAATTTGTCTTCAGAGCATTATACAATTTTGTAATGAGAAATATTAGTTTTAATACATCCCTGCTGACTCCAGAATATTTACTAATAATCCCTCAATAGGTAGCTCCTTAACTAATTTAGGATCGTGAAAGGAAGCGAAAATAAGCCATTCGTCTTTAACCTTCAACGTAGGCTGTTTTTTATAATAGCAATAACCCTGGCATTTGATATAATGCTTTATCACTCACACCTACCACACATGCATTACCTGTTTGGTTTTGAACAGTTCTTTGGGGCAAAGAATAGATTCAATAGTTTACATATCAAAATATTGCGTTGCTTGTTTTAACAGTATTTTTGGTGTCCTTTACCAGGGTACTTTGGCCCAGGCAGTAAAGAAAGGAGAGTGGATCTTATTGGACGAGATAAATTTGGCTGCAGCAGAGACCCTGGAGTGTCTGAGTGGGTTACTGGAGGGGAACACCAGCTCTCTGATATTGCTGGACAGAGGAGACACAGGTATAAGAGTCTATTCATTATTTTTAAATGGAAATAGGTAAATGCTGAAGGCAAACTATATTTGGAGAGAGCAGGAGAGTGGATTAGATTTGGTAGTTCCTGTCGCTAAAACTCCTGGCTAAATGGCGGATTTCTGGGTTGAAACGTTCCATGATTCTATGCTATCTGTCAATAACATTTTGCATTTTACAACATATGGATTTCTAGATGGGTCTCCCCCTTTCTCCCCCCCCCGCCCTCTCATCCTGTTTTCCTGGCTCTGCCTGAGATAGGGAATTCGCCGTGTAAGAAATTGGCGGTGTCTTCATATCCTTTGGCGAGAGCGTGTCAGTGCCAGTAATCTGGTAGCTTTCTTTCTCTTTCCCTCACGCCAGATGGTGTACACAGGTTTAAGAACAGTTGCTACTGGGAAAGCCTTTTCTGGTCAGATTTGTGAGAGTGAGAATCGTGTGCAGGAATGCCACTAGCAGTTATAGAGGACTCTTTTTCTGCCTTCACATGTTCACGTTTCATGGGTGATTATCAGTGACCCGATTTACTCCATTATAGAGCCGATACAACGTGACCCAGAGTTCCGCTTGTTTGCTTGCATGAATCCAGCAACTGACGTAGGAAAGAAGAATCTGCCTCCAGGTATAAGAAACAGGTAAGCAAAACTTTACAATGATCCCTTTGTTGCAACCTGTTAATTCTGTATTTTGTCTTCTAATGTTCACTGTACTTGTCCTCAATTAATTAAATGCAAGAGTTTTTTATTATTAGAAATTGCAGTGGATTTTGAACTGAGTTATTTTACTTGTTTCTGGTAACAGGTTTACAGAACTGTATGTAGAAGAACTAGAGAACACTGGAGATCTGCGAATCCTCACGTCTGATTATCTGAAGGGGTTATATATCAGCAAGAAAACCATTCAAGGCATCATCGAGTAAGAATATCTCTAATGTTTCACAGTTGCTGGGTTTTTTAAATGATCTGTGAAAGGTAAACGTTGCAGTAAAGTTAGTTTTTAACCAAAAATAAAGTGCACAATGACTTGAAGTAAGGGATATGCCATATTTTTATTTCCTTTGTTAAAATTTTTGCTAGTTTGAAACCCCCCCCCCCAGTTATTTAAGGTGCAAAGAAATGACCATTTTAAAATTGCATTCATTGTTCTCGCTATTCCGTCGACCAGCTTTACTGTTAAATCCAAGGAGGAATTCATCATTCATGTTACCTTCGAATTCAAGATCCTCATCCTCACCTACAAGGCCATTCACGACCTTGCTCCCTCCTACCTCCGACCTACTATCCCCCTACTTACCTGCCCGTACCCTCCGTTCCTCTGGCTCCAGTCTGCTCCACATCCCCCGCCCCAACCGCCCTACCATCGGTGGCCGGGCCTTCAGCCTCTCAGCCCCGAGGCTCTGGAACTCTATCCCCCAGTGCCTTCACCGCCTCCTCCCTTTCCTCCTTCAAGGCCGGTCTCAAGACCTTTCTCTTCAACCGTGCATTCACCTCCCCGTTCGACTTTCTACCCCCTCCTCGCTCCCTCCCTTCCCTCCCCTCACCCTGACCATTTCCCCCCTGCTTGGGTCCCGACCCAACTGTCCAGCGCCTTGGGACGTCCTCCCAACGTGAAAGGCACTCTATAAATGCAATCTTGTTGTTACTTCCGTTTAAGGATTCCATAGATGAAAAGGGAAATGACTATGAGCAATCACAGTGATTCCCTGTGACTGTTTCATCTGTTTGTATTTATTATTTTATTAAAACATAATAATCGCAGAATAATAATTTTATTGTTATTAATAACAATTATTTTGCTTGAAGAACTTGTAGACCTATCGTTTTCTAACAGTGCTTTTTTCTTTGTTAGCTTTTACTTAACAGTACGTAAGGAAGCACATACCAAACTAACCGATGGTACAGGGCACAGACCTCACTACAGCCTTCGAACTCTTTGCCGGGCTCTTAGGTTTGCAGCTTTGAACCCCTGTAGCAGCGTTCAGCGCTCTCTGTATGAGGTAAATAATCCTGAAAACATTGTTTTTTATTTTCAGAGAACTTTGGTACCAACGAGCACAGGCTGTTTTATTTGTGTCTTTTGTAACCTGTGTGAAGTAGCAGATTATCGTGTCAAATGCTCATCGCAGCCTCAATGAAAGGTTTGGGTAAAAGAAGAAAATTGCACCCTTTCATTACAACAAACTTTTCCCTTAGTCCTGTGATAAGCTTAATCATAGTCTGCAGAGATGCTCAAACCCTCTCACAAGGAAACTATTTTGCCATATGACCATGAAGCTGCTCTTTAACATAGGCAAAGAAGTGAGTGAATCTGCCCTTAAGTCCTGTGCTGTCTGTATTTTCATCCTTCTCCATCGATTTGCTTATTGTTGCAGAGCTTGACTGTGCAGCCTCGAGTCTCTGTTTTAGAGGCAATGTGTTGGGTGCTGCTTTACATAGCTAGTTCCTATTCGTCGTATATATACTGGCAGCATGCTCACAATGTACTTTTCACATTTTACAGGGTTTCTGCATGAGTTTTCTAACTCAGCTGGACCGCACATCTCACCCAGTAGTTCAGAAGCTGATCTGTCATCATATTATTGGCAGTGGTGCTAAGGCTGTGCTCAACCAGGTATGTGGATGATGATGCAGATCTTGTGAATCAATGTTTGATTGTAAGTGGTTAAGATGCATTTTTAAATTGATTGTGTACTGAAATGTAGTAATTAGTCGCAAATGGCTCATAGCCTAGGCATAGTCGAATGAACCAGAAGTCTGCCATTGTTTTGCATGTGACTGGCTGACATGTAAAGTGAACCGCCAGCTGTGCATGAACAGTAAAAGAGGGTCTACATGCGATTTGTGCATTAAAAGCAAACCTACGTATTATTATAGTGCATTATAACAGGTGCTCAACCGTATGTAGTAAAGTGCACATACTGCTTTAAAAAGTTAATCAGTTGTGTTTTTCATCTGTTTGTTTCTTTCAGCGAATCCCAGAACCTAAAGATCGGAGTACAATGTTGATTGAAGGCTACTGGATTACAACGGGGGATAAAGAGTCCGTCATTGACCAGTCTTACATTCTCACTTCCTCTGTCAAACTCAATCTGCGGGACCTAGTGAGAGTTGTTGCTGCAGGGTAGGAGAATGCAACTTACTTTCAATAAGCAGACCTCCAGCGTGAAAAAATCATTGTGCTTTTCAAAAAAGTTAAACTTGGAATAAGCATTGGATCAGTCATGTTTGGAAGTAATCTATAATGAGGTTAGAAATGGCGTAAGGGAAGTTACTTTGTCATTTCAATTTTCATCTGGAAAGATTAATAATCCTTAAATTTGACTTAGCACCTTTTACATTGGAACGATGTCTTAACCCGCTTCACAAGATTTACTATGAAGTGCAGTGACAGCAGCCAATTTGCACATAGTAATGTTTCACAAACAGCCATGAAGTGAATCATCAATTTTATTTTTGATCCTCGAGAATACAACAAATGACATTTGTACAATACAGAATTACATTTGTATAGAGCCTTTCACGTCGGGAGGACATCCCAAGGTGCTAGACAGTCAGGGATTTGGACCCGAGCTGGGGGTCGGGATCGGGGAGGGTGGATGGCAGGGAGTGTAGGAGAGTGGCTGAAGGCTCGGTCGAAAAGGAGGGTTTTGAGACGCGCCTTGAAGGCAAGGGAGCAAGCGAGACGAAGGGAATGTGGGCTGGAGTTCCATAGGGTAGGGGCAGGAAGGCCCTGCACATCGGAAAGACATCCCAGGGCACTGAGAAATTAGCTGTTCTTAAGATTGCTGCCTCACCAAGATCATCCTGTAATATATCATGTTTTTATTCATTGGTTTTGCTTATAGGATACATCCGGTGCTTATTCAAGGCGCTACTTCAGTTGGGAAAACGAGTTTGATCTGGTGGTTGGCTTCTGCAACTGGAAACCACTGTGTGCGGATTAACAATCATGAGCATACAGACATTCAGGAATATATTGGATGTTATGCGTCTGATGCTACAGGAAAACTCATGTTCAAAGAAGGTTTGTGGCTGAATTTTAAATTTACTTACTGATTTCAAACATGGACAGGATAATATGGCTTTGTATTGTTCTGATCCTGTGCAAATCTTTGTGTAAATGTAATCTGTTCTGTGTATTTGATAATGATGGGTTAGGAAAATCTGTGGTGCAGAGATGAGTGTGAATTGGTGTCATTGTTTCATTGCATCAATTGCTTTCATTTGTACAAATTATATACTTTTTAAAAGATTTTTTTTGAAACTAAAAGAAATAAAAAAATTATGAAACTGCTGTAATCTAATTTAAAGACCAAAAATGCTGTAAAAGCAACTTTATCCCATTTTGAAAGTTTTTTTAAAAAAAGGTTAAATGTTTCAAGTGATTGGTAACATTTCATTTGATGAAATCTTTGTCTCTCTTTCCCTTACACATATAGTTTGTTGTGCTGTAACATTCCCGCATCTGTTCTTGTTTAGAATAAAGATTAAATTTGGCTTCTGCTGCCTAATCTATGTCTGTCTCCCTGCAGAGTCTTAGGTTTGATAGAGCCATAGATATTTGTAGCTTTAGAGCTGTGAGTGTAGAAGGGAATCCCTCTCTTGGCTTGCAAGAGGCCTGTATTGTAGTAGAGTGGAAGTTATTGTACTATCTTCGAATTGGGGATCAAATCCACCAAACCAACGCGCAGCAATTTAATTTCAAAGGTAGGGATTGTGGTGTGGAATATTTAACTGGCACTGATTTTTGTGGGTATGATGGTGTCTTTTTCCATTCTTTCCTAGGCTGATTTGGGGAAGGTGAAATTTCCAGTTTCATTGGAAGTCACTTGAAGCCCAGTTCGCCATCTACATTTCCATCCTTTTCGCCCACAAAGCACATGGTCACTACACTTTACAGTATATTCTGTGAAGGGCTTAGAGATGTCTCAAATATGTGATAAGGCTTATTATTATCCTCCCCAACTAGAAAAAGTGGCTTTTCATGTATGTGACAAATTATGCAACGTTTCCTTGTTTCTCTCATAGGTGTGCTCATTGATGCTATGAGAAAGGGCTACTGGATTATTCTAGATGAACTGAACTTGGCTCCAACTGATGTTCTGGAAGCACTTAATCGACTGCTTGATGACAACCGAGAGCTCCTTATAACTGAAACCCAGGAGGTGGTAAAAGCACATCCAAGATTCATGCTTTTTGCAACTCAGAATCCTCCTGGGTTATACGGAGGCAGAAAGGTTTGTTGCACAAGTGTGTGTTTTACTGTTCTCTTCCTCCCTCGCTTTCCCATCTGCATCATTTACCTCCCATTGCAGTGGACAAAAAAGTTTTATCCTGGGAGTTTGATACTTATGAGCATTCCAATCGCATGAAAATGCCTTAATTACCTAATACAGTTCGATGATTTTTTTAATTGAATCTTTTCTAATTTCTTGATAATTTCCTCCTATCACCTTTCTCAGTGTTCCAGAATCCCTGTAAAATATTTTGAGACTTTCTATATGAAAGATTCTGCACAGTGCAAATTCATGATTTTATGCTTTTGTGAACTATTTTATGCCTTCACTGCTTGTTTTCCAAGAATCTTTAATGAAATCAAGAGAGTGAAAGATGCCTCTATAACCTAAGGACCATTTTTTCAGCATTGACATTGTTGTATCTTACTAAAGCAGCAAACAATGAAAATACAGTAAAAATGAATGAAAAATTAGTAGCTTTCGATGGTATTTGCCTCATTTGAGGATTTGAAAAGGTGTGGCATAATATTGTTTCATTCAACCTCCAAAACATTTTTTTTCCTCATTCTAATTTTGGGACTTTTTAAATATAATGTTTAGGTATTGTCGAGGGCTTTCAGGAACCGTTTTGTGGAGCTGCACTTTGATGAGCTGCCTAGTGCTGAGCTGGAGATAATCCTGCACAAGAGATGCAGTTTGCCACCGTCTTACTGCACAAAGCTGGTTAAAGTCATGTTGGATCTGCAGGTAATTAGATTTGAAACTCTGTAAATTCTTAAATGAAGCTAAATGCACAGAGTGTGTGATTTCAGTTGCTCTCTCTCCATCAGCTTAAAATATGCAATTTTTTTTTGTTTCTGGGAATATTTTAACGTAGTAATTTTACATTGATGTAAAAGATTGCTTAAACTCTGGAAGTTTAAAAGCTCATGAAACACGTGAGAGATCCCACGTTTACAATTTAGATCTGTGAGAAATCTTTTTTGAATGACGCTTTTTTTTCCACTTCAAATAGTCTCGCCGTAGAGGATCGAGTGTTTTTGCTGGAAAACATGGGTTCATTACTCTACGAGATCTCTTCAGGTGGGCTGAGCGTTACAGACTGGCAGTTCAGACTGAAAAAGAATACGACTGGCTTCAGCATTTAGCCAATGACGGTAAGGTTTTTTTTAATACTGTTTGAGTGAAGCTTCCACGAGACAGGGTGTGGAGCTCTTCCTAGGTATCCACTAATAGATGCTGATTTGTTTGAGGTGGCTGAAGGAAATGCAGCTTGTGTTCATGCAACCTGTAACCACACCTCGCTTTCTAGTGAGCTGGTAATGCACACTGGACTCAACTGTTGCATCTGTCTATTATATTTGTCTATTATATTTCACTCAAAATTTTCCTCCTCTACCGGCCCCCTAAAACCTCTCCCACCTTCATCTCCAATATTTCTACCCTCCTAACATCCCTCTGCCTCTGCTCTGATCGCCTGATCATCCTGGGCGACTTCAACCAGCACTTCATCCCCTCCTGCTCCATCTCCTCGGACTTCTCCTCCCTTCTCTCCTCGCTCAACCTCTCCCTCCACATCAATTCCGCCACTCACATTCACGACTACCCACTCGATTTGGTGATCACCCGGGGTCTCAGTGTCTCGGATGTCATCGTTACCGACAAGGCCGTCTCTGATCACCACTTCATCTCCTTCACCATGTCCACCCACCTCCACCAGACCCACCAACATCTTCTACCGCCCCTGGAAGAAGTTACCTCCACAATCCCTAACCGCTGCCTTGGAGTCCTCTGAACTCCTCTCCCTCTGGCCTTCAACCCTCACTGACCCCTCTTCTGCTCTCACCCTCCTCCACAACACCCTCTCCTCCACACTCGACACTCTTGCCCCCATCAACTCCCGTACTGTCTCCTACTCTCGCTCCTCCCCCTGGTTCACCACCCACCTCTGCTCACTGAAGAGCCAGGTGCGGGCCGCTGAACCCACCTGCCTCAAATCTGGCCTAACGGTCCACCGGCAAATCTGGCTGGACCTCCTCAAAATCTACCGCTTCACTCTAGCCTCGGCCAAGTCGTCCTTCTACTCCAGGGTAATCCTGCAGGCTTCTGTTCTCCACCACATCCCGACTCCTCCGTCCCCCCACGCCACCCCGCGCAGGTCATCTCCTCCAACCTTCACTGCGAGGAGATGCTGGATTTCCTTGAATCCAAAATCAAGGGAATCCGCTCCGCGGTCACTGCCCCTCCAACTCCCACCCATCCTCCCCTACACACCTTCAAACCCGTTTCCCCACCCTCTGTCACCAAACTCATCCTGTCCTTGAAACCNGCTCCCTGGACCCCATCCCCACTCCACTCCTTATCTCCCAGCTCCACCTCCTTGCGCCACTTCTCATAGACACTATTAACCTGTCCCTCTCCTCTGGCTCTGTTCCCATTCCCCTCAAAACTGCCACCATCACTTCCCACATTGAAAAAACCTTCCCTTGATGCGTCGCAGCTATCAAGCTACCGGCCCATCTCCAACCTCCCCTTCCTGTCCAAGGTTCTCGAAAGAGTCGCCTCCCAGCTGCGCTCTTTCCTCTCCACCTCACTTTTCGAACCCCTCCAGTCGGGTTTCCGTGCTGCCCAGAGCACAGAAACTGCCCTGGTCAAGGTCACCAATGACATCTTGACCATCTGCGACTAGGGCTCCCTCTGCCTCCTCGTCCTCCTTGACCTATCGGCCGCATTCAATACGGTCGACCACTCTATCCCCCTCCGCCGCTTGTCCTCCTACCCCAACCTTCAGGGCCCTGTCCTTGAGTGGTTTAGGTCGTACCTCTCCCACCGTCTTCATTTTGTCTCCGCAAGGCTTTCCCTCCAGCCCCCGCACTGTCTCGTGCGGTGTCCCTCAGGGCTCTGTCCTCGGTCCCCTCCTCTTCACCCTCTATATGCTCCCCCTTGGTGACATCATCCGCAGACATGGGGTTCACTTCCACATGTATGCGGATGACACCCAACTCTACCTTTCCTCCTCTACCCCCAACTCCACGACCACCGATGTCCTGACAGCTGCCTGTCTGACATCGAGTCCTGGACGAGAGACAACTTTCTTCAGCTCATTGTGCGCAAAACTGAGGCCCTCCTGATTGGCTCACGTCAGCGCCTCCGCACCTCAGGCGCTGACAGCATCAGCATCCAAGGCTGCACTCTCCACCTCTCAAAGCCAGTCAGGAACCTCGGCATTCTGTTCGACCCTGAGCTGTCCTTTCTTCCTCATATCTGCGCCACAACTGGCACTGCCTTCCACCACCTCCGGAACATCGCCAGACTACGGCACTACCTCACCCCTCACGCTGCTGAAACTCTGGTCCATGCCTTTATCACCTCAAGGCTGGACTATGGGAACTCTCTCCTCGCCGGCCTTCCCGGCACCTCCCTCCACAAGCTGCAGGTCATCCAGAACTCTGCAGCTCGTGTACTGTCCCGCACCAGGCTTCGGGACCACATCACTCCTACCCTCGCTCACCTCCACTGGCTCCCCATCCCCCAGAGGATCGAATTCCAGATCCTCACCTACAAGGCCATTCATGGCCTTGCTCCCTCCTACCTCTCCGACCTACTATCCCCCCACGTAACTGCCCGTACCCTCCGTTCCTCTGGCTCCGGTCTGCTCCACATCCCCCGCCCCAACCGCCCTACCATCGGTAGCCGGGCTTTCAGCCCCTAGGCTCTGGAACTCTATCCCCCAGTGCCTTCGCCGCCTCCTCCCTTTCCTCCTTCAAGGCCGGTCTCAAGACCTTTCTCTTCAACCGTGCCTTCAGCTCCCGTCTCAACTCTCTACCCCCTCCTCGCTCCCTCCCTTCCTTCCCCTCACCCTGACCATTTCCCCCCTGCTCGGGTCCCGACCCAACTGTCCAGCGCCTTGGGACGTCCTCCCGACGTGAAAGACGCTCTATAAATGCAATCTTGTTGTTGTCTCTAGTGAGGAAGCAACTACTTGAGGCTACATTGAAGGTCTGTTGCACACAGTAGTTTCTGTGCTTTTTAATAAAATGTCCAAAACTCCTGATTGTCCAGTGCCCTGGGAAGTCTTTCCGATGTGAAGGGCGCTTTTCAAATGTAATTTGTTGTTGTTGTCTTTAAATATCCTTCAGAAGGATAAGACAAAGCAAAACCAAATGTTTGTGTTTTTTAAATTGAAGTTAGTAAAAGTTATTTTTTTAATATCAAGATTGGGTCAGCATTTTCTATTGTCTTTAGGGATCATCATGATGTGGTGACATTTCTTTGTATATGACACTGTGTGTTTTGGGCAGGTTTCATGCTCTTGGCTGGCCGTGTGAGGAAATCAGAAGAAGTTGCTGTTATTCGGGGAGTTCTTGAAAAGCACTTTAAAAAGAAACTGAATCCTGAAGCTTTGTTCTCGGAAAGAAATCTTAAGAAACAATTAAGTAAGTGTCCAAAATGATGGAACTTGGTTTGAAATACTGCAAGTGATCTCCATGAGGGAGACATTGCCATCTCGACTGGACAGGCTGGTTCTGAATGAGTTGAAACATTTTATCAAATTAGTCTTGCTGGTCTGGTAATGCGTTGACACTCCAGTGATTCCACCACAGGAATCAAGGCCAGGATTTGCCCCAACTATTCCTTCACTCAGCTCAGTGTGACTCTAAGTCGCACTCTGCCAGTGTGCAAGGCGGAGGGGAAGTGAAACACAGAGCTGGATGTTTGGCTTTCCCCTGTGAAGCACGGCATACTATTTTTTTTAAGCTGTCTTCCAGGAATTCTGGAAAACCTGCAATTTTTTTTATGTAGCATTTGTTGAATTAAACATTCATTTAAGAATTTTTTAGTAACTTATTTATTTGGATGAATTAGTTTGCAATCAGATCTATTATATTTGGTCATTGACCCTCATCAGTAATCTCGATCTCACTGGTTGCTGGTGAAATTGTTGCCAAGTTTTAGAGTGAGCCTTCAGGGCAACAGCCTAATTTTACAATGTAATGCAATTTACATTTATATAGCTTCTTTCAAGTTGAGTGGATATCTCAAAGTGCTAATCATGGGATTGAAAGGGTTCAATACTCAAGTTTCATTGATGATTTTATGGAATCATCATCTGAAAAGCTTGGTAACTATTATTAAATTATTATAATTCAAGTATTCCTTTCCCTTACAACTGAATTGTACTTTTATTTTACTGATATTGGCAAAGATTGATGCTATTTGACCTGACTCAGAGAGTAAACAGTACAATTTAAGTTTGTACATAGTGCCTTTCACGTCAGGAGGACGTCTCAGAGTGCTTCTCACTGCATTCAAACTGGCCAAGGAGGGTGGGGAGGGTAAGATGACCAAAAGTATGGTGAAGAGAAGTTCTGAGGCAGCCTTTAATGTGGGGAGGGGGGCGAGCGAGTGAGGGACTCCGGGATGGAGTTCCAGAGAGTAAAGTAGCCATACACTTGGCTATTATATGGACTGTTTCACTTGCTCCTTTCTCATTGCACAGGCCACTGGTCGGAAATCACGGCAGTTCTGCCTGATGAGTTTTGCCATGTTGTATGGACACGTGGGATGCGAAGGTTAGCAGTTCTGGCAGGACGAGCTTTGGAGTTTGGAGAAGCCGTGCTGCTGGTTGGAGAAACTGGGTAAATATCTTAAAATGTCGGCATTTTCAAATTCTCAAATACTGCAAATTGTGTTTATCTGTACCTGAGACTGGTCGCTTCCATATTATTTTTAAACCGAGTTTGAAATGTAAACTTGCCCAATGTAATATTAATGCTTGACTCATGTGTTGGTTGATTTCTGTGTCATAGGATGGGTACAAGATTTCTATGGGCTTCATGACAGTTTGCTTAGGATTTGATCTTCAGTTGTGGTGCTATGCATCTACTTCAGATATTATTTCAAGAACTCAGAGATCATTAATTAATGATTATAATAAAACTATTTAAGATGAATCCAGCCACCCAATAGAAATTCTGTGTGTCTGGGGATAACAAAGCCTGTGACACAACCTCTAATCGAATGACCTGTTACATAGGCATCAATGATTGGAACATCAAACAACCTGTTCAGGAGTGTTGAATCTGATGCTAAGTTGCTTTGTGTTTTGAAAACAATTCATTGTGGAATGGACCTTTTTTCACTTTTGGACCAGTGTCCATTTCTGACAATATTAAGTCAGATACAATGTATTTGCAGAATAAAATCTCTCTGCTTCAATAATTTGTCTTATCGGTGTCAGAAAACAGTTCCTACAACATCAGTGTTGTTCCATTCATTGAACAAATGATACTTATATCTCTTCCTGAGTGAGTTTGGTAATTTAATTTGTGCTCAACAATAGGCACCTGTGTTGGAAACTGAGACTTGAGTTGAGAAGTTGAAACTGTGAGCTATTTCAGCCAGCAGAGGGGAGACTTTTTCCCATCCTAAGTAATAATAATTTGTTAAGTGCATGTAAACCTAAGGACCTAATTGCAGTCATCAATCTCCTCGTCATTTTATATTCATCATTTGCCCAAAAAATAAACAGTCAATTCACTTTACAGTTATATTCCTTGAAGCTCTTTGAGACGTCACGAAGATGTGATAAGGCGCTATATCAATTGCAAGGATTATTATTATGATATATTTAAGGATATTTTAGATGGCGGGCATTTCAGAACGGTGGATTCCCAATTTGATGACAGAATGTGAAATTTGGGATGACTTTATTTTACTTTGTTAAAGGTGTGGGAAAACAACCATTTGTCAGCTGTTTGCGGCTTTGGCCCATCAGAAGCTGCATTCTGTGAACTGCCACTTGCACATGGAAACATCCGATATCCTTGGTGGTCTAAGGCCTGTCCGACATAGTTCCAATGAAAAGGTATGTCCACTATTGGATCTAGGATTCTTAAACTTGTAAATCCATTCGTATTTTCCCCCAATTGGTTGGTTAATGTTTCTTGTTGATGTCATTAGGATGGTTTGAACACAGAGCTGATTCACAGGTGCTTGTGTTTTTGAAAATGCATGGGGAAAAATGTAAACGTTACACATTGGTGCTTTTCATTTTCGGAGATCACTCGCCTTAACTGCAATAATACAGTACTAACTCGATTCAAATCAATGTGTCCCTCGCAGTCAATCCACATTGACAGGTTGAAGCATGTTGAAGTTTGAGTCCTTCAGTGGTGTTACTCTATGTATGACAACCACTTTGTGCATGATGCATCTTGTTGACACTGATGCATCAGCTTCCATGCCAGGTTATTTTTTTGAACTCAGTGCAATACAGTGGAAACTCGCTGTGCAGGAAGTCAAGAGGCTGTCTCTATGATTTTGAAATGGGAAAGGAAGAGGGCAAATGTGTGGTATTTATCAGGTCAGATCCATCAGATCCATTTCTTTGCTCCTTTAGGACACCTCAGACACTGGCAGACTGTTTGAATGGCACGATGGACCTCTTGTGCTTGCCATGAAGGAAGACGGCATGTTCTTGATGGATGAAATCTCGTTGGCAGATGACTCTGTGTTGGAAAGACTGAACAGGTGAATGCAAATTCTGCTTCCTTACATTTTTATTGGGTTGCTCGCTTTTAGAAGGTAGAAATGATTTGTTAGTTTTTTTAATATAAATTTGCAATTTTCTATTGATAAACTCTGTGAAATGTGTTTTCCAGTGTCCTAGAAATTGAAAAGACCCTCGTGCTTGCAGAAAAGGGAACTGGTGATGACGATGATGTAGAGTTAATCACTGCTCAGAAACAGTTTAGGATACTAGCCACCATGAACCCTGGTGGGGATTTTGGGAAAAAAGAGGTGAGTCGATTCGCTTATTGTCCTGTAGCTCAGTGGTTAGAGCACTCGCCTCATAAGTAAGTTTCCTTACTCCACACGCCTCTGTTTACCTAGCAATAAGTAGGAATCTATTTGTTAGTTGATTGGTGGATTGCTTTTCCGGGGGTAATAATTCCTTCAAAAAAAAATAATAATTTGGTCACTTAATCCACGACTGTTTGTGGGACACTGCTGTGTGCAATTGGCTGCTGTGTTTCGTCCACAAAATGCAGTCAATTCACTTTACAGTATATTATGTGAAGAGCTTTGAGGTGTCTAGAAGATGTGATAAAGTGCTGTGTGAAATACAAGGATTATTATTATTATAACAATATTAATAACACTCTTAACATTTGATATAGTGCCTTTTATGTTGGGAGGATGCCTTTCTCAGAGCAGAACAGAATTTCCTGTAGTGACTATATTTTTAGGCGAACACAGCAGCCAATTGTGCACTCATTTGTGTCTCATAAACAACCTTGAAGTGAATGTTTAATTTTATTTCGGGGGTTGTTGGCTAGGACACTGGGAGAAACTCCCTTCTCTTTTCACTTATTGCCATGGGATCGCTAACGTCCACTTGAATAGGCAGGTGGAATCTTAGGTTAATGTCTTATTTGAAGGATGGCACCTTAGACAATGCATAGATCAGATGTTTGCAGGATAGTGGCGGTTTGTATACATTGTGGTTTTTTCACTCCTGTAATTTTTCTTCTCTTTCACCCCACTCCACATGGCAAATTTATACAATCAATCCTTTGTTTTCAGCTTTCTCCAGCCCTGCGGAACAGATTCACGGAGATCTGGTGCTCTCCAAGCAATAGCCGTGCTGATCTGATGGAGATCATTCAACATAACCTTCGTCCTGGACTTTCTCTGGGTGGAAAAGATGATAAAGGTTGGGTGTGCTTCCAGTGCATGGATAAATAACAATAACTTGCACTTATATAGTGCCCTCCACGCAGGGCAGCCTCTGAGTGCTTAAATAAGGGCTCTTTCTGATCCTTTTTTTGGTGTAGTTTCATGTTCATCAAGGTGAGGGACACCATTGCAGGGAATAGAATACTTTTCATTTTTATCACTACTGCTTTCACCAAGTTGTCTTAAGACCAGGTGTAACATATTGAAGCATGGAATGCACAACAACAGAAATGACCATTGTTTCCATCGGCCACCAGCTGGTCTCAGAGGATGTTTTTTGTGTGTTTAAAACAAAGGAGTTTAAACAAATTCAAGTTTTCTTTAGTTTTCCTGGAATAGAAAATACTGTTAGCTCTGAATTTTCACATAATCTTAACAGGTCAAATAAAAATGCACACCTGATAGAACAGAAACATAACAGTAATGGAAATTCGGTATATGTCTTGCTGTGTCCTGATATCTGTAGAATCCAGAACAAACAAAATTAAAATCTAATAATAAATCGTCTTTACCTAGACATCTTTTATAATAACTGCTGCAAAGAAACTCTTAAGTGAACGCGAATATTGATTGAAGTGCTATAAAGGGTTATGGTCTTTTGCCATTGTATCCCTCACACCACCTTAGCTTAGGTCACTTTGGGAAACGTATATAGGTGAGAGACTGTGAGTGGATGAGCAGGAAATTGAACTTGGAAAAAACCCACCTACATTGTTGTTTTTGTGTGTTACAGGCAAAAGCATAGCAGAGCTTATCCTGGATTTCATTGACTGGTTAACCAATCAGGAGTTTGGGCGTCGATGTGTACTCAGTATTCGTGATATCCTGTCTTGGGTAAACTTCATGAATATTACAACTAAAAGCAAGAGTGCAGAAGATATGGATGAAAGCAAAGGTTTTAATCTTGATCCTGTGACTGGATTTATACATGCTGCTTGCCTTGTCTGTATCGATGGAATTGGATCAGGTCTGTTTGTCATTGGTTATGTTGATTTGTCATTGGTTTTGATCATTGCCTTTGCTTAGCACTATTTATTTTGTTATCGCAATCTGATTCTGAGATCCAGCAGGAGGCACAATCTAAAGTTTGAATCACTTTAGAGTACCTCCCAACGTGAAAGGTGCTATACAAATGTAATTTTGTATTGTATTGCTTTCTCTTGATTTTGCTTGAGAATTAAGGCATTGTACATTATATGGGGATGATGCTTATCATGTGGAATAAGGAAGGATTTGCATTTCAAGGCAAAAGCAAAACATTAAAAAATGTGCAAAATATTACACCAATGAAGTCTTTAACATTTGCTTTTTACAAAGTGATAGCAAGTTATCATCTCATCAAAATGCCTTAGAGTGCTCCACAGGATTTACTGCAAAGTGTAGTCACTATGTATGTGTAGGCAAATACTGCTTTGCTGCTTAAGTGCAGTATAAACCTGGTCTCAGGTAGAGTATGTTGCATTGGAGCTACTCTCTTGACACCATCTGGCAGCAGTTTTCAGGAGTAGTGTGATTGGTGCTGTGTAGCAGTTGTGAGATCTCAACAGCCCAGGAAAATTGAGCAGAGTATTTTACTAAGAGCTGATCATATCATTGACTTTATTAAAGTTAAATCATATCCTGATTTTTTTTGTGTTATGTCAAAATCCGGTGTTTGGTGTGTTATTGGCCTGATTGAAAGCAACGTGGAACAGGCTGTTTATCCCAATCACCACTCTGTACCACTGTGGTTGCAAACAAGCAATGGTAGTCCAATAATCCTTTGAATTTCAAATGAGTTTGGATGTCACATTAAAGCTAATTTTCTTGTGCCCTGGGAGAGAATATTCTGAATGAGCCATTTGGCAATAATAAAGATTTCATTCATGTTTTATAGCAGTAAATGTATGTTCGTGCACAGTAGTTCATAATAAGGATCTCCTAGAATTATAGAAATTTACAGCATAGAAAACTGATCATTAGGCTCATCTAATCTACAGTAGCTCTCAGGGAAGCTGTACTGCCTATCCCCAATCCCCTTTAAACCTCACCCCCACCCCTAGAACAAAGACATCGTGCAGCTGATCAAAAGGAGACTGGATTGTCAAACGTATATCAGCCAATGTGGTGATTGTGGAATGAATGTTGTTTTATTTTGTTTTTCTTCTAGGGGCTGCATTCTGTGCTCCAGATGCAGCTTTGGCTGCTCGTAAAGCATGCTTGGATTTTATTTTAAAAAAGCTGTCTAAAGTTACAACATTGAAAAAAGGCATCCTGAATACACTGAATATTTATGATGAAAAATGCAGGAAGAAGATTGTATGTACTGAAGAGAGCTTTGGAATTCACCCATTTTTTATTCCTCGAGGTAAACATTTTCTTCTCCTCCCATCTCACGCGTAAAACCGAAGTGTTCTGTGCTAACTGAAAAATTAATAATAATAATCCTTGCATTTGATATAGCGCTTTTCACGTCAGGAGGACGTCCCAAAGCAGTTCACAGAACACACTGTAAAGTGAATTGACTGTATATTTGTGGGCGAATGCGGCAGCCAATTGTGCACAGCGATGTCCCACAAACAGTGAAGGTTGAATTATACCACTTAGCATTCCAAAAAGTTATTTCCCAAGTGAATCACTCTTCTGATTTCTTGAATCAAAGAACAGACATGAGGCATTCCCAAAAGGGACGGGGCAACAATTGGTCTCATAGATGTGAGAGTCAGTGGCAGAGCCATGTTTTGCAACGATGGGAGAGAGAGGTGATGGGCCACCTTCACTCTCCGCGCTGTCTCATATCTCCTGCTCTGGCTCTCTTCCCATTGCTCTCCTCGCTGCCTCTCACAAAATGGTACAAACCACAAGGCAGCGCAAAGAGTGACGGGAAGAGAGGCGGAGCAGGAGGTATGAGGCAGCTTGGACACCAATGAGAAGAGATCCAGAGTGGGAGTCAAAGGCCTCCTATGTACATTTAAAGGCCACTGGGGAGTTGCCCCCCCACTACCTCTGCCACGGATGAGTGAACATAGAGGTTTTTAACAGACTTGTTCTCTGCTATTGTGGTACTATTTACTTTACTCACTGAGGTCTTCTAGAGGTACAAATGTAATACCATACCGAGGATCTGACTGTATTCGACTTGATGGGGTCCAAGATACTAACGGCACACAATGTAAATACAAATCATAAAGTATTAAAACAAAAGAATCACCTCCTGTTAATCCTTCTTCCTTTAATAGGGGTTAGTGGAGAGAGGAGTGAACTTTCAGACTATGCACTGAATGCTGGCACAACAGCTGTGAATGCTCAGCGTTTGCTACGCGCCCTGAAGTTGAACCGACCGATCCTGTTGGAGGGATCGCCGGGAGTTGGGAAGACGAGCTTGGTAACTGCTCTGGCAAAGGGTTCGGGAAACCAGCTAGTTCGCATCAACCTCTCAGAACAAACAGTAAGCAACATGTGAAAACGTTTGCAGCTTTTCAGCAACTAGCCTTCCCTTCAAAAGTCATTATGAAAGGGTTAATTCTTAGCCTTCTTACAATAACAACAACAACTTAGATTTATGTAGCGCCCTCCACGCTGGACGGTGTCTCAGAGCGCTTCACGGTAACGAATCCCGGGGCCGAACCAGGGGGAGGGGGAGGAAGGTGACCAAACCTTACAAAACCGTATGGAGAGCAATATTCAACAATTTAGAGAGCGGCATTCTGCCTATCGAGCCTTCTCCTTCCACAGATCAGGATATGAATGTCTGACTCAATTAGTAGCACTGAATCAGAAGGTTGTGAGATCAATCCTAGATCAGCAAAGTGTAGGCTGACAGCCCAGTGCAGTACTGGAGGAGCATTTCATGGTCTTTCAATTTAGGGGTTATGATGAGGTCCTGCTGCCTGTTCTGATGAACCTTAAAGATCCAAGAGAAAGAAGAGAAGGGAGGTTCTGCTGCTTTTGATATAACTGCTCATTTGTAACAATTTCACTTCTACTGAAGTAATTTTAATTACCGTGTCTCTGGACCTTAGTTAAATGAATGGACCGTTTGCCTCCAGCATCAACTGAAAGGAAAACAATGAAAGGTTTTGACTCCTTTTTCTTTGAGTTTTGTTACAGTTTTAGAGTTGCACTAGGCCGTCAACCAACACTATGCTGATGTAATGATTGAACTCATAACCTTCTGTTTCAGTGCTATTAATTGAGCCAAGCATTCATAATCTGATCTGTGGAAGGAGATGGTACCTCATCTCATCTAAGTTGCACACGCTTCATGTGTGCGGCTGGATGGTGTATGTTTTTAGGGCTTTCAACAACAACAACAAGATTCCATTTATAGAGCTCCTTTCACGTCGGGAGGACGTCCCAAGGCGCTGTACAGTTGGGTCAGGACCTGAGCAAGGGGGAAATGGTCAGGGTGAGGGGAGGGAAGGGAGGGAGCGAGGAGGGGGTAGAGAGTCGAGAGGGGAACTGAAGGCACGGTCAAAGAGAAAGGTCTTGAGACCAGCCTTGAAGGAGGAAAGGGAGGAGGCAAGGCGAAGGCACTGGGGGATAGTGTCATCCGCATACATGTGGAAGTTAACCCCATGTCTGTGGATGATGTCACCAAGGGGGAGCATATAGAGGGTGAAGAGGAGTGGACCGAGGACAGAGCCCTGAGGGACACTGCATGAGACAGTGCGGGGGGTGGAGGAAAAGCCATTCGTGGAAACAAAGTGAAGACGGTGGGAGAGGTACGACCTAAACCACTCAAGGACAGGGCCTTGAAGGTTGAGGTGGGAGGACAAGCGGTGGAGGAGGATAGCATGGTCGACCGTATCAAATGCTGCCGATAGGTCGAGGAGGCAGAGGGAGCCCTGGTTACAGATGGTCAGGATGTCATTGGTGACCTTGACCAGGGCAGTTTCTGTGCTATGGGCAGCATGGAAACCCGACTGAAGGGGTTTGAATAATGAATGGGTGGAGAGGAAAGAGCGCAGCTGGGAGGCAACAACTCATTCCAGGACTTTGGACAGTTTCTCTTTGACCGTGCCTTCAGCTCCCCTCTCGACTCTCTTCCCCCTCCTCGCTCCCTCCCTTCCTTCCCCTCACCCTGACCATTTCCCCCTCCTTGCTCCCTCCCTCCCTCCCCTCACCCTGACCATTTCCCTCCTCCTCGCTCCCTCCCTTCCTCCCCTCACCCTGACCATTTCCCCCTGCTCGGGTCATGACCCAACTGTGCAGTGCCTTGGGACGTCCTCCTGACGTGAAAGGCGCTTTATAAATGGAATCTTGTTGTTGTTGGAGATGGGCCGGTAGCTTGATAGCTGCGACGGATCAAGGGAGGGTTCTTTTAAGGTGGGAGTGATGGTGGCAGTTTTTAAGGGAATGGGAACAGAGCCAGAGGAGAGGGACAGGTTGACGATGTCTGTGATATGTGGGTCAAGGAGGTGGAGCTGGGAGATAAGGAGTGGAGTGGGGATGGGGTCCAGGGAGCAGGTGGTGGGTTTCAAGGACAGGATGAGTTTGGTGACAGAGGGTGGGGAAACGGGTTTGAAGGTGTGTAGGGGAGGATGGGTGGGAGTTGGGAGTGTGGGAGGGAAGGGGTGGGGGGTGGGTGGATGTTGGAGGGGAAGTGACCGCGGAGCGAATTCCCTTGATTTTGGATTCAAGGAAATCCAGCATCTCCTCGCAGTGAAGGTTGGAGGAGATGACCTGCGCGGGGTGGCGGGGGGGAACGGAGGAGTCGGGATGTGGTAGAAAACAGTAGCCTGGGGTTGTTCTTCGCCTCCAGGATTATCCTGGAGTAGAAGGACGACTTGGCCGAGGCTAGAGTGGAGCGGTAGATTTTGAGGAGGTCCAGCCAGATTTGTCGGTGGACCGTTAGGCCAGATTTGACAGGTGCGTTCAGCGGCCCGCACCTGGCTCTTCAGTGAGCGGAGGTGGGTGGTGAACCAGGGGGAGGAGCGAGAGTAGGAGACAGTACGGGAGGTGATGGGGGCAAGAGTATCGAGTGTGGAGGAGAGGGTGTTGTGGAGGAGGGTGAGAGGAGAAGAGGGGTCAGTGACGGTTGAAGGCCAGAGGGAGAGGAGTTCAGAGGACTCCAAGGCAGCGGTTAGGGATTGTGGGGGTAACTTCTTCCAGGGGCGGTAGAAGATGGTGGTGGGTCTGGTGGAGGTGGGGAGGGGGGTGGAGGTGGTGAAGGAGATGAAGTGGTGGTCGGAGACGGCCTTGTCGGTGATAGTGACATCCGAGACACTGAGGCCCCGGGTGATCACCAAGTCGAGTGGGTGGCCGTGACTGTGAGTGGCGGAGTTGATGTGGAGGGAGAGGTTGAGCGAGGAGAGCAGGGAGGAGAAGTTTGAGGAGATGGAGCAGGAGGGGGTGAAGTGCAGGTTGAAGTCGCCCAGGATGATGAGGCGATCAGAGCAGATGTAAGAAGTGTCGAAATATCGGAGAAGAAGGTGGGAGAGGTTTTAGGGGGCCGGTAGAGGAGGAGGATTTCGAGTGAGAGGAAGGAAGGGTGGGAGAGGGTGAGGTGCTCGAAAGAGGGGAAAGAGCCAGAGGAGTAGGGGGATAGGGCAAGTGGTGTCCTTGAGATAAGGGCTACACCACCGCCACGGCGGTTGGGGCGAGGGATGTGGTGGGAGGTGTAGCCGGGTGGTGTGGCCTCCGTGAGGGGGAAGGTGTCGCCTGGGGTGAGCCAGGTTTCCGTTAAGGCCATGATGTCAACGCTCTCATCAAGGATGAGATCGTTGATGACCAGGGCCTTGTTACAGAGGGAGCGGACGTTTTGTAGTCCGATGTGGAGGGAGCGGTTGACAGAAGGGTGTGTGGGAGGGGAGGGGGTCCAGGTTGTGAGGCAGGGGTGGGGGAATGGGGATAAGGGAGGAGAGGTTGGCTCCCCGGGTCTGTGTCCGGGGTGGCTGGCGAGTGTGGTGGGGAATGGGGCAGTCGGTGTGGCTGCTGCTGGACAGCCAACGCCGAGTGCCACGGTGAGCCCGGCGGAGGATTCCCAGGCTGGAACAGAGGGAGGTTGTGGGAGGGTCAAGTGGGGATAGAAGGCGAGAGGGACGGAGAGAGAGGAGGACAGAGCGGGAGAGATGCAGAGGGGAGAGGGTTTGGGGGTAGAGAGGAGGGAGGGAGGGGGTGAGGGTTAAAGCGGCAGCCATAGTGTGCACGCGGGGACCGGGAGCGAGTGGTCAGCTGGCTCTTTCCCCTCTTCACCTGCGGGGAAGAAACTGCAGTCAAGCATGATGGTTTCCTCACTTACTAATGCACATACAAGGAGTTCTTGGACAATGTTCAGCAGCAGGATCCTTGGCAGGTATTCCTGTCACGAGTGCTGAGTCCAATGGTAGCACCTCTCTGTGCTCCAAATTTCCTGTTCTCAGCCGCTGTGGTGTTGGGAGCTACCAAGCGGGTGCCAAGCACATTCCCATAGAGGAGAGGAAATAATTTCTCATCCTTGGCTCCTCTTCTATGTTTCCTACTTGACTGACTTAGTGGCATTGTCAAAGGCTTGCGATTAATTCATCTGCCCTCTGCTGTAGCTTCAAGAGGGATGCGGCCACAGGAGGTGGGAGGAAGTTGATAGCATTTCAAGCCGCACGCAAACAAGAGACCAGACCCCAGTGCAGCCTTTGCTTTACAAGACCTGTTGAACATTCAGTGCCAAATCTTCTTCTTGCAGGATGTGACTGACTTGTTTGGAACAGACCTGCCTGTTGAGGGAGGCAAAGGAGGAGAATTTGCCTGGCGTGACGGCCCCCTACTTGGAGCCTTGAAGGCTGGACACTGGATTGTTCTGGATGAGGTGCGTGCTGTTGAGGGATTCAGAGAAAGAGAAGAAGTGGGAGAATGGGATTAGAATAAATGGCTCTCGTGGGGGAGCTTGTAGCAGCATAATTGCATCGATCCCAATAGCCTCCTTCTCTGGTATAAAGGTTTTATTTTGGTTTGCTTTACTTTGATGACTTGAATGCTGTTGCATTACTTGTTGAATGTCTCTGTTCAGAAGTAATTATCACTGAGTGTGACTATGATTTGTGCTGCCATCTAGTCTAACAATGTCAATGTGTTCAGTTAATTTTCAATTTGGGCACAACTTGCCCTTTGACATCAGTGTGATGATGCACTGAAATCAATGGCAATAAAGACCATAGGCTTCACACTTCTGTATATCTGTTAATGAGCTGAAGTGTGAATCAAATGTAAAATGTTGCATTTATGGTTTATTTGAACTATTTCTATTTATATGATTGCTTCCACTGTCCCTATTGCAATACCTCAGGGTTAAGCAGCCTGTCAACACAGTGTATACAATTGGCTGCTGTGTGTCGCCCACAAAATACACAATAAATCCACTTTACAATATATTCTGTGAAGCGCTTTGAGACGTCTCAAAGACATGATAACAAGTGCAGATATCAAATGCAAGGATTATTATATTCTATTTGCATTAATGAACAATAATCTCAAGCTGGATTGTTTAAATACATGTATATAGAACCAGTCAACTGGAACAATTTTTTTTCTAGTTAAATTTGGCTTCCCAGTCTGTGCTGGAAGGACTGAATGCCTGCTTTGACCATCGTGCTGAGATCTTTATCCCCGAGCTGGGACTCCACTTCAAAGTGCAACATAAGAGGACGAAGATCTTTGGCTGTCAGAATCCATACAGACAAGGAGGTGGAAGGAAAGGCCTTCCCAAATCCTTTCTCAATCGGTTCACACAGGTACGTCAGGAGGGTGAGGGAAGATCACAGAAATTGTTCCCAAATAAATCCAAGATTATCATCCAAGATGTGATGGGATTTGCTTGTGAGTTTGAAATCAAATGTACAAAAAACTATATGCTTTCTTTGTTCGCAATATGTACACCAGAAAACAATGGTGATAATATATAATAATCATATCCCTTTAAGCCAGCACTTGTCCTGCGACGCGCAATGAAGTGTCTGGAATCCACCAATTTTGGTGACATGTTAAGAGGAACTGCTCCATTGAAATTAATGGGGGCTGCTGCTGAGAGCCAATCTCAGCCTGAATAATTATCACCAATGATGGTTGTATCACATAACCCACTCTTCACCCCAATAACAACTATTTATTTTATTGAAGGCTTGTTTTTTGTGTGTAGGTTTACGTGGATCAGCTTCCAACTGCAGACATGGAGTACATTGCTGACACCATCTTTCCTGCTATTGGTAAAAACATCATCGCTAAAATGGTCCAGTTTAACAACAAGGTAAAGGATCCTTAAATTTCAACAAATCACCCTAAAACATTCAGAAATTAAGAATTGATGTAGCTTTAAAAAGTTTGTTTTTTTTCCTCTCTTAGATTAATCAAGAAGTAATGGTGGAAAGGAAATGGGGACACAGAGGAGGACCTTGGGAGTTTAACATGCGTGATCTCTTCAGATGGTGTCAACTGATGTTGGTGGATCAGGTGCCTGGGCACTATGATCCTGCCCAGCACATAGCTTTGGTGTATGCAGACCGGATGAGAACTGTAGCAGACAAGAATAATGTAAGCATACTACTGACCACGCTACACATTTTGTTTTGTAAAGTGATGGTGTGCATGAAGACAAACTAACGGCATACACAAGTGGAGGAGCTCGTAACTATAAAGTGGATCAGGTGGTAGCACTTTGTCTCTGAGTGAAAAGTTGTGCTTTCGAGTACCACATTGGGACTTTGAACTCAATGTCTAAGTTGACACTGTTAGTCGCTACACTATATGGTAAATCCTATGAATCGCTTTGAGACGTCTTCCCGATGTGAAAGGCGCTGTAACAAATAGAAGTATTATTATTTACAAAAAATTTTGAAAACGAAACTAAGCAAGTTCCTGAAAGTGTAAAGGATTCAAGTTAATAGGTGTGGAGATAGATGTGTCAACGGACTACTTTTGGGAAAGTTGAGTAGGTGTGCAAGATAGACCAATGGTCTACTTTCTGAAACTTAATGTGTCACCATTTCTCTTTTCTATAACCCAACAAAAAAAGAATTGTTAAACAAGTTGATGTTGTAATAGTGTTACACCACCAACAACTTGCATTAATATAACGTTATTCACGAGGGTAGCATTTAACAATGGTGGAGCTTGCCTGAGCCAGGTGACAGTAGGCTTTTTTAGGGTTTTATACCAAGTCTCTCAGAGAAGTGAAGCTTTAAAGATGCAAACTGAACTGGCTCGTTGTACAAGTAAAGGGGAAATTAATAATATTTGGTTAAATTTCAAAATGTTGCATCAGTTGCGTAAACTGTTTGCATTTCTCAAGATTTTTTTACAAAATGTCAAAGTGGCATTTGCTCTGAAAATGGCAGATGCTTTGAAGTTTAGTTGCTTTGTTTTGAACCTGACTCTTATTAATGTCTCAAAAAATAGATCTTGAAACTCTGCTTGTTCAGAGATTCCATTTGACCCTTATTTACAAATGCTTTTTTTATTGATATTTCAAGGTTCTTGCTGAATTCAAGAACACGTTTGGTTCAAGAGGTGGTAAAATTCAATCTTGCCCCTATGTTGGATCTCGAAAATTTCACGTTACTCCTCAACACATTCAGGTTTGTAAACTAAAGTCGGCATATTTTTGCTGTTAACGTTCCTAATTGTCTTATGTTTTCAGGAAAGTGAGCATCAAGGTATGATCGGCCTTTGAATTGCTGGAGGCTTCAGGTACAGCAATCCTTAAGTGCTGTTTTTATATTTCAGGTTGGCTATTCAATCATTTCTCGCAGTACGTCTGGTATCCATTGCTCAAGCAAGCAGCTGTCCATTCTTCACCACTCGCTTCAGCCACTGGAGTCGGTCATGAAGTGTATCCAGATGTCTTGGATGGTCATTCTGGTGGGGCCAGCTGCCAGTGGCAAAACCAGCTTAATCCAGCTATTGGCGCTTCTCACCGGTCAAAGTTTAAAAGTCATGTCAATGAACAGTGCCATGGATACCACAGAGCTTCTGGGTGGATTTGAGCAGGTGAGCTTGATAACACAACAAATACAAATGTTAAGTTGCGTAAATCATAAAACTTAATTAGCCATTTTTAATCTATATTTTAATTACAAATTATAAATATGCATTGTTCACGGATTTCAATTGTCTTTGTTGATGAAGCTTGAATAACTGTTTGGATCTAATCTCAAATAATAACGTTACTTTAAGATAACTCCTTCATCAATTTGTCTCCAATTGTATTGAGTTACATTGAAGTTTAGTGATTTGATGGCTATGACTAGCAGCAATGTACCAACAGAAATTCATTTTTTTTTTGTAAACTAGAATGAGGGAAGAATATTAGCCTAGAAAGTGTCATGGGATTAATTGCATCAAATTTTTTGGGGGCAGCCGGGTGTCTGATACATGGAGAAACCCATCCCCATGCTTACGAATATCCAAACCAAACTGAGAATTCCAGGCATCCACCTACACATGGAAATCCCAGTGATAGATTGTTGGAATGGAGTGCGCACTCTCTCCCTGGAGGGACACATCCTGCTTATCTAATTCCGGAAAGTATTAGGCTCAGGTTGGCCAGAGCCAAGGCATGGTGACCCTAGAGACCAAGGCTTGAGGACCCCACCTTGAACACCAGAGGGGGCAGACAGAACCTTGATCTAAGTACGTTTCTGAAGGGCACCACCACAATGTGGTGCTCCGTTAGTTTTGGAGGACCACCATGGATTATGAGCTCAAGTATTGCCCAGAACCTTCTGATAGAGTGTCCTGCAAAGATTTGCATTATTCAGTTTAAAAGAATGTGAAGGAGCTTTTCTGTTGCTCGCGTGTCTCTGTATTCCCATGGGTTGTGTGACTCGATGCACACAAACATTTTAGATAGAGATAATTCATATCCTCATTTCACTGACGCAGTGAAGCTCCAGACTCAGTCAGGGTCAAGCTGAGCCCTGCAAATACAGCCCTGCAGCCCCAGCCCTACGGCTACAGTCCTGCACAAAAGTTCACCTGTACGTCTACTTTGTCCCCCTGCGGCCCCTCTTCATACCATATTCTGCTTTGGAAATGTGTAGGGTTGTGTTACATTCAGTTAGTTAGATTTGTCAGTTCCGTTCAAAACCTTTTGGTTTTAGCAGAGTGATTTACTGGGTTAGGTCCTTGCTTCTCATTGCTGTGGTCGGAGTTCAAAGCTTGGTGCTTGGATTCAAATGTTTTGTTAGCTCTTATATTAAGTGCGTGTTTGAGAGACTGACATTTAACTGGAGAATTTTCAAAAATAAGGTATGATGTAAGGTCGGAAACTATACAAGGGAAGGACATTAAAATGAGGATGGCTTTGCTGTGTGTTGCAGGTTGACATAATGCGGCCTTGGCAGATACTGGTTGGGAAGATCAAGGATGCCGTCTATGCTGTCTCCAGAAATGTGCTCTTGTCTGTTGACTCTTTCCCTGATGACGGCAGCATTCTCCTCAAAGTCTGGAACTCGTTCCTCACCAGTCACTTTCATTGCCTGAGTGCAGAGCGTGGAGCTGGTATCTCCCCGGATGCAATGAGCAAACTGGAGGGGCTACTGATCCTTCTGCAGCGTTTCAACAGCAAACTGAGCACCTTCTCGCCAAGCGGTAGGTATTGTGGGGCCTGTGGGGGGAGACTCTTAGTGTAATCACATTTTCACATTAGGTAAAGAATTGTTTTGTAATATGAAATGGATAAGAAGGTGAGTGTTGAAATCTGAAATTAGTTGCGTTTTTCCTTTTATCACAAATAGTCTCTCTCTCTCTCAATCTCTCTTTTTTTCTCTCTCTCTCCCTCATTCTGTTTTTTTTAATTTTATAAACTACTTTGTTAAGCACCACACAAAAAAAATCTTAGTTCTGTGCAGTTCCAGCCTCTTCATCCATGAACTTGAAATGCACAAAGTTCAGTAATTTTATCCAGTGGAAAATTTCAGGATACTTTCCAGAGAAGACCAAGACAGATTACATGGGACATTTAGGTTCGTAGCAGTCCTGCTACCTTTCAGTCCAACAAAGCTTGTCTCGTTTATCAGTGTGTTAGCTTCTGTAAGGCAGAATATCAATTCAGTGGTTCCAGTGTCAGTGACGTGGTGCTTCTTGTATTCCTTCAACAGAGTTTTCTGAATTGATCACTGAATTCCAGCACTTTAAGTGCCAACTGAGCCAGGCAATAGACGGTCAAAGCCGTGGCACGTTTGAGTGGGTTGACGGGATGCTTGTGCAGGCATTACGGTCTGGAGATTGGCTGCTCTTGGACAATGTAAACTTCTGCAGGTGAGGAGCGTATGGAGCAGATGACTCAGAGCCCTGTAGCTAGCAATTCTAACATTTTGAAAGTGTTCTCTTGAATTGAATCCGGCCCAATAAGTTGCCAAGACTTTGGATGTACGCAGTTTATATAAAATGCAGGGACAGGGAATTGCACGGCTATCTCCGGTTCCCACTCCGCTAGTCCAAGTGAATGTAAGACGTTTGTTTTGAAATATGGAATAGAACCATTGGTATGTGGAGCAGACAATTGTTTAATCTATTTTTCTGGCATTGCCAAGTTTCCAGTCTCCAGGAGATGATGTTCTTTCCCATACACAAGGGGGTATGGCTCTTAATGGCCATTTGATTGCGAGGGCATCGCAGATGGGCCTGATTTAGATTCTCATCTTGCTTTCTCATATGTACTCCTCCAGGAGGGTTTGCTGGTCAATGAGCAGGAACCCTGACTGATGCTGCTTTCCCTTCTTTAAACTGGGTCACTGAAACCAATTACAGAACCCACAGTGCTGCCAGGGTTGAGATCAGCTAATTCAATCTGGGCATCAAATCTGAGTACTTCTGCCTGATCTAACTATTCATTGAATAGACTTGCTGAGCCATTTGGAGAGGAAATTATTTTGTATAAAAAATGATGAACCTGTATTCATTGCTTGATTGTGCGATAATAAATAAATATATTTCTTTCAGTCCTTCTGTGCTCGATCGTCTGAATGCCCTCCTGGAGCCTGGCGGAGTACTTACCATTAGTGAAAGAGGAGTGATAGATGGCACCAACCCAACAATTGTCCCGCACCCAAATTTCAGGTATGACTTGAAGACTTTTGGTGTTTTTAACAGTCAGTAGTTGCACGTTGCTTAAATGTATAAAAAAATTAGGTTTTGGACTTTGCTTTCACTGTGGTGAAAGTACTCCTGTTATAAGTACAAGACAAATTCACATTTATATAGTGTCTTTCATATTGGCAAGAGGTTCCAAGGCACCCGAGCAGGGCTGGGGAGTGGAAAGATGACTGGAAGTGCAGTCAAAAGAGGAAATATTACTAATTACTAATGATTTGTTGAAAAACTTAGATGTATGCTAAAAATGAGTATACATTCTAGTTTAAATTAATATTTCACAATTAAAATGTATTGAGGCATCAGACATGTCAAAGGATAGAATAAAATACATAAAAAATGGCCATTTCTTTCATGGCTGTTTGTGAACCATTGGTGTGTGCAAATTAGCTACCTACAAAATACAAACATTCATACTACTTTATAGTCTTTCATGTAAAGTGCTTGGAAATGTCTTGACGGTGTGATAAGGTGCTATATCAAATGCAAGAATTATTATTTATCAGTATTACAGAAATGTGAGTTGATAAAATGGAAATCAAAAAAACACAAAAGAGTTATAAGAATATGCAGTTTGCCTCAGATGGACATAGAAGCACAGTCAACTGAGTTTTTTAAGAGGAAGATAAATGACTTGGGAAGTAATAATAATAAGTCTTGCATTTGATATAGCACCTTTCATATTAGTAGGATGTCTCAAAACTTGTATCAGGACTTACTGATAAAGTGAAGGGACTGCATTTTGTAGGCAAAATGTGGTAAGTGAAGAAAAGTCAGGGAAACGGGGTTAGAAAGATGAAACTCTTCAGTGAATTAATAAACTGAATGTGCAGCCTCAATAGCTCACTCATGTACTTGTGTTCCTATGAGATACAGTTACACTTTTTTACATTTTTACTGTTTTATAAACAGGCTCTTCATGTCTATGGATCCAGCCAATGGTGAAATTTCTCGGGCAATGAGAAATCGTGGGATTGAAATCTATATTCCTGGAGAGAATGATGAGATCTCGTTTGATCAGCAAGATGTTAAAGCACTGCTACATGGGATAGGATTGGTGGGAGACGGTCCATGTTCTGAACTGATGTCATTGTATTCGGAAATTAAAGCAGTGACAGGAGGTGAGCTACATACATTAGATTGGGGAAAAGCAAATTGTTCAGAGTTCTGGGTCATTAATAATGCTTGCATTTGCATTCTGTGGCTGCAGAGAGCACCAGAAGTTATTGGATTTGAATTCCCTCTTTGTTCATGAAAGATGGGAATAAAAGATAATTGCAGTTCTGTAACTGCATATTGCCACAGGAATAGAAGATTGCCCAATTGGCAGTTTATTAAAACACAGATGAGTGTGCCAACATAGAATTTATTAGTGTGGTTCCTGGTAGCCATTGCATACAATTCTCTTTCTGTTCTCTACCGGTGATTGATGCTGTTTTAATAAAGTAATACAATCCTTGCATTTGATACAGCACTTTACCACGTCTTTGAGACATCTCAACACGCTTCACAGGATATACTGCAAAGTGAATTGACTGTATATTTTGTGGGTGAAACACGGCAGCCAATTGTGCCCAGCAGTGTCGCACAAACAGTCATGGATTGAGTTACTAAATTATTATTATTACTGCTTTATTTTTTGAAGGGATTATTACCCCCGGAAAAGCGATCCACCAATCGACTAATAACCAGGTTCCTACTTACTACTAGGTAAACCAAGACGTGTGGAGTAAGGAAACTTGCCCAACGTTTCACCCCGCTGGGAATTGAACCTCTCGTTTCAACTGAGTCCTGCAGCTTAGTGGTGAGGCCACTCACCTTGCAAACGAGGTCCTGTCATTTGCGAGGCCAGTGCTCTAACCATTAAGCTGCAGGACTCCTGTTGTTCCTCAATGGTTATGCCTCTGTACATTGTGATGTTGTGCAGACCAAAATGAATTTGAATTTGCCCTCATCGTCTCTGGGGTATTTTACCACAGTCCCTGAACAACCAATGCAGAGGAAGCATCGAACTCCAAATGATGATCTGACCTGGTGCAGTAGATTCTGTCATTATATATTCAGTGATTGTATAGATAGGCAACTCTTTTGGTGCCTCTGGCTGCTTGAAATGGTGACTGATGATTTGTGAGCCTCTCTTGTCCTCTGGTTTGTTTGCTCTTTTCCTAGAAATGTGCAGCAGATGATTGTCTCCAATTCCCAGATGTTCCCTTTTGTTCTCTCTAAACTTTAAGGCTGACCTGAGGTCAAATACTCACTTTCGGAGTCTTGCCAACACTGGTATTCCTACTTGATATCCTACAATCGGAAGTTATTGAACTCATTTGGCATTCTGTTTCCTGCAAGCACTTTTGCCCTTTTTGTTTTGATGTAAAGGAATGTCAGAGACACTAAATGTGGAGGAATTGCCAGTTACTACAAACTTTTGAAATGTGATATTTGTTAGCTCCTGTATTTTCACTATAAGAAACCTCAACCCTATTTTGGGGTTGGACAGTGCTGCTTTTTTTTTAAACTCTCTTGCCCCTTCCTCCTCCCCAATTCATTAAGGCAATTTTGTGACGATCAAATATGTACAAAATGAAAGTACTCTCTAAGACACTATCCGTGTGAAAGGCGTTATATAAGTGCAAATGTTGGTTTTGTTTCGCTGTTATTGTACCTCGGCCGAAAACTAATTATTAATCACTTCACTCTGTCCTTCTTTTAAAGGTGGTGGTTCTTCCATCTCTTCCCTTCTTCATGCCGCTGCTCTTGTTGTTCAGCAGCTACAGCGAGGTCTGAGCTTGCCAAAGGCATTCCACCGAGCTTGCTCCAAAGCGTTTATCAGCTCACAGCGCACTCAAACTCACCAGAAGGTAGGACTCCCTTTCACTGAATTGATTCTGCAAGAAATTTCTAACATTTGCTTTTTAATTTTAAGAAAGTCAACAAATTTCACTTCTTGTTTCATAAGTTTGTAATTGACATTATTAAGTGTGTTCCCTTGTTAAACTATGACCTCTGCCCTTCAATTGAATTCAAATGTTTATACCTCGGTCACCTCTGAGAAAATCTGACTTCATACAAATCATTGCAATCCCTGTAAATGAGAGCCAGTTCATTTAAAAGCCATTTTTTGTTGTTGCAGGAGGTGCAAGAGCTGGTGGAGAATCACAGTCTCACTTTGGCATCACATGAATCTTGGGCTGACAACTTGTTGTCTCTAAGGCTGTGGCCAGATTCGGTTCCATCAGCACTGTTTACAGTAGAGGACTCTATGCTTTCCATGGTGCATCGAGATGGCCAGGTCCTCGCCTACTGTTTGAACCAGTTGAGTCTCAGCAAGACCAGGTAGGCAAGCACCCTGAATACACAAGTGTCTGGACTCGAGCTATCCAATACTAAGAGAGAAGCACAGCCAGGTCTATAACAAGGGCGTGTATATCTGTATTGCTCTCCAGTCTTTTCTTGCTCTTTTCTGCCCTTTTGCAAAAGTCACAATTATGCACATCAAATCTCTTGGGAATGTGGTGAATCAACCTCATTTGTGTTACAGTGGAACAGACAATCTGAGATAGTGTAAAATGCTTTGTGAATATTCCCCAGTTCGCTCATACTTTTTAATTTAATTTGTTTAATATTATGCATTCCACTCCCTTTTCTCCAATAAAGTAGTCAAATCCCTACACTTGTTTGTTGATGTTGTTTGACAATTAGTTTTGAAGACCATTGTCACAAATTGTAGTGTACTGAGTAGAATAGTTACAAGAACAAAATGTTTTTAAAATAATTTGTTTTTTCTCTCCACCTCCTCCCTTTCCCGGTTCAGATCTCGACCTTTGACTCTCTCTGATCTGAAGCTCGTTCTCCAATCCTCAAACACCGAGGGTCTTTTATTTCGGAGTGATGAAATGCTTGTTGAGGAGACAGACAAGTCCAGTGTGGTCTCGGCTGCTGTCAGGCTGGTCACAGAGAAAGCTTCTAATCAGGATTGGCTGTTGAGGGTTAGATGGCTGCATCACATGGCAAAAAGTTATAAGCAGCTGCCAGGTAGGTCACATTTACAGTGTGTCAATACTGTTACAGCAAACATTCCCAGTGTGGTTATTAGAAGCAGTCATTCAATCTGGCTATCTCACAAATTGGTACTATGTTTGCTGAGGGTAAAGAAGACTTGACTATTTCTATAGCTTGAATACTAAAAGTTCATTGGACATATTCTAGCCTATATTTAGTCATGAAGTGCGCCATTCTTTTAAACAGAAGTGTCATATAATTGGATTTAGCCATTTATATAAATGATCTGGATTCTGGTATAAGTGGCACGTTTTCTAAGTTTGCTGATCCTCAAATAAGGAGTAGCTCAAATAGGGAGTGTAGCTAATAATGAAGAAGACTACAAGCAAGTTCAGGTGGATCTAGACATCCGTGCCATGACTCGCTCTGCCTTCCCTCGTCTCCGCAATATTGCCCGACTCCGCCATTGCCTCACCCTTCAGGCCGTTGAAAACCTTATCCATGCCTTCTTTACATCCAGGCTCAACTTTGCCTCCTTGTTGGCCTCCCCAACTCTTCCTTCCACAAGTTGCAGATCATCCAGAACTCTGCAGCTCGTGTCCTCTCCCACACCAGGCTCTATTATCCCATCACACCCACCCTTGCCCGGCTCCCCATTCCTCAGGGGATCAAGTTCAAAATTGCCGCTCCCTCCGCTCAGCAGGCTCCGGCATGCTCCATGTCCCTTGCCCAACCGCCCCACCATCACCTTCAGCCTCTCTGGTCCCACCCTCTGAAACTCCATCACACATTCCCTTTGCCTCGCTCCCTCCCTTGCCTCCTTCAAGGCACCCCTCAAGATCCTCCTCTTCAACCGTGCTTTGGCTTCCTTCCTACCCTCTCTGCCCTCTACCCTCCCTGATCCCCGACTGTTCAGCGCCTTGGGACATCATCCCGACCTGAAAAGCGCTTTACAAATGTAATTTTGTATTGTATGTTGCTATGTGTCCTAAAGTATTAGTCAGAAGTTTATAAGACCCTGTTTTATCATAATGTTTGATCTTGTGCAATATTGGGTAATATAAGGTGAGGTTTTGATTTTAGATCTTTTTCTTGTTTCCTACAGAGTTGGTGCGTGCACAGCTGGAGGCAGGGGCGACTGCTCTTAATGCTGTTTACTCGAGTGTCTTACCTGCAGGAATGAAAGGAATTGTTCAGAAACTGCAGCTCTGTGCAGATGGTAATTTAAGTTATCCAAACTTCACAAGTTTCAGACAGGCTCATTTGGTAGCATTCTCGTCTCTGGATCAAAATGTTATTGGCTCAAATTTCGTGCCAGGACTTCACAGTCGGGGCTGACATTCCAGTGCAGTCCTGGGGGATGCCACTTTGTTAGAGGAGCCATCCTTCAGATGAGGTGTTACACTGAGGTTCAATCTGTCTGTTCAGGTGGATAATAAAGATCCTACGGTATTACAGTGAAACTGATAACTGGTCACCTCAAGGGAAATAGCTCAAATAACTACTTATCAGAGTTGACTACAGTACAGTTTCACGAAAGTACAAAATACTCAAATAGCTGGGATATTGAGTGAGTCACTTGTCATGTGGGGTTGACCATTTATCTCAGAGGCTAGTTATTGAGAGTTTCGCTATATTTGAAAAGAGGGGAGTTTCTCCTGGGATCCTGGTCAACTGTTGTCTTGTTGTCTTGGCTGTTAGTAGGACATTGATGTGCACAAATTGACTGTTGCAGCATTTGCACATTTGTGATGTGCACAAATTGTGGGCTGCTGCGTTTCGCCCACAAAATATACAGTCAATTCAGTTTACAATATGTTCTGTGAAGCGCTTGAGATGTCTTGAATACGTGATAAGGCACTATATCAAATGCAAGGATTATTATTAATACAATCGTTGAGTATTTTTGAGATTTTCTGAATGTTATGGGCACTAAATTAAATGCATTATATTATTATTTTGGACTTTTTCACAATTTGCTTCACCCTGAGTTAGTTGTTCAGGCAAACTGTTCACCTCATTGGGTTGATGGGAGAACTTGCATGAAATTAAAGGAAAATGTATTTACTTCGCACAAAGGCAAATTCTATTTGGTTTTTAATGGGGGTCAGTTTGAGTGCTCTTTTACATTACAGATCTCTATAGAGGATATCAGCTGCACCCTGTGAGACACTCTTTATGTTCAGCCATTCCCAATCGCTTCAAGCAAACTCACAAGAGTAACATGTTTTGTATTGCGGTATCTGATATGAACCATCAAAAAATGTTTCCCCACTATTTTCTCTTTTTCAGCAATAGATGAAGCCTCACAACGAATTATGAAATCAAAATATGTCCTTTTTAAATATTATTAGATCTTTGTTCTATATGGGCTTTTGTTTTAATAGATTTTTGATATAGATTAATGCACACCTTACACCTCAATTGTATGAGGTGAAATAATCAAATCATTACAATTGTGTTAGGTGACTTCTTGTGCATTTATCCATGTTCTCATTTCTGATATCTAGAATAGGAAATAACGCTTGGAATTGTCTCCCTAGAAATTGTTTTTTGAAACTTAGAAATGTTACAGCAAGTTTTTCTACAAATACAGTCACTACACTCAGCAATAAGTGCTGTGAAGTGCTTTGACACCTCTCAGCAATGTGATGAGGTGTTATATCAAAGGAAATAATTATTATTCAGTTTTTAAAAAAAAGTCAGGTTATTGGAGGTAACTTGTATTTTCTCTTTGTCTGTAGCAGGCCCATCAGTTCCCTTGGATCCACGATGGAACCAGCAGTATTTGGATATTCTGCTGAATTCAGTGGCCTATTCTGGGGAGTTTAAAGATGGACAGCAGTGTTCCAAAGAACTACTTTTAGAGTTGAGCTCTGTTGCTAACAGGTGAATTATAGACGAAGCTTTGGCTCAGTAATCAGAACCAGGAATTGTAAACTCCATTCCAACATTCGCCCCGATTTGATAAAATGTTTTTGACAGCCGATAAATAATTTAGGAAGTTCACTGAATTCTTGATGCAGCTGTTAAACAAAGGTGGCCATCAGGAGTGTCTGTCCTAAGTGGGATATTCTGTAAGTTCTAAAGTTGCAAGATTAATTATAGAAGAAAGCTAGTGCTGTATTGAATGTAAAGTAAGCAATTCTAATGTAATAGTCAAATAAGACAAACCTCTGGTTGTAGATTGCCCAAGAACCTTAAAAGAGCTTTCCTTTGATACTGTGCTCACATCAGTCATGACTGTTGTTTACTTTGCTATTTTGGGGCTTGAATGAGGCTGTTTGTGAGACGCTGTTGTGCGCAAATTGGCTGCAACATTCGTCTATAAAATACACAATCACTACACTTTCCAATAAAATCCTGTGAAGCGCTTTGAGAAGTTTCAATGATACGATAAGGCACTATATCAAATGCAAACATTATTCTTTCATCTTTAGTCGTTTTATATGTTTTTAACCAAAAAAAAATTCTGGACCAGTTCCTATCATGATAAAGCTATTCATATAATTTAGTGATGAGTTAGCTGAGTAAGCTGATATAAAAATAATAATATTCTATAAATTGTATTAGTTATATAATTAAAATTATTGTTGTATAATTATATTATAGTTATTTATATAAAATATTCTTCATTCACACATCCTCCATGTACTGTAGAATTATAGTAACAAATTATTAGACCTTAATAAAATTGTCTGCACTGCATTAAGCACAGTGCTTACAAATACAGTGTACCTTCATTTATGGAATGTTTATCGGATCCAATTTATAATCTCAAACTTAACCTTTGTAAATGGGATGAAAAAAATCAGATTCTAAATCTCTCAATTTTCCCTTTGGGGAGGAGAGAAAGATTTTGATCTTCAATTCACAGGGGAGCAAAGTCTTACGTCTAACTTTGCTTGTTGTCTTGCCTTGATTCTCCAGGGTGGCACTTCTGATGGACAGAGAGGAAAGGCAGTATGTGGAGAAGACACTACTGGCTTCTGAAGCAACCAAGACATCTTTGAGGAGCAGCACATTAAAGATATCTGTTGCATTTCGCAAAGGTAACTAAACAATTCTGGCAATGAAATCAGATAAATGCTACCTTTGGAACCCAGGGTTGCAAGAGCACAGCAAGCGTCCAGATCCTGTTTGCATAACAATCATCTTAGTGTTTTTGAAGTTTTAATTAATCATTTTTGCTTCACACATTTAGGAATGATAAACTTCGATAACCTGCCTCACCCAGTCATCGCTCATCTTGCTGCTTTCTTTGATCTCCTGGATGCCTCTGTACTGCACTGTATAAAATCTCATGGGTCAGAACTGCTGGATAATGTCTTCCATCAGGCAAGTGGCAATCGCCTCATTTATCTTTCGTGGCTAGATGTGCTACATAAACACAATTCAAAGACAGTTTCAACAATAAACCATTGTAAGCTTTATTGACCCACTGCAGTGAGGGAAGAGGTCCTTTCAGGTTACAATACCCGAGCAGGACAACTTTGAATTATATGTGATTGTACAGAGTATATATATATATTTTTAGAATACATGATACACAAGTCTTATCCAACCAAAATAGTTTGCTCACATGCATACTTTTTTTCCAATTTCCTAATTGGTAGTTTTTACTCTTGCATAGCTTTGTATTGTCTGTCAAGTTAATTGGTCAAGCATAGTGATACTCCTTACTAATTAATTTTAGTAAGGCAGGAAAGACCTTGGAGGAGATCTTTTGATTCTTTGCCAATAGATAATAGGCTTGCCAATTTTACTGATACAGGGACAGCACAAGGACAGTGCAATTAGAAGGTGAAGGGCTGTTTACACTGTAGTGCAAGATGTTTTTAACCCGTTATGTGATAGTTCAAATTACATTTCTACATATCCCCATCCTTGGCCTGGAGAATGAGGCAGCTAGTAATGTAAATTTACACCAGAGAGAAGCTGGCTCCAGGGAGAAGCTTTGATCTCTAGTTTTCATGAATAATAGAGAAACTGTGCCAAAATAATATGCCTGGCATAATCACTTTGAAAACGCTATAATGAGCAACAGATTGGTGCCACACCACAACAGTGAGACATTCAGATCTCCTTGTTTTGTTCACTTAAACATGTACGAAGCACCACACATTTGAGGTTAATCTCGGTAAAAGATAATGCGGAACATTACATCTGCCTGTGCAAATGCATTGAAATATTGTACAACAGATTATTTCTAATGATTCAATGCTCTGTGGACACTTTACAATTCTAATAATAATAATAATAATCCTTGCATTTTGATATAGCGCTTTTCACGTCGGGAGGACGTCCCAAAGCGCTTCACAGAGTAGACTGTAAATTGAATTGACTGTATATTTGTGGACGAACGCGGCAGCCAATTGCGCACAGCAATGTCCCACAAACAGTCGTAGATTGAAAATGACCAATTTATTATTGTTTTTGGTTTTGGAGGGATTATTATTAGGCGTGTGGAGTAAGGAAACTTGCCCAAGGTTTCGCCCTGCCTGGAATTGAACTCAGGTCTCTCGCTTGCAAAGCGAGTGGTCTAGCCACTGAGCTACAGGACTCCACAATTGTGTGCTTGATCAGCTGGAATATCAATGCTTTAGTAAGTCAAATCATTCAGTAGTCCAGTAGTAATAACTCTTGTTTCCCGATTCTCTTCAGGCATTGTGCAACACACTTTGGCGGGATCGACTCTGGGAGCTGTCAAACAGAATCACAGCAGATGCCGAAGGTTTGGCCTTGCTCTCACTGCACTGGCACTGGGTGATGAAACACCTGCTCAAAGATCTTTCCGCACAGCTTACTGGGGACTCTCAGTACGAGTAAGTAGGATTCGTAGCCCAGTGTCTTGGCTTTTGTTTTGCCCTGGATTAAAATATTCAGCTTTTATTTCAGAAGAGCATTTTTGTAAATCTGAGTGAAGTGTACAAGAGGCTTTTAAATAAAGAACTTTAAGTGGAGATCCTTCGATCTACAATAATGTCAAGTTTAGAAGCCTGGAGTTAAAGTTGAAGGTTTAGATTGGTTGGCAAGATTGTTAATATTGCCATTGGGTAGCCCCTCTCCCCTACTTCCCTACATCACATTCAGTAGTCCCCGATCCCTGTTGTTGATTTTGAAGTTGTAACCAGGTGGGTGAAATAGAGTAACTGTAAAATGAAGTCAACACTTCAGCTTAATTGTGCCCTCTATTTAATTATATACTGTGTCATCAGCTCCAGGGGTTGGTTTGTGTTGTAACTCGTGTTCATATTTTGCTGCCAGACTGTCTCAAGAACTTCAGGTAGTTTCTAGTAACCTGCAGAGCCACCTGTCGAGCCCCAGTGGAGTAACTGCCAGTATAAAGAAAATACAGAAATCATTGGGCAGACCCCTACCGTTCAAGGTAAATGAAGCTTAATGCTGCCCATTTATTGTTGTCAGTGAAATATCTAACCATCTCTGTATGTCCTACACCAAAATTAAAATGATGCTGGGCATGTTTGAATTCAAATGCAGTTTAATAAATTATGCAGATAAACATAGAGGTTACCAGAACTTGAAACAAATTAAAAACTGCAGAATCTGGCCTGTGGGACCTGCTATCTTTTCTGGCCAAACTTCGTTATGCACTCAGGAAAAAAATTGGTTTAGTTGTCTATCATGAGGAAAAATGAGACTATTTATTAATATTGTTCACTGAAGAATTGATTGTGGAGTTTGTAAGTGGTTTACAAGTCATCCTGTGGTCCATTCAATTTGTAGACTGTTTCTAGTTACTGTCACAATTGGTGTGAAATCAGACCATTATAATTCATGTAACTAATGGTTAAGACAATTTTGTCTTAAAATTTAAGAACAGGGGAAAATTCTCAAATTTCAGTCTCAATTTCAAAGCCAGTATTTTAAAGAACTACAGAAAACCGGATTCCAAACTACAACTAAATTCACAAATTCGGAGCAATCTTAAATTTTAAGGAGATATAGTCCAGCAGGATAAAATTCACTTTCCTGGGCACAACAACACCAGTAGTGCTGACCAGACCTCTCAGTGGCTTAAATAATATGGAACATTAAATCTACCTGTGCAAATGCATTAAATGCATTTATATCTAATGCAACACATTATATCTAATGATTCAATACTGTGTTGACACTTTACAATTGTGTTCTTGATCGCCTGGAGTATAAATGCTTTAGTAAGTCAATTGAAGCTGACTAAGTTCTATTCTCTCTTCTGCCCCCAACTCCCCCCGCTCCTTTCCAGGTTGAGTGTGTTGTGGAATGTGCATCAAAACTGAAACTTGTCAGCTCTGCTCTGGATGTGGTGGGGCTCGGACAAAAACACACCCAAACCACACGTACCGAGGATTATCTACACAGAATGAGAGCGGCAGTCACCGACTGGAAAATCAAGAAGAACTTGGTGTTAGCAGGGGGGCTCTTATTGAGAGCAAATCACTTAGCAGAATCTAACTGTGGTATGCTGTATAAATAGCCTGTAGTACTGACAATCTCCCATAAATGTGCAGTGGTTCCTATACCCAGGAAAGACACATCATAACATTGTTGTTAGAACACAGGCTGGGATTTTACAAACTAACTGGACCGTGATAGCTGGTTTCCTGCAGCCAGCCGGCTTATTTTCACACCCCAGCCCCTCCCTCCCAAACACTCCTCCCCCAATGCCGGTCAGCAAAATGTGGCAATAACTGTTTTTAGGAGTCCTGTAGCTCAGTGGTTAGAGCACTCGCTTTGCAAGTGAGAGACCTGAGTTCAATTCCAGGCAGGGGGTGAAACCTTGGGCAAGTTTCCTTACTCCACACACCTAATAATAATCCCTCCAAAACCAAAAACAATAATTAAATTGGTCATTTTCAATCTATGACTGTTTGTGGGACATTGCTGTGCGCAATTGGCTGCCGCGTTCGCCCACAAATATACAGTCAACTCACTTTACAGTATATTCTGTGAAGCGCTTTGGGACGTCCTCCCGACGTGAAAAGCGCTGTATCAAATGCAAGGATTATTATTATTATTTTTCCCTTGTGTATCAAAATGCATATATAAATGAGGGGACTGGCCATCCAACAGTGTGTAACCAGGTGGCAATAAAATCACTGGTGTTTCTTGCAACCATCCAACAAAACATTTGGATCATACAGAGCTTGGTTGTTTAAATTATTGCCGCCTAATCTATATCCCATTGGTTCCTTTGAGGAAGATGAGGCTTCTGAGCTGGATTTGAAAAATCCAAACAGAGCACGTCAAAAGGCTAACAGTATATCCATGTACCTGCTATTTACCATCTTCATAACCTGTGGACTGCAATCGAAAGATTGTTTTTAAATGAATTGGTGCTGGGTTGAGGGACAGTGTCAGGGTGGGAAGAAGGTTACAGTAACTTGCTTGAGATTTAGTAACTTTCTCAGGCCAGTCCCACCTTGGAGATGTTGGTGGTCCTGCTTTGCTTGTACGCAGTAATTTAGCTTGGTGCTTTATAAACCGCAGTGTTTCTTTCGAGGTGTTAAGGCCCTTGCTTTGTGCTTACAGATGTGGCACAGTGCCTGGTGGATGCTCAAATATTGGAGTTAAGGTCTCAAGGACTTTTAAGCTCCCCAAATTCTGAAGACTTCGAGCTGAAGGAACTTGCGGATGTACCTCACTTGGAGGAAGCGTGTTGTAACCAGCTGTCCAGCAGAGTTCAGCTGTGGCCTGCATTAGAATATCTGGCCTTGCTCTGTAAATTTAAAGTGAGCGCAGACCTGCTGCATCTATCACTGGCCTCCAGGTAAACTGAGCAAAGGTTGTCCTTTAGTTAGATTTTGCTGAATGTCAACTTCTAACTCTTGTAGAAATGTATAGATCCTTGTACATCTTTCAGCAACACCAGCTCAATATGCTGTAAAGTAATTTTAGTTTGTAAACAATTTGTACAGTAGATGAATTCTTATCCAGCAATATAGTTAAGTGCAAGAGCGTTATAAAATTCTTCATGTATTGTCTTTTCAATCACAGGGTCAAACCAGACCAAGCAGCACTGCGTGCTGACCTCTGTCAAATCATAACCTTCTGCCTGAGAGTCACTCCAACTCCTCCCGAAGAACTCCGAGGATTTTGGTATTTAGCGCACACTGATGAGGTGTGTACAGAAATGAGCTCATCCGGGTGTAACATTTATGTTTGTTTCCTTAACTCGCACATTAGTTTTGCTATGTCCAAACTTGGAGTGCCTTTTACACAGTGTAGAAAGAATTCACATTGTAGTCATTCTGGATGTGGAGGCAAGACTACATTGAAATTGAGAAGTATCAATTGGAAATTGTGTTAAACCTGAAAACTTAATTTATCACCAAATTGAATTTTGCCACTTAGGTGAGATTTCCAAACTTGTATGTTCAGATTGCTTTTCTGAGCTTGTGATTAGGACACAATAAGAGCTTTATTCTATGACTGTGTGAAGTGCTTTGAGATGTCCTCCCACTACTGTAACTGGCTCCTTTGTGATAAGTGCTTCATGATGACACTGGGTGCTAAAGGTAGTCCATGTCTTTCCCAGGGTCTCCTTCACTTCACAGATAACATTTCCTTTCTCTTTCCCCTCTAACCCCTCACTGGCTCTAGCAGCACTAAAAGTATGCTTTGTTGAATGTATTTTTAAACTTGTAGCAGTGTGATCTGAAGTTGGTTGGCGATGTAAATTTAATTGCCTGACTGTTCATAGGCCAGCCAATGTCTAGCCACACAGTTGGCCACTATTGGATTAATAACATTACTGAAACTTCCAATGCCCTTGCATCATTTTGGGGGGAGGAGATGGGTGGAAATTGAAGTGGACGCTGGTAGAACTAATTGAGGCAGTTTATTGAAGCCATCATTGTCAGTCAATGAATCACGGGGGGAAGGCGAGAGAGAGCATTCTTTTACATTTAAGCTAGAAAGTCATGTTCACTGATTCACAGAAAAACTGGTATTTAACAATCTGTTTTGACCTTTCCCTGATTCCCAGCTGTCTCCTGAACAATTGAATTTGCTCTCTTCCGAGCTGTTGTCAACTGTGCTCAGATCGTTTTGGACCAGCAGTGTGACTACAGAGCCTGACTGTTGGCTAACATGGAAGCCTCATAGACCGATAGAAGAGATCCAGCGACTGGAGACTGTTGTGGACAAATCACTGAAGGTTTGTTTCTGTTGCGAGTTAACTAACTTCAATGGCAATATCGGTTAACTGAACTGATTATAAACTAATGCATTGTAGACTGGCAAAGCTGATAAAGGAAGCAAAAGAGATGGAAAAAAAATGACTGGTTTGGAGGCTGAAATTATAAAACAACAACTTGCATTTATATAGTGCCCTTCATGCAGGGTAGCGTTCCAGAGCACTTGAAAGAAAGGTGAACTTTCAGATATGACCCTTTATCAGCACTAAAATGCAGGGGATGCACAGGAGCTCAATGTGCACCCAGACTGGTGCTTAAATGATGTGGGTACGATCCATCAGTGCTGGTTGAGGGTCACATCTGAAATGTTCATCTTTCAGGTGGTGTTTGATCCTCTGTACATTCCTAGCAATTTCCACTTAATTAATCAGTGGTATAAGTGATGGATTGAGCCCTGGCGGAAGGTTGTCTGCGGGTTAGAGCTCAGAGCATTATTTTGGGGAGAGGGGATGGCAGGAGATGCTTTTAAAAATTGAGCAACAACTTACTGGACCGTGGAGTGGTAGATTTGTACCCATAATTGTTGCATACTTACTTTCCGACCTCCTGATAATACCACGATGAGAAGCACAGGTTGGAGGTGAGCAAGAGAGAGGCCATCCTGGCTGCTCGTCACATGAACATGAGACATTGCAGTAACAGGCTGCCCTCTCTGTCATAGCATGGGGGAGGGAAAGACGCTTTGCATAAGAAAATCTCATCCTAACATTTCCCAAATGCTGTAGAACGTAAATGAACTATAACCAATTTGGATTTGGAAATGAGTGACTGATCATTAACGTGTTCACCGTGTTCTTCTACTAGGGTCCTGGCATCTTGAGCAGAGCTGTCCAGCCAAAGTGTTTCTTTGAGATTCTGACCAACAGCAGCCAGTTTGTTCCCTGGGACGCCAGTGGAGTCAGCATGGTAACGTCATCTCGGGTCACTTTGGGAGAGTGGCTACAGAAGACATGGCAATTGCAGGAAGTCAGCGCCCTCCTGTGGACCAACATGGCCGTTAACTCTTTTGCAGGATTTGGGTACGTCATTGAAAATTATTTTCAGCCACTCCTTACACCAGAGCAATTCCTTGAAATTACCAATGTGAGTGTTGTTCTGTTTCATTAAGATATTCCCAAATATTCACTGTTGATACAGTGAGACCAAAAGCGGATTGGCACTGTGTTAAGAACGCTCCAGTGTTGTGGTAGAGTGCAGGCTTTTACACATCCTGTTCGCTCAATTACATTGTGCTCTGAAGGGCAGCTGTGCAGGGAGGGCAGCTGGTCTTTCCTGCCCACCCATTAATTTCACATCTAACTCTTCACATGCGCCAGCAATCTGCAGCAGAGAGGCATTGATGGAATCAGTTTTTAACTGGTTGGAACCTTAGTCAAGTCTCATGCATGGTGAAGAACTTATTTAAATAGAGTGGAAATAGTTACATTTTTGGTATTAAAAAAACCTATATACCCTGGATTAGATTGTTGTTTCTATATTGAGAGATTAACCTTTGTTCCAGGGTGAGAGTGGGCTGGACACCGGCTTCCCTTAGTTGTTGTCCCATGATTTGCCATTTCATGAAGAGGCTCTGGAGAAAGTAGTATTGTATGTCCCTCATGCTCGAGGACGACGGGCCAACAATGAAGGAGCATAAGTACATGGTAGATGGATCTGTTGATGCCTATGCCAGTACATGACAGACTTTGTCTAACCACAGGTCGTACATAACCATGTTTTGGGGGAGTGGGGTTCTCCTGATGATTCCTCTGATATTGCCGATCCTTCCATCTTTCATGTTGTTCCTCAAAACCATTCACTTCTTTTCTCACTTTAACACGCCATTCATGTCTGACAGTGGCCAGGGTGTCCCAAGAGTCAACAACCATGTTGCCCTATTTTAGGTGCATCTTCAGTATGTCCGTAGTGCCTTTGTTGTTCGGCGTGTTTTCTTCTGTCACTCACCAGTTTTCCATAGAGCACCTGCTTCGGCAACCATACTGCGTCCACCCAAACGACATGTTCAGCCTGACAGAGCTCAGCATTGATGATCATAACTTCTAGAGAACACTGTGCTTTGACATCAAATATTTGTGTTGAGGTGGGATTGGAGGGAAAAGGGATGTGAGTGCTGGAAGTGGAGGGTTATTTGTCTTTTCTGTCTATTGTGTAATAAGAGGTCCTCCAAAGTACTGGTTTGTTATTTAGTTTATTTGGGTCTCAACTCAATACTGTTGTAGGTTGGAATATCACAAATGTTGCTGCTTTCCCAATATCTTTTTCTGCTTCCTGACTCCCTCCTATTGGTTGTCCATTAATTGTCATTTTCTTTAGTGATCTCTCCACACTGTGTCCTAATTGACATCTAGTCACGGATGCCTCCTTCCAGTTCTTGGTGAACAGAGCGCATCTGAGTACCATAATGAATAAACAGTGTCCTTTTGCTCCTGGGCCCCAATTTATACAGATGGAATGAAAGACAGTGAAACTGTTTGTTCCTGTTCTGAATGTAGTTTATGTTTGCATCTGGACAGATGAGCCTAATTGCATAAACTACACAGCTTTGAAATAGGCCATTTGAGCTAAAGTCCATGCCAGTGTTTATACTCCATCCCTCCACATCTCACCTCCCATATGCCTTTATTTTCTTCTCCCTGTCTTAAATGTTTTGTTTAAAACAAATTTGAACAGTCAATGAGCACTGTTATGATAACATCATGTTGATCAGTTATTTATTGTGGATATATCTCTGCTTAGTCTGAAAATATTGAATATGTTTCCAATATAATGATTCCATTTGCAGAGTGTAAAATGAGAATAATGAACAAGAAGGTTAAAATCAATTGTAATTGATACATTTCTTGGAATTGATTTGCTAAAAGTAAAGTCTTTAAAGATGGGATTTGACGTTTCTTTGCAGGACCACTGATTGCAGATTGCAATGTATACTCCTGCTTAAACAGCTTCGTTCAATAAAGGATATTTTGCCCAGAGAGCTCCAGGAGGAATACTTACAGAACTGTGATCACATCGCCTTCAACAAAGATACCACGGCTGCCTGCCACGTTCAGAGTTTGCTTAGAAGCCTCACTGGCCAGGGGCCACTGCCCGAGGAGATTATTTCACTGCTTGTCATGTGCATCCAGCTATTTGTTGGTGAAAAGAAGGAGTTTGAAAGCCTATCAGAGCAGGCTCAGAGTGGCTGTCTGTGGGGTCATCTGGGATTACTGCAAATCCACCTTTGGGTACCACAGACCATGTTTGATCCTGCTGTTAAGAAGCGGTACAAATTGAACTACTTCATAGAGGAGGTCAGTATCTTTTATTTCCCTTTACCTGGTTAACTGTTATATATCCACTTTTTATTTCCCAGTTATATTAAAGTTCATTTCCACTGCTTCTTGTCCCCTGAAGGGTGTGGAACCCCAGATAAATTTTTTTTGTGTAAATTTCCCGTTTTCTGAAGTTGTTGACATTAACCCATATTCTCTTTTCTCAGCTGGAAGTCTTACAGAACGAATGGAGGAGCCGGAGTTTGTCAGAGCAGTCCCTGACTGGCCAAGAGCTAGAGGAGGAGGAAGACAACAAGCACAGTCACCCCCGTATAAGGTACCCAGTCAAGTAACTGTGTATGAGCCGCTGTGTGCCACCTGGCAGATAGCCCCAGTTCTAATCTCCCCATTAATTCATTTCATGATTATTGTAAATTTCATGACCTTTTGTTACTGAGTTAATGACCAGTTGAATCTGGTTGCTATTTACACAGTCTTGAAGGCCTCTATTGGGTCACCCATCCACCTTATCAATCCTACTGAAAAGCCCCCCTAAGTATGTTTTTTCCTTGTTTCAAATCTATTCTTTAGATAAAAGCTTAGATTTATATTGCTTCACTTTGGTATCCATGCATGATCTTTCCATGAGTGGACTCTACGGTAAAATATTGTGGTGCACTATGAGATGTCTTCCCGTCATGAAAGGAACTAAAATGGGTTTAAAAGGGTTAAATCAATGGGCGGGACAGTTTCTCTTTCTGAAATGTCTGAAATATATACCACAGTAAAACCCTGCTTTATAAAGTTTGAAATGGGGGACCATCTATTATCGTTCCCCCACAAAACACATTCAGTCTCTGCTGTCAAGTACTTTGGAACGTCTTCCTGATGTGAAAGGTGCAATACCAAATGTAAGGATTATATTATTGGTAGCTGGTTCCGAAAGCTAAGGCAAGACAAACCTCACCAGTTACCACATACATCTGTTCTGCACTTCAGAAAGTTGTAAAGTAATAGGAGGTTTTTTTCCTGTTTATTTGCAGGTTCTTACAGCAGAGAATCCGTCATCTGAAGGAGCAGATTGTGGAGCTTTCTAGAAAACAAGCGCACCGTCCTGTCATCTGCCAGTACAGCCGGCTCCACCAGGACGTGCGGCACTACATCAGCAGCATCACGCAGACCTCCAGGGTCAAGACTCTCCTTACCCGATTGCTGCAGGTCCTGCACGGGAAGCGGCCCAAATCCCGGCAGAGCGTCCAGGCAACACTACACGAAGAGGCTGCCTGGCAGCAGTCAAACCATCAGTTCAGGAGGCGCATAATGGAAGAGTACTCGCTGTATCCTGACGTTGTAGGTCCACTACACGCTGCCATTTTGCAGATGCAGCATGGGGTGAGAATTGTGGCGTCCGAAGTTTCCTTGTCACTGAGCAGTAAATTTGTGAAACAGACCGACCTCACCAGCCTGGTCTCCTGCCTGGTGGCCTTCCCTTCCATCAGTGAGGTCTTCCCCACGTATTTTGCCCATGCAAATGCACTGTGCTCGAGGACCACCGTGGACACACTGAGGGGTCTCGACAAGCTCCTGGCCAAGGGTTCCTCGGGAAGTCGGTCTGAAGGAAAGTCGCTGGCTGGGGGTCAGAGGTCGCTGCCCACAAGAGAGCAGCTGCTGCTCAATGCTCTGCTGTATCTGCGCTGTCACGTGCTCTCAAAGGGAGATCTGGATCATGAGTCAACCCAGCTTTTCAGGCACATCTGTCAGGTAATCGCCAACTCTTTGCAACTCTTTGTCAGATATACCCCATTCCTAATGTAAAACATTAGGAGAACCGGATCTTCTGAGTGCACAAGTTGCTGATCGAGTAGTTATCAGAAATATAATATTCCTTGCATTTGATATAGCGCCTTATCACGTCTTCAAGACGTCTCAAAGCACTTCACAGAATATACTGAACAGTGAATTGACTGGATATTTTGTGAACGAAACACAGCACCAATTGCGCACAGCAGTGTCCCAAAAAACAGTCGTGCATTGAAGTGATCAAATTTTTTTTAAGGAATTATTACCCCTGGAAAAGCAATCTGCAAATAAACTAACAACCGGGTTCCTACTGACTTAGGTAAACAGAGACTTGTGGAGTACGGAAACTTGCCCAAGGTTTCGCCGTACCGGGAATCAAACACAGGTCTCACTTGCGGGGGCGAGTGCTCTAACCACTGAGCTACAGGACTCCAGAGATAAATTCTGGGCTGTCTCGGGTGTCAATCCAGAACACAAACCTTCCCTAATATGATTTACTAAAAATTAAAAATACATTACATTTTGTCTTCTATTTAAGGCAATAGTCAATGCTTGGGATGAGCAGGAGAGACGTGCCAAAGAGAAGGAAGAGCAGGAGGCCAGTCTGTACAGGTACAAGAGCAAGCAGCATGGGTCAGGGCTAACCGAGGAAGAGGAGGAGGAGAGAGAATTCAACCAGAACTTTCCACAATATAACAAGGTAATGTGTGAAAACTTTACTGAAATTTGTTTTGTGCTTGCTCCGTTAAAGTTTTATAAAGTGGGCATTCTGGTTGAAAAAGAGCTTGAAAGATGTATCTGCCTTGTGAAGCATTTTGCAATGTAAACTGAGCTTTCTTGAGAGAATCCCCTCTATTATCAGTCTGAATCGCGAGACCACTTGTCATCTCTTCAGAGCTGAGACCTCATGCGTGACCATGTGTTATAGAAGGGATTCCCAGCAGAAGCTTCAAGTTTACACCGTGTGTTGTTTGTTGCTCTTTTCAGTCACTTTGTTTGGCACCATTCAAGCTCTATTTTGATCACATTACATTGACCAAGCCTTATTTGCTGAGGGGTGTGTGCTATATTTTTTGTTACTGGGGGAAGGAAGGGCAACTTATTTTCATTGATATTTGGGTTTTAATTTGTTTTTAATCTTCATTACAATATTGGATTTTTAAGCTGGACAAAATATTACCAAATGGAACTGAACCTCAACAGATTATGACAGTGTTTTAGAAGGAAATTTTGCTTCACGAGTTTGTGACTCTTAAAATACAGGTGAAACTCTGAGGGGGGAAAGTCCTGTCTCTTAAACCAGCTGCGTTGGCTTTTTGTAGGACTTTGCCGATGTTGTGTCCCAGCCTAGTCTTGAACAAGAGATGGTCGTTGAAGTGGAGAGGGAACCCGTTAAAGCATCAGACTCCATTCTCATATCGCGGAGTTCGATGCAAACTATCATCAAGATTCACCAGCAACTCTATCTAGGATTAACCAAAAGCATGTGGTACCAGCAGCCTGCACTGGCACATCAGTGCAAGGACTACCTTAGTGCCTTTATTTCCTCTCACCAGAATGCAGCAATGCTAATCACCCGGTTCTATCCTCTGATGGGTGAGTACCTATTCTGGGTGTGTCAGCGCCATGTAAAGTCAAAGGTAGAGCCATTTATTGAACCCTACAAAGAGCCCTCTTGTAATTGATTTCCCCAAAATATTGTGTTTCTGGTCTCGGCCTTGACAGGTTTATAGTTCCATTAAATTACTTAGTGAAACTCCAACTTGTATTCCTCTCCTTGTTCAATGGCAATGAATTTATGTCATTTTAGAATTTATATTTAGGACTGCTGTGTGCACCACAATTTATGTAAAATATTTACATGTAAACTGCCAGTTCACCTCCCTCATCTGAAATGGAGTCCATTTCCCATTACAAAGACCATAATCAACATTGTGAACTGTCCTCCCCCAGTCAGTCACCACCTAATTGATGCTGCATATATATTTTGTGGATTATTTTAAGAGTGGTTTCCTTTTTGAACCAAGTATTACAGAGCACGATAATAGACATTTTCTGTGTGTATTTTCTTAGTATGGCAGTGTAATTTACCTACAATTCCTCCCAGAAAGTTTATTCTAGACCTTGAAAGTTGAATGTGTATAAATAAAAATTAAAAAATTGTGTAATAAAAATGAAGATTTATCACTTGAGCATTAACAAGGACAGTATTTTCTGATCTTTTGCTTTGTGGCATTTTTTGCTTAGATTCTTCATTGAGTGACCAGCTTCACGGCAGTCAGTTGTTGATTAGTTCTCTAATCCAAAACGCAATCAGTGGAGATCTGACCTCTGAGCTGGTCCTACCACAGGACGATTTATATGACATCTATCAACATCCAAATATTGAGCAGGCAAAGCAGTGCCAACCAGTGTTGGAAAACTTCACCAAACGAGTGAAGGAACTGCTGCAGGAATGGCCTGACCATCCAGCTCTGATGCAGGTAAGAATAGAGCAAGGTGATCTCTTGTTTGGAGCTATTATATCTCCCCCTAGCTTCGCAGTTTGTGGTGATATGAGTGACTGTCAGCAGCAATAGTGATGGATGTTAACCATTTCAGTGGTGTCAGACTGAGGAGTTCCTAAGGGAAAACTATGACTCTTAAAGAAGAAGGGTAAAACGAGCTATAACTAATTGTTTTACCGTATTGCAGTGATTGAGTGTGCAACCCCCTGCAGTTTTTATGATAGCAGTAAGGTGATATGACTCTACATCCCTATGCCATTTGGACCCCATACAAACATGTTGAAATCTCCCCATAGAGGTGCATCTTCATGTTCATTATCCCATTTAGTACCATTAATATCTTGGTTCTTGCCAACCTGCGCCTAATACTTTCCGGAATTAGGTAAGTAGGATGCATCCCTCCAGGGAAAGAGTGCTCATTCCATTCAAACTATCTATCTGGGATTTCCATGTGTTGGTGGATGCATGGAATTCCCAGCTTGTTTTGGATACTCAAACATGGTGATGTGTTTCCTTTCGCAAGTGTCAGACACCCGGCTGATTAAATTTTTTTTTTTATCTGTTTGAAGATGTTGCGTTGATATGTTTAATATTCGGTTTAGGGTGATATGGAAGACACGTCTAGAGTTTCTTTTAACTTTACTGGGGTAGGTGTCATGGCTGGGCAGATTTGGTTTGGTGCACAGTAAAATTACTCTTGCTACGTCCAAATATGCTTTAACCACAATCTCATAAGAGCACCCTCTCTTTTGCCACTTCTGTAAGCTTTCTGAATGAAACTGCCAAACAATGGAAAATTTCCTATGTGATAATCATACTTTGATGAGACTTAAGAACTAAATCCCATCTCTTCAGCTGTGCTTTTGGTCCCTTTTCTCCCCTTGCCCCAGTTTGGGCTCCCAGTCACTTGTGAGAAGAACTTTGAGACATCCTCATGATGTGAAATCCGCTATATAATGTATAAAGCTATATATAATATAAAGGAATTTATTAGGTGTCGGTGTCACAGGTATTTGGTGTAAAGTTGAACGTTATCTTTTTCACAGCTGTTGATGGTAATAGACCGGATTTGTAGCTTCTCCCTCTCCAACCCTCTTCCCAAATTCATGAATGGCTTGGAGATCCTCCTCAGCAAATCCCAGGTGAGATATTCCATCAGGTCCTTATTCCCTCTCTTTATATCCTTCCCAGTCCCTACCCTTCCCCTCCCCACACAATGCAGAAAATAAAATCATTCCAACAACATCTAATCTGCAAAATAGGCTTTAAATATTTCTGAGCAAATTCTGTCTGTTCTGTCTGTTAACTTTCTGTTCTGTAGGACTGGGAAGAGAATGCCAGCCGCTTCGTGTCCTTGAGGCAGCACCTTGATGCGGTCAGTCAGCTGATCATCCAGTGGCGCAAGCTGGAGCTCAAGTAAGATTAGTTAATTTCAGGTTAGACACTTTAGGCAAATGGAGATTCACAAAAAGCATTTGTAATTTGAATCCCTTAGGTAGCCTAGTATGTGTGAGGCCAGCCCCAGCACTCTGCTCTTTGTTATTATTGTAGACTACCGAACAGCCCAAGGCTTTTTTTTAATAATGGCTCTTCTTTCTTGCCAAAGTCCACCTTACGACTTTGAACTCATGGTCCAGGGTGACACTCCAATGCAGTGCTGGGCGTGTACTGCATTGCTAGAGATGCCATCCTTCAGATGGGATGTTTCACCAAGGCTCCTTCTACATTTCACGTGACTATTAAAGGTTGGCTATATGAGTTAAACTTTGGTCTCTATCGATGCCACTGTGTGACACCCAACTCTAGTCGATGTGGTTGCTGCTTCCCATTGGCAGTGGGTGTGTTTATTGACTAATGCAAACCAGATCGTGACAGACTTTGGGATGACTCCAGCTTACAACCACAAATATAAACTGGGGTATTTTCCTTGCTTTGTGTTCAATGTAGCCTTCCTTTGATGAATTGTTAATTGTAAATGAAATCTCTTTCTCTAGTTGTTGGTCAAGCAGTCTTGACAATGTGATGAAGAAGCATTTGGAGAAGTCAAGCAGGCACTGGTTCTCGGTCTACCAGTTAATTGAAAAATACCTTCAGGAGCAGGCGGAGGACAACTTGGAAGGTAGCACTAACATTTTTTATACTTTGATTAAAGCGATGTTAAATCCTACGATGGAGTGTGTTAGCTCACAGGCTGTGTTTACGCTACTGTAGCTGAGCACACTATTTTCAGTGGTACTTCATAGAGTATAACCTTGTTATAGCCTGAGCTCAGAGAAAGATGGGTGTGGGAGAGGTGGATGAACTTATTATTAACTTTAGAAAGCAGAGAGGGGAGGGTGAGGCAGTGATTTCTTCGAGAGGGTGTGGGTGAAATGCCTGAAATCCTGCTACCCAACCCCATGAAGCATGAAGCAGGCCAGAGTTGGCAGGGCACAGGGAGTGGCTAGGGAATAGGTTCACAGGGGATCGCTGATATTTGGTGGAACAAGATCAGGGAGGAAGTCGAAGGTAAGGTTAAAGATCTTGGAAATGATCGACTAGGGATAGGGAGCCAGTGGAGCTGGGTGAGAAGAGGGGTCATAATCTTGTGAAGCCTAGGGCAGGAGAGGATGTGAGCCGCAGAGTTCTGTATGATCCGCAGTTTGTGAAGGGTGGAGCAGGGGAGGCTAGTGAGCAGGGCTTTGGCAAAGCCGAGTCTTTACGTGACCAGTATGGGTGAGGGTTGTCGTTACGTTGGGGATGAGGTAGTGATGGAGGCGAGCATGTGTTGGAGATGGAGGAAAGCGGACTCGGTCAGAGCCCAAATTAAAGTTTTGAAGAACAAAACACTGTTCAGCAGAATTTGTACAGATTTTTAAAAATAAAAAAAAACTTGGTGGATTTAGTTTCTTAAAAATAATAAATTATTGTATAAAACAATATTTGTTTAAGGAACGGTACGATTTAAAGCCGATGACTTTTTTTGTCATTACTTTTTCTAGAAACTGAGGAGCACATGACTTTGTCGGAGGTGCTCCGGATGCTACAAGCTTTTATCGAAGGAGCTACGTTGGGAGAGTTCCACTTTCGGCTGGCGATGCTCTTAGCATTCCACTGTCACGTTTTGGCAATGCCACAGCAAGAGGGCAAAGGTTGGTTTTACTTTCCATAATATAGAAGACCAATTGAGGGTTAATAATTTTTTATGCTATCTTGGGCACATTTAGCATAAGCTTACTTCTGACCAGAGGTTATTCGTTCAAGCCTTAGGGCTGCCTGTCTGTTGAATCCACTTCTTCCTAATTTCTTGAAAATGAGGACAATGAAAAAGCTGTGTGTAAAGTACTCTGACCATCTGTTGCATAGCACGGATATTTAAGTGTCATTCACACTGTAAATCCCATTAATGTTGTTGCTATTTTAATGAGTGTTTGTTTGTGGGCTTCTGAAACTGTACATAGAATTGCATTGGCAATGGACTGATCCCAGTCAGTCTTGATTATTGCCCTCTTGCACATTCACTTGCTTGAAAGTTATCTGCATTCTGAAATGTATTTCTCTCTCAATTGACAGCTAGTTAAGTATTCCAAGACACTACCCAGTATAAATGCCGCTATATAAATGCAAATTGGTGGTGTTGTAGTTTCCAGTCTAGGACTGTGTGTCTTTGACCACATTCTTTATCTCCTTTCTCCACAGCATGTTGATGACATGGTAACCTTTTAGAATTATCACCTGCTCCATTGAAAGCTTTCTCATCAAATGAGCAATAAATTGTAATGCTAAGTAACAACTGTTTCCTACATTTCGTTCCTTAGTTTTGTGCCTAATCTTTGTTGTAAATGTTACTGCTTCCCAACACTGAATGTGAGTGTCTGAAGTTGAACCAGCCATGGGGCTTTATCCTTGAACCTTCCTATTCAGCAGTGAAATTCTACCGACGAAAGAAGATTAACTGGAAAGTGTTTGTTTTCTCACAGATTCCTTGTGCAGTATCCTTTGGAATTTATACATCTACTACAAACAATTTTCGGAGTCTGTTCAGGCTAAATTAACAGAGCTGCGTCATCCTATAGAGAAAGACCTGAAGGTAAGTGTGAGAGCAGATGGTAGAGAGAACTGAAAACGTTTGCAACAGAGGAAAAGGCCTTTCGGACCATCGTGTACCCAAATCCAAAGGCGACTGGGCTAATTACAATTTTGCAACTAAAACTGCGAGATTGACTAACGTAACCATTGCGTATGTTTTGATAGAGAGGGGTGATGTGTTGATATTCGTGACCAATTATTAACTATCCTCCTTGGGAAGGAGGGGGTGGGGGGAGCTGAACTGGCAATGGAATGTCAGAATGTCAGAATCGAGTCAACCCTCTGTGGTGGTCTCAGTAGTCTAGTTCCTGAGCCGGGCAGGTTCGCAGTACTCCAGGACACCGATGATCACAGTTCCTCAAGTAGTTAGTGTAAATGCAACGACTGTTTTGACAAAGGTGTGTATGCAATAAACTTGTCATTACTATGTAAGATCATGCTGCCAATATCCCGACTGCATTTAATTATGTATTTATACATGAAAAAGCTGTGTGTAAAGTGCTCTGACCATCTGTTGCATAGCACAGATATTTAAGTGTCATTCACACTGTAAGTCCCATTAATGTTGTTGCTATTTTAATGAGTGTTTATTTATGGGCTTCTGAAACTCACTTGCCACTCTGAATAACTCTTCACTGAGCCCTTTTCCCTTGGAATGATGAATAATCAGGAATTTTCTGTATTTTCAACAAATTGATTAATTTAATTCGTTTTTTTTGTGCACAGTCAAACCTCTCAGGATTGGGCCAAAGTGGCCTTTATATAAGGGTGGCCTCTGAGTAAGGGCTTGTTGCTGTGTGTAGAATTGTCTGGGCTGTTCTAGGGTGGCTGTTAATAAGGGAGGCTGCTGAATAGAGGTGGTTGCTTGAACAGACTGTACTTAAAAAGAAGTGGTTCGATAACTATGGTCATTGTTCCTCCAACTTACGCGGTTATTATGCTTCTCTTTATTGGTGTTAAAGTGACCATCTGGCTTGCAGGGATACTGAAAATTCCATGTGTAACAGGGAGATTTCCATGTGTTTGTGGTACACACATGTGGAATTCTGTTTGGTTTGGATACACTTAAGCATGGGGATGGGTTTCTGCACGTTTCAGACATCCGGCTAATCAAAAACAAAAGAGATGCTGAAACTTCTGTTGTCTAATTCAGTTGTGTTTTGCCTGCAGGACTTTGTTAAGATCAGCCGATGGAATGACGTCAGCTTCTGGTCCATGAAGCAATCTGTTGACAAAACACACAGGTAATGTCACAAGTCACACTGTGAAACTGCAACACTGAACAGTTAGTGAGCCAGCAACTTCACCCACATCTGTCATTGCACTGTAGTGAGAGGAGAGTTCTGCTACTTGGGCTGCTCTTATCAAGGATGAAGAGTGGTGGTAGGCAGCAGAAGTGGAGATGGGAGGGGGAAGTCTATTTGACTGCTGTAGTAGGTGCACAGCCGACATACTGCAGACAACCACTGATTTAAATACTTTTACTGTAGATTTATTTAATCTGCATATTATGCTGCCCTGATTGTCTTGTGGATAAAAAGCGATCAATCCTACTCCTGTATCCCACTGCTGCCTCAGTCCATACAGTTACCAATTTGGACTTGAATGTGTGCAGAATTTGAGGTGTTTTACAAATAACCTCAGAACCCCTAGGTTAGGGAGGAGAAATCAGCTAAGGTTCTTATTTGTGTAGTCCTGTAGCTCAGTGGTTAGAGCACTTGCCTTGCAAGTGAAAGGACCCAAGTTAGATTCCGAGCAGGGCGAAACATTGGGCCAGTTTCCTTACTCCACACGTGCCTCTGTTTGCCTAGTAGTAAGTAGGAACCCGTTCTTAGTCAATTGTCGGATCCTTTTTTTGGGGTAATAATCCCTTCAAAAAATAATAATAAAATAATAACGACTGTTTGTGGGATGTTGCTGTGCGCAATTGCCTGCCATGTTTAGCCCACAATATATACAGTCAATTCACTTTACAGTATATTCTGTGAAGCACTTTGAGATGACTCATAGACATGATAAGGCGCTATATCAAAAGCAAGGAATATTATTATTATCCAGAGTTCTCTTGAAAGAATGTGTATGTTGAGCGAGGACACGATCAAGCTCAGCTGTTATGCCCTTCCACAGTCTTAATAACTTGTCCACACTCGCTATCAAGGTTCACGCAATAACAGTTTCAGGCTTGAGGAAACAATTGGTCCATCTGGTCAACACATGAATAATGGCCACATAGGTGTGTCTTGAGAAACGATCAGAAATGATCAATATAGGAATAGAGGAGTTGATAGCCCTCAGGGAAGAGGACGGATGGAGGGAAAATTGGAGGGCAAAGATTGGAGGGAAAAAAAACAACACATTGTAAGATCCAAAGAGAGGCTTAATTTAATTTATGCTTTACATAAATGTGTACTTTGCTCCATTGGATATTTTTACCATTGGATTTAATAATTGTGTCTACAGAACCCTTTTTAAGTTTATGAAGAAATTTGAAGCTGCCCTGAATGGCCCATGCCGTCCAGCATTAACAGAACTGGAAAAGACTGTGAGCGGTGAGGAGCAACAGCTTCAGGAGACCAAGATGGAGAAGCTGAATTGTGTGCTGAGAAACACTTCTGGAAAAAGCAAGGTACAATATGTTAAGTGGAGAAGAGAAAAGCACAATGATAAAGATATGTGGAAACTGAGGAATTTTAAAATTGCACTTTTTTTTGCTGAAAGTCGGCTTTGCATGGATGTCTTGAGTACAGTGTTGGACACTGCTCAACTTCAGTGTTAAATCGTCTTCCGACACACGCTGTCTAGTTTCTTTTAGCATGAAGCTAAATCCAAGCAAGTCCATTTGCTTCAGAAATCATCTGGAGTGAGGGAAGTGAAAGTGGCAGTCTTGTAAAGTGGGGATAGCTTGCTGTAGGTTTCTTCAATGAAATATGTTTTAATTATTTGCCAGATTTTGGTGGTATTTTTGATGCGGCTTTCACTGTGATTTTTGATTGGAAATTGATATTGCAGGTAGTGTTCTCTGCTGTGGAAGAGGCTAGTGTCTCATTAGAAGATAATTCTCTTCAGAGCCGCCTACCAACACTCAGCAAGCGAATGAGAAAAATATGCCGGGAGCTCACGAAGAAGGATTCCCTTCCGGGTCTTGTGGAAACCCTTGATCACTTTACAGGTACAAAGAGACACAATATTAACTATTTCCAGTGTAGCCACAGTGAAAGTATTCATGCGCTGAATCGGCGACTCAGTTCACTTAAACGGAAAGTGGATGCTTCAGACAAGTTTGGGGGTTTTGGGATTGCCCAACTCTGGGAAAGCACATTACCAGCTTGTTGTTGATGTGTTTTGAGGAAAGCACTTTGGGACGTCCTGATGATGTGGACATCGCTATTTAAACTACAAGGATTATTATTATTACTGGGATTTGCAAAAGTTGAGCTCCTCTGGATTGGTTCCCAGACTAATCCAGAATAAATGAGTTTCTTAGAATGAATGGAATGGCTGCAGGATATTATCAATGACCAGAGCCATCCAGCAAAGGAAGAGAGAGGTCCCGACATTGTACAACAATTGGAAAGTTATCTTGTTAAAGATAGAAACTTTTTTTTTTTAAAAATTGGTATTGGAGAAAGTATTTTGGAGAAGGACGGTTTCGTCTTAGAATGCAGGATTCTGTAAGACTAGCTCCAGAGGAACAGTGTTAATGCCCAAGGTGAAATGGCCAGATTAGTGATTCAGAGCCAATGAGGATCAGGGGATTGACAAATAATTCCAGAATTAAGGAATACATCATTTATTTGTTAAATAATGACCATCAGCTAAGCCTGATTTAGTGGAGATGTCATGATAAAATATCAAACTGTGACCACACTGCATTAATCAGCGTGTAGAATAAATGAGCATCCTTTCTTTGATGGTTTTAGTCTTTAACTGTGTATTAATGGTGATCAAATACAAATACAAAATATTTGAGTCACCATTAATGGTGACCCAATCAAAAAAATTGTTGCCTATTGTTTACTACTTCGTCAACAAAACCTTGAAGGATTGTAAGCTCTGCTTTGACACTCGCAGGTGACATCATCACTGCTGTACAGGACCTACAGACTCTTGTAGTCGATCAGACCGTTGATAAAGACAAGCAGAGGTCAGAAGTCAAACATATTCTGATGCAAAAGCAAAGGGCCTTAGCAGATCTCTTCAAGCACCTCGCTGAGACTGGTAAGCATCTACTGTCCCTACTGTAGCGAGCAACACTGTGCACTGAGCTTCAGCTGAATCACAAAGGAATTCATGGTTTAATTTATTGTTACTCTATAAAAGTTGTTTGCTGTCAGTATTTCAGGGGTTCAGCCGGATGTCTGAAACGTGCAGAAACCCATCACCATGCTTAAGAGTATCTTACTCAGTTCTGAAGGGTATTAGGCAGGGATTGGCAAGAGCCAAGGTTTGGGAACCCCAGAGTGTGTGTTGCGATATCAATATAGCAGTAGATTCTTTGGAAATCTAGATTGATTCAATTTTATCATTTCTAATCCATATTGATTTCAGCACAGTTTAAATAATAAGGTTTTTAATTTCTTAGGTGAGATGTTGCCAAATATTCCTTCTGACCATTGCACCCGCATATCCTTAACAGTGTAATACTTATAAGAGTGCATTTTCCTGGACACACAGGTTAAAATTATATCTTCCATTATATCCAAGCCAAAACTGGGTTGCTTTTCCAGGATTGCCAGCGCTCTGAGACGTTTGCCTGTGTGAAGGACACTATGTAAATGCAAGTTGTTGTTACTGCTGTTGTATCAGTTTGACATTTGCAAAACTGTTCACAACTGTTCATAACTGTTCACAAGTCAACTTGTCAGGACAATCAGTGAGCACTGCTCGACTATGTGCTTTATTATGCCAAGGATTTGTGTTTGAATGTCTTAATATCCCTGCAAGGCACTGCGGCACAGGTTTTGGACTAAATTATGTACTTCCGTCTGTAACCCATGGAACAGTGTTTTTCATCAGTTTTATGCCTTTATTTCAGGCCTTTCTTACCGTAAGGGACTTGCTTGGTCTCGAACAGAAGATCCTCAGGAAGTTCTTTGCCTGCATCCACTTGATCTGAAGACTGCAATAAACATCGTTGAGAACAACGAGGAGCTGGATGACGTGTATGCTACCTGTACATTATTTCAGAGCAGATCAGACACCTGTTTCAGTCAAATTTCTTTTGAAATACGATGAGGGAGGCTAAGATGTTCAGCAGTAGTGAATTTGTGTATTTTATGAAATTACAATATCAAATCAGACTTACATCACTGAGAAGTGATTGCATCCATTATTAGAGATTTAGAAATAAGGTGTGCACCGATTCAATATTTATTCAATGATGCAGGTTACTGACTGAGGTGTCTGCTGCATGGGATGGCTGTCAGAAGTACTTCTACCAATCTCTTGCACGTCGGGCCGGGCTCCAGGCGGCCCTGTGCACCCCGGCTAAGGTAACTAGTAACAACGTGTTTTAAATTCACCTTTGCTGCCCAATTTAGTTAAAAGAGTGTTCAGAGAACTGTCTGCAATAGTGTGACTATATCTTTAGTATGATCAGTAAATTGAGCTGGCAGGAGATGCTAAAGATCTATCTCTGTGGTAGCAGAATGCATATGGCTGTGCAACAGGGCACAGAGTAAGACGTCTGTGACTGCCACCCATGATGTCTGTGTCACCCAGTTGCTGTGACCACCGGTATTGGACTGCCACTTGATGCCACATTGAGCCAATTCAGAATGAATCGACTAATAAGAATCCCAGGAGTACTGAACACCAACTGGAAATCCTGTTAAAATCCATGCAAAATTTACTACAGCCAACGATCCAAGATAATACCCTCCATAGAGGCTGTGAAAGGAATTCAAAGAAAGAGCATTGGGATAGTTTGGGGGTTAGATTAAACTATTCATTTTGAATTGGGAGAGGGAAAGGTTTCTGATCCATAATTGTATGCTAAACCAGGATAGAAAATTCATGAATACTATTAAACACTATCAAAATACTATTAAATACTATCAAAAAACCTTCCCTAGATCCCTCAAACCCCAGCCACTACTGCCCTATTTCTAACCTCCCCTTCCTCGCAAAAGTCCTATCCTAGAACGGGTTGTTGCCAACCAACTTCACGCACACCTCTCCTCTCACTTCCTCTTCGAACCCCTCCAGTCCGGTTTCAGCCCATAGTACAGAGACTGCGCTTGTGAAAGTCACAAACGACATTCTCTCTATCTGTGACCAGGGTTCCCTCTGCCTCCTTGTCCTCCTGGACCTCTCCGCCATGTTCAAAATAGTCAATTACGCCATCCTCCTCCGCCTTTCCTCCGTCATCCACCTCAGTGGGATCGCACTCGCCTGGTTCGAGTCCTACCTCACAAACCACCAGCAGTACATCTGCACAAACGGCTTCTCCTCCCACTCACACAGTTACCTGCGGGGTCCCCCAAGGATCCATCCTTGGCCCCCTCCTCTTTCTGATCTACATGCTTCCTCTTGGGGATGTCATCCGCAGACATGGGGTACATTTCCACATGTATGCGGACGACACCCAACTTGACCTCTCTTTGCGACTCCCAGTCCCCTGATGTTCTGTCAGCCTACCTGTCAGACCTCAGGGCCTGGATGAGCGCAAATTTCCTTCAGCTGAACGTTGACAAGATAGAAGCCATACTTTTTGGCTCTCAGAAGCGTCTAAAATCTCATGGTTCTCACCTCCTCCACCTACCCGACCTCCCCGTAAACCTCTCCTAACCCGTACGCAACCTAGGCATCAGGTTCGAACCCCAATTATCCTTCCTCCCCCACATCCGGTCCCTCACCAGCATCACTTTCTTCCGCCTCCGACGCATCGCCCATCTCCGCCAATACCTCTCTCCAAAAGCCGCTGAAACCCTGGTCCATGCCTTTGTCACCTCTCAGCTGGACTATTCTAACGCCCTCCTCGCCGACCTCCCCTCCGCTACCATCCATAAAATCAAAATCATTCAAAACTCTGTCGCCCGCATTCTCACCCGCACCAAACTCCAGTCCCAGTCCGATTACCCCAGTCCTTGCCAGACTGCACTGACTGCCTGTCACAGAGAGGATCGATTTCAAGATCCTCACCTTTGTCTTCAAATCCCTCCACTCCTCAGCACCCTCCTACCTCTCTGACCTCTCTCCTTAAAACAGTGCCCGTTGCCTTCGTTCCTCCGGGTCTGGCCTCCTTGTTCCCCGAGTCCTCCACTCCACCCTCGGTGGCCGTGCCTTCAGCCACTATGCCCCGAGGCTCTGGAACTCCCTTCCTCACTCCCTTTGCCTCGCTACCTCTCTTCCTATTTTCAGATCTCTGCTGAAGACCTTTCTTTTGGACCGCGCCTTTGGTCACCTTCCTCCCCTTCCCCCTGGCTCGGCCCCGGGATCTGTTACTGTAAAGGGCACTGAGACGCCGTCCGGCATGGAAGGCACTATATAAATGCAAGTTGTTGTTGTTGTAAGTGGTCATCATGAACTATATTTAACAAATAGTTATTCTATTAGAGAATGGAATACTGACTCATACAGTAGATATTATCTTCCTGAAGAACTGAAGGTTTGCTTCCTGATTTACCTGATGGGAAGGTACAGATAATAATAATAATCCTTGCATTTGATATAAGCGCTTTTCACGTCAGGAGGATGTCCCAAAGCGCTTCACAGAACACACTGTAAAGTGAATTGACTGTATATTTGTGGGCGAACGCGGCAGCCAATTGCGCACAGCAATGTCCCACAAACAGTCGTAGATTGAAAATGACCAATTTATTATTGTTTTTTGTTTTGGAGGGATTATTATTAGGTGTGTGGAGTAAGGAAACTTGCCCAAGGTTTCGCCCTCTGCCTGGAATTGAATCCAGGTCTCTCACTTGCAAAGCGAGTGCTCTAACCACTGAGCTACAGGACTCCACATGATATGGATTTTAAAAAATCAGATATTGAGGGATGGTCTTGTGCACAATTGACTGCCGCATTTCGCCCATAAAATACAGTCAATTCACTTTACAGTATATTCTGTGAAAGATTTTGAGACATCTCAACGACATGGTAAGGCACTATGTCAAACACAAGGATTATTATTATTAACTGGCTCTTGTCTTATTAGAATTATGGTTTGTAGCCTTATCATCCTTATCAGTGTACTTTTATCATTCTTTTTCATGTGGTTTTACCTTCGTTCGTTCATTTGGTTTTAGATTTTGCCTCCCTGAAAGAATTTGGATGTTTCACTTTTGTAGGAACTTGGTCTTGGTAATGTGGAACGGTGTCGAGGCTTCACAGCTCACCTTCTGAAGCTGCTGGTCAAGCAAAGGATGCGACTGACTGGGCTAACAGAGCAGTGGGTCAGCTTGAGGTACTTTCAATTTTCTTTTTTTTATATATATATATATAAATATTTTAAAAGTCACTTGTAGATTTTTGTGCTGAATCTTGTCTTTTTTTGTTTTGACCCGTTCCGTAATGGTAGACATCTGATTAAAAGTGTACAAGAGATTAAAAGGAGGCTGATGGGGTTCCAGGATTTCGATGTAGCTCTGCCACCTCAAGAAGGCATCAAATATTGGACTGACCGGCTCTACACTCTGTGTACGACGTTCGTGACGACTCTAGAGCAGGTTTCCTGGTTTCTGCAGTGTTGTCCACAAGATCAGCTGCCTGAAGCCTATGGCAGGGACCAGGAGGAGCACCGAACGAGCTGTGCTGACCAGATGGTAGCTCTCAAAAGTGGCGGTGAAGGATCTGCAGCACAGTCTTCTTTCCCAGAAGATTTTGTCCAGTCACATCTGAAGTTCCCCACACCCTTGGTCGCAGAGCGGCTGCCGACTGCCTGCAGGATGAGGAGGGAGGATCCAATCTGGCAACAAGTGACTCGCTCGGTAGCCGACCTGCTGAAGGAGGTGAAATCAGTGAAGGCAAAAGTGGACGCAATTACCCACCGGCCCAGTGAGAAGTTGCTGCGCTCATGGTAAGTCTTAGACAAAAAGGTCAGGTCAGACTAATCGGCAACTCCAGAGGGATTCAGACTGGCTTTCCCATGGATCACTGTGACACACATCCATTTAGGCGGGTGATTCAGTATTTATGAATCCTTTTCAAGTTTTGGTGGTGAATGTCACATTTTACACCCCAGTGGGATTGCTTGAGATGGTGAGTCATTGGCTTTACCAGTGCCGAACCACATCACTTATTCCTCAGGGCACAGGATGCCCAGATGGTCTTTCCAGCTGAATCTTGTTCGCATTCGATTAGAAGTGTACAAATGGACAGATATTTTACTCTTGTCTTTATGAGGAAAATGCACTATTTTATTCATTGCCCTCCGCATTTTATTATATGCTTCAAGTCATTGATTGAATTTAAGGGGTACTGTCCCTTTAAGCTGTTCAATGTAGTAGGTTTCTCCGAGACGTCGCAGCAGTTTTGGAATTATTATTTTCAGTTTTATAACTTTATTTAATGTAACAACACAGTACGTGGTATCCCCTGAGTACATGCAGTAAGTATTCTGTGCTTTTTAGTGTGAATCTTAAATACTAGTTTTATTTTGATTTGGTAAGGGAGAGTTTTGAGATTTGTTCGTCGGGACTCAGCTTGCTGGGCAAAGCCACGGCCCAGCTGCAAGAGCTCCAGGCCCTCTTCAGCATTCCTGCCTCGGAGGGCAAGTCTGGCTGCCCAGCAATGTTCAAGAGCCTGGAGTATGTTAAGGATGAGATCGGTCAGGCGGTGGATGAGTTCGGAACTTGGGAGACTGAGATGCTGAGCTTGACGGCAAGTGCTGGTAAGAACAAAATACAGTAAAATTTACAAAAGTGAATTCAGCAGCAGAGTGGAGCTGGCCATTAGCAGGGTGCTTTGTACTATTCAGACTATGATAAAGAGGCAGCAGCAAGTGAGTGAGCAAAAACCAGAGACCCATTTATAACCACCTAAGTTGTACATGAACCTGAGTCCCATTCAGTTTCCTATCAAAACCCTTAGATTTCTTTGCACTAGTCATATTTATCATCCCCTAACTCGTAACGCAGCTCTCCTACCCCCCACTGCTCATGCACTTACTGGCTGCATTGAATCACAGGAAACATAGTCTTGATCTGTTGCCGTACACACATTCATTTCCTACAATTTAATGTAATTCCAATACTTGGCGGTAAGAGTGCATGTGTTGATGGGTCAAGACACATTGAATTGCAGGAAATGTAGTCTTGTCACTGCATGTGCATTTACTGGCTGCAATGATTTAGCCTGCACAGTGTAGATTATTGATTAAATCGGATTTTATACGACTTAGACAGTTTGCCTGTAAATCGGACGAATATGACTTATGTGAGGGTTTACTGTAATTTTGAAAGATCGACTTTTCACACAGATTTTTTTTTAATCTTTCAATTCTAAATTAAACTGCGAGTTGTTCATTTTCGGTCTCTTCTTGAAAACAGAGAGTGTGACTTCAGCAGAAGAGGTTTCTGGGCATGTAGAGCTGGTCATTAGCACAGTGCTCTGTGCCATTCAGACTGTGGTAAAGAGACAGCAGCAAGAGAGTGAACAAAAAACAGAGACCCAGGAAGGTAAGTGTTGCCCTTTCTTTGCATACTCAGTGGATGTGTGGACTTCCTGTAAATTGCAAACCAGCGCTGCATTGTCAGAGCTACTGTCCTTCACGTGAGATATTAAACCTATTCAGGTGGACATTAGATCCCACGGCACTATTTGAAAAGTGGAGGAAGTTTCTCCTGCTGTCCTGGCCATCATTGTTTGTTCACTTCAGGACGGTTTGTGAGACATTGCTGTGTTCAAATTGTCTCCCGTGGTCGCCTCCTAAAAACAGTTACACCACTTTACATTATATCCTGTGAAGCACTTTGCGACATCCTCCCATGTGAAAGGCGCTTTATCAAATGCAAGGATTATTTATTATTATTTTCTTAACCAGCCTGATAACTTGAGAGAGAGAATAATATAAAGTATTTCTTACTGTAGAACTCCCCCATCCCCACACACAATATAAAGAATTGAAAACTAATGTAAACCATTCTTAGCCTCCAAGCAGTGTTGCAGTTTACTGTCTGGTTTCCTCACTGCTCTGCAGTTGAGGATTTTATTCCAGCACCAGGATGTTTCCCCAATGATGCCCATTACAATCCGTCATGACTCATACGCCTACAAATAGTCACTACACCACAGTAACATTCCAGTGAAGCACTTTGAGAAGTTTCAACCAAATGATGAAGTGCTACCAACTGCAATGATTATTATTAATATGGGCATTTTAGGGTATAGTTCAATAGTTATTTTTGAAAACAACATGGATGCCTTTCTCGAACCATCTGTGTTAACAAAAGTGAGTACATAGGACAGCTTATGTAGCCTTGCGTGCATAATGCTCCTTGAAGCTTATGCTTGTATGTTTTTTTTTATGGAGAGTTTTTATGCTTTCTGTGTGGTTCATATTCTGGTGAGATTACACTAGCATTCAGGATTCTGATATAAATGCAGAAACTTAATAACATTAGTCACTGATCCACAGCCGATAAGCAAGACGTAACATGCTCTCTATTGGCCTGTCATGATAATGTTGCTTCATTCAACCACAGGGATTGAGGATGGGGAGGTGAAGGAGGAGCTGCCCACAGTCCAGCCTGGATATCTCAGCAAATGTTTGGAGGAGCAACTAGCCGCTGACGTCAAGTCTTTAAATCTGCAGAAAGTTACTTCTACCATTTTAGAGCTCCTGGAGAAACTAAAGGCATATCGCCAGGAGTGTGCAGCAGGACAGTATCAGGTTGGTTATGAAATCAGACTTCAATTTTTTTNAGATATCAAGATGAAATCACAGTAATTAATCTTGATGTGGTCTTATTTAATAAATGTATTTTATGACTTTTATAAAAATGTTATTGCTCAGGGTTTTACTGCTTCTATTAAAAGAACAGCCGGATCAGGTCCACTTTACACCTTGGAATGCACCAGTGATCCCTATTCTGGGAAGGGCCTGCATGCATGTTAAGAGTGCCTCCGTTGACACCATTGTGGCATAACGTGTAGGACTGGCAAGGGAGTTGATCCAAAGCTTCCTATCTTTTTGGGGGGTGGAGACATGACTTAGATGTTGGTGCATATTTGTTGTAATGTGTTTCTGGAGTCGGGTGGCTCCAAATCAGCTTCCAATCCTGTTGTCAGAACTGGTCTCTGTTAATGTGAATGGAGTGGCTCTTCCTTATGACTAGTGTGACTGAAGGAACTGAGTGATTCCAGCAGAACTTTAATAACCAAGTCTCCGCAGAGCCAGAACATCAGTTAGTTAATCACAGGAAAGAAACAGTCTGGTAGCAATAGAGGAGATCTTTGATTTAAAAGTCAGAAATTAATTCAGTTATTCTTGAACAACACCATTTGTACATGTCGATACAATTGTACCATAAATGCTCTTGACTAGAATAGCTTTTCAGTAGAAGTAAACTAGGAAACCTCCAAATTGCGATCAGATATTCAAATAAATGTTTTGTTTGGTAGAATGACCTTGTTTTAGCAAAATTGAACTGGCTAGAAAAATCCCGATTGCATTGCAAATCATTCATTCGCTATATCAAATGCAAGGATTATTATTTTTTATTATTTGTCTATAAATATTCAAGTTTGCATGGGATTACCATGAAGCTGTTGATATTGTGTGAGCTCCTGTGTACACAAACCAGGAAGCTGTTGAGCAAGGAGCTTTGTGATTTAATTTGGTGTAGGTAGAATGCAAAATATGCTAAAGAAAGAATGAGACTGTTAATCTGCTTCCATAATAATTTATTTTGGTGTCTCTCTTACAGCTAGGTTGCTCCTCTTGGAGCTTCTGCACAAAGTTCATTTATGACCTGTTTGTCTTTTGCCTACAGTTGTTCAATCAAACCTGTTACTGTGTTGTGCGACTCCTGCCCATGCTGACTACGTATTCAGAGCTAGTTCTGTACTACCTGACTGTCTCTATGACGACTCACAGAAGCAGCGGAAAGTTGATGTCCATTTTAGCCCATTTGTTCACGGAGCTTGCTATGAAGGTACAGACGAGCATTGATTACATGTCAGATGTAGAACGTTTTACGCTGGTTTTGCTTCCCTGGTGATCGTCTTTGGGGAGAAACATCTCGATAGGAACTGTACTGGTTTAAGATGGCAGAAGTTTCATGTGATATTTTTACGTTTTAGTTTCCAGTTTTAAATCTCAAACATTTTGGTCACTAAAAAAAAAATCTGACAGTGGAATCGTAGATGTATACCGTGCTCTAATCCAAATTACTTTCGGTGGCCTTGTTTTCAGCATTTCAGTAACATTTCATTGGTATCATTGCACTATTACAGAATCATTGTAGAATGTCAAATTTAGCCAAACTTTTTTTTGCTAAGGAAGGAAAATTGTAACATTGGACGATTATTGTCCAAAAATGTTGGGACAATAAAGTAACTAAGGATGTTGTTGCTTTCTGCCAGGGGTTCTGTCTCCCCAAAGAGTTAATGGAGGACTCAGCAGGAGAAGGAGCCACAGAATTCCACGATTATGAGGGAGGAGGAATCGGTGAAGGGGAAGGCATGAAGGACGTTAGCAACAAGATAGAAAACGAAGATCAGGTTTGTGTTTGGTGATCAAAGAACACCATTGAGTTTCTTTTGGAAGTAATTTTAAATGACCAGTATTCTATACATCTGCAGCACTACCTAGTGGCTAGTCACTCTATTACAACAACGACTTACATTTATATATATTTATATAGAACCCTTCACGCACGATAGCATCTTATGTGCAGCCTTCATGTTTCTTCTCCCCATGGCTCTATTTTTAACATTATAAATGTCTTAACTTGTGGTTTCTTTTAATGAGATTCCTTCCCGTTAAGTTGTTTGAAACAGGGGTTTTTGTGGGTTGGTATGACTTTGAGTTACTGGAAAGAATATCCATTTCCACAAGCTATAAGGAATAATTCGCAATATTTCTTTACAAGGTTCCTTAATAACATTTTTTCAATTACAAAATACTGCAAATTAGACCCCACACTGTCTCCCTCATTGACAAAGAGCTTCTTTTGAAAAGCTTTGGCAATAGAAATGCTGCTCTGTACTAAGTAATCTCAGCCGCACCGCCTCGTGACACGCTTGTGTTCTCACTCCATTTAGGTCGAGGATACTTTCTCCAAAGATCAAGAAAAGAAAAAGGAAGATGAAGAAAATAAACCTGACATTAAGGAGGAAGAAAATGCTATAGAGATGTCTGATGATTTTGAAGGAAAACTGCATGATGGAGAGCCCAGAGATCCAGGTGAGTGATCTCAGACCTTAGTGATGGGAAAATAGTACTGGAAAATATCATCCCGGGTCACCTGGCTGGCCTCAGAGTGAAACTTTCTTTTCTTTAAAAGAAATAATCCTACCTATTCTTCTCTGATACCCCTGAATTGCATTATTTGCCGAATATCTTATCTTACCAAGTCTCAGATTTACAGTATTTCAGTGACACAGTTTACCTCATGGCCTTGTGGACAAACCAGGAAGTTAATCTCTCTATATCCAGATTACCATTTTACTTATATTCCTCCAAGAATTGAGAAAAGCAGCTTCCAATTTGAGACTGAATTTAAGAATTTTCCAAAATTCTTTATGATCTTAAATTTTGATGATGATAATACCAATATTGATATAGTGCCTTATTACATAATTGAGATGTCTCAAAGCCCTTCAGACGATATACTGTAAAGTTCTGTGACTGGATGAATGCAGCAGCCAATTTGCATGCAGCAACGTCCCGTGGAATGAAGGGATGATGGTCTTAAGGCTAAGGCCATGAAGAATTTGGAGCCTCAGACCTGTTGGGGGAAACTGATACCCTGTAATAAGGTCACAATAAGAAGTACACTGGAATTTAATTTTCTTTAAAGCTTGAACACTTCTTTTGGTAGCAGCTTGATCTAATGGGTGATTAAATTGATTTAAAATGGCAGCGCAAATGTCCTGTGGTTTTGTATCATTCTTTAAAAAGAAGGTATAAGCACCTCTGCCCTGATAGGTTTAAATGGAGTAGTCCTTTCACATCCTAGCACCTCCCTCTACTCACCTAACTCGGACTAGCTTTATTTCTCCTCCCTAACCCATCTGTCGCAAGCTTTCCAATTCTACACCACTAACCTCTGAACCTCTATCCCTCGACTCCTGCATACTGACCCCCACCCACTTCTGTTCAGCTTTAAAACCTACCTCTTTGACCATGTCTGGGGGCCACCTCCTCTTCTCTCTCACCTTCCTCTCCCCCTCCCCCCCCACCCCCGGCTGTCTGTCCCCTCCACTGTAACGTGTTGTGAGATATTATTCAAAATGAAGGATGCTATACAAACGGAAGTTGTTGTCATTGTTTCTGTAGAAGAGGAGAACGATGAGAAGTCAGAGAATGAAGATGAAGAGTTGGATAAACAGATGGGTGATCTGGGCGGTGCTGAGGCTGACAAACTGGATGAAAGACTTTGGGGAGACAATGAAGATGAAGATGACAATGCCAGTGTGCAGAGTGAAGACAGTGGCTCAGGGATGGATGAGGTAGACTGAAAAAACATACTTAAATTAATATCTGCATAACACTCTTTCAGTCAAAAGTACTAAGATCCAGACAAACCTAAGTAAACCTACTGCTTTGCAACCTTACAGACCAGGGAAATTCCCAAATTCAATCTTAATCTGCCGAGTTTGCTGATCTCTGCCGGAGAGATGATGGAACACTAAGACTTATGCCATCATCCCAAGGTTAGGGAGAACAAATCAAGACTAGATTCTGTTCCTGACCACTATCCAGAGAGTGAGCACGTATGCATGTTCAAACGCACGATGAAAAGTAATATAATCCTTACATTTGATATAGCACCTTATCACGTCTTCAAGACGTCTCAAAGCATTTCACAGAATATACTGTAAAGAGAATTGACTGTATATTTTGTGGGCGAAAGACGATAGCCAATTGAGCACAGCAGTGTCCCACAAACAGTCGTGGATTGAGTGACCAAATTATTATTTTTCTTTGAAAGGATTATTACCCCCCGGAAGAGTGATTCGCCAATTGACTAACAACTGGGTTCCTACTTTCTGCTAGGTAAACAGAGGCTTGTAGAGTATAAGGAAACTTGCCCAACCTTTCGCCCTGCTGGGAATCAAAACCAGGTCCTCTCGCTTGCGAGGCGAGTGCTCTAACCGCTAAGCTACAGGAATCCAAAGCACATATGCATAGCTGTTGTGTGAGGACATGATTGGGCTCAGCTGTAATGCCTTTTATAATTATATAATACTGATACTCCTTGCATTTGCTACAATGCCTCTTCACAATGTCACTGCCTGGTTTGACATGTTTGGTTTGTTCTAGGGAGAATCTGAACTTGTTGCTAAAGATAACATGGACGAAGGAAATCAAAATGAGGACAAAAAAAGACAGGAGCAGGAAGATGCGAAGGCAGAGGTTGAGGAAGGCAAAGAAAAAATCAATGAACAGCTGGATGAGGTATTATGGACTTTATGTTCAAAATGACTTAGCTCATACTGAATTTTTAATTTCATCCCTTCATGCTAACGGTTAGCAAATGGTTCCTTAAATTTTTCTGAAACTAATTCAACTACCAATGAAGTTAAAGTAAATGAATTAAACAGCAATGAAATTGAAGTGTGTTTACACATACACGAAGTACACGTGTGATAGAGCTCCATGCGCTGTGATTTACATCCTATGAATGAGCTGACCTCAGAAAAAAATGATGAATGATGAGAGAGAAATTCCCACAAAAACAGTGCGTGTTCAGGCATGCACTTGGCAGCTTTTTATTTTGTAATTGTGAGAGTAGGTGTGAGATGTCCAGGGTAAGTCACTAATAAAATGAATCAGGAATTCACAGAGATCGATTAATGCTGTAAGCAGTATTTCGCTGCTTGTATTTTACTGTCTACATGGGTTTCCTTTTGGATGAAATCCTCCATCTCAGTCTCACAGGAATGTGGGCTTTCCCTGCATTCCTACCTTTATTACATGATGTGGAAACTTCTAAAGGTGTGTGAATTCGAGGGGTTTGTTGACCAGTTTCTTTCTTACAGCGCGAATACAATGAAAATGAAGTTGACCCATACCATGGCGATCAGGAAAAGCAACCAGAAGTGGAGCCATTGGACCTGCCCGAGGATCTCAATCTGGAGAAAGAGGATGGGGAGAAAAGTGATGGGGAGCAGGAGGATGGAGAAGGTAACAAGAGCACCTGTGAGCTGCACAGTTCCAGCAATATGTACACAAATATATTGCTGGCAAACATGTAGCTCACAGAGAACGAATTATATCAACTCAATTTACTGTACACGTAAATATTCTCACATGTGTTAACTGCTGTGGAAATTGCGAAACCGCTACAGTATACATGAAAATAAATCATAATAATCCTTGCATTTGATATGGTGCCTTATTATTTCGTTGAGACATCTCAAAGCACTTCACAGGATATACTGTAAAGTGAATTGAGTGTGTATTTGGTGGGCAATTTTGCTTAGTAATTCGTCAAATAAGATTTACAAAAAAAAAAAATCCTTACCTGTGAGTCCAGGAAATGGCTGAGCTATGTGTGGGCGTGTTTCAGCCTTGCAAGAACAATCCAAACCGTTCTCATGATGATAGTGAATGCGCACACGTAGCCCAAAAGCTTCCCGCGTGGACTTTTTTTAAAATTATTGCGTCCCGCTTTACATTGACCCATTTTAATTTCTTTTAATGTGGGACAGCTGCAAAAATTTGTCCTTACAAAAAGATTTTAAAAATCAGGTCATCTGTGAAAATCCGTGAAAGGTTGAGCCACAAAAATATTTGAGTGTGGTAGCTGATGGATCTAATTGTCATGGAGACATTTTTAGGCTTCAAGCCCCATCTATGCCTTCAGCTCCCCTCTCGACTCTCTACCCCCTCCCTTCCCTCACCCTGACCATTTCCACCTTGCTCGGTTCCTGACCCAACTGTACAGCGCCTTGGGATGTCCTCCCGACGTGAAAGGCGCTCTATAAATGGAGTCTTGTTGTTGTTGTATGTCCTCTGTCAGCACTTGACAGCTCAGAGTCATGCTCCGCCACTGTCAAGCGCTCTGGGACGCTACCCTGTGTGAGGGGAGCTATTTAAATGCAAGTTGTTGTTGACTCCACTCGGCACAAATGTTGACAGGATCAAGGTTTTTTTNCTGAGGCAGTAAAGTGGCATTTTCTGTTTTTCTTGTGTTGTGCCTCAAACAGATAATCCCTACGACATAGAAGAAAAGCCAATGGACTTGGATGAGAAGGCTCCAAATGAGGAGGGGGATCAGGTGGCAGACGAGAGCACTGAACAAGATCAAGGTGGAGAAAAAGATCTCCCCCAAACAGAGGAGGAGGCTGAAGAGAAAACCGAAGGACAGGATGAAGCTGAGAGTGAAGAAAAAAACCCTGACGAAGACCAGGAATCTGAGAACAAGGAAGAAATGGGAGATGAAGACAACATGGAAGAGCAGCAGTCTAAGGAGGATCAGCCGAAGGAATCGGCGACAGAGGAAGATGAGGGAGCAGTGCCAGCTGATGAGGGATTGCAACCAAAGGTATGCCTTGTGATTTGTTTCCCCGTGTAAAGTGTTTCTTATTATCTCCCTGAGCACCGAGCCACGGACTGTGATGATCTGTAGTAAGATGCTAGGATTAGGGCTTGGAGATATGTTCATCTGATTTTTTACCTTATTTTATGTCCTCTCTTCAATTCTGGCTGAGATCAATGACGTCCATGTAGAGGTCTGAGTTAGCGCTTGCACCCCATTACTTCATAATGCCCTTGTATTAAATGGACAATAAAGGCAGAAGAAGTAATTAAAGGATCAAATTGGCTACAAAATAAAAAGTTACTACACTTCACAGTAAATCCTGTGAAGCAGTGTGAGATGTCCAACCAACGTGAAAGGTGCTATATCATCATCAACAACAACAACTTGCATTTATATAGCGCCCTTCACGCGGGGCAGCATCTCAGAGCACATATCAAATGCAAGTATTATTATTAGAATTATGAGGGTTCAGTAATATCATTAACTATTTCAGGTTTACTCTTGAATTATCATTAACCTGAACCAAGACTTCAAAATTGCTATCTATTATTGTTGAATATTTGATCCAGTTTCCCCTTATTTTGGGTGTTGGGATAGTCATTGGACAGGACGCTTCACATAGTTAATTCTTACCTGAAGTATCAGTATCAACGTTCACTGAAAGTACACCTGAAATCGATTGCTAACAAGTAGTACGGGTAACATAACAGGTGGGTCTAACTCCACCAGTTGATTTCCTCCTTTGTTATATATAGTGCGTGCACAAGATGAAACTGTATTTGCCATTTATTCTCAAATCCTGAATAATTTAGACATCTGAACCTGTTCTCAGTTTTGTGACACTAGCTGTATCAAAGTGGAAACGGGATTTTGAAGGGAGGGAAGTGATTGTTTGGTGTGGGTAGCTGGTGTGGATGGTTCCCAATGTCAATTTCATCCCCAAATTTTTCCTTTCAGGCAGAAGATGAGGAAGACAACAACACAGACGACAAGGATATCACAGAGTCTGAACAGCGAAGGGAGCATGAGGCTGACGGGAACACCGGCGAGGAGAACCTGCAGAGTGACACGGCTGTAGAACTGGCTGGATCTGCGTCTGAGAAAGATCAGGCCAAAGAGGTACAACAGCTGGGATGGCAACAGAGAGGGTTGGAGATGCAGGACATAGATTAATGCTGTGTAACTTTGAACCAAGACGTTGTAGGAAGTGCACTAAGTGGAGGCCAGGGAATTGAAACGACAGTCTCTGGACCACTCCTGTGTACAAATTAGTAGCTGGTCACAGAGTGGAGTGATAGAGGCTAGAGAGTAGATATCCTGGTAGCAGGAGGTGTGTAGCACAGGAAGACTTCAGTGGAAGAATGAAAGGGGTCGGAAGCCTGTAAGTGCTTGTCCATCAGTAAATGCCCGTCCATTAGCATATGAGGCTGGTGACTGGTCATTGATAAATGAGCTTCAGGTGCTATGTGATTCATTCTGATTTCCAGGGTTTCGGCCAGTTTGCATTTGTTAAGCGTGTAGCATGGCTTCCCATGTTTAATGTGTTGGGAGTTTAGCCTGCGCTGTGTGGGATTCCCTTATTCAATTTGTCTGCCTCAATTTTCTGAATTCTAGGGAAAAATTTTACCGTCAAAGGTACAGCAATTAATGAAAAAAGCTGGAAACCAGACGGGGTGGGGGGGAAAATGTTGCAAGAACCGATCCTAAATGCACATAAAGTGATTTAGTTAATATGGATTTGGGATCTTGGTGTGAAATGAGAAGATATGGAGGGTTTTTTTTGTAAAAATGAATACCACTGAGCCTAGACTTATTTATGGAGTCTGACACTAGGCCACTGATCTGTGTGTGTTTGTGTGTTGAATCCTACAGGAACACGGAAGTGGGGCTGCAGACGCCAGTCAGTCTGAGGGCCATGAGTCCAAACTGATGGCGAGGGTCTCATCTCAAAATCAGACACAGGACAAAACACAGGTACAAGCCAGTACTTCTTATCATAGGAAACCATTAAACTTCACCCGAACGTAATGTGTGCCAGTCATGTTTTAAATATATCAGTGAACTGCAAAGCGATGCCTCACTAGTTCAATGCTTTTCCATATTATTAGCATTCTGATACATAGAAACATAGAAATCTACAGCCATTCGACACATTGAATCCACACCAGTGCACAGAGGAGCAAGGAGATCAATTCAATCCCACAACCTGCCTTATCTTCATACCTCTTCTAGGCCCTCCTTTCATATGCCTGTATGCATCCCTCTTGAAAGATGCACTGGATTGTTTTTAATCCTTCTGAAAAAGGGTAGCTTAAGTTACTGCTTTAATAAATAGAAAATGTTCTTGCATCTCAGTAAGTTAAAACTACAGAGTTTGATTTTTCAAGAGCTTCAAGAGGAAGCCTGGCCAGGCTGACAATGAGAGAACGTCTGGTGATCGTAATGAACATGTGCACAAGAGACTGAAGATGGTAGAGACCAAAAGTGAGGCACAACGCAATACATCACAGGCAGAGCAAAAGGTGGAAGTGGCTGATTTGTATGAACACATCAAAGAAGGCAGTGATCCCTATGACGCACAAACCTTTGGTAAGCTTAAATTAAATTCATGTCATTGTTTTAAACTTACAACACAATTTATATCATATAATGCTTTTCACATTGGGAGGACGTCTCAAAGAGTTTCAAGGTACTGGATGGGCACCTGAGCTTGGGGTGGAAGCTGATGGGGATGGGGAGGGGAAAGATGACTGAAAGCGCTATCAAAGTAGTACATTTTGAGACCTACCTTGAAAGAGATGGAAGCGAATCAGAGGGATTTGGTGAGATGGAATTCCAGATAGCGTGGGCAAATTGAAAGAATAAAGATTTGGAATTAAAGCTTGATTTCCTGTTAAGAGGTGAGTCTTTAAGGAGCTGGTAAATAATGACACCAGTTCTGTATGTATGGTGCAGAGGGATGCTTTGTATGTACCGTAGTGTTATGTAAAGAATATTAACAACTCACTTTTCTTACCACCTGACCATTGGTGTGATAGTAAAGGGTGTGTTTCAATGCACTGTAAAATCATGTGCCTCCTTCATCTGATCCCAGATGTGGCCACAGAGGATCAGCAGAAGCCAAGTGAGCAAGACAAGGAACAGGCTGAGGAGGAGTCTGATGTTACAGCTATGGAAACTGATCAGGAGAAGGAGGAGGAACTGCAGAGTGTGGACATACAGGAACTGAAACCAGAGAAAGTCCACTCTCCATCTACTACAGTATCAGGTCAGAAGGAATGTACTTTTATATCCGTGCAACACACCATGAATCTCATCTCATTTCAATAATAAGTGACAGATCAAGTGTCTCACTCAATGAAATTATTTTGTGGGTTACTAAATAACCACCATCAAATACCTTTGTATTTAACTCCATTCCTAACACTAATTTGCTCTTTTTAACCCTAAAGAACAAAACCCTGATGGGTAAAGTAGTCCCAGACATTTTTCTAAACCGGAGTAGAAAGTGTTGATTCTTTCAAGAACAAATTAAATAGATATCTGTCACAAATTATATCTTGGGATAGAGTATATAGTTTGGGAATGACATGTGCATGTGGCTGCCAGGATGGTGGAAGGTGAACTGGATGGATCTTGGTCTTCTTTCATCTAGCAAGTCTTATGCTCTTGTGTTCTTCTGAGGGTTTTGAAAATCTGACATAGATATTTGGGAAATAAGTGTATTAAAGGCTATGGGTTAAAAATCAGGGATTAAAAGATATGTCATGATTTAGTAAATTTGTGAAATATGATTTTCTTGATGGCTTCCTCCTTGTTCTTATAAGTACAAAATTCTATTGTGGTACATGAATGATAAATGAAAGCATCTTCACTGGAGTGACAATAGGAGAAGTTGTGCAACATAGCTTTGTATTGTTGATTGATCTGTTTTGAACATCATGTGTTGTAGGTTGTGAACATCTTGAAGGAGACTTGCAGCCTCCCAAACTTGAGGACAGCGAAGACCAAAAAGATGAATCCAAAGAAGCATCAAATGAAGAGAAGCCCGAGAGGAGCAGGGAATCCACCATTCATACAGTGCACGAACTGCTGACTGAGAGGACTCAAGAGGTTATGCTGCTTAATAGGACGTTTTAAACCGAATCATTGTGCACATGTGGCTTTAAGTGACATTGCTTGTAGCAGGCAAGAGTTAGGAGATATTGCCAATCCTGCTTTTTTAATTAGTTAGGTGGTTCTAAATTGTAAAATTGTTTGTCAAAACAGTGTGCAGCCATTATTGCACATGCCCTGGCTGATGCTTCAGGGAGATTGAGAGCCCGGCATCACCCAGCAAAGGAAGGTGATTGAGAAAGAGGAGAGAAAAAGAGCCTAACTAAAGCAAACTTCTTTAACCAACACCTGGAAACCCAATGCAGGTGCTTCCTGTGTTAAGTGTGTGATGCAGAGATCATACAGGAGGTGAAGATGTAGTAGAGCATGTTGTAGCCTGATCCTTTGGTGATATTGTTCTCGTGTTTAAATGATTATATAGTAGTAACTTTATGCCAATACTGCAGAAATGTGTGCTACAGACTGGCCACAAACTCTCAAAGTTAACCAAATGACACCACCTCAGTCGTTTCATATTCTCAGTCTAAATCTGAACATAATCTTCAAAGACAAATCTGTTGTACTCCATAGTAAGTGTTACACTGATTGATCCATCGGCGGCCTCTATACCCTAAAACTTTGGAACTCCCTCCCTCAACCCCTTCGCCTCGCCTCTTTCTTCCCCATCTTCAGGTCCTGCCTGAAGACCTTCCCTTTTGACCACATCTATGGTCACCTTCCCCCTCCCCTTGGTTTGGCCTTGGCTCCACCATTGTTAAGCACTCTGAGACACCACCCGGCATGGAGGGCGCTATATAAGTGCAAGTTATTGGTGATGATACCAATTCCTGTGCCTTAGGTGAGCCTTTGATTATTAGGATGTAAAACGTGCTATATAAGTATATATTGTATTCTTACACTAATTTATTTCATATTAAATTAATTTGTTTTCCCAGAGGGATGCTCAGGACCCAGAAGAATTGCGCAAACAGCTGGAACAACAGCTGGATGCTTGGCAAAGTGAGAAAGCTTGTAATCCAGAAGAGGTAAGTGACCAGCTCATTTGAAATGGCATGTGGATTTAGTGTGGATGTAGGGTTCGGATAGGATTAAGCCTGGTTGAAGTCAGGACCTGGTTAATAGATTGCCTACGCTTGTCCAGGTTCCGGGACGCTACGCCGCATGCAGAGCGCTATATAAATGGAAGTTGTTGTTGTTCTTCCCAACTTTAACATTGATCTTTTACTGTCTGTCATGAGTCACCACCTACAGGAGGGAAGGGAAACCCCTTTCAGAAATGTCTAGCAGAAACTGATTTAAACCTTAGTAAAAAGTGCTGACATTTATTTTTGTTATTCCTGCTCCAACCAGGCTCTCTATCCTGACAACACTTCATATTAATAATAAACATTCTTGTATTTCATTCAGCACCTTATCATTCTCAAAGTGCTTCACAACGTTTCCTGTAAAATGATTATTTTCTGCCAATTTGAGCATTGCAATATTCCACAAACAGCCTAAAAATAATATTTCTGGCACTTGGTATAGTGCTTTTCATGTCAGAAGGACATTTCCACGTATTTCACAAGATATACTATAAAGTGAAGTGATTATATTGTGTGGGCTTTGTGCAGTTAATGACCAATTTTCTTTACCTTGGGGATTGTTGGATGGGAGAAACTCTTTAGTTCACTAAATCAGGTCGCACAACTCAGGGCAATGAATGAGCATAATGGATTGTTTCCACAATTTCCTGTTAACTATCCCTAACTTTCTCTTTAGCAAGTCACCTTCCCTGGGCAGCCCAGGTGAAATTGGAAACTCCCCATTTGGGGAATTGTGTAAGTGAAACTGGAGTGCATTCACACAACATTTTCTCGGGCTTTGTGTGAGAACAATCTAATTTTTCTCAGTTCTGTATCTGGAATGTAATTGCTCTGGATGGTTCTTTCCCATTGAGCACGGCTTAAACTTGCGAATTTCACAACAAACGTCGGTATTGTTTGAATTTGCTCTTTTGCAGGAGAAAGCTGTTGCTGAGATGTGGCAGCAGTACCAGGCGTTGACATCTCCATTATCACAGCAACTGTGTGAGCAGCTCCGACTTATACTGGAGCCCACTCAGGCAGCTAAACTCAGGTCAGCTCGATCTGCTAACCAGCACCCTCATTACTGCAAATATTTTAATAATAATCCTTGCATTTGGTTTCATGTCTGGCAGACATCCTAAAGTGCTTCACAGGATTTTACTGTGGGCAAAGATGGCAGCTCAATTGTGCACAGCAATAGCCAACTAACAGCTACAGAGTGACTGACCAATATTAATTGAGGGATTGTTGGCCAGGACACTGGGAGGAATACAACCTTTATTCATTTTATTAGCTGTGGCTCTGCTTCAGATAATCAGGCGTACTTGATGGTGCTTAAAGTGTGACATTCGCAAATGCAGGAACCACTGTGCCAATTACAACTTTCCATTTTGTGACTGAAACTGCGAGATTCACTAACATTTGTTTAATGTAAATCCACCACCCAGAGGCCGTTTCATGGCTACTGTTTTTCTCATTGAACATTTTATCAGTCCTTTTGGGTTCAGAAACATTCCACAGCTAAACACCGGCCATGATCATATGTTTTAATAGAGAAAGGTGATGTTCTGTGTTTGGAGTCACTAATGGACATTCTTTATTGCTAATGCTAATAGTGTGGCTCCATGCAGAGAGGGTGGACCCATCTTCAAAGGATAGAAAAACATTTCAGGCTAATATATGCTGCCTGGAATGAGAAAATAATCATGTTTCAGAATGCATAATAGGAGTGATTCATAGAATGCACAGAAGTGCTTTTTTTGAGAGAGAAAATATTTTAGATTTTAAGTATTTCTTTTACTGCAAGAAGAGAGAAACAGAATTAAATCCCAATCGATCACGTTCCAAACATGACATTTATAGGATCACATTGGTGCAGCGTTGACTGATACCTATTCACTTGTCAGTCATTTATTTAAATGTGTTGATGCATTGTTGTATCAATATTAATCACTGAAATGTCAGTTGCTTTTCACAGTGCTACATTTTTCATGTTCACCTGCTCGGTGTCTCTATGAAGCAATTTGAGATACTGCTCTACGTGAAGTGTACTATATGTGCAAGTGGATGTTTTTATGAGAAAATTTAGACAGTGGAGCTTTGTTGGAATGTGCTAAGTTGAGCACGGATTTGCTTAAAGAGTGGGTGTAAAGTAATCCAATGTTGTATAGCCGGTTTCCAGTACTGACTAGCTGAATTTCCACAGTACAAATTGGTGACTTTATGGTCAATTTAGGGAGAGAGTTTCGGAGAGTGTGGCAAAATGTCTGAAAACTTGTCCCACAATGGAGTGGCTTCTTCGTAAAACTTGTTGATCACTAAAATGGGATATTTTTCTCTGTCCCCTCTGTGTTCCTTTGATTGCAGAGGTGACTACCGAACTGGGAAGCGATTGAACATGCGCAAAGTGATTCCTTACATAGCCAGCCAGTTCCGTAAAGACAAGATCTGGCTTCGCAGGACGAAGCCAAGCAAGAGGCAGTACCAGATTTGTTTGGCTATTGATGATTCTTCTAGTATGATTGACAACCATTCCAAACAGGTACAGTGAAATAATTGTGCAAAAAAAAGTTTAGAATATGTACTTTTATTTTTTTACTGGTCCCCAAAGCAGCACCGACAGGTCATGAAAAAATGTAAGTGGAACTAAGCATTTACTGCAGTGTGTAGTGTAGGTTGGGGATACTCTAAGTCCATTTTGACAGAGGAATTGCAGGTGCTGTTAGTTATTCAATTGGCAACCAATAAAATTGGGAGCGTTCTTAATTACACAACTAATTGCATAATTCCCTCTGCATATATGTTTACATATGGTTCACCAATACATCTGTACTTACACATTGTTTATTGTGTTTGTGTGTATTTAACACCCACGCTCTGCAAAACACACAGTCAATATGTATTAATACATATGTATTATGGTTGACAGATCAATAACCGTGAACCACAATGACATTGACTTGTTCTGCTATACCAATAGACAATGGTCCAGTTGACAATGCTTCTGGTCCATTACAACTTGGCGGCTCTGAACTTTAGTTTAGTGCTTGTGAGAACGCATTCATAACTTTCTAATTGTATTCTTAGTGAATCACCTGGTTGCTGATCTGAATGAGGAAGAAAGTAATGTATAGCTATCATTGTTGAATCTACATTGCCTGTGATCACCCCAATTTTCTCGATTTTTTTTCTGTGTCTGAACATTTAGGGCAATATCAAATTGAATTTTCCAGGCATGTTGATGCAGCTGGGTGATTGTGCCCTTTTGTGTGTGTTTTTTTTTCCAGCTGGCTTTCGAGTCATTGGCTGTAATTGGAAATGCTCTCACGCTTCTAGAGGTTGGACAGGTTGCTGTATGTAGGTGAGTGCAGAGTAACATTAGGAGCTGCCTACTGCCAACTATTCACACTGTAGCTACCACTGGGCATTCGCTTAGCACTGGCAGTGCTTTATTTTTATCTGCACATGACAATTATAATATGCAGAGTGTTTGTAAAACATCTATAATTGGTTGAATGTAGTGGGAGGAGGAGGGCACACTCTGGGGGGTAGTGGGTTGGTGGGCAATACAATCATGCTGCAGCTCAGTAACTTTACGATTTACATGCTCCAGTTTTGGAGAAAATGTCCAGCTGCTGCATCCGTTTCACGAGCAGTTCAGTGATCAATCGGGGGCAAGAATTCTGAGAAGCTGCAAGTTCCAGCAGAAGAAAACTAAGATAGCCCAGGTGGGTGTTCATTGTTAGCATGTTTATAACCTGGTTAAGCCCACCCTTCTAACACCTCTCTAACCAGCCCCTCTCTCCACCCCTCTAACCCCCCACTCTCTCCACCTTCACCCCCCCTCCACCTTCATCACCTCCCTCTCCACCTTCACCCTCCTCTCTCCACCTTCACCCCCTCTCTCCCAACCGCCGGCTCTTGCCACTGCTCTGGGAGGACGTTCACCAGGGAGGGAGAGAGCGTAAGTTGGAATGTCAGTACTGGTCTCAGGTTGGATAAAATCACCGGCCGGATTTGGTCTGCGGATGTTTCTCAAAAAGGGAATCTGGCCCGTAGTAGCCAAAGGGTTAGACCACCCTGAGTATACTGATTACTTAGGCTTGTCCTATGTAACACTAAATTCACTTTGTGTTTCTTCATACTGTGTCAGCTTACAGGAAAGATCTCACTGAGATCAAATGGTTCTCATTTATTGTGATCATTTATTTATTGTGAACATTGTTGACATCTCGATGTGATAAGGTCCTATATCAAATGCAAGAGGTATTATAACTGACCTCTGTCAATCTTTGCAGTTTCTGGATTCGGCAGCCAGCATGTTTGTTGCAGCACAGCAGCACGCCCAGCAGGGAAATCCAGGTCAGAGTCCTATAACAACCTGTTCTTTCCCCGCCCCCCCCCAATCATTTCCATGTCTAAGGAACTTAGTCTCTATACATGAAAACAATACTTGTTTTTAATTCAGAAACAACATACATTTATATAGTGCCTTTCTTGCAAAAATGCTTAACAAAATGAGATTTACTAGAAATGGAAGTGAATGAATTTTGTGTAAACAAGATGGGCTGTTTAACACTGGCTAGTTCTGGCTCAGCTGTTCTCTCCAAGCATGTCTGATGCCTTTCTTGTTGTGCCTTGTTTCTTTCCTCTTTTGTTGCATTTCATCTTGTGCTTGAATAGAACGTGTCGATCAGACGAAAGCTGGGCATTCAGGTTACCTTATAATCGAGGTTGCTTCCCTGGAGAGTTCCAAATGAGACGTGTACATTTCTGTTTTTTAGAACTGGTTCAATCCTGGGAAATGCCTTTTCTGGATAAATGTAATTTAAACTATACGATTTAACTGTCCAAATAAAAGGTGAGGTTCTGCTGTTCATATTATTTTGCCTGGCCTGATTAATTTGATTTGTGACTAAAAGAGTGTCACATGAGTTCAGGCAAAGTTTACCAAATGCCAATTCTAGTGTTTCATTGAGATTAAAATAATGGAGATGAGTCCACCTGAATTTCTGTTAAAACAAGATAAAGTGAACTGTTGAATCTCACATGCAGCTTCATGATTTAGATAGAATCATTATCATAGTGTCCAGGGGTGACCTGTGTGCTGCCATGTGCAGCAGGTGTGACACTACACAGAACTGGATGCTTTTTAAGAAGTCTTCAATACTTCGAGATGATTTTGTGGCATGCTCAACATTGATGGAGAAAATGTGAGCTGCTGGTTTGCATTAAGCTTTTACATGTTTCGCTAGGTGGAATAAGAGAGTATATTTCTGTATACATTGGAAGATGGTTAAACTGTAGTGTAGTCAAATTTACTATTCACTGTAACAGTAGGAATTGATAGAAACAGGAGTAGGCTATTCAGCCCCTCAAGCCTCTTCCTCTATTTTATAAGATCATAGCTGATCTGTGCCTCAAGTCCAGTTACCTGCCCTTGCCCATATCCCTTAATACCCTGACCTAACAATTCATTTCTTTCTGTAGAAACAGCCCAATTGCTGCTGATAGTGTCTGATGGAAGAGGTCTCTTCTTGGAGGGGAAAGAGCGAGTTACAGCAGCTGTTCAAGCTGCTCGGAACAACAATATCTTTGTCATCTTTGTGGTGTTAGACAACCCAAACTCGAGGGTAAGTAACGCCAATCCAGGTTTAGTCTAGTCGAGGCATCCAGGTGGAAGGAACATCTATACATTCAAAAGTGTGTATTGTTATGGAGCTAAATAAAAAGCATAAATCTCAAGGATGTTACTTTTCAAGTGAACTGTCCTACTATTTCAATAATGAATGAGTCACTGACTGTTTTGTAAAAGGAACAATTTTAATGGACTGCCTGCCAGTCAATCAGTCTATACAACCTAAGAGTATAGGTTCAGTCAAAACACCACAGTTGTTGCACCCTTTACCAATCTGGCCTTGCTTGCATTTCAGGATTCAATACTGGACATCAAAGTCCCTATATTCAAAGGACAAGGAGAATTACCAGAGATTAAATCCTATATGGAAGAATTCCCTTTCCCATTCTATGTCATCCTACGAGATGTGAACGCTCTCCCAGAGACACTCAGCGACGCCCTCCGACAGTGGTTTGAACTGGTGACTGCAGCAGATGATTGATGTGATGGGATTTAGCGAGCTGTCAGGTCAAACTGCTATCGTCTTTCATCAATAAGAATAAAAGTATTAAAAACGCCATTTATTACTGCACAAAGTGTAGTATGTTGTGTATTGGTAAAGGAGGCTGCCTTATGAGACGTGTTTATAATCTGAATTCTCCTGTTCACATTGAGAATTGTACCACTCTACCCATGGTGGTTTTTGTGCCAAAGGCACAGTTAAATGTCTTGAATGTGACCTGTCCAAAGGTTTGTGTGTTGCGCCTAAGTCTTGGGAAAGGTCACCCATTCTGAATACGTGACCTTTGTTATGGGCATTTAAGAATAGCAGTTGGGGGTAGTTTGCTACTTTTATGAATTTTTCCAACGCTGTTGAGATGTCAATAAAAGGACTGTATTTATTAATTAATCATTTAATGTGAATTTTTTTTTCAGCTCTTAAGACTGAAATTAAACTTCAAATGGCATTCTTGTTTTTGCACCCCATATACAAAATAATCATTGCATTAGATATCCACACACAGCCATTAAGTGAATAACCAAATTAGCTGCAGGATTTATCTGCTGTTTACTTGACGCCTCTTTTCAAATAGTGTCACAGAATCCTTAATGTTCATCTGAATAGGCAGATGGGACTTCGGTTTAATATCTCCTTCAAAGGACGGCACCTCTGGCAATGCATCGCTGCCCAGCACTGAAATGGAATGTCTTCCTAGATTGCAAACTCAAACATCCTGATGTGGAAGTAGAACTTGGCAACCTTCTCTCTCTGAGCGCTACCAGTTGAGCCAATTACTGTCTGACCTCTAAATATGCAATGACATCTGACTTTATTTAAGATGTGCTGGTAATATTGGGTGCTTGTGTGTCCTTTCAACTCTGGGACACAAGCTTGATTCAAGGTCAAACTGCATTGTTGAGACTTCTTCCTCCCCTGGCTGTTATCAGGATCCTTTCCTTCTAGCTGTCTGGCCAATTACTGAAACAGTTACTGCCATGGAGTTAAAACTGTTGGGA